CCTACATATTAAAAAATGTGTTTGAGTAGTTTCAGATTAGTTGAAAGGCTCAAATGTTTTGGTCACCTTCAATCCTCCCTCTCAAATCACCCAAGCCTAAAATACTCCTCGCCTTTCATGACCTCGTAGTTTTTTTGATGCAAAAGGCAAATTACACGGCTCAGGGTAAACAGATGGCAGGTGACAACGGAATGACGCATTTCGGAGCTGGCAGGTGTTCTCCACCAATCAGTACCGCAGAATGCAAGAAGTTGTTGCCAAATTTAGCGACAGGTTGTCGTCCCACACGCATCCACCAACCTCCTTGTTATTTGTAACACCCCTTTTGGTGAGTGTCATGTCACCCACGCTTCAGTGAATGCCACCATTGATTTTAGCAAAAATATGTGAAATAGTGATGAAGGTACAGGGAGAGGTGGTCATTTTCACACAAAAGTAGGACCACGAAGGAGATACACTTTTGCAGCCCACTTCACAGCAAGAATAAACAGTCACTGATAGGTAGGGCGAATCATCCCATTCAAGAGGTTGGACACAAATGCAAAGTAAGTCATTTAATGGTAAAAGTATAGAACAACGCTAAGGTGTAGACTCAAGTAATTCTCTTGGAAGTGTGAAATGCGGTGCCTCACTTACTGTCAACTGATCATATCGAGTGGGGCCGTTGGAAGCAGACATGGTTGCGCGTTTACGCATCAACAAAAGGCGTTCTTATATACCTCTCTTTCCCTCTCATTCACCTCACTCCCCTTCTCACCTCTCCCCTCTTCCCTCTCCCCCTCCTCTACCCTTGCCTTCACCACAGAGTCGGGGAAAAGGAACTCGCCTCACTCCTCCCCCCTCCAACCATTCAACCAACCCATTTTAGGTGTCACAACGCGATTATCCAACGCCTCGTCAACCACACTGAGTGGCAATCGACCTCCAAGAATGGGGCAAGGATCAGCCTTGGGAAGTGAAGAATGTGCAGTAGGACGACAGTCCCACCACCTTCCCTCCTACATTCTCCAAACCACTCATCCTGCTGAACCCGCACCTCTGCCTCTCATTCACTGATCAACTGTGGGCTGCTGTCGAAGCACCTTGAGAGGTGCACTGACACCACTGTCGTCAACAATTGGCCTTTGCACTTCTACAAGTCACAAATACGAGCTGATTTCATTTGACAATGCTGAGCCGTCGTTGCCAATCTGCAACATCAACCCAATTTTAACACAAAGTCACACCAATGATTGTTTGCATTGCGCAACACTGAGCCATCAAGGGACTGACAAATTTAGCGTGCGAAAAACTACCACAACTGAGCAATCACTCTGACCTGGCCTTAAAGTGAACCAAATGTGTGACTGACACACATTTGCCGCCTGTTGAAGCACAAGAAGTAAGTCGCCTCACCTCGAAGGCAGGAGCGAGGGAGTGAGACAGGAGAGGGGCAGTGCGCACCGCTCGAGCGGCTATTTTAATCGTGCCTCATTGCAGAAGCAGCTCAACGAGGAGACCAGACAATCAAGGAATATGGCATGATAATTATGTTGAGTATTTATGCGCTCTAAATCCATTGGGTTAACATCTTGTGTCTGTAATTAAGCAAAATGGCGCTTTACCAACCATTAAAAGCGCTTCTGGTAGTACCTAGCATAATGATGAAATACAACCCGCAGGATTTGACGAAATCATGCAGGTAAACGTATGCTGCTTTGTACGGTGACCTTCGCTTAAGATCACCGATTTGCATTGACCCATACCCGGGTCAGCATTCGGCGAGGCTGATAGAGTTCGTCTACTTTCTGCCTCTTGACATTGATGTATGCCAGTAGATTCGCCAAATATTTTATGGAGTAGTGATAGAAAATGCAGCAACCCCTCTATGCGAATCGCATTTTCTAAAAACATTAAAAGGAGACTTCCGGCCAAAACAGCTCTTAAGACATGATTAATCGACCAGTTTTCCTGACAGAGCCATCTTTATATCCACTCATTTCCACTTCCATTAACAGAACTCCTGACTTGACAAATGAAACACATTCCACTATTTTTTACGCAAATCGCGCCAATTATTTGCCGTTCAAATAGTTTCTGATCGAGTTGAAAAGGTAATTTGTGCTAATGCAGTGTAGGCACTAATGGATGTCACATTAAAGGTTTCCTTCTGTGCCAAAGCTCAAAAATGGAGTGTTGCGCCGCCGTTTTCTGGACCGCCAAATCTGTAACAAATGCGAACTTGTGCACGATTACAAACACACATGTGTGCACAGCCCACGCAAGATCGGCTTTTAGTGACTGCTTATCTTTTGTTATTGAGGGCAATGAAGCAGAAGGCTCAGTACGAAGTTGTCAAGCAAAGCTTACTCTCGGACGAAGCAGAAAGGTGACAGTAGCTTAATAAATAAAGGCTACCGCTACGTATTTTTTCGAATCCTGAAACAAAATCAGCTAATTTCTATTATGCTCATGATTGGTTGGTTCCGAAACCAGTGATTTTCAAGGTCGATTTATCTGCCAATCATGTTTGCAATGTGATGCTGTGATCGTTTCAATGTAAAAATTACATAATTTAGGTCCATTCAACAAATTCACAGACGATGGCTTTTATTAATAAATCGTGCATAAACGAAGCTGAAGAAAGTGACAAAAGTTTTAAACTATTTGAAAAGTAAAATGAACGGTGAATCAATCAACTATTTCCATTCGTGCAAATTAAGTTAAAAGCACTTTTGATGCCATGCATAATTTCTTTGAGAGCTCCGCTGGCGCCTTATTTGCATGACACTTCGAAGATAAATTGCAGAGCGATGACCGATCTAACATCGACGAACACCTTAGGAGATTTATGAGAATCACGTTATCACAACAATCAAGAGTGCAGGCGTCTTGGATATCTCTCTAACTGAAATCATCTTCACAATTTATATGCTAAAATTTGCTATATTTTGATCCCGATAGTGGCCATCGAGGTTAGTTACTCGCCCTCTATATTGCACGAGAAGTGTAACATTATCGACACCATTGAAAAATACTCTAAACATAAATTTTACTTATAATAAATAAGTAGAATGTATCTGCTGAAGTAAGATAATGAGAATTGGTACCCAAGTGTAAAATTTACCATAAGTCAGACAGAATCGGAGGTGATTTATCTTACTTTCTTTAAAGCCGCTCCATTTTATGCAATTTAATTTTTAGTCGTTGCAAAGGTCTAGGGTGGAGTTTGTTCAGACGAACTAATTTTTCTTCCTATTTTTTCGTAAAAGAGTAGTTTTCATACCTGCCTACGACCCTGGATTGGGTACATGACTTGTATGAATCAAAAAACAATGCTTATAAGATCTTCTGGAGAGATAAGAGAAGGCTTGCGAGTGCGAACAGTAATGTGAAATATATTTTACCTAACCAGTCTTTAGATGGTGAAAGGAAAGAAGAGCTGATTGGCAGACCTTTTGACCTCTTACCCTGCCTTAATGTGGTAGATTGTGGAAGCAACCACTTCTGTACGATGCTCCCAAGTACCGGTGATGCGAACCAACTCTCGCATCACGCCACTATAGCCTGCCGTCAATTTCTTCAGGTGCATTTGAGGCAACCGATGATTAGCATCTGGTGTGTCTAAGGCTTTACTCTTTTCACAGGGCTGGTTTAATCCAAGGATTAGCAGGGCTACTGATTTCTTGAACTCTCAGTCTCAAATCCCGTCAAAATACTGTTCGTGGGGCTTGCGTGGGAGAGATGTCAGTGAGACAATCCTAAGGAGGCTGCAATGCGAAATGTCAAAACGTAAACTCTGAAGAGCCTTGCTGCCCAAATTTCACCCAAACAGGAGATGTTTTGAAAGCAGGTCTGCGTCCCAATGCAGTTGCGTGCCACAACACCTTGTTAAGGTGACCCAGTTGAGACAATGTTATGCGTCTACTTCACCTTGTGCACTCCGAAATCAGCGTCAAAGAAGAAGACGACGAAGAAGGAGAAGAACCCTCCTTATTAATTACGCCAATCCTTCATTCCGATTGCTTCCCACGTGTGTGTCACCACTATTCAGCCAATATCGCGGTGCGATTTTGGTTAACAAGAGATTGCGGCATTCCACAAGGTGGGAATGTTTATATTAAATTAGTTAATTCATTTAATTTATGTGTTTCATCAGCATCACAAGGCAAAATTCTTTCCCCAATTCATCATGCCTTCACCGTTTTACCACCCTCAATTAAACATGTGAACTCAAAACGTTCACATGAAAGTGTTGCACCCTCTTGGTGCAACATTTAGAGAAAAAAAATACTAATAAATACTAATAAGGCATCCGAACATGAAAAAAATTTTTGTGAGGACTTTTTGTGTGAAAGTGCTCAAGTCTCAACCCTACTGCCAAGGTTTGGTCGCCTTCGAAGTGTCAGCGTTAGGAAAGTTTGCACTCCACTGACTCCGAACGACATTTAATTAGAAAAAGGACGTAAAAGTCATGAAGTGGAAAACAATGAAAAGCTGACGAATTTGGTGCCTTTGGTTAAGGAGTTGTGAGTACAGTGGGTTTGCATGACCTCCCTCCAGCATTCCTCCATGCCATCGGTTGTGGTGTTCAAGTCGAATGGAGCAAAAGTAATTCAAAAGGGATTTTTGAGCAACAGTCTCGCCTCGAAAACGCATTTCTTAGTCGGAAAACCAAAAATTGCGAAATGTGGTCAGAATTATACGACTATGGAGGGAATCAAAATAATGCAACACTATTTTTAGACTCGAAATCAAGGGAGAGAACAAAGAGCGGGAGGAGAAGGGGGACGAGGAGGGGATGGGAAGAAACCACATTGTAAAGGGTTTTTTGGAAAAAAAAATGAAAACGAAGTGAGAAGTTACGACTAATAGCCCATTGGGAGGGAGTTGGAGTACATCTGCTGAGGTGGTGGTCATCAAATGTGCATTTGGGGTTTCAAGCAATGCACTTTGTCTTTCCTGACACTCACCTTCTACTGCGGCAGAGGTGAGTGGGATTTCGAAAATCACCTCATTTTTCACCACAAGGGATGCAATGAGAGTTGAAAAATAAATTGAATGACAGCAGGAGTGACAGCAGTCATCACAGCGTCGATGATGCTGACAAGGCTGATGATGAAGGCGATGGCACCACATTTCCCCTTGCTAGCATTGACAACAGTGATGTGATTGAGGTGATTTTTTAGACGTCTTTGCCGAGTGCTTTTTGCAAAGCTTCTAAAGTGAAGAATTAAGGATTGATTGAGACCTTACTCTTGTTTTACTGGTGGAACGTTTCCGTTTTGGTGGCACTTTTGGAAGATTGGGTTTCATGTTCTCTGTTATGCATTCATAATGGTTTTTGGAGTGACTTCGATGCGGCGTGTCCTCCAAACAGTGACGGTTACTCTAAAATGGGGCTAGAGGCGACGTTACGATGGGAAAACCTACCCCTCGTGTCTCCGATGCTGGACGTGCTCCCGAATCATGGAGGTGATGACTGAACGATCTCATGTGTCGACGTTCTGTGGAACTGGATCGTCCGTTGTGTTTCGCTGTCTTCCTACTTTCGACAGGCGATTTGACGCCCCTTGCGTAGTCGCCTCTTGCTGATGTAGCGTCGCGTTTGGAGAGGTAAATTTGTGGTGAAATCCAATAACTATTATGCATCTTTTTGGTCCCATTTGGACGTTCAGACGTACCCTCTGACGATTTGGATGCCACTAAAGCTTTCTCCTCCTTCTTTGGTAAGGTCTTGGCATTGCTGTCTGCTACTTTATCACTTCCTATTGTTTCCTCCTCCTCTTTGCCCTTTTTCTTTTTCGTCTTCTTCTCCTCCTCCTTCTTCCCTTTTGTATCCTCTTGTTTCTCGTGTTTGATAGCTTTCGGCGCTGGAGACTGTGACCGTCTCAAAATGGGAGGTTGTTTAATCTCAACGTACTTTGGTTCATCAAAGAAGTTGCTATCATCGCTGAGCGTAGAGTCGGTTTCGTAGGCTGGAACGAAGCGCGTCTTACCATTCGGATCCATAGGTGGTGGTGAATGTGATGATGGCAATGGCGGCGATTGCAGATTAGCATTATCTACTGCTTTCCAAAAGTCTGGATGTATAAAGATTTCTTTCTCGTGTTTGCGTTTCCCCTTCAAGGGCTCGTCAGCCTCCACATCCTCATCGGAGAAGTAGTCGTCATCGACAGAATCGGATAGACGGACTAAATCACGAATGGTGAAGAAGGAGATTTCATCGGCGTATTGAGACCAATGGACGTGTTTGTTGGTCATGCCCTTGGAGTCCTGCGGGGTCTGTTGAAGACCCTCAGTAGCGTGATGTGGCATGGAACAATGACGGTGGTGATGATGGAGGGCAATTTGATTATCCTCCTTCTTATAGATGGAAGCCATTACCAATGGTAAGTGAAAGGCAACTAACTGCTGCCTCTACACTCAGTGCATCCACTGTGCACTGATTCGTCTAATTAGATGCAATTTGTGATTAAGTCAACTAATCAAATTACTTGACGCTGTGACGTGAGACGGTGTGTGCATGCGTGTGTGTGTGTGTGCACAATGCCAAGAACTCATTTGATGCCTAATTGGGGTAATTGCTGTGCGGTTGGGGTTTGCTGCTCTCCCTCAAGCAGCTTATCGATTAATTTATCGACCAAACATTCCATCCTTGTCTAACTGTCATTTGTCTAGCCATTAGATGTAGTCGTCAATGCGCACACGACTTCACTCTATGTACCTCCCCTGTCCATCCATCCATCCAAAGCCTTGGACAACTTTCAATTGCTTTTCTTCCACAAGGCCAATCCCTTTTGGAATGTTTACTTTTGGAAGTCAGCAAATTTTTTCACGCCAATTTGCCCTCTCCCTGATTCGATCAGCGAGCAGTTCTACAAGCTGGGTTTATGTCGCATCGCGTGTAATTGACTTATCAAGACGATGCTGTGGGAATTTGTGGAGGTCGAGACCGTCCTCTTTCTCTGCTCTCCACCATAACCTAAAGTGGCTGCAGACATTTCGTTGCTTCGATATGAGCAACTTCCTGCCAAGGAGAACATTGAAGAAACGACCTTCTAGTAGCTTTCAAGAAGAAGAAGAAGAAGAAGAGGACCTCGTTATGGACTCCCAAGTTTTTTGAAGTTTGAGCATCATGTTGAGGAGACAACCTAGGATCTGAGGACCAATTTTTCGATCAGGCATGCATGATGCCTAGAGAAAAGGAAAACGGTGCAGAAGCCGACACCTTACTGACAGTAATGAATGAGTGAACATTATCATGCTGTCTTCTCCTCCAAGTTGGAAGGACTTAAAAAACACAGACCACTTTGCAACCTCGCGCAGGAAAACACTGTTATAAAATAGCAACGAAAGGAATTGGAAGACTTTACTCAAATTTGTCGACTTCTACCTCTGTGAAAAGACCATTCCTCTTCAGTGCTTCAGTTAAGCTCTTTCTGATTAGCGAAGAGGAACGAAAAAATGTAACACATAGGCGACACTGACTCCACCTCTATGCCTAGGGATGGAATCTTATGTCATGGCACACTGTTAACGTCACCAATCCCATCTCCTACCTGGCCTTCCTCCGCACTAGTAGTGGGTCTGTCTTCACACTGCCAGCTAAGGAAGACGAGGAAAAGACCACAAAGGAAAACCAAAATCATGCATTCAACAGATCCATTTTCAGCCATTCAGTCACATTAGGTTGGTGGCAGTAAAATGGTCAGAAAGCCCATGTGTCCTTTTCTTTATTGTTCTTGGAAACAACTCGATAAATTGTTTCGAAATTCTCGATAAACTCCGGTTGGTCAGTTGTCCAACCGCCCATCCCGTTGATTGATTCATTCTCCGCCTCTCCCTCACCGCATTGACCACCTTCAAGCTCAGAAAAGGTTACCTGCAGAAAAGCATTTTGTTATCTCACACAGAAAGCAGTTGAATTTTTTTGGCAGATGACTAAGTACGATCTTTCCTGCGTATCTGTAGCAGAAACATAAAATAGTGGAACATTGGAACATTTGCCATAACGATAGGGTGCGTGAGAGAATTCTGATTCTTCAACTTAATTCAAATTTGGGCAACACACGCCACGCATATACCCAGCCGGGAGTGATTACGGACCATCTCTCTTCTGCCGCCATGGCTTCCACCAAATGTGCCGCTCCACACAACACCTTGAGTCTCTGGTCTCCATCCTAAGGGTGTGGTATTCCGGTGAAGAAAGTGGGATCTGTGTTTGTGTGAATCCGTTACAATGGTGCAATTAAAGGGAATTGTGGATATTGCCACCTTATGCGACGCTGTGGCCCCAGATACTTTGGCACTTCTACGAGTAGTTCAATTTTAGTGTACACAACCAGGCTTCATTCAAGTTATGGAAGAATCGGCTACTCCCTGCTCAGGCTCACGATCACTATGCATAACTAGCATAAGATGGTGGAGTTTAGAGCGCCTCAGATTTGTTTATCAGCGACTTTAACAAATAATGCATCTACTCGAGGACACTTTTGTTCAACGGATTTCCTTTTTCTTTCCTTAATTTATCTAAATGTTTCTTTCTTTGGAAGTGTGGAGGAAGAGGAAGATAAAATTGTCGAATAAACAGACTTGCCTTCTTGACAATTTGTTCAGGACTCGCTTTTGACTTGTGTGGCAGTCCTGCCGCCTTCACTGTGCCTGCGTTCTGAAGACACATTAACGTGGACCTCAAATATGCCAACTGGTCCTCTACCGCATCCTCCGACCACGCCATACTTCTATCCTTAAAATTAGCGGACATAGTTTTTGCGTAGATCTTGAAAACGTGTTAAAAATAGACCAATTGACTGGTAGAAGATCAAATTATCATTGGCATCAAAAGTGGCCAATCAGAAGGCTGAAAGAGTAAATGGATTTGAGGCAACCAGCAGGAGTTCAAAGAGGTGCCTAATTCAGGATGAATGAAATGAATTTAAAATAGCAGCAATCTTAATCGTATTACAGAAGTTAATGCTCCCGCAGTTCTGCCAAAAGAAAAGTTGAATATGTGGGAGAGAGGAAGGTGATATCCATTGGTGAGATCTGCGATTTATTTATGTTGAGAATCTAAAGGAACTCAACTCCACTCAGATACTACTAGAGGAACAATAAAATGTGGGAGAAGGGTGGACACATAAAATGATCAAGGAAGCCGCAACCTTTACCTTTGAAGTCACAATCTACCTTCGGATCAGGTGGCGAGAAGAAGTAAGGAGGACATGATCAAATAATCCAAATCGCCTTATGAGTGCCAAGGCTACTTTTAGAATATAAATTAGTCCTGGACACACTCACAAAGCTCGATGAACGTAACCACCAACGCCCAGATCACATAAGCCACAATTCAAACATTAATTCCTTTTTAAGGTAATTATCACCTTCGGACCCATCTCTTCACAACACTCATTCAGCAAGTTGTGTCTGCAATCGTATTCACGTCAAACGGGGCCGGCAACTTCTTGCCACACCAACCTGTCATTAGTGATCACTCTAGCACCACTTATCGCTCGTTCCTCAAACGTTCGACAAAACAAATAGTAAACTAAGAAGGGGTTTCGACAATTCTCATGAGCTTGGAGTGTATCCAGTGTATTCAGTCGTAGGTGTGTGATGAGGCGAGAAGCCCCTTTAGCAATGAAACGGTGCCTTAGCCCCATCATACGTGTAAGCAACCAAATGCGCCAGCTCATTATCCTTTGGTAGGCAAAGGAAAAACAGTGAAAACTTACGGGTAAAGAAGGCATCCAGACTTTGCCCACATGATAGAGTTTGGAAGCAATCTCATGCAGTTCTTTGGCAATGTCCTTTTTCAACTCCACCACTTTAAGATGGTCTCGATCTTGAAATTCTTTTAGGGTAGTTCTAAGTCCGTTGACCTCATCCATCAACTCCTCCATTTGCTTCGACTTTGTTTCCAACCTCAAGGCAAAGTCCTCCATAACTTCGGATAGGTCTCGAAGTTGTCTCTGCTTCAGGTCTAACTCATTCTAAGTCATTACCAGATATTGTCGTCGTTTACTCACCTTCAGGAACCCACAGTCCCCTTGCAATTCTGAATCTGATGTTTTGACTTCACATAGTCGCAGGTCAGCTACCATTGATCGTAGGTGGTTGTTTTCCTGTCGGAGGCGCAAAATTAAAGTTTCTTTTTCTTTCAACTCCCGACACATCTCCTTCTGTACACGTTCGCATGAATTCTGGAAGAATGGAGTTGTTGATAAATAAAATCTACTGACAAAAAATAATTAGGCAGTACGCACTCACCGGTGCAGATGAGTTGGTACCAAAGTTGATTGGGGAGATGTACTTTTCTGCCTTAAACCAATCACAAGTAGGCACTCTTTCACCCCTTCGCCAACGTTTAACTTCGTTCTCAAGGCGATCGGCAACGCTTTTCAGGAGCATGACAGATTCACGTTCCTTCTCGTACAACCTTTTCCATTGATTGCCTCTGGTTGCGAAACTACGTTTTATCTCATTCTTCAAACCCTTTGCTCGCATTCCAAAGTGTAGGGTTGACTTGGTCTCCGATTCGTTGGCTTCTGTCGGCGAGACACAAATGACAACAGTTGTTTTCGCGTTTCCACCCAGAGATTGTTGCAAAATTCGGGTTAATTTTGAATTCCTGTAGGGTATGTGGCGCTACAAAAATGGATTGCTACGATTAGGAGGAGAGAAGGAAGATGACTCTAGTGACAAGGGGAAAAGTTATTTTTCCCTTTTGAATATGCCGTGAGCACGCTTTTTAAACGACAAGAAGTTGGCTTCGGAACTCATTTAAAAATTGTACCAAGTAGGGAAGAGTAGCGTATAATGCTATGCAGATGGTTGAAATAAAAATGTTTGCCGTGAGAATAAATCCTCTTACTTCAGCACGTGCAAAGATAAGGCTCCTTTACGAAGAATAGGCTGAGGAGCCGGAAATTAATGCGCTGTCATGCGAGATGTCAATCGTACCGAGGAAAAAGGCGAGAACACCGAAAGACATTCATGAGTACCAATAAACGAGATCTGTGCATGATGGATGCCTGAGTAATGGCACGTAGATACAATCAGACTACCGGAAGTTGAACTGCAAGGATGCCACGGATTAGTGATGAAACAAATAGCTTCTTCTCTCCATCCCAGCTTGAGTACACTGTCGTCTTGTTTGCCTCGTAATCAACGCCTCTTGGACTGCAGGGTTCGCTGCTTTCAAAAGGGGTGAGTTAACACGATAATAACAAAAGTTGAAGAGGACAATGTAGTGTTTTGATCGCGCGTTTTATTCGCATTGCCAATTCGTCCGAGTTCTACCATCCTCACACTTTGCACTTCAGTCAGATTTTATTGCCACCTGACCGTAGGCATTAATAATAAATCCTTCGTTGTACTTCACTTCCAGAGAGTTCAAAGGATGCTGGAAAATTTGACCATTACCTCTATCTTATGTACCATCTGCCGCCAATTTCGTGAGTTTCACCTTCTGTCAGAACTCATCAAGTCAGAAATATAAACTCCACTATTGTGGAGCATAATTAGGGACTTCACCAAAAGTTTCCCATCAATGCCTGGACAACAATCTTATTCCAAAATAAAGAGCTAAAATAATAAAATTTTTCGGGTTTAAGTACTGCTGACTTTTGCTAAGTAGCATAAAGCATCCCACTGAGCTGTTCCGAGTAAGTTTTGGGATTTAATAGCTGGGCAAAAGAATGACACTTTGAGAGGTATCAGTAAACACTGAAACTTGAGGAATGAAATGTTGCAGTGAATAGGGCTTTTAGTGCCTGCACTCACACTTCCATCCACGAGAGCATTGATGACATTTGCCAAGGTTGACAGCGATCGATTGATATCCTTAGCCTCGTTCAGAGTGTTACCCATGGCTCGCGTTTTGGAAACCTTTTCACTGCCCGCTAAGTCGACCAGACTTAGCCGACTTATCAGGGTTTCATTAAGTGAAGAACACTTCTGCTCGATGATTACGGAGAAGATGCAATGACTGCGTGAACTTCGACGATTCATACCTGTCACAATTGTCAGATGACATTTAACATTAAAGGACTGTTCACAATTGGCCAGGCGGATGTGATTCCCCTCGATCCCCACTACAAGCCATCAGCCCCGTGACACATCGCGTTCTCTCCTCCCAACATCTACGCTACCATGGGAGAGAGCAAAATCAGAAGAGGCCGCCAATTATGGCGAAAATTACTTTCTGTGACAAAGTAAAAATTGATGGATAGGAAGATTTTCCTGAACCGTATTAATTTTGAAAGCATGTCAAAAAGGGTTACAGCAAATTTTGCAAAACCTTTTCTGATATTCCTTTTCAAAATGCCACAAAACACGGTCTCAAAATAATTACCATTCAATATGCCTAACAAAGAGGCCTCGCAGCTTCAAGGACGACTTCTCCTTCCCTTGTTGCCAAAAATAACGCATGTCAGTCATGTCAAAGCTAAACGACTTTTCCAGGAAAATGAGTCGCTTAAGAATGCGTGATATGGCTGAGGAGTTAACTGAAAGACATCTCGATCGACCGAAAGGGAAAGTGGATGTTGGATAGTCAGTCCGTTGATTTTAAACGTCCACATCAAGAAATGGGAATGTTGTATTTCCCTATGCTTCCTCTGTTTCCTCTCCTTCGTTCGCCTTCAATTCCTTCACGCTCACCCCAGTTTAAGAAAGGAGGTAAAGTGGGTGCTAATCACACGATGAAGTACAAAGGCGAAGGGGAACGCGCGATTCGATATGGTGGGCTTTGACATTGGCACCTGTTGCACAGGTGTTTCGCCTCTGAAGGAGGAGAAAAAGATTCGATTTTGTTCAAATCCCGGTCAAATGATGATGTCGCTGAATCCCTTTATTCCCTTTTTTTTTCAACTTGCACAGAATCTTTGCTGTCGCCTTTAGGACAATGGCGAGAGTTGTTAACTGCATGACGCCTTATAAATGCCCGGTTCACATGGCATTACACAGCTTCCGTACCTTAGGGCAGCGAATAATGAAACGTCTTTATGTGCATGCAATGAAACTTTTGGTTCTCCAAACTGACTCTTTAGTTTCAGTCCCGCTGGCTAATGCGTTTTGAATGAGCAACTGTTTACTCCTCCTCCTCCTCCTCCTCCTCCTTCTCCTGCCTTCACTGATGAACCTACACGCCATTAAGGCGTGCATCTTTGTGCCAATTCGACGGATAGTGGAGGACATTAATGACATCAACAGCTAAGTGTTTACATCGCTGCCAGTGAAGGGTGGGAATCTTGAATGTGTCCTGATTAAAGGGGCAAAACGTTAAGGTGACGTTCAATCTCTGGTCAACTGAGGATTCCTCTGACCATTCACTTCGCTTATTCGCATTTTTGGGGAAACGATATTGCGATGATGTCGACCTAAAGCATTTCAACACATCTTCGGAACGGACCATCTCTCCAAAAAAGAAAAATTATTTTTGCGCTTATGAATGCATCAAGTTGTTAATCGTCGATAGCCATAACCAAGGCCGATGTTGTCTTATTTTCACACCTCTCGAATTATTATTTTTATTCTAAAGTACATACATTATTTCCACCCTAGGCGAAAGGTCACATTTTTTTTTCTTAAATTAGCGTGTTTCTGAGGCCAACCAGCGTGTTAACACAATCAAAACGAGAGAAACTAGAGGTAGGCAAATTCAGGCACTGAGGCATCCATTAATTTTGACAAGGGCCCGATGGGATGCGAATGCACGACAAGCCTCATGACCCATCAAACACCGGAAAATTAGTCGTGTTCGTTCACGCATCTTAAGGTCACAATAAAGGACATTTAATTACCACCTCTTTTGCGCTCATGATGGGCTTCTTGCCATCGCGCAAAAGTCAATCCAAGAGGACCATCCAGACTGGGTAAAATACTCAACCATCGCTCCAAATACCTCTTGGCTATTCCGGTAGACACTCACACTGATGCAGGTGGCCACCAAGATCCGTGAAAGAAGAGAACCTATTACCAAGACGAAGGTCGACTCTGCGACTCCCATGTCGATTCAGAGTCGGGCAATATGCACCTGATAATTTGTCATACCTTGTCACTCCGTATGCCACGTCTTTACGATTTGGGCTTAAGCAGGCAAATCAAGGTACAAAATACGTGGAATGCTAGTAGCGAAAGCACAAAGACGCAAACGACAAAAGAGATCATTCCAATTTGTTGGTTGTACGAACCGAGGTTACGTAGCCTTTGAACCCACCGAGTGTGGTGGCAGCTTTGGGATAGATACGGTAAAAGAATCATCATGATCATCATTATCATCATCACAGACAAAAGTGGAACAATTTCATTGGTTCTAATAGTGTGTGGTGTACAGAAGTGATACTTCAAGTTAAACATGTTCCATACAAATGGAAATCCATCGGAAATACCGATATGCACAAAACCACACATTCATGAAGATTTATCTCCTTTTTGGAAAAGAAGACATATGCCTGAACGCCACTATGCCTTTCTATCCCTAGCCTGCGTGGACGGAATGACGCCTCCTCCTCCGCTCCACTGACCGATATAAGACCTTTGTTTTTTCCATCTCAAAATTACTGACAGAGGAGATCAAGTTAACCGCCCTATGATCTACGTCCCTAATGCCACGATAACACTACATTAAATTTCCAGATCATTTGGTTTTTGACTATATCAACTGAGAGAAATAGGTCGAGGAAGCACAAATTTTCGTCCTCACCCCACTAACATCACGGCACCACTGCCTTCTGCCTCCTTGTAGTTCAGAGTATGGTAGATAGAACACCACATGCCCCTCCACCTTTAAATAACCTCTTTTCCAATCCACATATTGAAAGCATTCACCACATTGGCGTGGTGAGTGATGTCGACAGTAAAAGCATTCGTGAATTCACTAACATTCAGTCGGTCCATCGTTTTTCTTGACCTTCGGGGTGTGGGGGAGAAAGGTTCCTCTTTTTCCTTCTAATCTGGCCCGCCTCGTCCTCTTTAAGTGTTGCCAGTTTAAGCAACAAGATAATAAACTTATTCGTTGCAGACCTCCACATCACTGCATTTCCATAGCCTTGCGCAACACTTCAAAAGTTTTGCACCGTAGGAATGAAGGAGTAGCTGCCCTCCTCACCCTCTTCGCCTTTTTGTTTCATCTACTTTATCCTCACATCCTACCTTTCTTAATCCACGTGATACACGTCACCCATCGTAAACAGCCGATTAGGTGGCACGTAAAACTGGCAGACCAAAATCGCAAACAACAGGCTTTGTACAAACTCACGAGTGTGATTTGCCTATTGGCGTCCATAGAGAGGAACTAAATTGCCGCTTTTTCGAGGAATGTGTCGATGGCACTGAGAATAAACGAATGGTTGTCATTCTTATAGAAGTCAACTTTTGATATAGTCTGCAAGAAATATACCTTTAAGGGATCAAGTGAATGTCACTATATTTTCGATCAGTGGATTCCATTGTGTGCATAGTACTTTCGCCTTCTTTGTCTTGTCACATACATGTGGCACTGATATGCTCGTCTGAACCATGCAAACCTGGTTGTTTATCCTAAGACAAACACCTTGCCGTCCTATTAAACTGCCAACATTTCTACAATAATCTTTCCCTTTATCCTTTGAGGCAACCATGACACCAGTCGAATTATCTAGTCCAGCCAACCACGAATGCGTCGACTGACGAATTGGGGCTCCCCAAGTAACACCTCCGCTCCCCTTTTAGTGCACCCCACAATTAAATATGCACATTCCTATCCACCAAAATGGGTCTAGAAGGAAGGCAACATTTGTCCCTGGTTGTCAGAGTCGTGACCTGGAACGATAAAGATAAGACTAAGAAGAGGGGAGAGAAAAGAATGTCCTCCTGATAATGCATCGCTCTTCGTTAGAGCAGCTAGTCCACAACAGCATTAATGCGCTCATGCTGTCTACTAACCAGCGTCACACGTGACACAGAAAATAGTTGACAGCTTGATTTCATTTGACTTCTTGAGTCCATAGCATAAATGTGGGCTTTTAACTAAATAAATTAAACGGCTAGCGAACACTAAAATATAGAATGAAAAAGGGATAAACCTACTTACTTGTGGGTGATGTGTGCTTATTGAAACGCCCTTGTTCAAGAGCGTCTAAAATGTCTCCATAACTGTTCACACACCGTTCTGTTAACCCCTAAATAAAGGAAAACACTCAGTCATATGTAAAGAAGTGATGTCAAGTCAAAATGGTTAAAAATGGGGACAAGTGGAACCATCAGACCTGTCTAATAGTCAAGATTGACAGTTATGACGAGAATTAAAAAGTTAAATTGCTAAGTCGGGCACCGCGTCAGTAACATAGCAGTCCATGCGTTTGGAGAGGAGGGAGAAAAAATGTCCGAGACGATGAGGAGGGAAAGAACATGCACTTGCTCCGCATCTCTGAGGGTGGATGGCGTAGTAAATTTGATGAACACCAGCAAGTGAATGAATGTATCTGCCAGTCACCTCACTCAAAGTAGATGTGAACGTGAAGAACTGTCTGGTAGACAAGGTTGTGTGGTAACATCATCCATCAGATGCTGAGGTACGGAGACGATTTTTATCAAATCTCATCTAAGATCAACCAATCATCTCATCGTTTCGATGGGGACCAGTGTCTAATGTGCGATGTTGGCATGACACAGGCGAAAAACGAAGACTGACAGTTTGAAAATGCACAGAAGCTGTAGGTCTCTACCATTGTCTGTCACATTGCCCTCTACTACTTTTTCCAATTTTTATAATCTCATTTCTTTCCGTTCCACCAGTGGCACAGCCTAAAGTAAGCTCCTTACTTCTCTCCGTCATCACATTCCAAAAAATGTGACCTTGAGAGCGCTGCAGAAGGCTCCATCAACCAATTAAGGGTTGGATAAAACCGTCTTCCCTTTGTAAGGGAAACGCTCGCTCCTCCAAGTTGACTACTAGAATAGTAAGACATCCTGTGCTGATCTCTGGTCTTGCAAGTCTGATTTGTGTCCACATTCACCTCTCCTCTCGGTGGATTTGCGGTTTAAAAGAGATCCATGAACTTGTGATGTCAGTTGTGCATATGCCAAATCAGCCAAATCACCACTATCGTCTCCGATGTGGTTCGACCATCCTATTCTCTCTAATCACGTCATCGTCTTCAATTGACTTGCAACCAGATTACTCCCAACTGTCATGGTTGCTAACGTATAAACACTTCTATCAGGATCAACATTGGAGGATGGATTGCAGAAGTGGTGGAAGCGAGCGTGTTGACAGACCAATAGGTCATAAACGAAAATTTCACCCCTTTTTAATGGTACGTCAGATGCTGTCACTTACGTAGTAATGCCTTTACTACCAGAGTCATAATCTGCCGACATGAGTCCAGTATTACGAAGTTGTGACGTACCTTCTTTACCAAATTATAACCACGACATCTGATTTTACCAAGGTGGTAGGGTTCCTTGTTAAGCAGACTTCGATCACCATCTTGCCGACATCTGCTTGTGTTTATCAACCACAAAATGATACTTATTTAAAGAATAATCAACTTCGAATTGCTCCCTCAAAGTACGCCTGAGAAGTTTGCAAGGCGACTATCATGAGCAGGTCAACTGAGGATATGGCTATGCACAGATTCGTGTTTACATGCTCTTCTTCGTAACCCCATGCTTGCATTTTTTGAAACAAACCAGTCTTTCAACTGTACAATGGGGGAGAAGAGAAGATGACGCAAACCGAAGCACCTTCCCATGGATTTGCCTCCATTTAAGCTCCATTAGTGTGGAAATCATTGCATATAAGCAATATCCCCTAATGCATACCAGTGGACCATAATGCTTTGCACATAAAATGTTCTTTATGACAGGTTAATAGGATGATCCTAGTAGACTGTCAAGTTGGTCATTATCAAAGGCTTTAATAACTCCTTCAAACCTCAGTTTTGGCTCCTTGATATTTGGTCAGAATTTATGTATCGGGCCTCCTGCCCTTGTCAAAGCAAGGCTTTCAGGTCACAAATAGCAGAGACAGACTAACCTTCACAAAAGTTTGTCTCCTTGAGTCCTCGCAAATAGCCAAGTTATTTTTCGAGGCTGCATTTTAGAAGACGCCTTTAGCGAAAGAAACTTTAGACCTACGGTTAAGTAAATCTTTCACCTTCTCCATATACAGTTCCAAGTAGGAGACCTAGAGGTTATAGAGAGACATTTCTTTTCGTATTCGTCAAGAACTCACCTTCAATTGGATCTCCACATTGGAGCCCAGCGTCTGGATTCGATTAAAGATGTCACCCAGGATCCGAGGAATCACTCCGAATAGCTCTATTGACTGTAATTCCCCCTACAACATAAAGCATTTTCTAGGGAAAAGACACATACCTAAAGAATAATGGAAAAATAAACACCACAACTCTGTTATCGTATATTAGCATCATTGGCTTTTACTTTGGAAATAGGAGAAAATACTTTCGTGCGCAAGGCCGTCAGATATAATCAGCCTTTAACTCTATCTAACTAAAGACATTTCAAGGTCACCAAAGTCGACGAAGCGAAAATCAGCCGCTATGTGATACATCCCTTCGTGATTGGTCCACTTGTCTGGGGATGAGCCATTGAACCACCGCCTTCTGTGTCTGGGGCGCGCACGTTAGCGTTGGCGGCTGGTGACCAATGAAAGAGCGCACGTTATGCTTCAAAGTCGGGGAACAGGGGGAGTCCCAGGACTTGCCAAATGCCAAGGTGGTATCAGGCTCTGTGGTGAGTTAATAACGCTCAAAAGCATTAGAGCAATTCACGGAAGCCTCATACGCATTGGTAATGTCTCATTTCCTTCAATAATTTGTCGCATAAAGGAAGTACTGACGATAGAGGACAGAAGAGGTATCCACACTTTGAGATTTTCCGCTCTAATGTGCCCAGTACTTTTCCTATACCAGTTTGACGAATCCAGTTAAATCATTAGAATGGAATAAAACTTCACTGAAGTAACTTCGGAAACGTTTAAAATTTCGAATGCGAAAATTCGTGAAAATTTCAGATCTTGGATCGGGAACGATGAGATCAGAATGTGATGCAGAGTGGAAAAGTAGAGACAGCTAATCACTTGGGTGACAAAGGCAGGAAGAGAAACTTGTTATTGTTTGGTAAATCCCTCGGCTGGGCGTACGAACAAAAACCACACCCAACTGTTAGATCAAATGGCTGTCAAATTCATCCGAGAAGTATTCTATTTTGTAACTACTCCCAAGATTCGGCGGGACAGAGAGGAAGAGATACAGGGTAGGAGTTTGGGAGGGGTTATTTCTTTCACAGGAGTAAATGTGCTTCCCTCAACCTAGAGCGGTAGACACGTCAGCACCGCTCTCACAATTTCCTATGTAAAGTAATGTGCCAGTCAAATGGCTATTTAAAATGAAAACCATGAAAAATTCCACAAAAAGGCGCCTCGGTATCATCACTTGCTACTTCAAAACAAGGAGAGAAAAAGTACGAATATAGCGAGAACATAAATTACCTCCATTGTGTATGTTTTGCCACTGGAGGTTTGACCATATACAAAGATCGTTCCATTGTATCCGCCGATTACGTAGTCAAGTAGGGGTTTGCCGATAGCTTCATAGGCCTCCTCTTGAGTGACACGATCAAGGACGGCGTCATATGTATAGACCCTTGTCTGAATAAAGGATAATCGTAGATTTACTTTTGCTACATGGAGAAAATAAACTTACTCCAATTCTGACGGAGGTGGGAGATAGGCATGTGAGGCATATACCCTTCTTCTCTGTTATCTCTTCCAAATTGAGAGGCCTAATACGACATATAACTCGAACGTTTTCCGCCATGACGATGTCCTGTCTACACCCAACCACACAGGAGGATACGCGGGCACGTGACTCGATTATCGACTTATCTTTACATTTCAGCAGTGCCCCACGTGTCCACCATCCGTAAGGTCTTGTTTTCACGCGATTGGAGGTCTAACACCGTCCTAAGCGAAAGGGAAAGACAATAATTTTTTTCATAATAATCACACCTCAAACAAATCTTTGTTTTCCTAGACATGTAAGGAAACCTCGTGAACGTCCGCACAAATAGTAGTCATGCTCATCGCCATCGTCCCACCGAAGTGGATTTATTGGAAAATCGATAACTTCTGCATGACTCATGTCATTCACTCGCCCACTTATGTGTAAGCATGCAAGCATGTGTGCCTTTGGGTAATTCCTGATTGGCTCACTACTTCTCATGCTGTAACGCGCCAATGAGAACTTGGTTCATAACCGAATGAAAGGCTTGCCCACAAGGCTATCGACTGCTCGCTGGGGTAGCACGTATGTAAACACGCAGCCACCCCACAGCACCTATAACCGCAACTGTTATTGTTATCCGCAACTTTAAAACCGCTTAAATAGGTTTTGCTTGTCAATATTTACTACATTTTAGGAGGCACACTTACGTCCGACAAGAACACATTTTTGTAGTCACTTGCAAAAAAAATTGAAAAAATGATCACGTCTGCAATAAGTGTTAGGGGACTCTTTTTATTATTTTTTTTTAGTCGGAGAGGTGAATTTAAGCCACGCAACTACGAAAAACTGACACTTTAACCGATGTCGCTGTTTACCCACCTCTCGAGGTGATTGTCGCCTACCTCAAGTGGCAGACTTTGACCCGCCTTAACTCTACGATGTGTAACCGCAAAACAATAAGCCTCTTTTCTTTAAAATTAATTAATGGAGACTTGATGGTGGGAAAACAATCACTGACAACCCCTGTGAGGTAAGAATAGGTGGAGACGCTAGTGCCCTAGCCCTGTCAGGGGTGATTTATGGGTGAAAATGTGGCTAATCTCGGGCAAAATTTTGAATCACGTTGATACCTGTTGGGCTGATTTAAGTGGTGCAGATTTTCTAGCAACTTGACTTTGGTCTGCTCTTAGCTTCTTTATAACGTATTTACTCTCCATGTTCAGCATCTGCGGTATTGGGGAGACCATAGAGATGGTAAAAGACAGTAGAAGTAATTGGTGAGGTCTTGGCATCTTAGATGAACTAATAGGTTTTTCAGCTTCGCTTATGATTTTGTCACGTCCCTGTAGCTGTGTCAGTGTTTTTATTATCTTCTCTCAACCTTTCACCCTCATACCACAAATCGTCGGCTAAAATTCGTAGCAGTGCTTCCATCTTGTCTAGTTTACTTTGAGACTATGAAGCAGCTTCAGGAAGGCAACAACAATACATGCATTTCCGTTTTGACAGTGTGCGTAGGGAGCAAAGACGTGAAGAAATTACCAGCAATGCGTGGTGAATAAATTCTGCACTGTTAGCAACTTCTTCTCTCCTTTGACATAGCTCATATTAGTATACGACCTGCATTAAACACCTTTTGTTGTCTGATTAATTACATGATTGCTGTTTGCTGGGAAATGTTGAACAAGACTGTCAGTTTTTACGTCCAAAGGATTTACCATTTAATTGTTGATTAACAGACAGGCGTCCCAAGGGTGTATCATGGTGACCATTCTTGAGGGATGGCCAGTGAGCCGTAGGCTCTCATGCCATGTGGTGGTGAAAGAGCCTCGCTGACTCATCACCGCTCTCTGCCTTTAAGGTCATCGTGACCAGCTTGATGGGGCAGGTCAGGTCAGTTTCGTCGTCGTCTCATCCACCGAGCGGAATAAGATATTAACGCGTCAACTTCACTTCTGTTATTTGACAACGGTGGGTGAGAGAGGAGTGAAGTGGTGGAAGGGTTGTCGGAGTCAGCACCTCAAACGCTTTCACTTAATCAAAATTTACTTGAATTAGTGGTCCTAAATACCACCTTGAATGATGTCCAGCGAATAAGTTAGTTGATATTAACGCTCCACAGCTTATCAGTTCTCTCAGCGCAGCTCGGCTCAGGTTGAATAAATAAATAAATAAAGGTGACCTTAGAGTTGCGGACAGTCGTGTTCAACAGCACGGCATCAATCCATTTGTTGCAGCTCAGATTTTGGCATCATCTCCGCCTCCAAGAGGAATAATAAGGAAAAAATTCCCACTTTTGTGACCAATTTGAGTGTGTGCGTGCGATGGGAAATTGGGCAAACGGAGTACATTTATTGTCATATTTTTTTCTGCCGACGTCCGAAAATGTAAAAAAAATGAGCATATCTGTCAACGAGTAAAAAAACTTTCTATAACAAAATTGGGGAGATTTTGAGGTGTTTTGGTTATTGTCAATGGAGAAAATAACGCGTAAATAAACCAATCAACCTAAAGCAGAAGGAGGCACCGACTTCTGCTGTCAGCGACCCAAACCGACATATCAAAGAACGATAATGGAGACCACTTTTTCTTTTTTTAGAAAAAAAAGAAAAAAATGAGATGAGTGTTTTAAAAGACAGTTTTGTTAAGTGGTGGCAGAATTCCAGATTTTGGGAGTTGACAGATTAGGGACGACAAACGGGGAGTTGGGAATCTCCACACCCAAATGGCATTTGGTGAGAGGAGTGCCACCATTTTTCGTGTAGGATGTGAAAGACGCCACGAGAGCGGTGCGTTTATAATTTTAAGCCGTAAATTAAACAAAAAGTGCGATAAAGCCAACCCATTCCTTTTCTACGCCCTTCTCATCAAACCGACAAAGAGGAAGGCCGAACACCTTAATCAAATCGAAGTCAAAACCTGAGAGAGACAATGTGAAACTGCTAATTTGGATTGCTGAACGGATTGAATCAAAGCACTGTGGAACTGAGGTCAGCCTCGCCTCACGCACGTCGTATCAGGTGGTACCAGCATCGAAACTGCACGATCATTTCCAGCCTCCCAAAGGGAATTGTCTTGTTAACCCCCAAAATAAGTAGTAATTAGCATTTATTAATATTTCATTTTCAATAGACAGTGTGCAATGGAGACGGGAGGTCAAAGAATTCCAATGAAGAAATGAAGTAAGGAAGGAAAGTCAACGGGACGAACTGATAGACCAAAGAAGTAAGAAAAAAGCTGACAGGAAGAAGAGGGAACAGGAAAAAAGTAAAGGGAGCCATAAAGCTGACAGGTTACGGAGACAAGAGAGGGAGGAGACAAAGAGAAGCGGGCGTGAAGACGAAACGAGACAGAGGGGGGAAGTGGGAAAAAGGAAATGTGGACGACCTTTCATCTCTCCTTCAATCGATCAAGTGATTGTCTGGCTGAATGCACAATGCACATCATTGTCTTTTCGCAGTTGTGATGGACGATGGGAGGCCAAACGACAGATATGTTTCTGTTTGAAAAAAATTGGGCAGGCAGGGAAGGGGGGTAAGGAACTACTGATTAACTTTTCGTTCCTTTTAAATTTTATTTTTAAAGCAAGGAAGCCACTCTAGAGGAGCCAACACTGATGTAGATTCTTGCGCAGTCGGTTTTTAGCTCGATAATTACGCAAGGACTCTACTTGGCGGTCGTTGAAAGCACCTTTGCGTTTACTAAAAGGCAAAATAAGGTACCGTGAAGACCTCTATTCCAGCCAAAAGAAAGAATTATTTATCGCCAATGACACATCGTTCAATATTCAGTTATCCATTCCCAGCTATTAGTTTAGAACGACGATGATAGTGCCGAACTATAGTGATCGAAATAGATAAACAAAAAAGGCTGGGACAAAGTTCACCGCTCTTGAAAATGCACTAAATTATGACAAACAAACACGAATGCGTGCGTGCACATCCGTAAGACAGTGGTAAATAACGATGGGAGCTCATCAAACATAACAGTAGACTTTATCTTAAAAAGATGTTAAACAGATTTAATTTTAGACGAAAAAGGTAACTTACGATCTAATCAACTCGATGGCATCGTGATTAGACATTCCCAATTCCATCAGCGCAACAGCTACCAAAACGGGGGCTCTACAGGAACAAAGTAGAAACATTGGATGAGGGCTGACTTCAACATCCCCCAAGGACTACGACCCCAGAAGTAAAGCGCATAACTTTCACACTGCACAAAGGTTGACAAATTGTGAAAAGAGTGACCGAGGTCCACCCCTTTGAACATCATCTAGCGTGTCCGCAAACTGGTGCTAAATTCGCTCCTTGACGAAAACGACAACCAAATACCCCGAAGACAAACTGAATTTGGCCAAATAAAAAGCCTCTAAATGTCAAAACGAAAACTTACTACTAAGGCGGGCTGGGATAAAATGGGTTCAGGAATGAGGAAAATAGGATCAAAACCAACAGCCAGTTAGGGAACTAAGCAAGCCGAGTGAAACGAGATGATGGTAAAGCCGATGACTAGGCAATAAAAACAAAAATGTATGTACTGGAACTTTATGAGTCAAAAAAGGGTTGTAGGGTGCCAAAATAAAAAAGGAAGCAAGTTTTGCAAAACAAGCAGAGAAGGTTGTAGCATAAAATATGAAAAATATCAATAAGATTACCTTCCATAGCCAGCCAAGCAATGCACAGCCACAGACCCTGGGTGGGAATTTTCATTACCGCTCCCATCACCAGATGGTGTCTTTTTAGGACCATAGAACCGCAACCGCAAGAGCTCAAACCATTTCTCTAAGATGTCATCAGGAGGAAAAGATCCATCCTCAAATTCCCAGTGCTAAAATGCAACACCAATGAGGCCGGAAACAATGCCCACAACGCCAAAACTATGCCATGGAAGCTTACGTGAACTTTGATTCCCACTTTCTCAAACGGTTCAATGGGATATTTATCCTCACACACGCGGATCACATCAGAAACTCGCAGCCGAGAGCATTCCTAAAGAGGAGGTAAGTGATAGGACCATAGCAAAAAGAAACCTTGGCGAAGGTTTGAACAGTGTCAGCGGCCGGCGAATCCATAATAATAAAATGCATTCCTTTGTACATCACGTCAGTAATTACCGGTTTTAACAACTGTCTTGAAACCATATTTAAGGTAACCTCATTCGTTCACATTGGAAATAATCAGACGAAATGCGCTACGCTTGCACCCTTGGAACAAGGCAACCGATTTGAGAGTTCCACGATTAAAATGATGTGGACAAACAAACAGCTTAAAAATAGCATGGCGGCAAAGTAAAAAGCAAAGATTTTCACAGCCACGCGCCTTTTATTATAATATAAATAAATAGCTGCTACAAAATTTTATACACTTTTGGTAAGTCTGTTGCAATGTAAACTAGAGATATTTGCCATAGAGGGGTAAAGAAGTTTTGAACTCCTATTCGAAGTATTCCATGAGCAGTCTGCTATTAGATTTGCAGAAGGAATGGTAAATACCACTACTATAATCCGCAACCCCATTATATTGCATGCGAATCTTAAATCGTGTTTCAGTGAAATACATACCGTTCCTCTGAACATTAAGTTATGAAATAAAGTAATCCACCATGGTCTTGGTTTCAGGTATCCTTCCTGTAAATTATTCTGGATAACAATTCTTTTACTTCGGTGCATGATATCCCTTTAAATTAAGGAAACTATAATTAAATTGCAAACATGTAAATTCGCCCATTTGGAAGGCCCGAAGTGTGTTGGTGATATAAACAGTGTAGCGTCCCGAGACCTCCTAACCGGTATAAGAAGTCAGCAAGTGCAGCTAGATACATGCATTGTGAAGACGACAGGACAAATTGGCCTGAGCATGACCCGAAGGCCAGACAAATCCCAAACTGACCGCCAAGCATCAAGTAGTCACATAAACAAAGAATTTAAAATAATTCCTGGTTTTCGATTACCTCACTTGAGGCTTAAGCATGCATTGAAACGACACATTGCACACGCCGCTATATAAATCATGCGTTGCAGATTTCGTTTCGCCTATTCTAACCGGATATATGTCTGTAAAAATAGAAGTGACACATAAACCTTGTACTGCATCAGAAGGCGAAGGCTTTTGCGCTAATTTTAGATTGCAATTCAAATGGAGTAGTGAATAACAAGGTTGATAAGCGATAGAATTACTAATCAATTTGACTATAAATATCAGCAGTTTGAGAATTACGGAAATTCCTTTTCTTGCCTAAAAAGGGCAACATCCAAAATTCTGAGAATGACAGTTGAAGATTATAAAGTGAGAAGTAGGGGACTGCATAGCGAACATTTACAAAGACTCTCAATATTTGGAATTTAAAGTAGCATGTCTTAAAGTTCCCATCTGAAGTAGTATTCGCTGTATTCTAAGCCATCATTTGTCTTAGCAAAGCTTTGAACTTCATAAATTCGGTTCACAGATCATTTCAAACGAAAAATTTACTGGATACGAAGTTAGATAACGTAGTTACACACTATGCAGTTGCTCACTTGCACTGAAGTTGGCCCTCCACGAGACCGCCTTAAAGACGAGAGGAGATGCAGCACTGCAGTAGAATATGCATGCTCACCAGAAGGGAAGGGGATGATGGCTTGTGTCAAGGTCCAGGGAACAGGTCTGCTGGCCAAGGCCATATATTCATCTGAAATCAACAGTCAAATAACCAAACAATTGAACTGATTGTCACATTTCCAACCTACCTCAGAAGGTTAGAGAACCTTTTTATCGGCTTCAATTTTTCGATTTTCTACTTCGAACATGGTTACTACATGCTCAAACCTCTCAAGGGAGAATTTGGAAGAGGATTATTTTGTTCCCACCGCATTCAGTAATCTGTTGCCAAGAGCCCTCCGAGGTCGCTTTAGATTGGTTGACGCCTGAACTCGTTACCTCAACAGTTGCACTGCAGTGTAAGAAGGCAGTGGCTTGTTGAACTCACTGGGCTAGAAATTTGGTACTCAGTAAGGCAGGCAAGGTGTAGTGCCTGGCAGCCTGGACATTTCGCCATTAGCTCGGCATGCAAGCCTCGAAGTCTGAGGGACACTGAAGCCAACGTCTATTCATCGCATTAAATGAAGGGAGGGGAAAGAATCCTCAACTAGTTTGTTGATCATCTAATAGAGACAGCAATGAGCAATTTACTTCTCCGCACTTGTTTACCAAACAACTGTCTGGACAACTGTGAACCTGCACATCAAAACTGGCGGCTATTTAAATAACTCATTGTAGACTATAAAGCGAGTCAGCTATTTAAGGCTTGTGACTTTTTTCGAATGGTTTTTAACATGTTGCAGCCTTTCAACGGCCCAGTTAGTGGAAACTTTTTGGTGACAAATTAAGTCATCGAGTAAAGAAGTCTTTTTAAAGGAAAAATGGGGCTTTCGATGACAACATGTTGTTGCAAAAAAAGTAGAAACCTTTAGCATGTTTTAGCTAGGCTTTGAGAGACGAAACAGAGGGCAGCAGTGGAGGAGGGGAGTTACTTGTGAATTCGCAAGTCTCTTTAATGGGCTCTCTTTACACTAAAAAGAGGATGAGGAAGAGAAGGAGGTGATTTGGAGAGGACTCCATGTTAGGGAAGAGTGGCTCTTGGCCCCCGACTGAAGTGTTGGAGGCGCAGCACCATCCTGGAGATCCTGGACCAAGTTCTGACAACTCGTGGCAACAGGTGCCCTTGCGAAAGGCACACAAGGCGTGTTCAACTAGAACAATTGCTAAACCCGTGAGACGTTTCCCTCTTTTAGCATTCTCTTCGCCGTAGATGATCAAGCAAAAGTTACTTAGAAATGCAAATTAGACCTACAATGCCTATTATTTTTGACAAAATAGACATTTCTTGCGGCCGCAAATGACATTAATACATTAATACTGGACCTCTTTTTCATATTAGACTGGTTAAGCGCATTTTACGCAAGACTTTGGCAACAGCAGACCCTCGACTTGGTATAAACAAAGACAGACAGGTGCCATGATAATTGGTTCCTGATTTTTATTAATTAGTGGAAAAAAGGAGAAAAGAAACTGGCCTATAGCAATACATTAGGATGCTGTTATCTCCTATGCTTACCTCCCGTATGCCCTAATCCATATGTGTGACATCTCTCTTGCAGAGTCCGATCACTCATCTTCAAAATGCCTAAGTTTTCCACCAAAAATGTCCAGATCGCGAGCGAGAGAAGTCAAAAGATTTAGAACGCATACTTAGTTTACTTATTAAGTAGCATGGTTTAACGTGCATCCATTTTTTCACCCGAATCGGTAGGGCATGTGAGTTCTGGAGCGCTTGTCCCAGGAGTCTTCATCCGTCTCATCAAACCCGCTGAGAGGTGGCCAAGTTGGTTGGTACTGTGAGTGAACTTGAGTAAGAATCCGAGGATTGGCGAGAGAAAGAAATAAAGGAAAAGGATTTTAAGTAGCAGATACAGTATTAACAGAATTACCGTGCTATTAATATTACAAATAAAATGGAGGGCCATTCGAGGACAGTCATTTTTATAGCTGAAGAAGGGAGATGTTTACCCGAGTAGTGGAAGGGAGGTTTCATACGATCTCTGTGCGGTTGTGCACCGTCCTCAGGATAAGCTGTTTCATTTTAAATGGAAAATCATAGAAAATTGTTAAACAAGGAATGCAAAAGTTAGTGTTTAAAACAGTAGGAGCCAATGGTGGCAAAAGTCTTACTTGGGAAGCCGGTAATACTTTCTAGGAAGATGACGCACACCACAACGAGACCAAAGTGCAGCAGAAATGCTGGTTTCAGTGACATTTTAAGCAGCTAAATTTGGGAAAAGTTTATATTGGTGTTTTACAAATGGGAGAAAGAAATGGGGAAGACCGTACTTCTTCATTCTACGGAAGGAGTATACATATCTTACCTCGAGGTAGGACAACAAAGTGAGCAAATGGAGTTGACCCAGGTTTATATTGCAACTGGGGGGAGCCTATTTGCCAATTGGTAGTTCTAACCAATAGAAAATGGACTGCAGGACATAAAATGGTACTTACTTACAATAAGTAGCGTATGATGGGTAAACAAATAAATTTCCAGTTTTGTTCGAAAGCACATTTTTGGTTGGCAATCCGGTGAAGTGAGCCAATCACGTGACCATGGAACTGTCATCGGTCCTCTTGAGGGAGTGAAGACGGGACGGATAAAGGCATAAAACGGGAGGTAGTTTGGCACAACTGTGAAAATGTTTTATTGATGACAGTTTTGTCAGATTCTTCTACGTTTACTGAGGCTGCGAGAGATGGTAAACATCTTGAGCAGACTGTCTTACCTGCTGTAACAAATTCTGCAAACAATAATGAGAAAGATGCGTGTTGAGTGATGCCAAAGGGCTTGTGCAAAAACCTATGCATAAGTGATCATGCTTTATATGTCTTGTGTGCTGAAGCAACAAGAAAACGACAAATATATGGCATAGGTAAATTTGTTGAGGAAAGAAGGTTGCACTGATAAACAGAGCCTATTTACCTGTTTGGTAGAAACTAAGGCAAAGCTTTGAAATCAAACGCAGTCAATTAACCTCAAAACTTGCATAAAATAGTTCAAACTTTTTATCCATATTGTGATTGACGGTTATGGCACCCCAAGACTGCCTTACAGTTCATATAATAGATAAAAGGGAATGATATGGGGTTTCTGGCTTGACAGAAGACTAGAATATCTTGTTTAGGCTGCAACGGCTGTCACTTTGGGAATTATCTTGCTTTTAATGTATAGTCTGGCCTTTGCACCAGGCCACAGTCCCGTTGCCAACCATTTTGTCTGAATACAAGCATCCACTTGCTTTCAACGTCTTCTGCAGCCGAATAAGAAGTCATGAGGCGTTACAGCTACAGCCGACGTTGGCAGCCACGCGTACACTAATCAATGCGTATTCCCTTGAATTATATCAATGAAGAATAAAGGTAGGAAGGAAAACCTTTACCGCTCACATAACTCTTGCTCTTAGTTAAGATTCCACTCTGACTTTCCGCCATTGGCTCATTATGGGTAAGTTACATCACTATTCTAGCTGTAGCACACCATGACATTCCATTAGGTAGCAGAAGGCATGAAGTAGGGGCAAATGCTTGCATTCAGAGAGAAGGAGCAGAGGATAAGCTGTATTATAGGTAGATATTTTGGTGTTTCTTTTGCTTTTGCTAAGCAAACTGTCCTTTCAGCCAAGCGAAGTCTATTGCTTTCCGTCCTTTCTATTTACTGTGGCAATGGGAAGGTCCGGGGCAATGCAAGAGCAAACAAATATAATCGCCGGCTTTTAGACCCGAAATCCAAAACCAAGACATGAACACACATAATGGCAAATGGAAATCTATTTACTGAACGGGATACTTATCCCGATTAATTTAAAATATGTAAACGGGACAAGTGAGGACGCGGCCGACTGATTCTACAGGTGCGTGGGATTCAACGACTGATGCGGTCGATTTGTAGGCAGCCACGCTTAGGTCCCATCCGCCCTGTCGTCTTCGGAATACATGTATTCAACCTCATGCCTTCTATCACCCTAGGGGAAGCCTCGGGACGCTACATGGACTTTCCTTCCTGGACTTTGGACTAAGCCAAAGCCAAGTCTTTCCGTCTCTTCCTGCAATGCCTTTATTGGACCTAGCTTAATGCTTACTTCTATCCAATTGGAAGTCAGTGATGCTACGATGGGAAGTTGAGATTTTGTCAGATCCTAAACGTCAGTTCTCCTGGAAATAAATAAAATAGTATCTGAAGGAACTTGGCTCAAACGTTATTATCCATACAAGGCACTACAACCCTAGCGTATGATTAATCTGTATTTAAAAAAAATTCATAGCACTATAGAATTTTTTTGCAGAACATAGTTTAATAATTTTAGAAGAATAACTTCTTAAGTGCGCAATCAAAGTGCATTATTCCTATTATTTCCTTAAAAATTTCTTTGTTTTAATACATAAATGCTTTAATCGATTGTCAGGAATTAAACAACCTGCTGGACGTTGATTGGTCGGTCACGATTTCTCGATGGTATGATTGGCGTATCAATTTTGCGTCTGTATTTTAAATCGAATTTCCGTTGTTTTAAATATTTTCATTTCTCTATGTCACCTAGAATTGTTGTACTACATCAGGAAATGTCGATGTCTGACTTTCTTACATGACTTTGGAATCTCATGCATGTGTGGTAGGTTTTGTGACTAGCGCATATTCTATTTGCTGCAGAGGTGCTAAGTTGCATCTCAGGGCTACGCATTTGAGTGAATGCGCATCAACATATTAGGGTGGAGTTAAAAATAAAAAAATGACTAAAACACAAGTGGTCGGATGAAAATAGGCGCTGCTGCCTGTTGTTTTGGTTTAAAAAGTTCAAAGTTGTTCACTACTTGCTTAAAGCATTCATATCCTGCTACAATAATGAGTCAGGTTACTGAAAATTTCGTTGGTCGAGATCCTAGGTATTGTATTACTATCCACGTGGTGGCGCCTTGAAGTAGGGTGCATATTGGATCTACTCAGCCGAGGCTTGACATGCGCCGATGTATTTATTAACCAAAATCGCTAGTAGCATCATAAGGTGGTTGCTTCATTTTGTCGCATTGGAAATATTCAACTTAACGGTAAGCAGTTCGTTTTTTTGCGTACCGTGTCAAAGCATTTTCGGGTCTACCATGGTTAGAACCTTGGAGCTACATTTCACAATGTTTCATATTTATTATTCTTGTTCGGCAGCAGTCTCCACTTTTTTTATGATCTTTCATTTTTGGAATCTGTTGATCATTTGTCTTAAAGTCCCAAAAATTGGCATAATTTTTTTACGGTGAGGCAACTGCTAGTTTGCTTGTGCCGGCACGTTACAATTTGGACTTTTAAAAACAGGTTGGCACATGGTAATCTTTTAGGATTTGTTGCTATCTTATCCCCACATAAGTGCTGGAAAACGGTTTACTTAAAAGCCTTGTACTTGTAGTGCATTACTGACATACTGTGATCGTTGCCTGTATACTTTACTACAGTTTTCTCCTCTTTAGATTTCACTGTCATCAAAAGGCAGGTTTCTTTCACCGAATTTGCATTATTGTGGGTAACCTTTATAGAGATAAATATTGAGGGAAACATCGAAAGGTTAACACCCGTCTCTAGCCGTTGTGCCCGTCACGAGTAAAAATTGGATGAAGTCACAAAAACTCATTTTTTCAGTTATTTCCTCTCCTGTTAAGGGGTTCAATTTTTTGGGAATCATAACTTGGCGCAATACAATGCCTGTTACAATGTGCAGGGGCTTGTCATATGAGCACAACTATTTTGGAATGGTTATGAATCTCAGTGGGAGTGCATCGATCTATCATAGGTAGGGTAATATATTACTGTTCAGCAAATACTCAAATGCAAATTTTTGCATCCAAAGTACCAACTGTTGATTGACACTCCATTAGCCGTCCAATTAGCCTGCTGGGGCCTAAACTTGCAATGAATTTTCGCCAAGTTGTGAGGTTATTGCCCACATCATCAAAGATAGATGTCCAAATGGTCTCTGTGCCTTGCATTAATGGAATACTGTCGACAATAGGCGAGCGTTGTCAATGTCAATATGGTTTGATCAGTCAGTATCAAATACATCCGTCTGATTTTGTCCAAATGATTCTTCACCTCGTTCACGCCATGGTATTCTTTGTGGCTACGTGCGAGGGGATATTGTCTTGTTTGCTAAGGTGTCTACCTAGTGAATCTTGTTAAATAGAATTTTTGCCGTTGTGCATGAAGTCTTTACTTTGCTATCATTTACTTTCTCCAAATAGTCAGTCTCCAGTTCTGGGAGAAATTGCTCAATATCGCCAGGTAGACTCAGCGAGAGTGAGCGAATGTGTTGGATCTGCTATGGCTTGGAACGTGAAGACGAACCCTCTCAGTGTTGGATCCATCCTTGTCGGTGCTGCGGCTCAAGCAAGTGGGTCCATCAGTCATGCCTCCAACGGTGGTTAGACGAAAGGCAACGCCTTGATCCTATTTCACCTTTGAGTTGTCGAATGTGTGGCTATAATTATGTTGTGGAATACCCTCCAGCAGGTGAATTCGACATTTTCTTCGCCTAATTTCTCCTCCATAGATCCCCTTCTATTAATTCTGACTGCAGTAGATCAGGCTGTTGACGTGTCGTCGACATATGTCTTCACCGGGGCAGTGATAGGCTGTTTGTACTGGTCAGCAGTAACTTATGGTGCACTAACCGTAATGCAGGTGTGTGGACACGAGGCAGGACTGACGGCAATGGAAAGAACAGATCCAGTTGTACTGCTATTGGGCTTGCCGGCCATTCCAACCTGTTTGATTGCCATTCATATGGTGGATTGGCAGAGTTGGTTTTTGAGGCTTTGGCGTAGTCGCGCCTATAAGCTGGCGGTGATTCAGTACCTACTTCCGAAAGGTGAGATTAGACTTAGAAAACAGTTTCATTGATGCACCACTTTTTAGTTTACTTCTAATCCGCACTCCTTTTATAGATATCTGCCGTTCGCGATTAGAGGAGGCGCGGGATCCTGAAGGCGGCTCCACGATTCCACGTATCCTTTGCACTTCCCTTGCACTTCCCAGTTTTGCCGTCTTCTTTGGGCGTCTCCTCTTTAGTCGTGTTCAATCGCGAATTGGCCAAGCCATTGCGGTGAGTGGTTGTTTCCAAGGCGTTGGTATCTCTCCACAGATTCCCTCAGCCCCTTTTTAATGAATCAGGCACCAAAGTCGCGGTTTCTCCTCTTTTAAAGTGGCTTTGATCACTTAATAAGTAGTTGTTAAGGCTATAATTGGGTTCACCGACCCGTAAAAGGGGTTGAGAGATTGTTGGTTCAATTACAAGTTGTCATTTGTGGGTTCCAAGTTGTTAAGATCAAGAATACTTCAGAAAGCCATGTATGGATCTGGTTTGAAAGTGAGGAGTAAGCTGATAGGCTTTGAACTTCTTCAATTTGGAAGGCGCTGCAGAATATTTTCAAATTCCTTCTACCTGTAAATTTTTTTAGATTATTATTGACTTCAGTAATGACTCACTTTAAGGTGTACTGGATTTGGAAGGACAACATCAATTTCACTCTCCTCTATCTTATTTGGATCCATGCATGGTAGCAGCTCAGACCATTGCTGGGTATGTAGCAATTGATCCCTAGGTTACTTTTCCACATGGTTCCCCCTGCGTATTTGTATGAGATGTGGTGTGAAGGGAAGTTTTCCACTCCAGGATTGGTGGGAAACCTCGTTGAGTAGATGTGATTCCCTGTCTTCACACTGCGTCACTGTAGGGATATTTTGCGGCAAAGTCGACGTGTGATCGGGCGAGAACGAAGAGGCGAGGTCACTGGGGTCGCCAATTTTTCTTGCCAAACATTTGGGTGTTCTGAAAAACTTATTGTGACTCCAATTTTCTCGCGTATTTATGCTAGTTATTTTTGAGATTCAATAATTTGATACAAACTTGTCAAAAATTCACCTAAGTTATCATTTCAGTAGGCGCAGTCTTGAAAGCACACATTCAAATTAACTATTTTCCTTCTTTTTAAACTTCCACTAGAATGGAGCGAAAGTAGGAAGCGGCGAGTTCCTTTAAGCGGTCAAATCCCTTTGTTTGTGAACTAAGGACAATAATTTTGACAAAACTGTCACTTCACTCACTGACATTCTCCTGACATACAAAAGGCTTTGTAAGCTGTCATGCCCTCTGACTTTATTTAGCTGGACTGCTTGCCTAAATGGTCACCTCCATCGGAGGCACATAACTATGTGACCCTATGGTTGTCAAAATCTATAGGCCCTTCTGTCAGCTTTGACGACATTATTTGGTCTTATTAGGTTCAATTCTGCTGTCAGTCTTTGATGTCGACAACTGGACTTAAGGAGGGCTCTTTTAAAGGGCGTGAAAGTCAAAGTTTGGGGGATGTGGAGAACGAGGTGGGGATGGGGAGAGTTTTTGAAATGCGAGTTAGGATCTTGGACCTTCTTCTTTTCGCCCATCGCCTCCTACACACACCTTCAAGTCGTTCGATTTCAGCCATAGGTTTGTTGTAACGAGCAATCATGTGGAAGGTATTTTGTCTGCAAAGTATCTGTTCAAAGACTTTGACGCATATAGTCTGTTCAAATGACTTATTTCCAATCGACTGCGTACCATAGTTAAAATATTCAACATCAAAAATTTGGCACACTGTTAGAGTTTATCACATGGGCGCACATGATCATTTCCACTGCTATTTGTCGTCTTGACTAGTAGTGTTATTTTCTTTGATTCCTGGAAGCGTGTGGTGGAGCTACGGAACACCTGAACACCTTGGTTATGTCTATTTTCCTTTCATTTTTCTAGGGCGGGTTGTTCTACTTGGGAGTCACAGGCTTTCTACACATCTATCAGCGAGAGATGACATTCCTACGCAACTGTCGCCGACACATTGTTGAGTACGACGGAGAGTAGAGAGTGTGAATTCATTGACTCTCTAGTTGGCTCGTATTTTGATTAACAGCTTTTGTGCTACCTCTTTTTTTGCCTTATTGTCAGAATATAACTTCCTCTTGTCTTTTCACCTACTTTATAGTAATTGAGTAGCTGGTCTACTGTGACTTTCTATGTCGTAGGTGCTGCGCCGGTTCTCGAGCCGTCCTCATTACTGCTAGCCACATTGTTTCTCATGGGCAGAAGCTAATAGGTGTTTGGTTGTGCGTTTTCATGCGCACAGACGGGGTATGGCACGGTGTGCGAAATAGTACAGCCTTGCTTAGGCAATATTATCCTAAAAAAGGTTGCAGGAAGGAGCTAATAGAGGTGCTTGGGTATTGTCGTTCGTTCTGCAACTGATAATTATCCTAGGTAATGTACTGTTCACGCCTCTGTAATGAAGTCCAAAAGGGTCGAGACTCAGTTGATGCGTTTCTCACCCAAGCTAAGGACACTCAAGGTACCTCAATGCTTTTATCACGAGCAGTTCGCGATTTACAAGTGAACGTGGGGCAATGAGGCGGCGCCATGGTCTCACGCTTGGTCGGCTCCCGAACCATCGTCTACTTGAATCAATGATCATCTGGGTCTATCCTTGACTGGCTTGGCATAGGCCAATCAGGTTTGCGTACGTATTGGCAGTGTTTTAATTGGTCAACGGACAAGAAGGTAAATTCCCCAGAGAATTTAATTCATTTTGCTAAAACTTTATTAGCATGCTCTTCTTCGCCTGTTTTAATATTTCGACGGCTTGGCAAATCCTTAAGGGGGGAAGAAATTATACTTAAGGATGAATATAGGAACACAAATAACTCCTTACTATGGGTTCAACACACACGTACCCGTAGTCACGTCGGCAGAAGTCACAATTGTCAGCATTCAGAAGGGGCTCAAGGCATTGCCACACAAAAATGTGCACCTAGAAATTATTTATTTTCCTATGTTTGCAGCCCATGTTCCGATGTTTGAAGGTAAAGGTGGGATGCAATCCAAATTATTGTTTATTGTATCTTCACCTGTCACATTTTTATCCAGTTTATAAGGGATTGCAAGAATCAAGGGAAGGCGGGAAGGAACTCCAGTGGATGGGTCTTGTGACCTTTTTTATGTACTGAAAAGTATAATGACCAAAATTCAAGCAACCTCATTTTCTTGCCTTCTTTTCATTAGAAAAAGAATTTTGTAAGCTGAAGGAGTTCTTCAAGCTCCCTTTTCCTAATCTAAACAGCATAATAATTGCCTATTAGCAGCCTAAATTCCAGGAAGTCAGATATGATACGACGCCAAATGAGTCGATGTCCACCTTTCTTACTGGCTTTGCAGGGAGAGCAATCCTAAAAAATGTCGCCCCAGGGTAAATGTTACTTCCACCCCATGCGGAGTTACTAGGTTTGAGCCGCAGTCGAAGACACCTCTTGGGCTTAGTTGTTAAGGTGGGCGAGTGTGGGCAGTGTGTGGTTTTCAAGTTAATACTTGACGACCTCTCACTCCACGTGGGTTTGAAATCTCCCAGTCTGCATCCTGATGTCTGGGGTATTCACAAGCTGGTGGCATATTTAACCGCGATTCGAAGGCCTATTTAGGTTGTTACCGTGTTTGTGCAGTACCTTGAAAGTGCTATGACATAGGGGCATTAGTGTAACCACTTTGAAGGATGTCAGCAGTTAGAGGTCAGGGTGAGGATTTTTACGGGGCTAAAAAGGCGTGTACTTCACTGAGGTCACTCCAGAGTGCTAACCAAATGTTCTTGGAGGGCGGTATGACGTTCTACTTCCCTTAGTCATGAAGTAACCCATAAAAGAATAATTTTCCCTCAACTTTTTAGTGAAATGTCACTTTAAAGGGTGCCAACCTTTTGAACAGATTTGCTCCCTCAGTTGAGGTGTTTTATTCTTGCGGATCCCAGATAATCCTGCTTGACTATTCCGTTTTGAGTGCAAAAGCTCTGGCCGGAAAATCGTGAAAGTGTCTTCCGTCGTCAAAAAATTCGATGCAAATGACAACCAAAGAACGGTTAACAACGCATTTCACGCTTTTATGACGCATGTAGAAGGAGCATTAAAGCAACAAATGTGGTAAGACCTCTTCAAATCGTGTTTTTCCTCTTGATGGCGTCAAGCAGCCTTTTCAATGGTAGATGGAGAGGCTTTGGTGTGTGTTTCCATTCAATTGATGTCAGCTGGGTGGAGAGCAGGAAGAGTCGACGGTAGTGGAGGAGCGAAGGTCCTTTTTTTGTATTCCGCAATTACTCACTACCAGATATTTTTTATGGGTGCATCTTAGTGATAGGCACCGTTCGAATCTGCAAACCATTCCTGTGACATTTCCGCTGAAGTGGTCTCTTGAATGAACTCCGCCATCGTCATGGAGGCTGAGGGGTGGAGCACCAAAAAACCTGTTTATTGAGTAGAAATGACTGTCATTTTGGTCTTCACTTTGCTCTTATCTGCGTAGGCTGACCTTCAGACCAAACCTAATCTCAGCCTCCTTATCTTCTACTTAACGCCTTTTTCTACATTGTGGAGTGTCTCAGCATGCTACACTGTTGACTACAGAAAGTAAAATCGATTTAGTCACGACTTCCCTTCAGGTTTCCACTGTTTTTGACCAACTTCTGCACCGCCAATGAAGAGCATATGCTTCGGGTGGGGGAATTTCCCACCTCTCCACAACAAAAGAGCTAAAAACGAAGTCTGCGTTTGACAACCATTCCCCTCTCTTGTTTCACTGGCAGGCTATTTACAGTTGAAGCAACACTGCCATGAACGATCTGAAAATGTTTCGTTTTGGAGTCCTTTTTATACCGCATTCTCGTGTAGATATTAAAACTGGCATTGCGCTGGGTCTGATGCCATACGGGACCGTGTTCGAGCCTGTTTCCTCTGGCACCAATCTGTTTTGCAGTAGTTCATCAACGTCCAGTCCTGATTATGAGGATGTTGAAGCTCTATCTTGGAGAACTGAGACGATCCTGAATGGAAGTAGTGACGCTGAGATTTGTCGAGGTTTGCGACTGTCAGCCATTTCCTTCATTAAGAGGCAGCGCATTTCAAAATAATGATGGCGATAATGACAACGGCCATTCTTGACAGGTTAAGCGACCAGAGACAGGCTATTAGATGACCGGGACTAAAATACAACAGTGGTGACACGGAAGAAGAAGATGAGGAGGAGGAGGAAGAAGAAGAAGAGATCTATAAATTTTTTTTGCTTCTAATTCCTGCTTCCGTGCCAAATGTAACTGCGGATCCGATTTAAGGTGTCGAAATGTCCAAGTCCGCGGGTATTTCCTTGCAGCACCGAATACGTTGTGGCAGCTGGCCTGAAAGGTGCAGCGAAGGGAGCGCTGGAGACGCAGCTCAAAAGACGAGAGATACATTGTGATGCGCTGTCTATTTGATAGCCTGTCTAGGCTGTGCCAACTGGCCTTTGGACCGAGCCGAAGCTCAACCTCTTCCCCTTCGTCCTGGACGGAAGTATTCAACCCCTACTTCGTGCGGAACCTCAGAGGTTGAGACTCTGACTTAAAGTCCTGCTATTCGCTAGGCATTTGGATCCGCATTCTGAAAGCATCAGCCGAATCTCGTGACTACGGCGACTCAAACTTGTGAATTTAGGGAACTAAAATAGGTGAGGCATTTTAGGCGATTCGCCTCTACACGAACGAAACGTGAACTTCTGATTGTGCTGTGATGGATAAGAAAATGAGACCGTGGAAAGAGGAGTCGTTATCACAATTTCTCCTGACGAAATGAATTTTCCTTCCACCCTTTCTTTTGCCATTTGTGGGACTTGCACGACTTCAGAAGAGCATACTGAGTTGCAAAATCCCTTTCTGCTTGCCTCCTCCTTTTCAGTGAAAAGAGCCCTGAGATAAGAAAATGTTTGTGTCCCGTGCTTCATTTACTGTCTCCTTCTCCAAGTGACACTGTTGACAGCACTCAAGGTTTGAAGGCTTCAAGAAACCTCACTTTACACCAATCCTCTGAAGTCTTTTCGTCAAAAGCTTTTTCCTTTCCATCTCTGCCTTCTTAACGATGGTGAAGAAGGGAGAAGGAGGGAAGGCAGGTGGTGGGGTGTTTCATTTCTGTTAACATTTAACGCTGTCATTCAACCAACATCAATTTGTAGAGGGAGGAGGAAGACGTGGGGATGTGGGGGAGGGGGAAGGGAAGACGTTGAAGAAGGAAACGAAGCTAAAATCACCACTTAAAGTTCCACATGAAGCGAGTCATAGCTGGCAGCCATGGTCCACGGCGTCTTCATTGCTGACGTGCCTTTATTGTCCCGTTTTGCACAATCGTTCCAAATTAATGCGTCTATCATTGGCACCACTTACAAAGGAAGTTGAGGAATCGCTTGTCTTAGCTCCCTTCTGTTCCGGCGAGGAGTGTGTAGGTGGGATTTGTACACTTTAGGAAAAATAAGGCATGAGACTCCCATCAGAATCGAGGAATTCAGAGTGTCAAAAGGGGACCATGTGTGAGAATTTGCTTTAGAAGGCGTTGAGACTTGTTGATCCTCAACTCAAATCTTGTCGATTGTTTGCACCGTCTTGTTGAAAACTTTCAGTTAAAGAAGAAAAAATTGACTTTTATGGTCCCCGAAATGGGAAATAAAAAGGGAAACAGTTGGCACTCCCAACTGTCAGTTGACACACCTGTCAGCTGTTGCACATCAGCGTCCACGTTTTTAGGCGACCAAGAATAAAAAAACACTAACTTTTACTCCGTATAAGCAGGTTTTGATGAACTTGTTCACGCCTTTTGATGGTCGTGGAGACGATGGCGGAGATAAGCATCGGAGGCACCAAGATGGAGACTTTGTGGGGCTCCCAGATCACTTCACCCACACCTCACCCTATGGAGGCAATATTTGCTGCTCCGTCTGAGGTGCAAATAAATGAAAAGCTAAGGGAACAGTTGAATGATGAGCAGAGAGACAGAGTAGACAAGTAAAAAGGCACACACATGCAAAAGGTAGGCAAAACTTTTTTGGAGGGTAGAGCAGGAAGAGAGTCACTGATATGACACTATTCGCCTTCAATGCTAACTGGTTTGTGTTGCCTTATGGGACTTTGAAAATGTCTGACCACCTTCGTCAGATGGCCAGCGATGGCGAGTGCAGTGCCACAGAATGGACGCAGCTCAGCGGAATCAACGCCTTCACCCAAATTGGTGTCATGCTGCTCGGGCAGGTGAGCCCCTTTGATTCCAAGGCTCAGCGTATCAGCAGCATTAAACCTCATCGCTTGGGCTTAACTGAGGACACAAGGTCAAGGCCACAGATGAGGTGATCGGGTGCATTAAGGACACCGTGCAATCATTGCCATCCTCGTGTGACCTGTCACATCCTCCTCCTCCCCTTCCCCTAAAGGAGAATGGGAGGCAGTTAAAAGCCTTTCCGACACTTCGTGCTTGTTAACCAATTTATCCTGAAAATTGCCATTGCGTTTGCGGCGCCTCACGACTTCCTTAAAGGCTTCACACTTCGAAAGGTCGGCCTCGGTCAGGCCAATGTCGCCCGCAAAAATAAGGTCTTAAAGCATTAGGAAAATTGACATACTCACTGTCATTACCGCTTTTGAAGCCAAAATCATGGCTAATAAAACATTAGAGTCTTTTAAACAGAGTGATTTTGCATAAGAAAGGAACTTGTTTTAAAATTTGTCGACCTGCCTTACCCATTTCGGCTTTTAATTGAGCCTTTGCATCACGAGTAATTTGGAAAAAAAAGTAAGTTTAATATGAAGATGTACTCTCCAACAAGGTAATCATATGGGCTGGTGTCCTTTTGTGTCCCTTTCTCGCCGTTCCTTCTAGAAGGCCTAACAAACGGTGCGGTGGCGAAACGTCCACCAACCAGAAAGTGGGGAGAAGATGTGCGTCACAGGTGACAAGATCTATGGCACCTCTCCCTTTCGACACAGTGAAGGACTGGCTGTGCCTCCATTTGGGAGGCAGCCAAGTGTCACGTGTCATGTGCAGCACAGATGGATGCCGTTGGGCCTAAGAGGGCGGCGTATTTGGTTGGAAAGTCGTCTGTGACCACTGTGAAATATCGCTGTTCTTGTAAGATCGGCGGCTGATGAAGCTGATTAATCGCTCATTTGACTGACAAATCGACAGCCAGATGCACGTACAGACTGGCATCAGACGCAGATGCGATTAATCGTGACTTTGGGGAGCCTTACTTCAGCTCTCCATCTTCGAGCCATTCACCTCTTCACCCGCACAAATTTGACCATGTAATGTAGGTGTTGCAGTCCGTCAATCCTTCTGCGTCCTCTACTGTTAGTCTTTGGGTAGGGGAGGAGGAAGAGGATAAATAGGGAAATTCACGAGACGTCGTCCCCTTCCTGAAGACCATACATCAATCACCCCTCTGAACCTGAACCAACTTCCAACTACAACCAGTACACCCATGGGATAATGGGAGAAGACCACCTTCATTAAGTTTTGTCACTTTCCACCGGCGAAAGCTCAATATTTGGTCTTGATAGAAAGGAGATGCCCTTCCATTACAACTCCTCACCTTTTCTTTCCGTGCAGCCTTTCGAATGACGTTAGAATTTGATTATTTTAAAATGAATTGGGAGAAATGTGAGGATACCTCACTTCTCTGCCTTCTAGTAAAAAAGTAGACGTCCACACGAGCAGAATACAATACTTTGACTTGATTTTGTGGAGTTTAAATGATATCGTCTAATTTTGAGCGTTGCCCAACTCCCTTCCCCTTTCCTTGTTCTGGGCGGAATTCAATTACCAAACAACTCTCGTTGCCAGACACAGGCTACGCATACTACCAAACACTTTTATGTCTACAGTTCTACAATCACAACGATTTGAGCCAATAAGATAATAAATTGCTAATCCGTGTCGGATAATGTTTCACCCAGCAGACTGCATGCTAACCAATAAAATCCTTCCAGATTGAGGGTAAAATGCGAACCACATCGAACACGAATCCAACTACTGCCTTTAATCGTCTCATGGTACCAGAATCTTTTAGAGCTTTTCAGCCTGACAAAATAAAATGTCTCTCACTCTTTAAAACAGCTGCACCAAAAGAATGGGAGTAGTCTTTTCACCTAATCGTGTTTAGCAAAAGACAGTAAAAGGCCACGTTGACAAGGCGATGAAATAAGTAATTACGTGCTTTCTGTCCCATGATGATATCGTAAGGTCTTCTATTTACGGTGAAATCAATAGGTTCTTCCTTCCCTCCCCCTCAGCGCCATCCCACGCACCTACACATACACACACCAGTGGACAAATTTGCCTTTGTTATGGCTTAGTAGACGTCACTGTTACTGTCAAGCTGTCAGCCTTTTGTGAGATGCATAATCACTAATGTTTAGGACTAGATGCGACATTCTGGGTCGCAAATCGGTTTTGTAAGCAGCTGACAAACTAAACACCTCGAATTGCACGTCACAGTGTCAGCCAGAGCGACTCAACATTACTGCTTGTTGGATGTGATAACCATGTTAATTTATTCATCTCAATTTTGACAAATATTTTTACCTCGCACTCGCTCCCATAGCTCCAATTATCGGCCATTCTTCGACCGACACATGCTTGGATAGCAACCAAACTGTTTGGACCAGGTAGTCAATAATGCTATATCGATAATCGATTTCGATTCCGTGAGTAAGGTTCAGTGATGCACTAAAAAATCAACAAAATTTGCTGTGAGAATGCGGATAAGAAGGTCCCATTTTGTGTGGTGGGAGTGGGAGGAGTGACGGCGATCATTGATCCACCCAGCACCAAGTTGTGTGTGTGCGTGTGCGTGTCCGTACACAACTATCAACATCACCCAATCGTCAAATGACAGGAACACACCAGAAACTGCTGCAGAATGCCCCAATCCATTGCCCTTGGGCGAGGCGAACACGCACATTAGCACGCACCTCCGCACACAGCAGCACGCACGGATCGATAAGGGAAAGTGGAGGTGGGAGGTAGGCTGGGCGGAAAGCCTGCAGATAGCCGGACAGACAGAAGTTCACCCTAAAGCCCTGTCATACGTGCTGCGGCGAGAGAGGAACTACTCCTCACACACGTTAACTCATCCACTCTCTCTCATCCAGTCCAAAGTGTGAAAGACTACCTTTTTACTTTCTCCACCGAATATATAATTATATATATTCGTGAGTATTGTTCGTTTTTCTTCTGTCTTTCTATCAAAAAATACTCGTCTGAGGAGTTGCGTAACGGTGGATTGGTACAATCCTTGCCCACAGGAACAAAGGGAAGCAGAGTTGACCTAATCTCAACGAACGTCTAGGAATATTCACTTTGTAAGTTAGCTTCATGCTGGTGTATATTTTTTTTAATTTATTTTTACACCCAATAACTTTTTACTGATATTTTGAGTGTGTCCAAAATTTAATCAGCTGACAAAAAACGCAACTTTTAAGTTAATGAGAGCTGACGGCAATTCGTACATAAAAGGTAGAATGTGAGGAGAAAGAAACAAAATTAACTATTTTCCGTGCTCAAACAGAAGCGAATTTTATCTCCCGCTAGAAGCGTGGCCAAAGGAGCTCGAAATAACACGGTTTGAGTATGGATAACAAGGAAACTCCGTGTCGAGGGCCAAATCTTTAGGCAGATCACAGAATTTGGAGGGCCCATGCGTTATGAGACGCCCTTTTTGAAATACGCGGTAGACAAGTGACTCATCTGAACATTAGCTTCAAAGGTCATTGGGGGTAGATAAAGCAGAAAGAAAAACAAGCAAGCGTGGTATGTGAATAAAACGGTCCTCCAAATTGTTTTTGCTCTCTTTAATGCCCCAGTATTTTGACAATAAAGACCACACTAGCTGGTTGGAAAGTATTGCAGCTTAATTTGCAGGATCATATGAAAACTTGGGTAGGGCAAAAGTGTCCACTACTGAAGTGTTGGATATTGGCGCATGAACATGAGCTCAACTTCCCAAAGATGGACAGCGTTTCATTCTTGACCGTACCACCTATTTTGGCTTATTTTCCAAACTTGTGCCATTCGTAGAAGGCAGGGCTCGGGACTAAGCGCTCTACTTTTAAAAATACCTGTGAATGAAAACAATTCTCAAAAGATCAGAACTCGTCACCCAGTTAGCAACCCAGTCGCAGCCATGGAAACGCTAGAACCGTTTTGTCCTGCCACCTAAGACTGTCACAATTTGGTATTACCGATTGTGGTTGAATTGTCATAAGTGACCTCCATCGTACCTTCTATTCCCTCTAAATGGCTTGATTAATAAATTGCTTTTTGACTAATTGCTGGTAAAGTTTAACTTGATATCCTCTGCTTCATTAGCTGATCTGCCCTAGTGTAAATTTCCTTTTGGACGAAGTGGAGCAACTTGTTTTTCTTCTTCTGGGTAGTCAGGAATTCTTTTTGGTATGGAGAGTTAATTCTTAGAAAGGCATTTAAACCTCACAAAGGGTGTGAGGAGAGTCCTCCAAATCCTACAAAACAGAGACCAATTAAACTAAAGGCTAAAGGTGCATTCCAAACCTACAGTGCTCTTCATTCCCTTAAAGAAACCCCGGAGAGAAGCGGAAAAATGTACGCAGAGGCAAACCCTGCCGGAGGATACTTCGAGAATTACGACGATCCTGGCGACGGTTATGTGGACGAGGAGGAGGAGGGCGAGATTCCATTGGCCGAACGCGAATTGGCTGAAGACGCAGAGTGGAAGCTGATTCAAAAGAACACCTTTACTAGATGGGCCAACGAGCACTTGAAGAATAAAAGCACTTCAGTAGACGACATTCAGTTTGATTTCGCCGATGGTTTAAGATTGATTGATCTGATTGAATCGCTCTCGGGCCAGAAGTTTCGTCATGTTAATCGAAAACCAAGTTTTCGTACCCAGAAGTTAGAGAATGTAACGATGGTGCTGAGATTTTTGGAAGAGCAGGAGGGCCTACGGCTGGTCAATATAGGTGAGTCTGTCTTTTCTGCCCACATCGGGGTCACCTCCACACTCCAGATAGTACCGACATTGTCGACTGTCGATTGAAGCTTATTTTGGGATTGATTTGGACCCTCATTCTTCACTACTCCATCACGCTGCCACTATGGGAGGGCGAAGACTATAATCAGGTGGGTTCTGCTGGCAAAGTATGGGAGATAAAAGAATCGCTCTAAGAATTTGTGAAATTTGTGCCTTTTCTCGTTCCCTTTAGGGCAGTTCTGGTCCCACTCCCAAACAGCGGCTACTCGCTTGGCTTAACTCTAAGCTGATGGAGCGTCCAGTGAAGAACTTCACCACTGACTGGAACGACGGTACCGCGATCGGTGCGCTGGTTGATGCCTGCGCTCCGGGTCTGTGCCCTGACTGGAGGGACTGGGAGCCGAAACAGAAGTTGCGCAACGCCACCGAGGCTATGAATGCTGCGGAACAGTGGTTGGATGTGCCCCAACTCATCAGACCTGAGGAGATGATTAATCCTCGAGTCGATGAGAAAGCCATGATGACGTACTTGAGTCAATTTCCCAGTGCCAAGTTAAAGGATGGTGCTCCTCTACGACCACGTGCCAATCCAGCCAGTGTGAGAGCTTATGGTCCAGGTAACTTGATTCAACAGGCTTAAAGAACCTCTTTTATTTGTTGGTAAAAGAGGAGAACATCTCAATCTATTATTCGAATGTTGTAAACTCTCCTTGCATTGGTTTGAAGTTGAACGAATTTGACATGTCAGCAAACAACAGCGACAAATTCCTCTCTGTGGACTTGTATTGACCCAACGTAAATAAAATTGCCACCTGAGCAATTAAAAGGCTGGTAATTGACGCTGACAAATGATTCACAGCCCCATATTTACGTGACCAACCACATGTTCTATTGACCCACCTGTCTTCCTCCCTCCTCACACATCTCACCTTTGCTCACCTCACTTGCGTAAGCAGCGCAACCTACCAATTGTTTGTTTAGCCTCACCACCGGAAGCATACGTGAGGGGAGGTTCAAGTTTTGCCTGGGTTACACCCAACACCCTAGGGTCCAATCATATCCGCCGGCAGCCAGCTGAGCATGAAAGCTCTTATCTTGCCTCAGGTTGGCATGAAGCAACATCAGTTGCCGAGAGAGGAGAGGAAGAAGTGGCAGTGTGAAGTTCTTGTTGCCTGACTGCATGGAAATAGGGTTTCAGTATCTCATCGAGGTCAGTGTTAATCACGCAGTCTTGGCTGAAACCGCGCGTCGATTTTGTCATCAGCGGTGGCCTCGACACAAGGGAGAGGGTAAACATCACGACAGTGTGGAATTTCGTGGTCTGGCGGTGTGCGCCTGTTTCTCACGACAGCGCTTTGCTTGCCTCCTCTTCCTCCTTGGCCCTCGGTCACCGGCGCCAAGGACACAATTTAAAGTGTTTGCAGATAACGACACCGACATTGATTGGGAGTTGCCTGACAATCATCTTAGTACCAGTAAAGATACGCATCCACATCATTAATAACCTCGTAATTGTAGGTCTTGAGCCTCGTGGAAATAAGGTGGGAATGTCGGCACGATTTACGATTGACGCCTCCTCGGCTGGAAAGGGTTCTGTCGAGGTGATTGTTCTCAATCCAAAAGGTCAACGAGAACCGGTATGTAAAGGAAAAAAAAACAAGAAAAGACAAAACAGCCCTTCACCTTCTTTCCAATCGACTTTTTCTCTCCCACCATTTGCTTCAGTGTGACATCGTTCCAAACATGGACAGACCGAACACCTACTCCTGTGCCTATGTGCCAACTCAAGCAGGGGAGTACAGAGTCATAATCAAATTTGCCACCAAGGAGATCATGAATTCACCCTTCAAGGTCATGGTTGAAGGGGCTGCAGATCCAAGTAAGGCCTCCGCCTCTGGACCCGGTATTGAACCACAAGGCAATCAAGTGGGACGTAGAACCTTCTTCAACATCTTCACTACCGGTAAATTGAGAAGTTGCCGCACCTGTTTGGTCTCCACCTTTGGTGACTTTTAAATTCCACTTGACTGATTTGTAGTTGAGGTAGAAAAGGAGGGTAAGTTGGCTGTTGTCATGTTTCATCCACCATTGCTGCACCCTCTTAACTTAGCCATTTAAAACGGATTGAGAGAAGGAAAACTGTCGAACACGTAGATCGCACTTCCTCCATCCCCTTTATGGTCCAGTTATGGTTTAAACGGTTGCATCTCTTTTACTCCTAGGTGCTGGGGAAGGCATCGCTGATTGTGTTATATTGGATCCCCAAGGGCGACAGGATGTCATCAAGCCCAACATCACTCGTCAAAGTGAGGACAACTACTTAGTGGAGTACACACCTAAGGTGGAGGGTCTGCACTCCGTGAACGTCTTCTTCGCGGGTCAACAAATTCCCAACTCACCTTTCGGTGTAATGGTCGGACCGCGTGAGTAATTTAAGCTAGAAAATAAGTTTGTCAATCACCTTAACCACGGTACTTACTGATCTCTGCGTCCCTTTCCGTGTCCTTTCCACTGTTCATTTATTTTATTAGGCATTCAAGGTAAGCCGGTAGACCGCATTCCACGTGTTTTCCTTACAGCAGGCATGTGATTAAGTTGAAACGGGTTTCAGTAGTGCATCGGTTTCTTTTGCAGAGGCAGTAGCTTCACCAAGGAAACCTTCTTTACCACAACATGCAGCTATGCAAGGTTGGTTGGTTGACACAGCGCTTTCTCTGCTCTGAGCTTGCGTTATGCGTTATTTTTTCATGGCTCATTTGGTGTCTCCTCCTCCTCCTCCTCCTCCTTCCAATCACCTTTCTGTCTTGCCTTAAGCGCATCTCATCTCCAGGTATTCTTCCAAATGCATAATGAATTGTAACACCAACAACTCAGATGACAGACGGCAGTGAGTTTCAGCTGACCCTCGGTGTTTTTGAGTCTAGGGTCCAATGCTCTTTCAATTCCCACTTATCTCTAACATAAAGACCCTAATCCATCCATGACACTCATCTCCAATGTCTAAAAGATGGACTCCGACTCTACTTCACTACTATGCTAGGCAAAAACTTTTGAACGAATTCAGGCGGCACATCTCTATTCAGCATTCAGTAGATGCACACGATTGATAGTGAGACGTGGAGATTTCATCTTGCCTTCATTTTTTTGGGACAGAAGCAAACACCCCTCAGCAGCCACAGATGAAGGAGGTTGTAAAAGGTTCGTTCATCGCTTCCACTTTAGTTCCTCCGCCACCTCCTCCTCCTCACCTTGAAGGATATGGAGGAGGTGGTCTCAACACTCCATTGATAATTAAAAATTTGCCTTATTTCTTTCAACTCATTTTGCCAGACCTTAAGACCCTCTTTGGTCGTAAGCAACCCCAGGAGGGGAGCACTGAATATCTACAAGGTTTGTATCGAACATAGAAAAAGACAAAATGAGAACAAAATGGAAAACACGTTTCCCATTTCCTTGCATGTTTCCACCTATCGTGAAATGATGAAGGAAATTGTGGAATTCCTTTAAGTTATTATCCTCCTATCTCATATTTATATAGCTGCTTCTGGGAATCGTCGTGGACCCGCTTTCAGACATGCCGCTTTGATGTCTGTTTGACGCATGACTGATTGAGTGTGATTAGTGAAACAGTGACACATTCGCGGATACACAGTTGGCCTCTGGTATATGATGTTACGTAAAAAAAAACATTATGATACCCTATATCATCATAATCTGTCCACTGGGCGAAAAAAATTTGTTTTTGATCAGGTCGAGTTGGTGTGCTTAAACTACACTGAGTAGCCAATCAGAGTGTAAATTTCAGGGTCACGTGGGGTCGTTCTTAATGCGTCCCATTGTTAACACAAAATAATCCCAAAACACAAAATCATCCCTTTTTTCCTTTAGTTGTTGTTTTATTTTTCTCCTCATTTTTCTGACTAAAGAGCATTACGTTAATTGCTACGAGCTAATACATTCTGTAGATTAAAACGAATTGAGTAAGCTGGTCTTGCAAAAATGAGAAAGTTGGTGGATGATGGCTTTTTGCTGGGTGCCAGTGATATTGCTTGCATGTTGGCGACCTCCAAAAAGTGGATCGTAAAAGCGAGAAAAAGAGACGAACAACTGAACGGACTGCTTAAAGGTGATTTTTTGTAGAAGGTCCAATTGACGTTGCTGGTGTAAAACCACTGACCGCTACAAAAACGCCAGTTTTGGCATCAGGTTTGTTTCCCCACTCCGCATCAGCGTTCCCTCCTTTTATTTTGCTTTTTGGTGGCTCTCCTTTTGGTCCCCTTACGAACCAAATTAGAGACAGCCATCTCATTTTGCTTTGCTTCGTCTTGAGTTACCTCCCCAGGGATTGGGCTTTCGTGCGCCTGTTGCTGCTGGCTGGCATTTTATTACACATTTGCCGATAAGAAAGCACAAATCGAAAGCAAAATAATCTTGAGATTGTTTTTGCTTACTTTGTCTGCTTCTTTGAATCTGCACCTTCCTGCAGTATGTATGTCAAGAATGTGAGGTTCTTATCCTCCTGAGACTTTCACTTTCAGAGCCACCAATTAGTTCACTCAAGCGTCCGAGCAATCAAATAGCGCCACCTTGGCAGCCAGGTTCGTTCATCGCACTGTCTACAGCTGTCTATGTTGAGCATGGCTGTAACAAAAAAGCGTTTTTGACTCATTACAAGTTCGCGCCTTTCTATGTTGGATGCATGATTTTTTTTCGCCTTTCATTCAGCCAATCAGAGAGCGTCCTTGACCAAGGGCCAATACTAATCGGCCATTTTTGAAATGATTTTTTCTCTGCCAACTCTTCGCTTTCTTTGAAATTTTGGGATTTTTCGCCTTTATTTCTCGTTTATTTGAAGACTACTTTCTCTTTTAGCATGTGACGCTAAACAGGCCTATGCAACGGGTCGTGGCATTCAGCCTCATGGAGTTAGAGTGCAGGATCTCGCGGACTTTAAAGTACATACTGAAGATGCTGGTGAAGGTGTGGTCGAAGCTGCGGTCGTTGGACCAAGTAAGTAGCAACTTCTCCGTCTTTACGTTGCTCCATATTTTCAGGAGTAGCTAAGATGGTGATGTTAACATGCGAGGCAGGCATAGCAACAAGACTTTTGCAAAAATAAGTTGATTTCTATGCTTTTTTGGTTAATAAAAGATGGCCGTGAGGAGAAGTGTCAACAGAGAAAGATAGGGCCATACACATACGAATGCGTCTACACCCCACAACAGGCTGGACCGCATACTGTCAATGTGCGCTACGGCGGTGATCACATCATGTTGAGTCCCTTCAAGGTTGGTTCACAACGATGACTTTTTTGCTGAGCTCTGATTGGTTTTGTTTAGATTATTTCCAGCTTTTGATCGGCAAATCTCTCTCGCTAATGACTGATTCTTTGTTTTGCAGAAGCATTTGCATTACTTTCGATTTTTGTAATTTTGAGCTTTCTGGGTGCCCTTTAATTTTCCGCCTTAAACAACATTGTGAAACAGTTTGGTTATGAGAATTTCCCCTTTCCTTTCTCCCCAACTCAGGTGGATGTGGCACCCTACAAGGAGACTCGAATTCGTGCCTTTGGTCCTGGCCTTGTCAGTGGTATTGTCAACAAGCCGGCTGTCTTTGTGGTGGAGACCAATGGAGAGACGGGAGCTCTAGGTGCGTTCCTTTGATACATCTAACAGGGTCGCCGTTTGCGCTGTTCAATTCGTTTTTGCCTGTACAGGCTTCTCGATTGAGGGCCCAAGTGAGGCTCGAATTGACTGCGCGGATAATGGAGATGGCTCTGCAACAGTGGTCTACTGGCCGACTGTCCCGGGTGAATATGCTGTCCATATCCTCTGCAACGACGAGAACATTCCTAAATCGCCATACATGGTACCAATTTCAGCTGACACCGGAAAATGCGATCCCAATGCGGTGAGTTGCAGTCCAATACGTGGTGAGTGTGGCCACATGGCTTCAAAACCGTGTCCTACAGCCATTTTCATCTGGATGTATTTTTCGGATTTGACCGGAATCAATGATTATCAAACTCCCTGCTAGGTGGTCCGTATTACTCGTTGCCTTTCCTTCTTTAGATTTGACTGGGTTTTGCTAAGATTTGACCTTGTGCCACGAGCATTTGTTGAATGAACGGTATTTTATAGGTGTAATAATTAGATAAGAAATACTTGAAGCTACTCCTCTCAAGACATTTTACCATTACTATAAATATTGAGCTCTCGGGGCCATTTTTTGGGTTGATAAAGGTAATGCCAGGGGCCCAGAATTGTCCCCTCTGCTTTTGGCTAGAGAGTGACTTTCGTTCGTCAAAATTTATGTCACTAAATGGTGGTCAAATATTTATAGCCAAGGCAGTGAGGTGGAAACGCTTGTCCCCTCTCAGGAACCTAGTGTCGGAGGGCAATGGAGAAATAGGGCGCCTTTGCATGAATCACCTCTCGGGTAGTTACCAGGTCTCGTGAATTGCATGTCCTAAATTTGACCCTTTCCACTGATGCTGTGTTCAATTTTTATGCTTTTTCCCTTTTTATTTCGCAAAATACATTTTCTTTTTCGGAGAGACAGTAATTGGAGAGGAGGGCCTCCTCGAGATCATGGTTTAGTGTAAGTATCTCACAATCAGTAAAAAATAAAAGCCTTTCTCTAATCAATTTTTTAAAATTTCTGTCTTTTGCAATACAAGGACTGCTTCTAGCAAGAGGAAGTGACCTTTTTCTACCAGGAAGGAGTGTTATACCTCCTTTTTGTTAGCTCATCGATAGCCAATCAGCTGCGAGCGTAGTTGCGTGGGCGAGGAGCAAGGCACAGAGACAAATTTGCTTCTTCCGGACGACCAATCAGTGCTTTTCCGGTACACTCCCACCCGCAGGTTTTGGGTTAGCTGGAAAAGGGGTCAGATGAGTATGAATTGCTGAGACATTTTCTTCTTTTCGGGTGTGTGTATGTGTGTGCGAAGGGGTTACGAGACAAAATTTGTTCTGGTATTCATTGTAACCGGATGAAGCAGTACTTTCGGCCCAAAACAGGATGTTTTTACACAGCGAAAAGAAGAACCTGAGACAAAAGCACTACCCTTTCGGATAACTTAATTTAAAATATACTTTTTAATGTTTTAGCTCATTAAACAACAGTTTTCTTCTAAACCACCTTTTAGTATTGGAAATTTTAAAAAGCAATTTAAATTACTACTTTTACTATGACGTAAAGTGTGCCTAGCCAATCAGATTTCTCCTCGCTGCCTTACATAGCAGCACCTTATCTAACAATTTCATGGTGATGAGGAGGCCTACTGGATCAAGTTGAGCGTCAAGTGCTATTCGACAGACAATCGCATTTGGATCAACCTCACTATCTCCTGTCACGTCCTATTATCACGAATTTTCTCAGCTTTCCTCCCAGACTCATCCGTATTGAGCTGGTCATATTTAAAATTGAACTCCTAGGTTAAGTGCTACGGTCCTGGTCTCTCACCTGGGGTGGTGGCCGGTATCCCCACAGAGTTCACCATTGATGCGCGTGACGCGGGTGGACCAGCACCCTTTGGCTGCGAGTTGCGGGACGAGACTGGTGAACCAGTCCCAATTCGAGTGCGTGACAACGGCGATCTTACCGCCACCTGCACCTACACGGCAAAACGACCCAAGAAACACACTGTCATACCTACCTACAACGGCGTTGCCGTACCACGTGCGCCTTTCAGGGTAAAATACTGCCTATATGACTAATTACTAGGCTGAAACATTAAAAGTGAATTAAAGTGGTACGAACTACTACTGAATTGAGAGGTCAGTAGGCCGATGCATTTATTACTTTAAATTCATGATGTGAAAATGTATATCCCGTTGTGGGTCTAAGTTGCTGATTTCTCATAATATTACAATATGCTGTTCATCAAAATTCAGGTAGACGTTGCAGAGCCCTGTAACCCTGGGAACGTTCGTGTATACGGTCCAGGGGTTGAGTCCATCACGCGAAACGAGCCAACTCACTTCACCGTGGACTGCAGACAAGCAGGACCTGGTAACGTCGGTATTAGTGTCAGAGATGAGGCTGGACGTGATGTTCCCATGGACACAAAGGACATGCGGGATGGCACGTTTAAAGTGTCCTATACACCTACTACTGCTGGACCGACTTATACTGTTCAAGTTTTCTTCGAGAACACCGAAGTCCCCAGAAGTCCTTTCAAAGTGCCTGTTAAACCGAATGTGGATATGAGCCGAGTGCGAGTTGATGGATTGCCATCAAGTAAGTCTATTAAATGTTTTAGTCTTATCATGGGGTCGAAATCCTATTGAGAAGAACGGAGGAAATGGTCAAATATAAAAAGCTCTCCAGTGATGATGTCAGAACTCTTGATAGTGATTCTAGGTGAATGAAGGGTAGAAGCTAACTCTGTTGCCTGCAAATGAAGTTAGAATACAATGTAAAGCTTGATAGTCACGCCCTATGGCATGGTTAACACGCAAGGTTGAATAATTTATACGAGGTTGGTAAAGCTGACGGTTGACTTGAGGCGGCATAAAACCGCGTTAAAATCGTGATTTTGCAGCCATTCCTGTTGGTAAACCGACGACATTCGACGTTGTGACGGCAGGCGCTGGTCCACCCAGTGCTCCTAAACCTCGACCTAATGTGATCGTCAAGGCCCCCAACGGAATGAGAGTACCAAGTCAACTAATTGAATCGCCTGATGGCTATGAGGCAACCTTTACTCCCACACAAGCTGGTCCACATCAAGTAGCTGTCGATGTGGCCGGAGCTCCGGTTAGGGGATCGCCCTTTCCCTGCAGTGCAGTACCCACTCAGGAAGCACCTATCACTACCGCTAAGCAGCCTGCAGCTTTCGCAGCTCAGCAAGATCCATCCGGTCTTGTTCGAGCCTATGGCGACGGTTTGCGTCGGGCCACTGCTAATTTACCAGCCCACTTCACCATCGATAGTCGTGAGGCTCCACCTGCACCACTTTCGGTGACTATTGAGGGTCCAGCAGAAGCACAGATCAACTACACCGATAACGGAGATGGGACCTGTGGTGTGGACTACCTACCTGTGGAACCGGGTCCTTACACCGTTAATGTCCTCTATAAGGATAAGCATGTTCCCGGCAGTCCCTTCCCCGTTCAAGTTACTCCCTCTGGAAGGGACATGGTGGATGTGTCAAAAGTTAGAGCCTATGGTCCTGGACTTCAACCCACGGGTACAGTCATGCATGAAAGCGTCTATCGGCAGCCTGCAGCCAGAAACTACGCCAAAATCGCATGAAACGCATGCCATCCGATATGTCATGGGGATTCTGATCCCTTTACGCCATTGTTACGTTGTAGGTGTATTCAAGGAGTCCTTCGCAAAATTCACAGTGGATGCCAAACCCATTGATCCTGCCGGTCGCGGTGTTGTAAAAGCCATTGTCGTCGACCCAATGAAACAGAGGACAGCCTGCATCGTCCAAAACCAAGGTGATGGAACGTACAAATGCAGCTACTCACCCCTTCTTGACGGTAAGATTAAACAGATTAAGCTCTTGAAGTGATTATCATATAGGAAGAATGGAAAGTAAAATTACCGATTATTCCAGGTCTGCATCAAGTGGAAGTATTCTACGATGGAATGCCAGTTCCTGGAAGTCCATTCAAAGTTCATGTCACACCAGGATGTGATCCGTCAAGAGTGCGCGCCTATGGACCAGGCTTGGAAGGTGGCTATACTCACGAACCTCAACACTTCACCATCGATCTGGATGGTGCTGGTCAAGGTGGTCTCGGATTGGCGCTTGAGGGTCCTGCCGACGCTCAAATCAACTGTGTGGACAACAAGGATGGCACATGCTCTGTGGAATATCTTCCAACCAAAGCTGGCAACTACGATATGTTTATCAAACTCAACGATATGGATATTCCTGGTGAGTTACATTGGAAGATTTCGTGAAGTTGGCTCTAATCGCTAATGTGTCTTTCTAGGCAGTCCATTTAGCATCCCCATTCGTGACAGAGTCGACCCCAATAAGGTACGATGCTACGGTCCAGGGTTGGAACCCAATGGTGCCAGAGCTGGCGTTCCGGCCACATTCACCGTGGATGCTAGTCAAGCTGGTGAAGCACCAATTGCTGTAAGTTGGGTGTCTGGAGTCCTCAGACGGTAGAAGTGAGAGAGTCGGCCAATCGTATTTCCACTTCCCTATAAAGGTGTCTCATACCAATCGAAACGGACGCAAGATCCCCGCCAATATTGTTCCTCGTCAAGGTCAACCGGGAGTCTACGATGTAACCTATATGCCAGAGGATGAAGGATCGTGTCAGATAGAGGTGAAGTTGAATAATTGCCAAGTACCGCGTTCACCATTCATGCAGAATGTCCTACCAGCCTGCGAGCCGCATAAGGTCCGCGTCACTGGCGAGGGTGTACATCCCAGCCGTTCTGATGGTCTTCCAGCCAGTCAACCAACCACCTTCCAAGTGGATACGCGTGAAGCCGGATCCGGCGACTTGGAGTTGACTGTCACTGTAAGCTGATGTGATTTCAAAACTCTGACAAATGTTATTTTTACTCTTGTATGTTGAAAAATGGAAAAGAACTTGAAAGCTTTGAATCTCCTGCCTTTAGTCACCAACGTCGCTTCCTGTTGTGGCATCCAGATCCAAAAGTTCAGCCAGTACATCAAGGAAACGAAGCATTCAACCACAGCAGAAGAAGAAGTAGCACTGCCTGAATGCAACAGACTTGCAACATATTCACACATTCACACGCATTCCATGTGCACACATCTCTGGAAAATTACAGATCCCCTGCACATTTAGACTTGTGAGGATACTTTGTCCACAGCTCCTCAACTTGATTAAAGCCACCTTTCTTCGGGGTGAATGCTTCGAGAGAATACCTTCAGGGTGAAGGGACAGTGGGAAGGGAGGAATATGTGGTGACTCATTACATTTGCTATCACTGAAAGGCACATCAAAAGCTGCACCTCTACTGGACGTTGTTCCGTTTAGGATCTGATAAAGTGGCACCTGCTGTCCAAATTCTTATAATCTCTTCTCTGGCATCTCGGCTTTTCGATGTGAACTGCACTCAAAATGTTCATTCTTTGTTGTTCTGCACAGTGTTGTGTTACAAAACTCCGCACATTCCGTATAAAGACGACAACCCTGTCTCTTCTCTTGTAAAATCATTGTAGGACTCTGAACAGCGCCCATTGCAACTTGAGGTTGCAGACCACGGAGATGGTGTCTACACTTGCCAATATCAACCAGAAGAAGCCTGTTCTCACTACGTTGATGTCAAATTCGGTGGTCGTGAAATTCCTGAGAGTCCATATTGCGTTAAAGTTCATCCTGTTGGACGTCCAGACCTGTGTCGAATAGAAGGTAGGATTGACCTTTCCTTTTTGTCCCATTCTTACTCTCTTCTCCCCTTTGGATAAATGTGGAAGTCAGCCAGTCACTGAGGCAACGTTTTAGTTTACATTCTAATGGTTTGGTGGAGATTATCTAGTAGAAACTCGACAAGCAGCAACAACAAACTTGTCGTTATATGGCAGTTTTATAACTAACCTCATACTTATTTAAAAGTTAGTAAAAATAAAATTTGATTTGTCAAACCTGTTGCATCTTCTGCACAGGTGGCAATGATCCACGAGTTCCCATCTTCCAACCTTGCGCAATCACCGTCAATCCGTTGGATGCGGGTATGGGTAAGGTGATGGGAAGAGTGGTTACTCCCACTGGCCAACCAGCTGAGGTTCACACAGTTGCATTGCCAAATGGAAAGATCAATGTCTGCTACACACCACAAATGCTTGGTGATCATATGGTGGAGATCTTTTGTGGTGGGCAGGTCATTCCTGGTGGACGGTTCAACCAGAAGGTTAGTAGTTTCATTGAGAGAAAGGAGAATAATCAGGGCAAAAGTTAGCCCATATGCTCGAAACCAACTAAACGAATTACACTTGCATTTCCATAACCAACATTAAACGCCCTTCATTTTAGGCTGTGAATCTTGACGAGCTGATTCAGCCTGTACCGGTAAGCTAGTGATTTGCATTGAGATTTATATTTCTTATTCATTCAGCTTATTTAACACAAAACCATACAGCGTGATGCCTTCTTATGAATGCGATGGTTAAATTTCAGGAAGAACGCGTGGAACGCTTCCCTCTTCAAACAATGCATTCAACAACACTAACTCAGTACCACGAATCAACAAAGACTACCGGCTACTATCCCATTGACTTCAAACTACCCGTTGGATCCAAATTCGGCAACCTAGAAGGTACTGCCTGCTCAGTGTTTATCAGTGACGTTTATGCACACCGGTGACACCCATCATCATGCTTTTGCAGGCGTTGTCCGTACGCCTGGCGGCAGATCGATTCGCCCAACTCTAATAGATAATGGAGATGGCACTGTCACAGCCCAATTCCAGCCGACCGAGGATGGCCTTCATGAACTGGATATCACCTTCAATGGTACTCCGATAGAAGGCAGTCCTTTCCGATTCTACGTAGAACCGGTTGGTTCGGGTCGTGTAACCGCCTACGGACCGGGACTTAGCCATGGACGTGTTGGCGAACCGGCGGAATTCACTCTTGTCACCAGAGAAGCAGGAGCAGGTAATTATCACCTCTTTGATTAGCGCCAGGAAATGGACTCTTTTATGGCTGAGGGACTATGCGTTATAGGTGGCTTGTCAATCGCTGTTGAGGGACCATCAAAGGCCGAAATTGTCTGCCGTGACAATAAGAACGGGACATGCTCGGCCAGTTACCTTCCTCTTGCACCTGGAGAGTACACTATCTCAATTAAATTCATGGATCAGCACATTCAAGGCTCTCCCTTCATCGCCAATATCATGGGTTCGTAAATCAAAGTGTCCACAAGCTTTTCATACTTTGCACTCTCACTTCCTCCTTACCAAAAGTTGTAAAATTTTCGGTTAATCGTGCATGAATGGGGAAGAGGAGGGGAAGGCTACAACAAAGATTGCGACAGGATCTAAAGCATCACTTGTAGCAACACTGTATCAGTTTAATGGATATTTTATTCTTATAGAATACAAAAGGGTTGCAGATAGGCTGAAAGCATATTGTGTCTATTCTCCCTAGAAGTTTCTTTCTTTGTAAACGCCTAGTCATTTTATTCTCTTCTATGTTGCGAAACAGAGGATCCAATGAGAATGACTCAAGTGATGGTGGGCACGACCAGCGAGGTTCCTCTGCGCGTTTCCGAGACAGATATCTACAACCTCACCGCCACTGTCACCAATCCCTCGGGCATTGAACAACCCTCCATGGTGAAACGTCTACCTAATGGACATTTAGGTGGGTTTATGGAGGTGGGGAAAGGGAGGAGGATAAATCTCTCACGAACTTTTCATCCATATCAAAATGGAGGTACACTTTAACTAAATAGTAGTTTTCATTTTTTAAAAACCACAATTTCTCAAATATAATATATCGTCTCTACTTATCAATTTATAAGTAGCATGTATCACCAAAGTATGTTGAGATAAATATAGATATTAAACGGGCTTTTAGGATCAGTGCAGTAAGTTATCGTTCAACCCAAAAGGTGCGAATCAATTCTTACTATACGGTATATATACTAGTTGGACGAATCAAAAATGTGAGTCAAAGTTTCCTTTTCACATGTGTGTATTTGAGATAAGGCGAAGGCATTTAAAATTTTTAAGTACAGTGACTTCAATATGGACTCAATTTAACTGGCTTTCTGTATATACGACTTCGAAACGTCCGGAAAAAGTGGTATGCATACTTCCTGTACACAAGTATGTTTTTGGTTGCATTGTGACAACGAACTTGTAAATTAGACTAAGGACTTTTGTTTACTCACTTTATTTGCTAATGGAATTTCGCTTTAAAGCATTGCTTGACAGGTCGATAGAACTCCTCTGCCATAAATACTAATCAACTAGGCAATATTAGGCAGTCCTCTGGGGGTCGGCTTCCGTCCCCTCTTCCATCGACTTGCCACGTCAAACTTTAAACTCTTAGGTATAAATAAATGGCTGCGTTAACCCTCTAGACGTCCCCTTTCTTGTTTCACTCCCTTATCAGTCATGACAATAGGATGCGCTTTTAATAGGGTTCAGGTTGCCCATCATTCAGGCCCCTGTAGGCTCGGCTTTTGCCGAAATAAATGGAGCTAGGCAATAAAAATGTGAAACTTATGTCCCAACTTACTTCCGGCTCTAAAGGACTCGTGAAGCCTCAGAATTCCTGAAGGAAGACTTAAGAAGGTTCCTGTATGGGAAGATAGCTAAGACACGCTAAGGTGATTAAAAAGCACCAATCTCATTTGATTCCAGGATGATTATTGATATAGTCTTAAAATTTTTTTTTCTCATCAATCAACAATCGAAGATCTACTGTTAATGTAATCAAAAAGTCATTGAATTGATTTGAGCTCATTGCTTAAAATTGATTTCTCTTTTATTTTTAGGAATTTCATTTACTCCTCGTGAAATCGGTGACCATTTGGTTAATGTCTTCCGCAACGGTCGACCAATTCCCAACAGTCCTTTTAAGATATACGTTGGTGAATCGGAACTTGGTAACGCTTCGCGTGTTCGTGTGTATGGTCGCGGCCTTCGTGAGGGTCTGGCCAATCAGAATTGCCAGTTCACCGTCGATACGCGTGATGCAGGTGAGCTCAAAGACCATTGGTTTACGCATTTCCTTTCCACTTTCGCACTGGTTGGCTACCTAAAGATGATGGGTATCCATTATTGGCTTCCCAAAGATAGACAATGAACACACAATCTTTGCCAAAAAATTTAGGATCGTCTTCAAAGCTCTATTCAGTCTTAACCGTTTTCAAAGGCACTACTTGCAATCAGCTCAAATTGCACCTTGTATTTTTCATTTCATTTTATTCTTCTGGTATTCTGGTATGTTAGGTTCAATTATTGGACCGCCATCTGTTTTGGTAAGAATAAGTTGAGGTTGGTCTATCAAAACCACAAGGTCCAAAACAACTGCAGCTCATTTTTATAGCATACCTTGGAAATATTCACTTCTCTCTTATTTTTGTTACAATATTAAAAAAATGGACCAAAAGAGGCTGCTCTCATATTCGGTCACATTGACATGACAAATGTCATTTTTACTGGTTTCTTTCTCCTCGCTTGAGTGCCACGTTGCGACGTTGTGTTGCCCATACAGGCGACTAGGTAGGCATGCATCCTGAGATTAGGTGAATTATCATCGAGGAAGAGAGGAAAGTGGAAGAGCCAGTACGATGGTTGACACATGAGACGAGTTTCCTGTTGCCAGGATGAAAAGGCATTATATTGATTAAAAGGAGCCATTTTTCCGTTCCTAATGAAACAGGTTTTGGAGGCCTTAGCCTCTCAGTGGAGGGACCAAGTAAAGCCGATATTGAATGTCACGACAACCAGGACGGCACCTGTCTGGTTACATACCGACCCACTGAACCTGGCACCTATATAATTCATATAAAATATGCTGATGAACCAGTTCCTGGGAGCCCTTTCGCTGTGAATATCGGTGGTCACCCATCTCCTCGTATCATGGAGAGAATTACTAGGCAACGAGAAGTCGCCGAAACAACACACGTGGGCAGTCAATGCGAGATGAACCTCAAGATTCCTGGTTTGTTAATGTTCAATCATTTATTGAAATGGGGTGATCCCATTCTGACAAGTTTATTGGTATCTGATTCACCTTGGTCTTACGGAGGTTGAGATTTTACTTAATTTCGATAGTGTCATCGTACTAGTCACTTTAGAGGCACTAGACAACAGCGTTAAAAGATTCAAGAGGGTTGTATCAAACTTGTCGAATTGTTATTTTGCAGGTGTAAATGTCCTTGAGATGACAGCCATAGTGACAAGTCCTTCAGGTCGAACTGAGCGATGCGTAATCACCGAACTTGATCCGGCCAACTATTGCATTCGTTTTGTGCCCCAAGAAATGGGTGTGCACACTGTCTCTGTCCGTCATCGGAATGTTCACATACCTGGTAGGAGATTATTTTTACCTATCTTTCTAAGAATTCCACTAAAATTAAATACCTTCACAAACTAAAGCGATGTGAGCGGGTCTCGCTGCCAGTATCGTGGAGGTGAGATCACAGGTGAATGAAAATGCCAAATTAGCTTACTGACTAGCTGCGACAGTAATTCTGATCCTTCATTAATCAGTGCATAAGCAAAGTCATTAAATCGACCGACTTTTGCGAACTGTGATAGGAAGTCCCTTCCAATTCACTGTTGGACCGATTACTGATGGAGGCGCAAACAAAGTACGGGTCATTGGACAGGGTATCCAACGAGGCTACATCAACCGCAATAACGAATTCAACATTTACACTCGTGAAGCCGGTGCTGGCAATCTCTCCATCGCTATCGAGGGACCGAGCAAGGCAGAAATTGATTTTGAGGCAAGCTACTAGTCGGGACTAGCTACTTGCTCCTATTTCAGTAGTGACAAAGCAGCTCTAAAAAGATAATTTGTGTGAATAAGGAAAAAACTAACACAGAATTTTTATCCGCTTATGCTAAACTAAACGTTGTGAAATTTAACGTGTTACATGGGATCAAGTCACGACTAGTATCTAGAAAGTGACATGCCTTGAAACATGGTTTACGAGTTGGCGATCTTTCCTCAAGATAATTATGAAGTGCATGAACCTGGCCGCCAGGGAGGAAGAGAGAGGAGACAAATTATGCCTTGGAGTAGGATGAGGTGCTCGAAAAGGCAATCCGAACACTTAAATGGTTCTGATTGGGTTTAGAATTATGATGAAGGCGCCTCATCTCGTGAATTGTCGCCCAGGTTCAGCTAGCACATCCACTCTTAACTCTGTCTGAATTTCAAGCAGGATTAGATGGTGCCGTTCACAGCACAAAGCAAAATAAATCTATCTAATTCTTATTCTTACACAAAAAGTCCCTCAGAACTGCCTTTCCAAGTGCCACAAAATATATTCTTTCAAGGTCGTCGGAAGTATTTCAAAGGAAATGCGTCTTCAAATATTTTACAAAGCCCTTGCAAGCATGTAAACGAATCCATGAATGGGATTTTTTCCTTTCCTTTTTTCAGCACACTGAAGCAGGTGATTTTTTGGGAGAAAAAGTAGGTATCGGAAAAATTACAACACTTTCATTTTCCCACATTCTAGACAGTAGGACACTTTTGCCTCACAAGAAGTTGGGAGCAGATAGAGAGAGAGGCCTACCTCTTTCTCTTTAGCCAAATGACCTTTTATAGGAAAATTAGGGCAATGTCAATTTACTTGACAAAAATCAATGAGCTAGCATTGGAAGGACAGCTAAACGTGTAGTTTTGCGACAAAATATTGTCCACATCGAGCTACCTTTTGACCGAGAGATGTCAGAAGGACAAAAGCTTACTTGTTAGTGGGATCAGTTTGAACGAATGGCTGTCATTTTGTAACTTCTTTTTAAACCATTCTGTGGAATTGCTTCACTATGCAAGAAAACGACTTAGTATCTTAAAATCGTTTAAATGCACTTTTTCGACACGACAGTAGAGTGTAGTAAAGCTGAATTTTTCACTGCTTTTTATTTTTATCTTCACTTTCTGATAACTCATAAAAAATAATAAGCAACTATTTATGGCTTTAAGTGATGAAGAATGGTTAAGTTTTTCGGCAAGTATTCTTAAAATTCTGATTGGTTCTTTGTGATCGTGCTAATATTTTTATTGGTCAGTAGCGTACCAATCCCATTTCCCTATTTGTATTATCAAAATCAATGTTTTGATCGCAAAAAGTTTTTTGAACTCAACTACTTACAAAAGTCTATTTTTATTGTCAGGATCGAAAGGATGGTTCCTGCTGTGTTTCTTTCCGTGTATCAGAACCGGGCGAATACTTCTGTTCCATCCGATTTAATGACGAGCACGTACCAGGTTCGCCGTTCCGATTGGAAATTGAAGATCCCAGCGGATACTATGCCACCGAGAATAGGCAACTTAGTGTAGCAGCCGTGCAGGATCGAGGATTGCAGGTAAGGTGAAAAAGGAAGTTGGTGGTGCAAATATATTCTTAGGCGCGGTTGATCTGCTCTGTCTTGATGGTCAAAGTCAAGTTCAAAACAGTTGGTTTTGTCCATATATGGCATTTAGAATTAGTGCAAATGAGGGGTCAAATTCATTTGCTTTCCTTCTTTGTTGTTAACACTTAGTCCTGATAAGATGGTGTGATACGTCTCAGAGAGACCTGAATCGTTAGCCTTGGGAAGAAGAGAGAGAGAAACTGCTTCATGTAGAATAAGGTTAGAGAAGAGAGCAAGGGAAATAAAGTGAGGAAATTCCTAACATTTCCTTCCGTTTAGCCTCCAGAGCTCTTATAATTTGTGAGAGAGGGACAAAAGTTCCCCTAATTTTCATCACCACAAACCACAAAATGGAGGAAATGTTAGCAACTTTTAGCACCACGAAGGTAGAGGCAAGATAGAGGAGGAGAAGGTACATAATTACAGAGTAGGTGGACAATTTTGTTCTCTGTGTGTGATAAAAGCGCTGGAGGATATGCAAATGTGCTGCATGAAGAAAAGACAATATTCACCTCAGAATTGCTTTATTTAGCGTTTTAATTGTTGAATTGGACAAATCATTCTGTAAACCGTGGAACTCTCATTAAATCTTCGAAGCATCTTTTTGTGTAACTCTCATTAGGGGAGGAGGTATGAGGAAACGATACACCCTTATCAATACTACGCTCCTATTGGTTAATTTCTCAAATAAATATAATTGGTCACTCAAAGTTCTAACAATAAATTGATCATTATTAAAGGCTTCTATTCTACTGGTCTAATTATTGGATGCAAGTATGAAATGCTGCACTTGAAGAAATAACGTAGGCACCTTTTTTGTTCTGCAATTCACAGACGGCACTGAGGTAAAAGGCCATGAATTATCCGGTTCAAAGAGGAATTATTTCTATCAAATCTTGAGGGCATTCGCCTTACAAGTCTTTCAGTTGGTAAATTGACTTCTATCGGTTAGGAGGACATTTAATCTCTAAATTCTTATATTTTCAGATTGGTGTACCTATGGCCTTCACGGTGAACTACACAGGGGCAAGAGGTCGCCTTCGTGCCTATGTGGTGACTCCCTCAGGCCGGGAAGAACCTGCTGTCGTCCATCCCGTCGATGTGGATCAAAATGCAGTGCGATTTACGCCACAAGAAAATGGTCCACATCTGGTTCACGTGCTGCTGGATGAACGACCCATTCCTGGAAGTCCCTTCCGTGTTCTCGTGGGTCAGGATGACTTCAGTGATCCTGGCCTTGTGACTGCTTCCGGTGACGGTCTGGTTCGAGGTGTCGTCGGTGAGCAGCGAAGATCTTGCCGTGATTGATAATTTATTCAGGCTACATCAAAACACTTAAGCTATCACTTTACGTGAGCGATGCTAGGTGCTATGCTTTCATCCAAATCTTTCTTAAATTGTTTACTTTTATAGAATTCTCGAAAGTCGAAAGTATCTAGTGTTTCTCCTTTTTGATGGTCTTTAGGCGAACGAAGTCGTTTCTTCGTGAATACAGCCAACGCGGGCAGTGGGGCGCTCTCCGTAACAGTGGACGGACCCAGTAAGGTGCAACTAAACTGTGCCGAACGCATGGATGGCTACGAATTCAGCTATACACCCTATGCTCCCGGCACCTACAATATCACCATCACTTATGATGGACAACCCATCGTCCATTCACCCTTCAGAGTGAGTTGACATCCAACTTCTACTTTGGGGTATTGCAACACTAAACGCTACAAGCGTCTCCTTTCTTTCTCACCCTCTTGTGTTTCAGGAGTGTTGACATTGCCGTTCCTAGTCCTTTTGTTATGCAATTTTGTGTTACCTTTGGTGGTGTTCTTAAATGCAGTCCGTTACCTGTCTTCCGTCATACATCCAATCGATCTCGTAAGAGTTCTTTTTTTCCTCACCTCCTTGAAGGCCTACGTCACTGGGGATGCAGTTTATGGGTACAGTGAAGACACTGCCCAGTTGATAGTGAATACCAGCGGTCGGTTGGTCACTGGACCGCAACGCTCCATGGGATATTCCCGAGCTGATGCTGTCACCTGTTCTGGCACGGGTCTAACTCATGCCTACATTGGATCGACCAACACCTTCACTGTCAACGCTCAAAACGCTGGTACGTGCTGGAGCCATTTCGTTAGGTTGATTTAATGCGTAGATAGTAAACGGTGGGACAACGAATCCCTTTCTCTTCCATAACCTCTTGGTTGAATTGCCGTTCAGATAACAAAATGACCCTGTGATTGTTCATCATGACTATTTCGGATGATTTAGGTGTCAGAAGAGTCAACTAATCCTTCCTTCTATCAAATAGGAATGAGAGGCTAGCTATGTTGAATTACAATACATCGAGGCGTGTGTGAATTAGTTCCACAATTTTGCAGCTCCTTAGATTCTACACCAGTGTCACAAAGTTGAGAAGAGGATAACTACGTCTTCCCTTTCGCGCCTGTAAATGGCCCAACTTTATAGACCCCTCGCATTTTGTAACTTCATGGTCTAAGTGCGACCTCTGGTTGTTAGATCAGCTTCATTTCATCGCCTTGGTGAAGCAGTGCAAAGATTGAGGACTAACCAAAACTGTAACACCGAAGTTAGGACAAGTTGTTAAACTGGTTACATTTTTACTCTTGTCTTCTCTTTTTCTTCTCCTCTCTCCTCCTCTCCCTACCGTCTAGGTTCTTACCTTGGTAAAACAAAAGCTAAACCATCAATGATGAAGCATTTATTCATACACATCTCCATTTGTTATCGTTAATTCTATGAAATGGCATTGTTGTCATCCGCCATTCCCCGCAAGTGTCATTGGCATCTCTGATTGCTCACTCTTGCGAAGACAACAAAATGATGGCCCTTGGCGGTGACCACCATGACTTTCTTTCCTTCCTCCTCCTTCTCCTCCCCTTCATTCCCCTTCTCCTCTTTTCGCCTCCCTTGCGAACAAAGCATGATGAGGGAGGGCGAGAGGAAGGGGGCAGAACAATGAGGCAGAGGGAGGGCGAGAGTTGGTGGTGGCGAAGGATCTCGTCGATCACCGTTCTCCGTGTAGATCCGGACCAGATAGCCACCGTTGTACCGCTACCTCTGATCAAAGAAAAGTCAACCTTATAGTCATAATAAAATTGAGCTGTAAAATTTTTAAAATAAGGAAAGAGCGCTATTAATTTAAAAAAATTCATCAAAGTTAAGCAAAATTTAGACCATAGTCTACAAAAACAAATTTTGATTAGGTGCGGTCAAAACTCCCGCCACTGAAGAGTAAACTTTAATGTCAAAAGTTAAATAAAAAAATTTGTTCCAATTAGGTAGGGCGCTGGTTGTCGCAGATTTTTAATTTAAAAAACAAAATTGACATTTGGCGGACCGTCTAACTGTAATTTTGGCGATCGTTTGGGAAAAAGTGGTTTATAGATAAGTGGTCCACTTGGTGTTGGAGGACGAGACCGCTTGTCCCTCCATCATCACTTCGTGATAGCTCCTTTCTGACTGATTCGACGACTTGTCAGCTCTTTCATGCCCAGTAGTCGTCGGGTTGTGCTGTCTCCAGTAGTTCGTCATGCGGAATGCTCTTGTAAGCTCTGCTTCCTCCCTCCCTCCCTCTTTCAATCCTCATTCGTTATTCGCACGAACTGAATTGCTCATCCAATTGGCCTGTAGTGATGCTCTGCTAGGCCTCTCGACCGAATCTTCATCTTGAAGCACTTTTCACATTGTTTTAGGCAATGATGTTCTCTATGTTGGGGTGTCTGGACCAATCGTGCCCTGTGAGGAGGTGAACATAAAACACCTCGGCGACAACCTCTTCAGCGTGCAGTACTCTGTTCGGGATCGTGGACGCCACTACATAATGGTGAAGTGGGGTGAAACTCACATCCCTGGCAGTCCTTTCATCGTGGATGTGATGTAGTTGTTGAAGTGGACCAACCAGTGGCTGCCTCCTCTCTCCTCAGATTATCAACTTTCTCGCCTTTCTCTCTACTCACTCCTCTTTTCTCCCTGTTTCTTCGCGTAGAGTCGCGGATTGCGTCAACTACCTGGCTTTTGACACCACACAAATATGCATGTGCTTTAAGAGTAACTTATTCGAACCCTTTCCTTCCTCCCCTCCTCCCAGGATGCGGGGTCGAGGGCGAAAAATGGGAGAGCGGGAGAGGAGGAGGAGGAGGAGGAGGAGCTGAGTCTGAGGCGTGACCTCATGCCCTCACAACTGTGCCTTGCATCTCTAACCCAAGCCTCTCACGTGCAATAATACAGAATGTCCTTATTTCTTCCCTCCACTCTTCCGCTCTCCTCTCCTCCTCTTCCTCCACCCGCAAGCAATTAATTGCTTCTCTTTTGTTGTCTCTTTTTCTCCACCTCCCCCTCTTCCCCTCCTCCTCCTCCCCCTCCCCTCCCCTCCCTCTACCTCCTCCTCCTCCTTTTTTTTTCTTCCGCCTTTTTCGATCTAGTCGTAATTTTGAAGGTGCTACTAAATTAATATTCATACACCGAGCGGATAATTATTGTTAAATGAAAAAGTTGGGACCAAGCTTACCCCTTCAAGGTGGTGAAGGTGGCTGATGCTATCGGGGATATTAGGAAGGGCCAAATTGGGATTGGGATAGTGTTGCGTGATAGCCTCTGATTTTGTGACCGATTTGATAGTTTATTATTTTTGATTGTGGGCGGGTAACGAAGAAGGATTAATTGCACTGAATGGAGGCATCAACTAATGATTTAATCGAGGGGATTCGGTGGACCGATAGATACCTCAATCGGACGGTCGGTGAGCGGAGGGATGAAAGAGAAAGACGGTGACTGCTGAAGGCACGCTTTCGTCTATGGAAGGGAGGTTGTGTAGGTTTATAGATGAATTGCGCGGAGAATTTTAGTCTTCAAAGGCAAATATAACTTTACTGGTTCAATGTGATTCGGGGTGAATAATGTGACACAATTTTTATCCATTTCACGTAAGTTGACGTTTAGATTTTGATCCTGACTGCGAGTTGCTGTTTGGATGGTCATTTGGAGGCTTTGTGAATTACTCACGTTCCTGTTCGAATTTTTCTCTCTCGTAATGGAAGACCAATTTAGGGCGGTTTGAGTTTTACATTTCGATAAAAGTGGTTGTGAATTCCTCCAAAATGACAGTGGAGGAGGGCTTATGGTCCCTCTCCCTCCTCTGGTAAGAAATCGCAATGTTATGACAGCAGTGCGTGATTGCCTGTCATCTCCAAAAGACTTTGTGATGAGCAGCCTGAGTGGCACGGAGGACATGGCTTTCCGGCCGAAGAAATTTTACTCATAATTCCGGAGAAACATTTCACAAGGAACAGAGAAAATCACACACCACTTTTATGTCCGGAAAAGTAGTAAATGTCAACATTTTGAAGTGTTCTGCCTACTGGTTTGTGTTCTTACTCAAAGAAACTGGTAAGTGGCTGTAGCCTGCATCGTCGGGCTGTCTGATCCATTGAAGGGTGTCGCACCTCCTCCTCCTCCTCCTCAAAACGCCTTGCGACTTCGGAAGCGAGAGAGGAAAGGAGAGCGAAAAATAGAAAGGAGGAAGGTGTTTGCGGGTCTGCGCATCTACTCCTTCATCCCGTGGGCTGTTGAAGTGTTGCCTTGAAGTGGAGGACGCAAATTGCCGAGCCTCTCGACATTTCACCTTTTCATTTTGCATAATCTCTTGTGAGAGCACAACGCTGCGGTCGACATTGGCCCGCTACTCCCCATTTGAGGCGTTTTATCAATCCTATGGAGGTTTCGCTAAACAGGAACCATCTGAAATAATTTTCTCCACCCTTTACACAAATCGCGCATCAAATGAAATGACAAGACGTGTCAAGTGATTAACAACTGCCCTCAAATCGGTTAAAGAACAGTTTACCAGGCACAAAAAATACACTTTTTTTAAAATGCTAATTTCATATTGCCTTTGCTTGTGGAAATACTTTTGACTTTTCCTTCCAAAAGTAAATGATTACGCATTTGTGGTGTCAAATCGAATCAGTTTTCGCACCACTTTTCCCTTAATACGAATTTTTGTAACTAGCAGCTCCACACAAAAATACTATTATATTTAAAAGGTATGACATGCAGCTAAATAGTTATACATCTTCCTTGACACCTTAGTCTATATTTTAAAGCAATAAAACATTTTTTTACGAAAAGTTTATTCAGTCAGCACCAATGGGAATTCACTTGAGTGGAGCGAGGAGGTGGGACGTGCTGTTTGGTGGTTTCAAACAGCACCTCCTGCCTTTCCGGGAGGGGAGGGAGGAGAAAGAGACGTCAACATTGACAGGCCAAAAGGAGGTTTTTCTGGGCGTTTTGGCCTAAGTCAAATGGAGGGCAAAAGTGGTGGGCAGTACGGAGTGGTTAAACGTCACATTCATTGATGTGTGGGAGGAGGACGAAAAGATCACCGGTGTTGTCCACTTCACTGTCGTTTGGCAATGACAGGAGGATTGTTCACTGACTGACTGATTGACGGGTGGCAGGAAATGCATTTCATCAGGCAGTATTAAGGCTGTCCACTTCCTTATCACTGTCAAAGGATTGCTTGACCACCTTCCTTTTGCAAAGAAAAATGGAAAGACAAGAACTCCCTGGGTGCCTCATCTTGCTGGAAAAATGGTAACAAGGTGAACTGGTGGATGCCAAGAGTTAGGGTTCTTCGAACTTCCATTCATTTGGTTGCCCTACCGACATGGACCAGGAGGGCCAACATTTTACGCACCTTTTTTGCACTTTTTTCTTCCGCTTTTCAATGTAATACTAAAATCGAAATAAAATGGAGATTTTATTTTCATTTTGGTGATAGTAATGCAGTTGTTTAACGTATTTTATTTGTCTTGACTGAAAATGTTAGCATTAATCAAATTTATTATACAAAGCAATCCAAAGAGAGTGCACATTCTTGCCTTTTCAATGAGGTCAGAGAAAGAGGTGCGAGAATTGAGTAAGCGAACGTTTATTTAAACACAATCGGTTCGGTTTCAACCTCCCCTTCCCCCTCACAGTAGAAGGAGGGTGTCGGAGGGGGACGAGGAGAGAGGAATGGAGGAGAACGAGGCGATGGTCAGGTCTGGAGTCCTCAAGGCTACTTGCTCTGGTCGTCGGATGTCTACCTTCCCGGAAGCGAACGTCCTGTTTTTCAACCATCGGCTAGGCTGATGGTAAAGTGAACCAGTGGTATGGCTAGTGGATCAGACTTCTGCATCTCGGAGTCACGTGTCTAACCACCAAATTAACCACTTTACTCACATTGGGTGATTAGGCGAGAAAAATATAATAAAAAAAAACATTTTAGGTACCCAAGAGTAGACGTCAAATACAAAATTTGTCAAGATCCCAAACTAAGACTAGGAAATTTTCCTCGTACACTTTTACACACACACGTACAACACACAATTATATTCCCATGAGAAATTGAAAGAAAAAAAAACAATCAGGAAGAGTGTTTTTGTGCCACATGGCTACTTCTGTCTGATAAATAAACTGCCATGAGGAATTGTCAATCATGGGTGAAGATGAGGAGGGAATTGCACAACTACACAGAGTTTGGCCAAACGCCACCCCTTTCCTGAACTACTAGGCAGGATGGAATTCCTTCTGCACCTCACCTTTGCTCCAACTTCACACAATCGCCCTTGTTAGAGAACAGCGAAAGTTAAAATTTGCCATTTTTGAGGAGGTGGGCGAGTGGCACCTCAGACGTGCAGACGACTGCCACAACCACTACGACGCCCTCAAGATGTGCTTCCGAGAGATGAAGGAGTGGCCAATTAAAACTTTGCAACATGGGGGTAAAATAAACCTAGAGGATGCACAATGACGTGGTTTAAATTTCAATTCATAATTGCTTCAAACTTTCCAAAAATGATTCGCAAGTTGCTACTAATAAGGACTTGTAAGTACCATCTCCAACACCTTTGCATTACCCACCGAGTTCGGTGACAATTGGATTGAAAAATTTGTATATTTATCTCTACCTACCGATGCGAAGTGTCCAACCTGTAATATGCATCCCTTTGAGGTCTCTCAACCATTAATTAGCCCTCACAAAATGGGAAGAGGAGAGCTTCCTTCTCTTCAGTTTATTCTTTTTCCTACTACCAATGCTCAAGCAAAATGCGGATTTTTTAACCACTCTTGAGTCTTTAATACGCATATTTTCGGTTTTTTTTAGCAGTGGTAACGACTAAGATGAAAAGATGCCCATGGTTTTGACACTGAGTTTAATTAAGTAGTATTTGGAGGGGTGTTCCCCATTTTTTAGTGAACACATCAATAGCGTAAACTTAAAATAACCGAAAGTCAATGGTCCACAAAAAAGAATTATTTACTCAGAAATTTATATTTAAATAAACAGAATTTTGGAGTGGTTCTTAGAGCAATCTCAAATTTATGGTTTTGCAAATTGAGGTGAGTCACAGTGACTACCCATTTAATGGTGTTATCAAGTGATCAAGAAAGTCTTGCGCAGTCATTGACAAACCCCACTGAAGGTATCTGACCTTTCAGTCAGGATAGCGATTTATTAAATCCTCGTGACATGAGATTTTGCAGCCTTCCTCACCTCCTTCTTCCCTTTCCAACTGGGTTGTGGCCGACGCCGCGAAGGCACTAAGAGGAGATGTGATGAGAGGCGGTCTTGACCTTCCCAAAGGGGATACGCAATTATAAGTAGACAGCTCGGCTTTTCTACCGCTCAAAAGCTTCCCTCCACTTCGAAAAAGGACACCAATTTAGTCTGCCATTGCTTTATAGTCTCATAGCTAGCTCGTGTCTCACTAAATAGGGGGTGCCACCTAAACGCAGTCTTCTGTACTAACTTCATATTTCCTAAAAATATTCTAACTGTGTTATTTGGTTACTTCTCCCTACCCACTCATCAGATTTGCGGCTTCGGCTCATTTGGCCTGGATTCGCTTCACCGCTCTTGTTGGTGTAGTACAACTTCAGAAGTCCCATCGAGATGGCAGTCAGTGTCGCCCCAACTCGTTTGGGTCGTTGTTACCTTCGTGCTCACACGGTGGTACAGATGTATTTATGCGTAAGCATCCATTTACTTAGAGACTAACAAACCTTTGACAAGATTTTTTAATCTTAGCAGACCAGTGTAATGAATGGTTGCAAGACATAGCTGAACCCGTGAATTAATCGGGTAAAAGGCGTAAGGGTTTAGTAAATAAAATGAGTAAAGTGCCGCAATAAAGAAAACTCCACCATAGCGTCAGAGAACTGGCAAAGCTGCCTATCACTGAACTGTAATTGGCTAAATTAACAGACAACGCATGCAGATCTTAATTGCCTGCAAAATAGTCGTTTAACAAAACGAACATTCTTGCTTCTAGTGCATTGAAGATCGAACATTTGTGCAATCTAAAGTGACAAAATTTACAGCTAAGGCGCGTTTGAGGTGACTAAAGCCAACACCTATTAAACAAAGTTGCAGATTATATGTCGAAAAAGATCAACTATAAAGACGAATTGGTGCTCATATTGTCTTCTCAAGGAATTGCCTTTTGGTGGGGTAGAATTTGACAATTCCTCTCCGCTCACCAACGACTCGGTTGATTGGTTGAGGCAACAGACCAATGAGAAACGGCCATCAAAAGAGCTCAACCAACTTTTCCAAAGCAAGTGAGTGAATGTATTAATCATGCCAGCAGCATGAAAACTAGCGTCGAGTTTGGAATACTACGCCATGATGCACCACCAATTCCACCGTCACGTAGTTCCAAGGTGCCGCGTGAACTCTTACTCAACAATCAGGAGTGCATACCCGCAGGAAGTGGGTTTCAAGGTCACTACCATTTTGCAGAGGTTGCAAAAGATGTGTCACGACATCCCCTTTCCACGATTGCGGCAGTGACAACATTAGAGTTACGCGAGGCTGCAACAGCAGCACCACCACCGATGACCAATACGTCGTCCGACCTGCTGGCGGCGACCAAATCCCCTTTGCCACCGCATATGATAGCTTTGACACCACAGACAGCACCGTTTACTGTGGATGCAAATCCACCAGCCCCGGAGATGCTGCAGCAACACAAGCAGGAGGCTTGTCAGCGGAAGTGGCTTATGTGAGTGCGTAAATAATCTTTTTTCCTTGGTGCTCAAAATCCCAGGCGAGATTGTGCTTTTTGGGCATTTAATGTTCCACCTTATGAAATGTATGTTTTTGACGCTGAAAATAATGCGAATCAACAATGCGATTTCCCATCCAAAGTCGTAATAATGTAGGATATTTTTAGGAAGGCATATGAGACGAACTAGGAGGAGGGGGTGGAGGTGGAGAGAGCAAGAGATGCAGACAAGGACAGAAGGAGAAGGAGGAGGAGGAAGAAGAAGAAGGAGGAGGAGTATTTCACCCAAAGATTCACCTAGACGTCACCCACATTGAAAAAGCCGCATGCGAAGTTGTACACTTAACCAAAGGTCGGATTACTATGGCAATATTTTGCCCTCTCCTCCGTCGGCAAGACGCGACTGATGGGCGCTGCAATGTACTTGGGATACTCCCTTTAAGTACTCCTAGGAGAGAGAAGGTGGACGGTGGTTGACAGGTGAATGATAAATAGAGTAATTTTTAGGCCTTTGGAGATGTCCATGTCACCGAAATGTCAGAGCTAGCAACTAAAATGCTTTCCGATCATCTGGAAATTTGGAAGAAAATTTAGACTCAAAGTCATTCCCTCTTTTTACAAGATAAAATGAGAAAAGGAGAAGGGCAAAAGGACTACAACACGATTATTTTGTTTTCCTTCGCTAAGTCTGTCAGAAGTGGTTTCAGCGAAGGAGGCAAAAATTCTGTCTCTATTACCAAAGTATTTCGAAAATTGTTTTTTTTTTAATTTTTACACTGGTTTATTGTTTCATTTTTGAGTTTCTACTCAAAAAAATGCAAAACAGTCTTTTCTTAAGTGGATGGAGGCAAAAAACTATGTCAAAAATGTACTTTTTCTCTCCTTAAAACTTTTTTCCTGAATCTTTATGCTCGGCGGGAATGAAGGGACGCAAACATCTTTTACAGTTTCCTTTGGCTTAACAAACTGGTCTTCAGGTCCACCCTTTAATTGACAGTTTTTAGGTGGAAAAATTTCCTCCTTTTCCTTTCTCAAAATAAAAGCTGAAAGAAAAACAAACAAGCTTCGAAAAAAGGACAAAATTATGAATAATTTTTTGTATAATTTAATCGGGCCATTATGGGAGAAGGTACTACTTGAACGAGGCAGTGGGGGATTGAGACTGCCCTTTCCTTGTCCCGGCAAAAGGTGAACAAAATGGCGGGGGATAAAAAAGCGGGCGGTTGACTTGGGGTAGGGCAAAATTTAATGTCCACCATCAGTCTGTATTGTGATTTACGTGCCCGCCTTCTTTACGACTGTAAACTCAACTTCACTGCTTTCCTCTCTGAGTGGGGTATACCGGAGCCTCGGACCACAGCAATCAAGTCGGTGGAGCTGTCCGCACTCTTCTCTCTCCCCCCGCCCCCACACTCTTGACGACATTTACTGCTGTGCTGGCCAATCCCTGCACAAACGCACACACACACACACATGCACACGGAAGAAGGAGGGAAAAAGGACAAAGAAATCTATTTCTCTCTTTTAACGTCTCCTTTTCTTTCTTTCCAGTAAAAAAATTAAATCACCGTGGGAAGGGTGTATGAGATGGGGGTGGGATGGGGAGGGCGGAGTCCCGCGTGAAGGCGACACCTTTTCGGGCATTTTACAACTACAAATCGAGTCTGTTTAATACTTTCCTTTGCCACAAAATTCGTAACCGCATTAAGAAACCAAATGTTTTCTCATGCTTTTATTTTCTTTTCTTTTTGCTTTTTTAGGCAATTTTCTTTTTTAATTAAAATAATTTTTTTGTGGAAACACGTATATTGGGTTATTGGTACGTACTTTGAAGCTTCCTCCACTCTGTCGTATTGTTGAACCAATTGCTCGGAGGGTTTCCAAAGACGAAGACAAAAATTGCGAATGCTAAAGACCTATGAAAAGGTAAAGAAGGTACCTAAGAGTAACTCCAAAAAAAAAAAGGTAATTTTAGTAGTGATGCCAGTCGGACCATCAGCCTGGCCTTAAAGACTGTTTGCTGCGTGATTGCTGACTGACGGACTGGCCGATTCGTAACAGGCGTGACATTCTTATCTCAGCGATGGAAAAATAAGCCTATCTAGTCATGAGTTTTTGCCATCACATTAAATTAAGTAACTTCTCTACGTCTATTCCTGCTTTCTTGAATAAGATGTAAAGTAATAGAAAATGCTCGAACCTGATTGGCTACCGGAGGGAGGAGGAGAAAAAAGGGCGAGATCGTTTGCGTGACCTCTTTCTGACCTCTCCTTCAGCGTCCAAGTTTCAACATTAACATTAAAAAGTCTAACAGACTAATTTTTATCCATTTAATGCTATTTGGATTACTGGTAAGAAGCATTTCTTCCCATGCAAAAATTGAAACTCTCATCATGCTTGAAAATGCCTTTTTTACCCCGGTAAAGTATTTTCTTGCTTTGTTTTCAACACTTCCAAGGTGTCTCAAGTTTTTGCACTTCAATCAAATGACTGCTTAAAGTGGTAGATATAAAAAAGGCAGTTTGTTTGGAGTTCCCTCTTTTGTGGCACATAAAACGGGTAAATGAAAGATGCGGTAGAGCGGTGGTGTATTTATTAGCCTCCATTATATCCCTTCGCCTTTGGATGTGGGGAGAAGTGGCACTTGCATGTCAGTATACATTATCAATGGTTTTTATGGGTGGCAAAACGGAGACGCCGTTTTTCAACCTAATGTGCATTTTTGACACGTTTTTCGCTACTTTTAGGTAAGTATTTGGCAGGGTCGACGCTCAAGTAATATTTTGGGCTCGATGTAGTAAGTAAAAGGCAAATGAGTGGGGAAAAAGTAGGGGAGAAAAAGAGGAAGCATTAAGGACGATGATCCATATCTCCTTCTCCTGCTCATCTCCCATATAGAAAACTTTAATGTCTTCTTCCTTCGCTTCGAAAACCTACCAACCACTGGTTAGAGCACTCAGCCAGACTGGAGGGCTGTTTTGCATGGCGAGGGAGAATTAAACAGACTACGTAAGCAGTCCTGCATACCAAGAAGTTGTTTTCTACAATCTCCTTGGTCACCCTTTTAGTCTGACCAATTGTAAGGAATTTTCCTCGACTTTTGCATTGCCATGTTTTGTCAACTTTGGTGGAGTGCGCCAAATTCGCACAAATTATGAAGTGGTGAGAGTCCCTCTTGACGAGGATATTTGTAAAGCAAGTGATACCCTTTGTCTCACTAATTTTGAGGTAGCCAGCCGTCTGCGAGTAAGCAACACTTCCAAATGCCTCCTGTGTGTTTACACGTCATTGGGACTTGTCGTGACTCCACCGGCCTGTTCCATCGAAGCAGGGGCATTCACAACCCCTCCTCTTCTCCAGGTAACTTACATGACAAGATGCTAAAAAGGGGCTGTCACCATCGTGGATGAGCAGAGATGAGGATGATTGCACCTGAAATAGCCTTCGTAAACAATTAGGCGTTCAGTCAGAGCCATGCCCGTTAATTATGGTAGGTTTTGTTTTTGTTTTTGTTTTTTTTTCGAAAGAGGTTGGCAGAAAAAATGGCTGACATTTATTTGCGTAACAAGATATAGTCTGAAGTTGTCAGTTGGAGGAGTGCCACCCTCCCAAGAACGCAGACTCTGCTTGTGAGAAGACGTGCTCTGTCTTAGCCATTTGCGATTTCTCCTCCCTCCTTGTCCCACCATTGCTAATTCTCCAGTTGATGTTTATCGCCCTTCCAAGTGGACGGGTGATAGAGATCTGACTAATGGAAGAGCAGTCTCAAAATGGACACGAAGGCAGTGAGAGCTGCGCTGCTGCTGCATGACACCGTCCAATGGCTCATTATTTTACGTTCAATTAGTTCTTCGTCATTTACAAACTCATTAACCCTCTCTGTGATTTGACAGAAGAGTGGGCGTTCTTCTGGCTGTCGCGCTGGTGCTAATTTGTGTCGTTTATCAAATCTGCGCTTGGACAAGTCGATGGCAGAAACGACGCGCCTTTCTGTTAGTTCAAAGAACTTTCGCCTCCAGTGTGAATAATGAGCGTCGCAATGGGGAGATGGAGTTTGTCATGAGTGGTGTCAACATCACAATTTGCAATGCCAACCCATTTCGGTAGGTAGAGTGCTGTTAAACAGTCTCTCAAACCCGTAAGAAGTATTATTTTTTTTTAAACTGATAGGCTTCATTGGATTAAAAGTTTAATTTACAAAACGTAGATGATTGTTTAAGATAAAATTTTGGGCAGAGCTTCCCTATGCATTGGCGTTAAAGCTTCACCATCAACGAAAGTTGTTTGGCTCATACACAACCTCCAAGTTTACCCCATACAACTACCATTTTTACTTCCTAAAACATTAGTTGACAGTAAATTGCCAATATTCAACATAAGATCTACTTATTCCTTACTATGAGTAGCTAAATATGGTTTCAAACAAATATTTGAACAAAAATTTCCAGACATTAATTTATAAGGCTAACATTTATTAAAAGGATCGTACAAGAATCTCACTACTTCAGTGAGGGTGCCTGTCTTTTATGCGTGTTTTATGTAGGATGGACACGCGCGCCAGCCTGTCAACCGAATCGTACTCCCCAACATGTTCGTTGTCCTACCTAAGACCCGGAAATCCACCTCTTACATTATCTATTAGTGACGATTTTCTCAATCCATAGACCTTCCAAACCTCTGACAATAGCAGAGTATTGCGTAATCTTACCTTAAACCGGCTTATTCATCCAAAATGCGACGGCGGAATTACAGCAAAATTAAAGGGAAAGTTGTCATGGTGAAAGTTAAGCGGTTAGCCTCCCTCCACATGCATCTGCGGTTACCAACACATGTTGAGAGAAGCCATAAAAATCCTTAAATTTTAGAACCCCAGGGAATAGGAAGAGCCTTTCGCGGAGCAACCTTGAGCGAACTAACATATCACAGACTACCATTAAACGATTGACTCACTATCTACTCCACACACCCAAAGAATCTTCGCAAATTTAAATGACAATGATAGTTTTTCATTCCCGATGCTAACCAACCTTCTGTAAGGCCAATAAGCCGAATAAGCGATTATTTATTCCCTCTAAAAATTATGTCCCATTCGTGCCCCACACGATTTGTCGCTTGCAAATGACGGTTTTTGCAAATAACACAGACCCCCCAGTATCCATAAGTCTTCAAGTTGATACTTGAAAATTCTACTCATTTTCGATTCGCACCGAACCCTTAAATGATACATTTAAACAAAATTTAGCAGGCAAAAATAACGCTTTCGTTGAATTTTAGGAATAAAACTTTGCTTAATACAGTAGTTGTTGTAACTCATTATAAACGGCAGTAAGCGTGGTCTTCCCGATCATTAACTTCGCAAATTTTATTAATCAATCAAACAGTTTTAACTTTGTTCAACAAACGCTACAGAATGGTTCTGAAAATGGAAAATTGCCAAGGGCTTTACTACTGCTACAATAATCCGGAAGGGAATAGATGCAACTGTTAGATTGAAGAGTCATGACAAGTGACTGGACTCCAGTAGAGTGCATGCCATCACCCTTATTCTACTCTGATGAAGGGCACGTGCGAAAAATTCAGAAGTGTTTCTTTGCTTGCATGGCAGCACATTTGGTTTTACGCTATGGTGGGATTTACGTATTTTGGTGAGCATTAGCCAACTTTACAGAACTGTTAGGAAACAGAATTTCTCTTATTTCGAGAGACAAAAAATCCGCAGTCACCTTTGCTTGTCAAAGTTGCGTACCAAATACAACGTTGGGAAATTCTCATTTCATCGAATCTTCCTTCCTACTAATCAGTATACCTTCTAGACATCAGAAGTGACCACTTGTCCTTTCCTTCCTCATTCCCGCCTTTAGGGGCTCTGCAATCTTTGATCTACCCAGTGGAAGTTACCTCTACGACATGTTGACGGGAATTCACAGTGGAGCCGTGCGAATTCCTGACTTCGCAAAGGAACTCAGCAAGCAAAGCCTGTCCACTCTCATTGCTATCTCGCATCATCTTCCCGATATGCTGAAAAGGTGTGCCTCATTGTGTCCTCAATGTGCATTCCCCTTGCTTTGTAGATTAACTGCCCTTTAACAGCACACTGATTAGCCTGCTTAGGGGAAGCACATTTCCTATCGAATTTTTAATCGCAGGTAGCATTTTCTGTTTTCTTTTAATAAAAAATAGACTGGAATTCATTTATTATAAAGTTTTAAATAGGTGTAGGTGCATCTGCTTGCTTTTAATACTTTTGGGCTTTTAAAATGCATGAAAACATGTTTCATTTATTTTATGTTTAAGAGTGCTTTATTATAATGTGCCAACCCTGGAGGCCTCCTAGACTTTTGCGTGATCGCTGAGCCGGGAGGAGGGGATGGAGAGGGAGTTAATTACTCTTTTCTCTTACGGCGAATTTTCAATGTGGGAGGTCTACCGGTGACTGATTCAAACAAATGCTGTCTCACCTCCTGATGTTAGAAAATCAGCGGCGAGTACAAAATGCAATTTGAGGGTTACGAGGCCAGCACAGGCGGTGGGGACCGATGAATGTCAGGTCAATAGGTCAACAAATGAGTCGTCCTATTATGACCGGTTTGGAGGGCAGAAGATGTCAGAACACAAAATTTTGTTTTCTATCCTCCAGATGGTTTATTCTTATAGTGGTATTAAAAATGATGAGGGAAATGCCGCAATTTATTAGCGATCCTCACCATTAACCAAATGAGGTGCCAACTTTTAGATTGTTGAAATCAGGTTGGATTGGAAATGCTTGATGTGAGGGAAGAGAATGAATAGCGCATGTGACACTGTCAGCGACGTTCGACTCAGATTGATGGCCGGACTGGCGAGATTTTAGTCACTTCCAACATTTTGGGTGCGAAAGTGTATCAGAATTGCTAAATTGACCGAATAATTTGTCCGCTGCAAAATCTCAGGATGGCAGCATTTCACTCCTCTGCCAATTGGATCAGTGAGTAACTTCTCGATGCATTTGAGTTGAAGGATGAAGAATGACAGAGAAAAGGTACAATGCCTCACCTGAACTGCTATCACCTTCATCTCCGTTCTCCTGGACGCATGAACATTCCCCTTTTTGGCAAGTAAGATGATGTGGAAAGTGAACCAGGCAGCTGAATGGGAGGTGAGGGATAAAGAGAAAGAGGGGAGAGATGAATAGGGAGATTCAAGTTGCATACTTGTTGGGACTAAGCTCCTCACACAAGACCTTCTCTTTAAGCCTCATTCGCCTCGGTGATTGGACCAACAGACTCCAGGCTGGAGCAATGTTTCTGTCAAAAAGTTTTCGAAACATTCTCCCCTCTAAAATGTGTCGCCCACTCTTCTCTCTTCCTACAGTCTGCAGTCACCAGAATGCCTGCCTCCTCCACCTCCATTTCCACTCGATTGGACAAAAAGGGTGTCCAATGCATTCCCTTTCCATATGATCATTTGCATCCTTCGTGCAAACGTCACCATTCTTCCACAGACTTACTAAGGAAATTTTCCGAATTTTTTAATTTTTTTCTGTGCTAGTAACAGATCTGTGAGACCTATTTCTTTTATATTCTCGCCAGGATTCTTCTATTATTAATCTCACCATAGAAACCTTTTTCGCGTTGAGAATCAAAGCTTACCTCGTTTGCCATTTTTTTGCAAAAATGGGACATTAATACACAAAAGGGGAAATTTCATACATTCTGTCCCCTTTTTAGTTGTACAATCAACGGATTGTCCTGTGGAACGGAGGAGTTTGAAAGCGTTATCAATTTCAATCGGCTCTGCTTCCGACTAGCCCTGAATTCTTCAGGTAGGTTAAAAAAATATTTATAATTGTGTAATTGAATTGCAATGCAAGCGCAAAGAACTTAGATTTTGTCCCTGGCCTACTTATAAACCTATGAGTAGTATTTAAAGAAATGGTGGACGAGGTTTTGGAATTGTTTAATGACGTCATTCATCCACATTTAAGGACTGAATTTAAGGCCCGTTTTTGAGGGGGCCCAAGACTAAGATGATCCCTAATGTTTTGGGTCAGGTGGGTTAAGGAGTGGGCATTGCGGACAAATGAGGAGGGCCAGAAGGTAAAGCCGCTCATGTCCACCATCACTGATGGGTTGATCGCGGTTACACTGGCAGGTGAATGGTAAAAAGTAAGCCTTATGAGGGTATCGAAGGGCCGGGTGGTTTAATTCCTTTAAAGACACGACAACTCGAGAGCAGCGTAAAAAATTTAAGTTGTATTTATCGTTAACTGTCAGAATGCAACTTCTCAAGTCGAGCTCAGCCAATGTGCAAAGTTTGAGATGAGGGAGTGAGGGATAAATGGTTGTCCCATCCTCCTGACGCAGCACCTCCGGTTGGGACGCTCCACAGGAAGCCTGTTGGATTAGCTCACTATAACGCTCTCCATTTGTTCACAGAAAAGATATTTTGGTCAAACTAATTCCACACATTTTGGTTTCTGAGTTTCTAAACAACCAAACTGACCGTTTCCAAGACAATGGTCATTTAGAGTGATTGTTAATTAGGTAAAATGAGTGACAGGTGCACTGAATGAGGTGTGTTGAGGTTAAGTACGAAAGAGTTTACACCATTCATTGCGCTTGATAAAGGACGCAAACCAAAAGTCCACTCAAATTTTTTATTTTTCTGAATTTTTGCTCAAAAATGCAAGATTTAAAGGATGAAAAAGGAAAAAATGGCGAGTAGAAATCTTATCGTGTTTCATTAACTTGGCACAATAGCCGATTGGACTTAAACTTCCACCGCCGCGGCAGCGGTGAAAGGAGGAGAGAAAGAAGGAAGTAGAAACATACGGAAAGTCTTCTTCTGTCCAAACTTCCGCCTATCAGTCCGCCTATCTCCTGATTCACCCTTTACTCCTAGCCTAAGAACTTTCACAAAGTTTTCGGCTCGCCTCACTGCGCCGCGTTTTGGCAGACAACCAAACAAGGCAATAAACTTCCTCACGCCATTAAAGTCAGCTTAATAATTAAGGCGGAACAAGGGGACTCCTCATCCTTTGGGCTGATAAAGCTGTGGGGACAGGTGGAGGGTGGAGGAGATGGAGGGGAGGGAGGTAGTTGACGTTTTAGTCAACTTTAGCCTTTACCACTAGCGTTATCTCTTTTAAGATCGTAGACCCTCCTCAACTAGGGAGACGCATTCTCCATATCCACCTGTCATTGTTTAATTTGTGCGGCTTTGGCAGTCTTTGCTCTGTGAAAGAACACGTAAATGTGGTCAAACTAAGACGCGCTCTCTCCGCTCTCTAAAGTATTGAACCTCTTCCTTCTCTAGCACGAGATGTTCGACTGATTTTGGATCCGCAAGAACATGAGTACCTTCTGCCCAATGACGCTATTGTCGGCTTCTACCTCTCAGTGGATAACAGTCGCGATCAGATCCTATCATCTCGAATGGGTTTGAAGCAGTACGAACGCTCCATTGATATACTTCAACCACCATCAGAGAGTGATGAACTGTTTGTGGGCTCCCAATTTCAAACGTTCATCCAAGTCGGCTTTTCTGATACTGTAGGTTGAAAGGCACAGTGGGAAGAGGGGCAAAACATGATCTGTCTGTCCCTTGATTCCGCCATAATTGTCCTCAAAATGCCTTGTAAAATGGACATTTGGTTCCATTTTGCTAGTTGATCTTTTAACTTGGAAGTGATTTGCTTTTAAATGGCTGGAGGGAAGGAGGAGTGAGGCGTGTGACACTGAGTGAGAGGCTGATAGTGATGAGAAGCGACCTTCTGTCATTCACCGCCGCACCCTCTCAAGGTCTTCTGTATTCGACGCCTCAGAGACGAAACTCACCGAATACTTAGGCCTTTGTGTCCCTTAATGGCTGCGCTCAATTAGTCGATGCGTGTCTAGACCTCGGCTGCTGTCAAAAAAGCCCCTAAGGCGGAGAGAGAGAAGGCACTGCTCAATCTCACTTTTGCTTCCACTTGTGATAGCGGTGACTTTGTCACGTCTGGTATACGCGTTGCCATGATGGGATTAGGCCACACAGAGGAGCAGTAACGGGGCGGCAAAGAGAGATGATGAGCGGGCGGTGTTGAATTTGGTCGGTTAGGTGTCGCGACAAAGCACCTCACAGCAGTCCTCAACCTCAAATTTCCATATACTCGACAGATTAAGTAACCATTTCAAGGTCAAATCTTTTTTCAAAATTGTGAACACAACTTATTGAGTTGATCCTTGCATAAAAAGAACAGTTACATTTTTGCTCTCTTTTACAGCCGATTCCACCGCTCAACTCCCTTTCGTCAATTTCCAAAGGTATGCTTCTGGCAGCAGTGTATTGTTTTAAAAAAAAACAAGGAGAGTGTCCCTTGCATCCACTCTTTTCTGTCTTCAGCTCAAATCTTCCGCTCGACGATACGCTCGGTGGTGCAGGTCGCTAAGCCAGTGTTCAGCTCCAGATTCCTTCAATTGCGGGAGCCAATCACGTTGCGAGGCACCTCCAGAATGGCAAAGGCTCGACTAGTTCAGCAGTGGGCCTACCTGCGACACGAGAACACTTCAGCTGTAGTGGTTATTGAAAATTTGGCTCTCCGGTTGGGGAACCTTAAGAAGGACTTCGATGGGATGCTTCAGAGTCTCGCGGAATTAAGAGCAGCTCAGCACATGACCTCGGCATTTGAGGTAAGTCAGGCAGCCTTACAGCCTAGCCAAGGCATTGAGAGGTTGAAAGCTCGTGCTCCGACTCAACATCTCAACGGCCCACGGCACTTCACTCACGGTGTTTGAAGTCGGAAAATTTGGGGGCTGCGTAGTCGTGTGACCTCCAGAGTCCAGCATGGTTATTGGATTTACCGCGTTACTGATAATCGCCTCCAAATTCCTAGACGTGGCACGTCATGCTATTGCATAATATCTCATAATTCAGATGGTTTGTCACAAACTCATCGTTTTGGTCGCCAGTGTGTAGAATTGAATAAACTCAATTTTGGCAAAAATATGTGATTTTGTGGAATTAGTATAACGAGATTACTTGGCCCTACGTGCTTTCCCCTCACCTCTAGTCATTGTCGGAGGTAAACGAGCAAGGAGACAGGAGACACAACTTTTCCTTTGTCTACTTACGCCCGCAAATAAGTGGAGAGTGGGGAGGCGAGACCATGCAGCGGCGCCTTCTCACCAACCTACTCGACAAGCACGGAAGCCTGACGGTTTAGGGAAGGGGAAAAATTTGTTTAAAAAAAGGACACAACATGACAAGTTTGGCGCGTCATTTGAGCATAACTTTCACAAGTGTTTTAAGGCACGGAAATGGCTCAGAGCAAAGCCTAGAGCGATGTCACATTTACTCAGCCATCTGAGCCTTAAGAATATCCTTCACGCACTACCGAAATCGCAAAAACAATTAAGTAGAGCCTCTAGGAGTGTCCGAAATCTTCTCGCTATTCTTTGAAATCGGCCAATATTCACTGAGTGGGAAAACAAGTAAATCAGGCGATACTATGGCCAGCAGGAGGGCAGAGGAATGGGAGAAGGACTAGAGCAGCTTGACAGCCACTTTTAGAAAAAATTCAGGAGTCTATTGCCATGTTCAAGCTGAGTCAAAACCAATTACTCTTTAGCTTTTCACTGGAGTTGCAATGAACCTATCCCCTTCTTTGTGGAAATTCTTCTAATTATTTATACGGAGAGGTGGTGGTGGTTCATTGTAAGAAAAAGGAGATAAAATAGAGCTTCGAGGGTAATTTGGTATTAACATTTTGCTTTAGACACAAAACAGTTTTAAAAAGCCAATTTTGTAGGCTTGAAAACATCGAAATTGTTACGAACTACTTATATGGAATGTACAGATTGCCTCGAAGGAGAGAACGACAGACATATGAAGGCCTAATTTGGAAAAGCTAAGAGGTGGGAAAAGACGCGCCTAGCTCAGGCAGCCAAATGAAACCACCCTGTCTAAATCAGTCGCGTCTGCCTATCAATTAGGTGGGGCGTTCAGTGAACGAAGTAAGTCTGAGAGTAGCACTATTGCCTCGCTCAAAAGCGTGGTGTCTGTTGAGGCGGAAGGTGGCGCTTTTGCACACAACTTATCTCACCAACTTCAACCCATATTTATTCATCACAAAGGCATCATAAAATCTGCCTCTTTACTTCGTGGAGGAGGAGGGGCTGGGAGATGTTAAAGCCATTCTCAGTTAGATAGAATGCTGTTTTTTGTCCTTTTACCTTAATTAAGCCCGCGTTGTAGTGATTGGGAAATCGTCGGAAAGGCTGTCATCCCTCCTGCCTTTACTTCTCCTCTTTGCTGGTAAATGAAGGATAGTCGATGATTTGAAATATATTTAAACAAGTTGACTCACTAGAGTCATCCCGTAGGGCGAAGACTGGTTGCTCTTGTGAGTGGATGAGCAATTCAACAAACCTGCATCACTCTCACTTCCTTGCTTCCACCTCTCTCCTCAATGCAAGCGTCCTTCCCAGGCTCCTCCATAGAGGCTCTTCTTTTTCGGTCGTAATAATTGCCTAGGTGAGGGATTCAAAGCTACCACGTAGTATCCGCAATGTCAAGGCAATAATCACATCGGTCAAAAGCTGTGCCCTCGTGACAAGTCGGAGTTTGCGTTCATTACCAATTTTATCTACACTTTATTCAGCCTTCAAAGTGGGACTTTGTGGAGACCTGTATCTCTCCAACTGGCACAGCGTTGAATACCATCGTCAACTTTACAGACGGTTTCTATGACCACCTTTGTCGTCTGCTGGATTCCAGAGATCAGGATTCCTATCTAATCCGTAACATTCACTGCGATGTCGACCAGCCACAATTGCGGCCTCCGCCTTCTACTTCAGAAACGGGTTCAACACTTCAACTCTTTGTGGTGCAGATGCTCTTCTCTCGATCTCATACCACCAATCAACGAATCATTCAGCTGCTTCGACGGCAAGTCAGCCTTCTTTCCATCGTGAATCAGGAGTTGCAACAACACTACACAGCCGGCAATATGGATGGTGTGGAACTTCTGGAGTGCACCCGATGCGAACGTCTAGGAGGCGGTGGCAGTGATGTGAGAACTTCCATGAGTTGTCGACGTATGGATCGAAAACCCAAAGTCAACATGACACAGCATTGGGAACTCTTCAAGAAATTCAATCAAGCCATCGCAGCGTGCACTCAACGACTGGACGCTCTCAATAAGGACCTAGAGGCCACCACAATGGCCAACCTGAAGCATATCCAGGCTTTTTTGAGAGGCGTGGGAAGCGACGCAGCAGAGGTGGGATCGGCTACTCATGGGTGAGTCAGATGTCAACATAATGCCTCCCTCTCTGGGCAGTAAGTGACCTCTGCCAGTCTCCTCGCGCCTTACGTAGCGCTCTTTAATGTACATCGCGCATTGTTCTATTGACAAGGAGAGGGTAAACACAATCTCACTGCATACTTTCCTTCACTTGCTAATCAGAGAGGCCTTTTAGTAGCCCATCAACCTTCTCCGCCCTACTTTCCTGTGATGCGCATCACTTCATGTCCACCAGACCAAACCCTCTTTTGTGTAGAACCCAGTGTAGGCGCAACTGTTCCCTAGGAACCGTTCATCTCATAAAGATGAAATAACAATTGCTAATGGTGACTGATTTTCTTTATCGATAGACTCTTTACTATGGCAACTGAAAGTAGTGAATCGGTTGAAGTTTTGATGGGTCTTTAGAAGTAACTTTTGCACATGAGTGAGTCCCAATGAATTGGTAATGTTTAAGGCTTTCAAATGGGACTTTGCTCGTCAAAGTATGGCTGAGCTGCGTACGAGTGGCGGACTGGGGCGTCGTCACTTGTAGATTTACTATTGCACAAGATATTCCACACGCAAAATAGGCTCTCCACTTGCCAAAGACTGCTGCTAAAATGCACCAATCTTGTTGTCAGTAGTTGCTCGGTTATTTTAATCCACTGATCCAGGAGACAGTTGACTCCCCACCCTTCTGAGACTTCACAGTTTGATCATTTCCCAACCGTAGCTGCTCTACATCTGTGCGAATCCGACATTTCTGGGATAATCTAGTCGTAGGAAGTTTCTCAATTTTCCACTTCTTTTACAAACCTTTTCGGGAAGTGCTTGTCGCATAATCAAACTGACAACCAGTAATTAAGGATTTTTTATACTTTCGTAACAACACAGATAATGTAGAAGAACCAGGTACGCTCAAAATTTCTACACTTCCTCTTTAAAGTGTTTAACTTCGCTCGCAAAAAGTAAAGAGAAACAGAAAAAGGAAGAGAGAGGCGAAGAGGTGGACTGATGCTCCCACTCTTGTTCTTGCATCTCTCACCCCATCTTTTGTTTACACTTTTTGCGGTAGCCCAACATTCAGGCAGCTGATGAGGGAATTCCCCAAAATGGATGCTTTTTGGACTGAATGCTCCAAGTTTTATTACAAGTAGTGCGGGACCAATGGGAGAGTTCGTGCATGTGCCCTTGCCTTGGTGACTGTGTGTGTCTCAAGGGATTAAAATAACTTAGGCATTAATCTTCTGAAATTGCAGTCGTACTAAGTAACTACTGAGCTATGACTTGTTCACATTGCACTAGTACTCTACAAACAGGAGGGTGAGCCAATTATAGCACAAGTTGGCTAAATTTTGCTTCACTGTCAGATTCCCGAAAATAATCGATAAATTCGCTGCACCACCGAAAAACCGACTACAGCAAACCCACTTCTGGAGCAATTGAGGAGATGCACTTCCCGTTGCCTACCACAAGACAAGAATAAGTTGTGAGTATGGGGGCAATATTTCCGCAAATTTAAGACATCATTTGTTTTTCCGTTCTCCTACAAGGTTAAGTATTTTTAGTTGCTATCGCACTAATGCAGGTAACGTAGTTTAAAAGGTGGGTGTGGTGTTTCCTTGCACTGAACTGTGTGTAAACGTTTCTCTCGTATGCAGATAGGCAGAAAAAAGCGTTAGATAAAGAGTTTAAGAAGGTGTTTTCTTTCCCTCTCACAATGCTTTTTTGAGGGTCATTTCTAACATTGTCCACTTGTCAGTAGTATCAAGGTTGATGTTATGATTTGCCAAGACCGCGCGTTTTTTAATGTATTATGCATGATCGCATAAAAGTGTCCTTAACAAGCAAGTTCCGGGGAGACAGTCAGAGAGGAGGAGGAGTAGGAAGGGGAGGTGTTTGAGGCAGTACAAAAGGCAGTGCATATTTTAATGAGGATTTTAGATAAGCGAATATTCTCCAACTTTCCCAATTTGATTGGCATTTAGCCCTCCTGGTAAACCTGTTAGTGACGAAGTCAGGAGTTTGGAGGAGGAGGCCAGAGATGTTGCGTTTGCTTTCACATGGAAAATGTGGTTTCAAGTGTACACTGACGGTCAGTAAGCTTGCTTGCAAAGCTGTGGGAACAGAGCGAGTCACTTGGAGGAAGTCGGAAACGTTTACCTGTTTTTGCATCCACAGCGAAGGTTAGTCATGCTGGAGGGTAAACTTCTACTCTGTGCCTCACTTCATTAGGGTGCGTTTTCTCATGTGTCAATTTTTAACAAGGCAATGCTTCTCTCTTTCTACCATTCATGGAGCGCGCGAGCTAAGCATTACCAGTCAAATCTAAGGCCTCGCTTCAGCAGGAAAGACAGGTTTATGAGTGCGTGCGACCAAAAATGTTGGCTATTAACTCTTTGCCGGTGACTAAGCTGTTGCAGGTGAGAATGTTTCAACGAAGTACCGATACCCAAAGTAGTCAGACTAGTAAATAGTTGATAGCGTGGAAGGACCCAGAACTACAACTTCCTGCAGTATCTCCACATCCTCCGTATTGAAGCCTTCCTCTGGCTTACGCGAAACTCCGCATATTAACATTCAACTTTTCAAGAAACGTACAAAATTTTCCATGCTTTTGTTTAAAATCGTCATTCTGCCTAAAGACCCTGTTGAGGCTGGGGATCTAGAAAGAGGCTAATCTCGTGGATGCCAAAGAGTAAAAAGACTAACAGTGTAATGTTTAAGGTAGCGACATAAAAATCGGCATTTACTTAATGGTAATGTCGTCCTTTTCCTTCCTCACTCTCCTCTCACTTTAAGCGTCGTCTGATGAACTGGTAGCGATAATCTCACTCTCTTGACTAACACTGACAGAAGTCTTTTCCAGTCCCAAAATTTTCCCTTCTCTGCTGTCAAAATGCGGTACTACCTCAGATCAGAGGAGACTGCTCAGTGAGTGCTTTTCCCTGGCACTAAAAGTAAGATTATGTATTTGTGCCAACTTCATTTTCCCCTTACAATGCACAGATCACTTTCGATGTCGGTCTACCTCAAAGCAGTAGGAAAAATTGTCCAAGTCCATTGAAGTTCAGCAAAGCGGTTAACTTGGAGGGATATTGAAGAGTCCAAATATTGTATAAAGTTGAATGCAATCAAACCACATGTATGTTTAGCCATTTCAGGAAAGAAAACGTGGTTTAGACGTGGCACTGGGCGTATGCGGCTTGAACACTCTGGGAAGCTTTTTAATCTCTAAGGCAGAATGCAATTCCAAATGGTGTAGTCTATAAAGTTTACGAATTGTCAAAAAGATTTTCATTATTCTAGTCATAACAGAGGGTGACATTAGTGCGCATTTACTGCTCCGATTTGACTGCATTCACATTTCAAAATGCAGAAGCCACGCAGCCATTTACTTCCAACTGAGTGAGGGAACGTTTGCAAAATGTTAATTTTTTTAATCAAGCAGAAGTATAATTTTCCCTAAAGTTGATGTTTTGCCCAACAGTAATCAGGATAATGTGATTGCGCATTTTGACTAAATTTAAACCTCTGCATTGACGAGCATTTTGGGTTATGGCAGATTAGCGCTTGCTCCTTTAGAATTGTGGATTCGCTGTCCCCTACCAACCCTAGGGGCAGCGAGAACTCCACCTTTGCCACCAAATAGCACACACGACTCCGAGTACCTTCAGATGATAGGCAGATTAGCAGCACTTATCGCGAGCATTATTGTTTCCTTGATTATTGGTTCCTTCCTACACATTCGAACGAATTAACTTCATGAACAATTCTCACTCAAACCCAAATGTACACTTCTCGCGCCGATTTAGCCCATAAGCTAGTAACAAAGCTTTCCACAAACTTCAGTAATCAAAATTTTTTCATCTTCCGCAGTAAGCACAACTGCGTGACTGTCTTTCAACACAAAATTAGTTATCAGCTATTGTTTTACTAATCAAAAGGCGCGAAAATTGTCGAGTTACCTTAGTAACGGTGTTTTTTGCTATAATTTTTTAACACATTATTTTGCGATATGCAAAGTTTCAACACAAGCAATTGTTGCAATGGGGGTGGGAATGTTGCGATAAAAATTCCTCTCCTTACTTCAACATTAAATTATGCATAAAATCTTAATTCGGTAGTCATTTCCGCCTTCAGTAATTTGATTTATGCTTTACTCTTAATAAACTACCCTTCTCAGATGGTAGGAGTCACGATAAACATCTGATGGAACAAATTTGAAGGTCGGAAACAAAAAGGAAAAAAACTAAGAGTGTTACTGAATTTGTCGCCAAAACCTTTGCCCTCTCTTTAGACTGGTGAGGTAATGAACTGGCCTTATGCATGACCTCCGCGTCCTCTGTACTGTAGGGGGCCTTGTCGACCTCTTCAGAGTCACGCCAAACCGAGATCTCCTACAAGCTAGTGGGTGGATGGAGTTGGGGTGCCGCAGGGGTCGAGTAGGTGTCAGAGGACGCATTTTGAATAAACTTAATCATGACCCGTTCGATAGGCGTGTCTTTGGGGTGGATACGAAGAGTCACAATGATCCTAGAAGCATTTTAATGTCGTTTTCCGGTATAATACTAAAGCGCATCGCAATTCCTATATCGACATGGCCCTTTCACGGGGGAGGCGAGATGCAAATCTTGAGGTCCATTTGCTGGTCTACGTTTACGTCCAGACTAGGCAGCGCACTGATGCTCATTTTCATATTTTCCAGATAATTTACCTTGGTAATGACCAAATTCAAGCTTAACATCCGGTAGTCTCATTTCATTTTGAGGGAGGTTTGTGTTCTGTGCCAAAATTTAATACTTATTGCTTCCTAATCAAGTTAAATCGGTACTGGCACAGATCGCCCAAAAGATGAGAAAGCTATCCTTTGAAAAGAAAAAGGAAGATTGGGCTTATGATAGTGTATGTCATGAGCGAAAGGTCTGTTGATTTGTCGACACATATTGTCTCAAGGAAGGGTAATCTCAGATCACCTTCCCTTGATTACGGCACAATTTATTCCCTCGCCCCTCTTTCAGTGGCTACGACAAGGCGATCAACCACTCTTGTGGTAAAAGCGAATTTTATGTCCACATTTTCTGCCTTCACCATCTGCTGCCTCCCACCGTCCATCTTAACGCCCTCCTAAGGCATTGGGTTGTGGGAACTCACAAGGGCTGCAAAGTTCCACAAGAAAAGCAGTTTTAACTTGTAATTTGATTGATCATTCATCCATATGGGATGCGCGGCTTTTGTCAATAGAACGGTGGAAAGAAAATGCATTCATCAGCGCCAGTCTAGGAGGCAGCCGCTCGCCGCCCCCTTACCTGCTCCACACTGTTGGCTACATCTTCTTGTGGCAAATGCGGTGCAGGCTTCCCTCTTCCCAATCGAGGGAAGGCCTTTTCTTGCTATAACTGTTAAAGTGGTGGTGGAATTTATTACTGACCAAACGTGGACTGAGGTGGACAAATGCGCAATAAGAAAATCCACTGTACTTGAAGAAAGTCGCAAACGACAACACTCATCCAGTCGTGCGGCCAAAGTTTCGCCCAACTTTGATTAGGAGAGAGGCAGTAATTTAGAAGAATTCACTGACAAAGGGAGGGGAAGAGAGCACTAAGTGGACCTTTTCCCTGCGATCTCTGTCCTTTTGATGCTTTCCAGAAAAAAAAGTTGACCACAAAATTTTGCTTAAAATTTATTGGCTCTAATGACAGTGCTTATGGCGGTAAGGCTGGTTAATGGATCATAGTAACCACTTTAGGTGTTACCTTCCGGATTTCCGTTACTCCATTTTTGTTGGTGGTGCTTGGGTGAAATTAACTGCTCCTTTGATAACTTGATAAGCAGGGTTAGGTGAAAGTGACCCCTCCATGCGGGGTAAGAAAGAATTTTTCCTTGCTTTCATGCACAAATCGGCTCACTGGAGAAGCAGAAGGCAAAAATAAATTGTACAGGTTATTGGGAGAACCTTCCGATGCCCTTCTAAACCTTCCTTATAGATTTAAGCAGTCTTGAGAGGTCTTAGGTTTAAAAAAAAACGTGGATTTTTTGGCGCATCGCCCGCCCCCTCCCCCCAAAAAAAGTTTTTGCTTTATTTCATAGGGTAAGTTATCATTTGTGTCTATCTGCCTCTTGCATTCTGGAAACTGAAGCCTTTAAGTGCTGCGCCTGGCGTTGATTTAACTCGGATGCATCGGAGTCAAATATCGCGGCCGTAAAGAACTGATGTGGAGCTCAACCACTTCATGCCTTTATGGCACAGAACACTCACATCTAAGGGAGTCACACTGACCGGAAGGGCCCGCGGTCTCCTTGGCTGCAGCATTTTTGCTCAAACAGAGTGAACGTGATAAAAATGCAATCGACAGAGTCGAAAGCGCCCAGCCTCGGTAAAGTGGAGAGCCCCGACTGAGGGTGACCAAAGGCAGCCAACGTCTCCCATGCTTGCACCGACATCATACGTTAGACCGCCTTGAGATGAATCACAAAACGCTCCATTTTGCCCATCACTCCCCACTTCCATTCCAAAGGATTTATATTAGCTTCTGACTCTGATATTTTGGACACATTTAATTTGTCAGGAAATTCCTTTGCACAATTTTTAAATCGCCACTCAATTATCACAAAAATAATAAGAGCCTTCACAATTTCTCAAAAATAGGAATGAGGAGATTTCCAACTGAGGACCTCCCTCAGTAGCAACAATGCGCATGAAAATGCCTGCGTTCCCTTTCACACTCGCTTGCCTCCTCTCATCTTTTTGCAATTCTTTGAGACCCAAAGCAGACCACCAATGCATACAGCTTTGATCGAAAGTAGCAAATCCTTCCCTGTTTCAAGTTTTCAAAATGAAGACAAAAATTTCAAATTAATTAAATTTACCATAAATGAGTGCTTTGTATTTGAAAAAGGACGTTTTACAACTTAAAGTTATCAATGTAAGGATTTTAGTTAATAATGCGTTTACAATTAGTGAATTCGAGCCACTTCTTTGCCTACTCCAAGTCTGTGCGATTTTCACTTTCGATGGGAAAACCCATAATTTGTGGGTACATCCGCCTCTGCGCCTCAAACGCAATTTCGATGAAGCAAATGAACCAACGGCGAGGTATAACACCAACATATTCGACCCGATGCGCATGAAAAGAAACGGGAAGGAGGAATGAGGGCATTATGGGGAGTTGTATACTCGGTGCGTTCCCCTAATGCATGCCTCCGATTTGTCCGTTTGAGGAGGAGGAGGAGGAGGAAGAGAAGGGGTTTTGCAATTCCGTGTTCTCTTAATGTGCTCTGTCTCCCTTGTGCTATCGTTCCCTTTTCCGGAGGAGGCTTTTCAAACGCGTCACAAAAACTGCCAAACCGACACATGGGCTCTTTCGTTTTCTCCTAGGAAAGAAGTAGCACTGCTTCCTTGGTTTGTAGCTAATCGAGTTGTGCACTCAATCTAACTGACTCCAGCTCTTGCCAGGCTGATTTGAATAGATGCAAGGCAAGTGGAAGCGCAACTTAACTGCTTAATCATTCTTGCAATGAGACAAAAATGGTTCTGCTTTAGTTTGGTTTCCCTGCGCATCAAGGTGAACACAGAGGAGCGACCTGTGAGAACAGAATTGGTCGCCTTCGATGCTATCACTTCACCGATCTGTAAGCCCATCTTTTGGAGTATTTATTTTCTTTATCCTTGCTAACAGACATTGGCTAGAATGAGCAGTAGAGGTAGAAGATATGGCGAGATGTATCCTTTGCTCCGGCATCAGACTGCCGTGTTTACAATTAATAACTTTTATACAATTTGAGCAGGAAACAAAAGACCTATTGTTCTAGCACAGAAAATAATAAAGTCCTTTTTATTGCGAGGATGCGTAGAAAAATGCATAAGTTTATAAATACCTTAAATTCCCAAACACTGCGTTTCACGTGGTAGTTGTGACTATGTGCCAAACTTGATCCGTGAGCTGTGAAGTTTCATTGCCTTCAAGTTGAGACAAGGTAAAGTTACTTAAAATGAACTTGAGCAGGATTTGGAGGTGTGAACGATGCAACCTCAGGTCTATGAATTAGGTCAGTGTGGTTAAAGAATCACTTGATCGTAAAGAGGGTCTTCCGAGAGCAGAGCAGAGCAGAGCTGAAAACTTGTAAACTGATATCAAATAGTCTTTCAATGAGGAAAAGAAAATTCGGACTTCCTTCAGATATTAGAATAGAAAAGTATTTACAGCACAGTGGACCATCTTAAAATAGACGTCTTTATGCAGTAATGGAGCAATCAATGACTGAAAGTTAGCATGCAACAGAAGCAAGCGTAAGTGATAGTTAATCGCGTGGAGGGTGACCCTGTTTATCAGTTCTCCGGCTCCACACATACGAATCCACTCCCATTTGAACGCATAACACTCAAAAATTAAGCTACCGCTCTCAATCACCTGGAGTCAATAATATATCGTGAATCCTTCACAGTCACTTACGAATCTGCCTACAGGAACTGGGTTGAGAATTGCCACATCTGAATTGACTATTCAGGTGGATCTTGCTCTTAAAATATCTTATCTTACTTGGAACAGAGAACCCCAACATTCGCCACGTGCTGTGCCTCAACAAAGCAGAAAACCTCAGCCTGCACAAGTCGCTCTTGTCGCGCGGCTACTTAAAACGCATCAGTAGCATTTGACGCGTTTGATCACATTTTTGTTCGACCCTTTCAGCTGAATTTCTGGGCATCCTAACAAGCGGCATCGCGGGAGTGCTTGCCCTAATCACCCTGTGGAGAGTCCTGGAGGTTAGAAGGATCCTCTCGCTTCGGGCCCTTGTGTATGTTACTCCTCGTTACGTAGTGACCAGGATTGCAATCGTAACAGCTTTGGAAATATCATCAGTGACATTCCAAGTGGTAATCTAAATGTTCACACTGGCTGCGATTGCGTTAAGGGACATCGTTAAAAGCACCATAACGTGATGACTCACTCAACCCACACCCTCCATAAATGACACTTAATTCGGCTACGACACAGAAGCGCCTCCAACGCTAAAACCGGTAGGGTTGACTCCCTGCAAGGTCACAATAGGTGCATTGACCTTGAAATATTCCAATTAGAGCCACAACCATAGTCTCTTTCTTTATTTCAGCGAACAAGTACCCAACGATGGCCTAATTAGTGAAGTAGAACCGACTGTGAACTACTTCAAGACACCCTCCATCACAGCGTGAAGTACAAAGCGACTCGCGGTCCTGTACATAGTGACAAACACTCCTCCCTCTGCCTCCTTCTCAGCTCCACCACTCCTCGTCTAGTCTAGACCAATATTGTCCTTTTGATACGTGTAAATGGAAAGAGACGAAAAAGGTGTACAACGCAAAGCACTTCAACTTTCTTCAAGGTGGATAAAATCGAACAAATAGGATGAGTAGTGACTATGGCATCTCAACAACCAGCCTCCAACCTGCCATCGCTCGAACCTCAGGTTTTCGAATCACCAAAAGAGCGGACCGACTTCCATCCATAGTGGAAGAGTTTGCCTCCGGAGGGGAGTAAAAGAACTCCACATCCCGCTTGTGACCCTGCTCCGAGGTGGTTGTCATATAAACCCGATTCGGTTTCGTCATCTGAGCGCCCATTAAGACAATACGCTCGATGTACGGCGTATCAGCATCATTTTGACCTTGAAGGAGAGCAAACTTGAACACATAGCTGCGATTCTCCCGGAAGTAGTCCATTCGGTAGAGGCGGGACTGATCACGATCCTCTGAATGGAAGTCGTCCATATAGAGGTGACCGGTAGCATTAGCCCAATCGGTGGATTGGTCTAGAGCCACGAAAATGGTGTAGGGATCATGAAGCATCATGGCAGAAGAGCGTCGTGGACGCGCCTTCTTGGGAATGATGTAGCCACCACGGTAGAAGAGGGGGATAGTTCGCAAGTCCACTGCCAGTCTCACCACTTGGGCACCAAAATAAACCTTCAAAAAGAGTTGCAAGTGATGCCAATGAGATTCCACGGAAGTCGTCACTATCAAGACTCACCTTCCAATCGTCATGAAGGTACCATGTACCCTCAGGCAAGTAGACGTCAACACTGGAGGCGCCCTCATGCACCACGGGGTGAACGAGGAGGCCCTCACCCACCATGAAGGCATCATCAATGCTGAAGGTGTTCTCGTCAGTAGGGAAGTGGTAAAAAAGTGGCGCCATCGGGATTAGGGAGGTGGCCTCACTGAGAGCAAAGAGGGTGTACCAGTAGGGTAGCAGAGAGTAGCGCAGTCGAAGAGCCTCCCTATTTGGATACAGAAATAGGAGGAATGGGAAACTAGTAGTGGTAGCAGAAGTATAGAGCAATTTCAAAGGAGTAATAATGATGAGGTCCCTAACCTAACTTAAAAGCGAGACGATACACCATTGGACTTAAACTTTGAAGGCGGATAGCAAAATGGCATTGAAAAAAGGACCAGCTCTACCGAATAGCATCAAGGTATTTCTGTTCATAGTTCCACGGCTCACGCTTCGGTGTATCAATGTGGGCGTGGGAACGAAGGAAGGGATGGAAGGCCCCAGCCTGGTACCACCGTGTGTACAGCTCGCCAGAGGGGTGACCAAAGAAGCCGCCTACATCGGAGCCGCAGAGGGTGAGACCCGTTAATGACATACTCAAGAGCATTGGTGTGGAGATCTACAGAAAAGGAAGGAGAGAAAAGAACCAAGCTGAGTCTCTTTGGTCCTGGTTGCGACAACTTGGTAACCCCATCGACAGCCTACCATTTTCCGAATAGTTATGATGAACATCCAGTAACGATCAGAAAAGTTAAACGCCTCACAACATCAAACCATTTAGATGCACGAGACAATCAGATGAGGTCAGACTTTGTGCTCCTGGTATGCATAGTCCCTTATTATCTACGATCGTCATGAGGGAATAATTCGGCTGAAAAGATGACCTGGAGAAACAATGGGTTAGAGGGTAAACCAGCCTACTACAAAAAAATGGTGATAAAATGCTGACCGTAGCAACAATGCCACTGGTTTCATTCAATTGCTACTAATGATAACAACTTTGTGATTAGATTAGTTAGCCATAGCTCATTTGTACGCAATTTAAGAGGTCATTCAGTTAAACACGTTTGCGGTAGAATCGAAAAACCGACTGAATGCTAAGTAGGTCGACTTTGACCCGAATCAAGGATGATTTTGTTAGACAAGAGAGTAAACGTGCCTGGAGGTGATCCCATGATGCAGAGTTATCCCCAGTCCACACGGCAGCCGTGCGTTGGGAGCCGGCAAAAAAGGCGCGCGAGAGAACAAAAGGCCGCTCTTTGCGATTGGAGCGTCGCAAAAGACCCTCCCACGTAGCATTGTGCACCCAGAGCCCGTAGAGGTTGTGCAAGTCCCGGTTTTCCCACACTCCGCCAAACACCGTGTCCTAGACGCCAATCGATCGGCAGCCAGGTGACAGTAAAGTGAAGTTTTTTCCATCTCCTATGAGCCTCCAACTTTCAGATAAGTTGATAATTTTACCTTAAAACTGGTGCAAACTAGCGAATCTTCGGGAACAGGAAGAAAATGTAGACATTTATGCAATAAAGCTAAAATCTCCTCGTGAATTCGATAATGCCTTCCTGATCACTAAGCAAGTTAGCAAGGTGATTTTGAGGAGGTACGCCCTTGGAGATGAGTAGGACGTGGGATGGAGAATGTTCCTAAACAAATATTACAACCGATTGGGTTTAGAAGATATAGTTACGGAGGATAAGTGTTGGCTGTGGATGACTAAATGCATAGGTCGAGTGAAAGACTACCACACAGTACAAAATGTCTGCATTAACTTGCGCGTTAGATGGAGTTAAGGACAAGTTATTGAAACTACCAGATTTGACGGAAATCAAACGTGGGAGATGGTTTTGTGGTCCAGTCCACGGCCTAACAACCAAACCTCTTAGACGTTACATACGTAGAGTGAGTTCAACTCACTCAAATACTGTTACGCATACCAACAGAGAAATGCTTACGGGAATCGCCAAAAAAGGTTCAATATAAATGGAGGAGCTTCGTTATGAAACGACTTGGATACCATGCTAGTTTCAGCACAACTTACGATCCCTGCCCCCAAGTGCTTTCATGTGATGACAATGGTATCGATTTTTGACCAACAATAGTAAGTGTGGGGAAATGGATTTACCTTCGGGATAGTGACCTCGGCTCCACTGAACACTGAAGGTTCATTCATATCATTCCAACAGTGAAACATCCGATCCTTGCTTAAAAAGTCCCCGCCAGTAAAGAGATCTGCCCACCAATCAACAACCTCAGGACGATAAAAATCCGGCCAGTAGCTCGATCCCGGCCAGCACCAGCCATCAAAATCGGTTGTGTTATCTACTCTTTTCACAAACAGACCCTCCGATTTGGCTCGCCTAAAATTGGGAAAAACGGAGGCTTATGAAACCAAAAGAGTTAGGATGTGACTTACGAGCATGTGGACCAGGAATGATCTGCTTTTATGTGAGGATCCACAACTACAACGAGTTTGCGCCCATTGACGTCCAAATCGTCAACAATACCATCAGGAGAGGGGAATCTTGCTGTATTCCAAGTGAGATAACGTTTGTCATTAGCATATTCGATATCTAACCAGAGAACGTCCATGGGTAGGTTGTGTTTGTTGTAATCGTTATTAATAGATTTCATCTCCTCTTCATCACGATAATTCCAGCGACACTGGTGATGCGCTAGAGCGAAGAGAGGAGGCAATGGAGTTGAGCCGGTGAGCTCCGAATAGGCACGAAAACCAGAGCGAGGGTTATTAGCAAGGATTACAAATACGTCGAGAACACCAGTTTCAAACATCCAACGAGTCTTGACGAATGGGTTCGCGTGTTTCGCTCTGGTGAATAGATTAGATAATAAACCTCCACCGGAATCAACCTCTCTGGAAGATTCCACATCAATCCAGGATTCTGATGGATTATTGATGAACAAACCGACAGTGCTATTTGTACTATGAGCCCACATTAGAGGAATGGACCCGTAGAGTGCCATGGGGTTGTTTAATTCGTATTCAAATACGTCCAAATTGTAGAGGCGGTATGGGTCAGTTTGATTGGTATTTCGCAGAGCCAGACTGTCTGCATGCTCAGGAATACCGTAGACGTATTCAAATCCGTGAAAGGTGAAATCAGCTCCGACGGAGGTTGGACCGTGTGGCCTTGAGTCTCGATGGCCTTTAAAGGATTCTGACCAGTCGACTGGGACACGCTCTGTCGGAGGGGGCTTGTATACTTCATCACTTTGTGTCACTTCACTGTTGTTCGGTTCACTTACAGTCCCGTTTTCAGATATGGAATCGGCTACCATCTCAGTAATGACCAACCTTTCTTCAAATTGTTGCTCAAGTTGATACTCGAAATTAAGCAAGTCTCTCTCATTGATCGTTAATTGAAGAGCGTCGCCCAGGAAGAATGAGACTCTAAAAGGACTGAACCCAATAACAGCTCTGTCTTGGTGTTGTCCAAAAAGAACTGCCTCCAACTCCATCCTGTGCACCCTCAAAGGTATGACTTTAGGTTCTCGAACCAATGCGTCACCAATCCTAGGACGAAACCGAGGTCGAATCGGATCAGCTTCATCGAGAACCAGTCGAAAAGTGAGGTTAGGATGGTAACTAATAGTTGCGTTGAGGCGCTTTTGTGATTCCGAGTCAATGAGTTGAAAATGAACACAATCGTCAACCCGGAATTTTGCAGCGTCGACACTATATTTCGGTGCAGATGGCCAAAATGTCCTCTGACGCATGCAAAACGAACTCTCGCTGCATGTCCTAAAGTTGCTCCGATCAACACACAAGACTCGACTAACAAGGACGATGAAGCAGAAAAACCACATCCAGTCGGCGGGATAATGCGGCCCCCGAGTTAGCAAATTTGCCAGTGATTGGCTATCACACAGCGAATCATGAATGGACAGGATGAAGTTTGGTAAAATAACAATGGAGCAGGCGGTATAAAAAATTAAAACTATCATTCCAAGCATCTGGTTTCAGTTAGTTCGTCTTTACATCACGTTGTGGTATTTATGAATGCAAGTAGATTCCATTTTAAGCAATGAACAATCAATACACAAATACACCCAGTGGAAAAAGCTGTGCCATTTCTAAATTCAAAATGGTAGGGTACACTTCGGAGAACACGGTCTCCTCCAGAGACTGATCATTTGTGATGATGGTATGGGCGTTCACTTATAGCTGGCACACGTTTTCAGAATTGGCCCTGACACGGGAAAACGGTGATTAGGCGAGCTTCTCTGCTATTATTAATTAATCGCAAGTTCTGTGTTCAGTCGCAACAGTCATTTCTTAAATTTCATCTGTCGGTTTGCGGGAAATTTGCAAAATATGAGCTCTCTTTATAATCAAGGCACAAACACTACTCTCAGTGTTTCTTTCGTCACGTTGCTAAGAGGATTTTTTCAACTTTCTAACAACCGAAAGTTTAAGTAAATTTTTAAACAAGGCGCGTTTCTAAAGCCCCAGTCCTTCTTATAATTGATCAGTTATCTTTATTAAAACGTATTGTGCATTATTCAGTTTGTATTCAAATTTGTACAGGTGTGTTTATGTGTGATGGCTAGGCTTCGTTAATGTCACACGCTGATTTTATTTTTATTATTATGTCTGCCTTTTACCTGGTATTTTCGTTTCAATACTTCTCCTTTGATGGTTCTGGTAAAATTGATATTTCAATGCTTAAAGTCAGTCATTTCTCCAAAGTTTTTACCCTTGATTTTGGTAGTGTGAGGGCTGGACCGTCGTTATTACTTTTCCGCCGAGTGGAGTTTTCGAACCGTATCCCTAATTCTGGCTACCGTATGGAATAACCGGTACTGCATTTGTTTTCCATTTCAATAGGAATGTCAAAACCACCCCGATCCAGTACTTCGAAGAAGGTGCAACATCAGTCGAACGGGATAACTGCTGAACATATAAATGGAAGAGTTCACTTGCCTCTCCTTCTCCCTAAACCGCCTCCTGTCCTTGTCGAAAATTCTGTACGTCATCTTTCATTAAATCAATAACCTCTCCTCTTTTGCTTATGAATACCCTTTCACTAGGCTGTTGCTGCTGCTCCTTCAATCGTGACAGAGCAGGCAAATGAGATTAAACCGCGTCGACGAGTTGTGCGAGGGAGGCGGAGAAATACGAAAAACTGTAAAACCGACAAGTCTGCCACTGTTGAAAATGGCATCGGGTCTCTGCCTGTCACTACTGAAGGCGCTACTGTGAACGGCGAGAACAGCTCTTCCTCCCGTGTTACAGAATCCGCAACTCAGATGAGTGGTGCCGAATGTCAGGCTAATTATGAGGAGTTTGTACGTACCTTCGCTGTTCCAACTCATCTTTATCGCTATCTGGCTACTCGGCATCGAATCAGACCTACCCACTTAACCAGAAATCTGAGATACATGCACCCTACAGGACAGCACTGTGGTAGACGAAGAGGTGAGTGATTGTTCTATTAGCCGTTGTCTTGGAAACTTTTTCTGTATTTATGAACTTTTTATTCCTTTCTCTACACAGAGACTCTTGCAGAAGTGGTTACTCGGCTTCTATCGACAGAGGCGATGCAATCAGCTGGCTTGTCGCGACCGAAGCGTTCAATTAAGTCGGGCTCTAGTGGTTCTCCTGTTGGCAGCAATGCTCTTCCCGCGGAGCATCAGTGGCCTGATGAGATCGAAATTATCATGGAGGGGTTCTTCGATAGTGAAAAGGAGAATGATTGGGTTACTGTGGAGGTAAGAACTGTGGTCTGGTGGTTACTCATCATACTTTACTATCGATTTGAAATAGAGGTGTTTAGTTTTGCTGTTTGGCCGTTTAATCCACCCATATGGGTAACATTATCCTTTCTATTGAAACAGCCATCACTATCAATGTCGAGATGTGCTTTCAGGTGCGGCGGAGGACTTTTACGTCTCCTATACGATGCAGAATGACGGCATACAATTCTAATCACTGTAATTTCCACGTTTCGCTTTACTGTTTAGAAATTGCGCATGTAGGAGGAAGTCGTGACAAATTCAGTCTGGTTGATCAGTACGACATGTCAATTCTGGCAGGTCAATTCTCTTTGGGAATTTAGGCATGTTATGTCACAGTGAAGTGAAGATGGCTTCTTCAAAGTAAATGAAAGATATGGAAGCTCAAAATACTCCATTTCATCATTCGGTTGGTGTAAGTACAAATGTTTCTTTCTCAGAGTCGTCGAAGAATGGATTACACAGGTATGTGATGCATGTGATGAGATCAGGGCACTTTGAAAGATCATTTGGCTACATTCATCATTTTTATGGATGAGGTGATTGGATTGAGGCTTTGCCGGCAATTGAGGATGCGCATAAGCTGTGCAAGTTTTTGTCGCCTCTGCTGGACCTTCTACAGTCAATTTAGGATGACTGCGTTTGGTCTTTCAGGCTTCTGCTCACAAGTCTTTCACAGTGCTGTAAAGGAATTCCTGTCTGCTTGTTTCTGTTGTGGCTGAATCCCTTTGAAGCGACGACGAATTTTCGCGGTGCGAACATTAAATTCCCTGAAAAATATACAGTTTTTTAGCAACTGGGATGTTATTTCAAAGTGCCTTTGCTTTGTATGCATTCAAGGGGTCGGAAAGGTTTGCCATTTTTGTGCTTTTGGAAGAGGTACTTGGGAGATGAATTTTTTCTTTGTGTTATTAGTTTTTGTTCTTTTGGTCGGTTTATTTTTGATGATTCATCTACTCCTGTAATTCAGTGTATGGTGCTGTTGTGTTAGCATACATTCTCATGAAGGGGAAAGGATGAGGGAAGGTGAACTTCTTACCTTGGTGATGAATAAGGTTTGCAGCCTGTCTAAAGCGTCTGGCTGTATTCGTTTACTTTCGTGCATCGTAGAGCACGAGTACGCGTTAACCTGTGGACGTTTTATTGAATGTTGCTTTCTTGCTATCTTGGGTCATCCACCTGATCGGATGCATGTTAAACCTGACTGATGTCAATCATGTTTGTCTCATTTTGTTGAGTTTACACAGATTTTGAAGGTTAAAAGCTTCTTGGTCATGTTTGTTGTATGACATTTGGAAAAGCTGAGGAGTGCAGTGGTCCAACGTATCGTCTGGAAAATATCTGCCAAATTGAATTCCATTTTGATGACTGTTTTGTATGCTTGTCTGTTTGTCTAGTGGTCTCTGCACAGCCGTTAATTCGCTGATAGCAAAGCAGCGTCTATGGTCGAAATGCACCTGTTCCGTACCACTTAACGTTTAGATGTGCCAGAATGACTTCCTCATAAACAGCAGATGTTTATGAGTCAGAGGTTTTCTTGTTCTCTCAAGAAAATGCATGACCACATGTTGTAAGGATACAGGTGAAACTTCTTCATAGGCTACTTTAGAGCAAAGACTTTGGCTTCCGTTGTCATTAGCGCTTATTTAACTGACAGCATGGTCCTGATCGTAGAGGTCAAATGAGGTTTTCGTGAACACATACTTGGACCATTGATAATCTCGACTATTTACGTTATAAATCTGTCTGCTCCAGGCTTTTTGTAACTGAGTTACTAACACCGTTACAGATGACTCGTTCTCTTTTGTTAAGTCCTCAGTTAATCTCTTCTCTCGTGTCGCCTGGGCTTGGCGTCGCAACTTCTGTCCTCTGGACTCCCTTGTTCTCGTCTCACGCGATGTTGCCTGCAACTGCAATGGTGAGGCTCCGTCTGCCTCTGCTACTCGTCCCCCTCTTGTCCCTTCCGCTCGTTTCCGCATTGTTGACGTGCTGCGCACTGCTGCAGTGCTGGATAACGCTCCTCCTACAGATGCTCTCATCTCCACCATCTGCTCACGCGTCAATAGCGCTCAACTCGAACTAGAAGTACATGTGATCGAACGACGCCGAGCACGACACATAAATGGCGCGGAAGCGGGGGAACCATTGGGGCAAACCGCTTATCCAGTGGTCTACTCTACCTCCTCGTTGCCTCTTTTCTTCACTCCTGGTAAGTTTGAGAATTAAACTGATCCTCATTAACTCACTCTCTTTTAGAGCCCGGATCAACTGCTAGTTCATTCCTACTCACTCCGGGTATCTACGAGCTCCGTTTAGGCATTCAAGCGGCTCCCATCCCCATACCAGAAGACTGCAGAGCTCTACCAATCTCACTACCTTCTAGATCGGTTATGGCTCTTGAGGGTGGAACACCCACTGCTGGTAATGGCGACCACCGAGTGGGATTTCAGGGTTCTTCCTCAATCTTTCCAAGGTTCCCTAAGGGCACTGCTTGTGCAGCGCTGGACGAGTACTCCCGATGGCCACACTTACGGTTCCGTGTGATTTGGCATTCTGTTTCCACCTTCGCTCCCTTTCCTGTCTCTATTCAAAGGCCACGTAAGTTTGTAGATCTATATTTGAGATCTCCTTCCTTTCTCAACCAATTGTGTTTTGTAGATATGGTGAAGAGCACTCGAAATCCTCTGAAACGCTTGCTGTCGGAATTGGAAGGGGGTCCTCCATCGAAGGTTACGAAATTTCAACACCAGGACGAGGTGGAGCCGGTGAAGGCTGAGGAGGAAGAATCAAACGCCTCGAATTCCTGCGGCTTCACTTCGACTTCTATTGATGTAATCTATCTCTTCTTTTATGGTGGCGATGAGAAGCGTATTCTGCAGTGGACGAAAACTCGAGACATGATTTGTCCCTGGTGCAAGCTGGAGTGTCGTCGAGGTGGTAAGCTTGCTACTTGCTCTTATCCTGAGAAAAGTTGAAATTCCTACGATTGAAGGTAAAAGCCTTAGGAAGGTATTTGTATTTACTTGGATTTCTGATTTATCGGCCAGTGGATGCGCTTCGTCCAAAACAGAAATCTTGGCTGCAAAAGCGTTAAAAGTATAGAAAATGAATTGAATTGTGAGGTTGCACTGGTCATTTGTTTCAGAATATAGGTGCAGCTATTGTATATTGAGAGGGGGCGTAGTAACTGGCGTTGAAGGTAATTCCAACGTCAGCATCAAAGTAGTAATGGTAGCTATCCGATTCGAGGTATAATATGGAGCAGAAACCTCTCTAATTCGGCATCTCGTGGGGTAGCATTGATTACGTCTTCACTCTTTCGTTTTTTTTGCATCACATTGAACTGTACTCCACCAAAATAATTTATAGGTGGAACCTCAATTTAAGTTAGGCTTCCTCTCTCCTAAACGAGTAGTTTTTGGACTTTTAAAAGTTCATCCGTCCATCTCGCTTATGGACGGAGACAGTGTAAGTTTGTAAAATTCGTAGGACTGTTATCTATTGTTTGCAGGGTTGAATGGTCTTTCAAATCGTCTATCTTTGCATTTGAGGCTCTTGTTTCTACTATTCCTGCATTGTTGATCAAGTGAATTCTGTGGAATGTGTAAACTTGGTGAAAATATGTTAAATCTTTCGGCCTCCATCTTCTGTGGCTAAAGCAGTGCTGTTGTTGCCTGTAAAATACCCACTTCAATGTCACAATCCGCTGTGAGAGGTCTTCTTTCTCAGCTTAAAATACAGGCCACCACATGGTGTCGCGGTGTTGCTGTGCCACGTGGCTCCAATGACCCTAGCGGCAAAACAAAACAAATTGTCTGAGAGAAAATTCCCTTTCTCTATTCAATGGAGTTCAGCTGTCTGGACCTGTAGAATCAATCTGTTGGGGTTGGTGTTAATACAATTAGTCGTTATCAGCTTGTCATAAATGTATTTTCTTCAGAACAACAGTATGCGAATACGCTGTGCTCTGTTGCTGATTCATTGATGCCTAATGGTTGAGCAGTTGGCGAACCCGTTTTCCCCAGTCTCCTTGTGTTCCGCCATGCGCATGGCTGGCCTTTCCACCTATAACAGTAATCTGGAGTGGAGTGACGGATACTGTTTTTAATTCTACAAACCAACTGAGTCACCTGGGGGGATTTAGTGTCGGCGCAATCGCAGATTTATGAGTTGGAGATTGATATACTTGGTGGAAGCATTACGAGTTCTTGTAAATTTATTTCTAGTGACATTGGGCAAGAAACAATTATTTTTAGACCATCGTTCAATTTTCTCCGTTCATCCCTTGGCGTCAGTTCACGAACCCAAAATGTTTACTCTTGTCTTTTAACAGACAAAGTATATCCCAGCTGTCTAATGGCACACCTCCGCTGTTGTCACCCTCGTTTCCGTTTCTCCGGATCCTGGCAACGCGAAACTAGTCAGCTCGTGCTTGAAGTGACCTTGGACGAGAGCTATGACGGCTCTAATGACTGTGTCCCGCGTACCTACCGCCCAAGCACAAACAGCGCGCCTGATAATGGGGTGGACGTGTGTCTGACTGAGACGTCGGCTTCACGCAATCCACACCACCTCCCCCTGGTTGGCGGGTGGACGGGTTACTGTGGTGAGGCCGAAAATAATCTTCGGGACGCGAGAAAACTTGCCACATCGCGATTCCTCCAGCGGCGGCGTCGACAGCCCCTCAAACGTCTACCGTTCAGTCAGCTCATTTACTGGCGAGGGGTGGAGCGATTTTCTGGCTCCGGTCAAGAGGTAGGCCAATAGCGGGGCTCAGGGCCTTGTTTTTTGGCATTCCTTTTATTTTTGTTTCCCTACTCCAGTTTTTATTGAATTTAATCAACAACTTTTAGTAGGAGTCTGTTGAAATAAACTATTCAGAAAATAGAAGAAATCTGTTGGGAGGAGGAGATTTGGTAGTTTTAGGTATGATTTTTCTGGTCATTGATGAATCCCTTTTGTAGTAATCTCCTCTATTTGCCATAGCTCACTGGAGAGATAGCTTCAATGTCAGCCGCTACAGCTGCAGCAATGGCGGTGGCGGTGGCAGCGGCCGGTCCATTGGAGGTGGGTCACAAGCGAGTGTACTTTCATACCACCACTCTGCAGCCTATCGAACCAACAGCTTTCGATGACTGCGACTCCGAGGACGAGGACGCGCCACAATGGCTACGCGATCATTACCAGCGCAAAGTAGAGGAGTTCACAGATGTCAATAAAGTGCGTTTTTTTTTGAAGGCTAAGTGAGGCAATGCCTTCTCTGCTTTTTTTTCTACCGACCTTTGAATTGACTGCTTTGTCATTCTTAACTTTTATTGGAGAAAATGCATTTTTCCCGTTCCGAATTTCTATTCGCATTCGTCGTTTAGCTGTTAGAATGCGGGCAGTCATATTTGCAGTCCACCACACCGCTATATGTGGTGCAGCAGTGCATGCCCTAGAATTGTGGTGAGAGGAGTAAATGAATCGTTTGAAGCTAACGGTAATCCACTTACTAAACGCTTGCAGATGAACTGAGAATTTGCGATTGTGCAAACGAAAGTAGAAGAAAGCTTCTGTTCTTCACCCGTTACTGATGCCTATGTATGAACTCAGCTGCTCGAAGTCTAAACGAGCGAGTTGATCAATGTTTGTGGTTTTAAACAGGAGTTTGAATGTGTCCCCGAGTACGTCGTTCTCGAAAATGGCGAATGAGTCATCTCTCGGTTCTGGCTTGGTAGTACAGTAGGTCACCACATTCTCCAGCTCCTCCTCCTGAATAGTAAGTTTAATAAGATGCATTTGCGTTTGGAACCGACAGATAAGAGTCAATCCCATCCTTCTGATTTTATCCACCATTTGTTAACATGAAGATGCGTTCAAGTTAGCGGATGGTGAGGTCTGCAGCGGCAGACCTCACTGGCTTTTTTCACTTTTGCAAGCCCCTAGCCAAATTCGTCCTCTGAACGCCTTCACCACAATGCATCAATGGTCTCATTTTTTCGCTCATTGGCCACCGTTTTTTTTCACGGTATGCGGGATTAGGATACTGTGAATTTGTTTCTGTCAGTTTGGGAATTGAGGTCGTTTCATTGTCTGCATTGCTGAGACCTTGGAAACGGATTTCATCAAGTTCATAAGACATGGTCAAGTACTCTTTCAGCCAATCAATCCGACTAAGTTGGCGTCCATCAGCACGCCCTATTGGCAGCAAGTGAGCAATCGGGGTGACACCATGTAAACCAAAACCTGTCATTGACGTTTTGACATTTTGTTTACTTTATCTTCCTTTGAAGTGGTGTGTCAGATTGATTCTCTGAAAACTCTGATCTTTGGTTGGTTAACAAGCGCAGAACAGTTGAGTGTATACCCTTTTTTTGTTTCCCTCGTATCTTCCCTCCCTTCTAGGGTGAGAAGGAGTTTATGCAGATCTGGAACGCCTTCCTCCTCTCCATTCGACCCTCTGAGACTGTTGTCAGTGATAGTCAAATGGGTCACTTGCTCCTTGCTTTCGTCCGACGCTATGGCAATCGTCTGCACTATCATCACCTCCGCAACAACTTCATTCTCCACCTTGCCAATCTTTACGACTATGGTCTCTTGGCTCCCAGTCTCATGCGTAAAGTCACCTGCGCTTTCGATGATTTGAAATCCTCCTCCCGTTAGGCCTGCTCCCCTTGTGTTTACAAATTGTACTTATGCACACCTCATCTTCCTTCCGTCCTAGCCTCCCATTTTGTACTCCTTTCTCCGGTTCTTGTACCCTTATTACTTACTTGATACGTGTAGGCACAGGACAACAGAAAGAACGACGCTTCATCCCAATGGGGAGGAGAGACGCTTATTTACGTATGTATGTATGTATGTATAAATTAGCGCATTTATTAGGCCAATGCACATTATGTATATTTTTTTTACAATACATGCATACTGGAACTAGTAGGTGGTCAGTTTTCTGCACTTTAGTCTTCTTTTTTGTCCTTTAAAAGAAAACGTTTGCTTGCGAGTAGTTGCGTACTTCAGTCAGATCTCCTCACGGATGACCATGTTTTGCAGGCGGCTCGTGGTGGTGGGATCGATGTTGACGCACTAGGGAAAAGAGGATGAAGAAGCAGGAAAATGTAATCTATTCGCAGGACAAAACAGGAAAACGAAACAGACTGAGTCAATGATCCTCTTAGCTGCCTAGCTAAAGTTTACAAAGTGGTCTGAAGCGTGCCTGCCCGACCTGATTGGCTGGTTGACTGATTGGTTGAGCCTTGGCGCTTGTCATGGATGTTTCCCTTTATTTTTTTCTACAGGATTCCTACCTCTCCTCTGTCATATCGTCTGATGCCTTTTCTTGGGCAGTGCTCCCAAAGTTTCTATTTGTCAGCAAGGTATTCTTTGTCTCAAAACGGATCCCTTGCTCAGTAGCCCCAGAATGAAGGCACCTGATTCGTAGGCCTCTGCCTTTAACGTACCACTAGGATAGTCATTCAAACAGCATCAAATGCATCTGAGCGTTCTAGATCTAAGCGCTCTTTTGCCCATCATTCGCAGATGCGACTTAGCAGTCTGCAAAACTGATAGATCGCAGCCGAATCACATTACGAGGGTCTGCCTAACACTATGACTCAGTAGCGCCATCAGGAATAAGTGGCTATTTTTCCTTTCTTTACTCTCTCTCCTGCAGCGATCGGGGATGGTTCGACTTTCTTAGCACCGCTTGAAGTCAGCCCTTATAAACCGCTCTCACCTACGTCATCATGAAATTCACTGTGATTTCGTGCCACTTCCGGAACAGTGATGGGAGCATTTTCTTGAAGTTTGGTTGAGTACAGCAGGTCGAGATCATGGTGGCATAATACCTCCCGCAAACAAGGCAAGTACGGCAAGAAACTTGGAATGCAAAGACTTATATCCTTAGTTCCCTAATGATGATGCCTTTGCGACCTTGGCAACAGATACTTTGCATTTCAGTTATTTTGAGGTGGTGAGTGTAGCTGTCAGCTCAGCAGTCCTGCCATAAAGGGGGAGGATTGGCAGCTACTGGTCTAATCCACTCATTCAACTTTATTTCAGCATTGAAGTCTTTCTTGAAGCCCACACTCAAGATCAGACTCAATTGTTTTCCTACTGCAAACGGTGGCAATTTACTTTGGAATTCTAGAAGAAGTGGGTTTGAATAGTCTTTCATGATGGCCACAGGTAGTTAGATGTGCAAGCAGTGATGGGATTTCACGAAGTGGACTGCATTAGCCTTAGCCTTGAGTGTTGATCTGAATTCAGCACTTGGAGTTGGTGCTGCTGCCACGTGCACCATATAAGGATGAACCTGTTTGATGGATTGTTACGTAAATAGGGATTCCACCTCACCACCATTTAGATGTAATACAATAAAGTGGAAGTGCTGGCGATCGCAGCGGCTGTTCCATCTTTGTCTGAAACGAGGCGGGGCGAGCGTCTCGATCTCTAGACAAAATTTTCCTTAGACAAAGTCACGGACTCTTTCCCAAATGGTGCGAAGCACTTTTTTGCCTAAAGGCAAGCAATCTGTGAATTTCTTCAAGTGTCACTCCACAAAGCCATCAGGAAAAGGCAAATTAGAGACAAACTTTGTTTCGCCCATGAGCAAATTCTTATCGTCTGATTGGTTATGACGCGTCACGTCCTAGAGATTCTCAAGGCCACCCGGAGGGAAAAATTTGGCAATATCATAATTAATAAAACTTATCTGTTTTGACCCAGAGCTAAATTTAAAGTTGGCAAGAAGTGCCGACTGTGTGGAACCACTAAGGCGTTGATTTGATAGGCGGAATTAGAGGTACCAACCAACAACTGGACGATCTCATGGTAGGAATCGTATCTTCAACAAATGCAGGATTCAGCGCATTACTTACCTTTTTCCGCCTTTTACATTTTCAACAACATTCATTCTTGAAAATGGGGGAAACAGAATACGGAACTTGGAGATTGCCGAAGGTTACAGGGTGGACAGTTATGTCGGTGTTTATTTGACTGGTCAGACTCCCCTGTGCCTTCGCCAATCAAAACGCGACGTTGAGAAGTCGAGCAGGAAACGCCAACTCTGCTCATAACCTCAGTACACTGTTTTCCTGCTCTACTGTTGGGCAAAATTTTCTACGAGTTGGATGGTAAATGGCCGAAGATACAAAACTAATATGGAGCCATATCCAGTTTTGATTAGTACGAAGTCAACGAATCTCCTCGCCTCCTCCTAAAAAGAACCTATAGATGTGACATAATTCACTACTTTTGGATATGACTCTAAAACCCTACTAATGATGACTCGTGAGGATTGTGGTCTCACGGGCCAATTGCATCAACGAGGAAGAGGAAATTTCATAGCTCTTTGAATAGCTTACATTGTGCCCCATTGAAATCATTGTCGAGGGCTCCAAAATCGACCAAGCCCTGGAGACAAAAACTATAATCCCGTTTGAACTTCATTACCATGAGTCTCAGTCACGAAAACTGATGTAAATAGCCAGCCTAAAGTGACGATCATACCACATATGTGTGAAGCCGGGGTCAAGCCAGGAAATAGGGGGCTTCGACACATATGGCACATGACCTCTCAGCGATAGGCTTTAGTCTCGAATTTGACCTCTATGTCCTCCGTGTGGTATGAGTAACAAAGCGAGGAACAACTGCGCGGTCACTCTGGTGCAGTTAAGGGTCTCACAAACTTTATGAACAGAATCCCTGATGACTACCTACCCGAGAGTACATTGTGTTGGCAATTCCTCGATCCTGTTGTATCCCCAGTCCACGATCCAGGCAAGTGGCATAGATGAAACAAGCTACTGCTAGACCTCGTTGTATGAAGCATCGAGTTTGAATATCAAAAACGCCGTGCCCACTTCCACCACCACCGTCTCGAGTGTCAACCATTATATTGTTGCAAAGTCCCACATTTCCCACCAGTGAGTAGGCAGTTCGACTGGCGAGAGTGTATAGAGCACGACGGAAGTAGAGGAAGGAGAGCATGCCGGTGGCATAAACACTGCCCCTCTCAGAGGCATCACGGAGGCAGTTAAGTGCAATGCTCCAGTCCTTACTGGCTGATCCAAGACCGAACATATGGAGAACGCCGAGTACAGCTGCAAGGCAAATAGGAATTCGTAGTTATTTGCCTAAAACTCACCTTGTGACTCCACACTGCCATTTTGACATGCTTCAGAGTGCCAGTAGAACGCCTTAGACAAATCCATGTGATCAGCAGAGGAGTAGAAGTATCCCATCGTCGTTTGTGCCATCACGGAGACCTTGGTGTCGCCATAAGTGGCAGCCATTTGAAGGTGTCTGTAATAGGGAATTAGAATTTGATTTGCTGAATTGATAATTTATAATCAAACTCATTGCAAATCAAAGCTAAAGAGACGAGACATTGGACAGGTTCCAAACAAATGCGATTTTTTCTTGGCATCTCAAGGGAAAAGATTTTCTCGAGGGCGAACCACGAAGCGTACAAATATTGCAGAGACGGGAGGTTGATTTCGACCTAATCACACCAATGTGATCGTCGAACGATGCTAGTAATTACAGCAAATAAATAGCATACTCATACAAAAATGAGTATTGGTGGAAGAGGGAAAAATCATCCCGTACTCCAGTGCATTCGGTCTAATTACGAATATGAGGGGAAATTTTGATAAAAAGCATTTAAGACTTCGTAGTTAGGTTAATTTGGTGACCTAAATATGGAAGAGCAGAACTATGCAGTCTCGATAATGAAAGGTTAAAATGAAGTCCTATTTAATTTTGATGAAGTAAAAGGCTAGAGAGATAAAATGATTTTTGACTAAAAGCAAAAGATAAGCTGGTTGTCAAAATAATACCCTTAGGTAGTCAGTTCGTCGGCGTGGCTAGCCTCGGAGAAGGGGGAATACTGAAACTAATAAGTTCATAGAACCCTTAATTACAAATAAATAAATGACTACTTTTACCACCATCATAGCAGTCTCGTGGTGATAAAGAATGTACAGAGGAATCTAAGTGCAAGCATGACCAATAGGACTATCAATTGCAGATTTTATCCACTATTTTCAAGACATACTCACTTGCAGTATGCAATTTCTTCACAATTAAAAGCTTTGTAATAATTTAGGACAGGTGGCAAGGAGAAAGAAGGACCTATAGTCCGTAAAGCTAGCAAATCACGATTGCGTAATAAATACGAACCAGTAGTATACCGCATGCCTCATTATCGAAATCGTGGAATGAAAAAATACTTGTATGATTATTGATGGTTGATGCGAGAAACTCCCCTGAGGGCAAGTTCATCAGATTGCTCAACCCCCCAGCCTTGAAGATAAGCCAAGAACAAGTTGAATGCTGCTGCGTCCACAAGTTCAGCATTGCCTAATGGCGAGCCAACACCTCGGTCCAGCGACAACAATCCTTGCATAATGTAAAATGCAGCTCTCTTACTTAATTTGGCAAAAATTCCGCTATTACCTGTGGATTTTCATACTGCTTTATGTCCTCACCGTCGAGTAAGTCGTCGAAGAGCATAACACCAATCTGATATTTGGCTCGGGGGTCGTCATACATCAGTATGGAATTTTTAAAGTATACAAGAGCCTGAGAATAAAGTCCCTAGAAGGCATTAAGATTCCATATTGGGAATCAAGCTAACTTTTTCGAACAAAACCTGACCTAACTGGAATGAGTCATCATTACGATTTTTATCGCGTTCATCCACCCGTTTTTGAAGGACATATTCCAAGTTTTCACTAACGATGTACCGTGTAAGTTTGCCTTCCTCACCGATGACCTTATATTTTTTACAGGAATCGACAAAATCCGCATAGAGATTAACAGGAGGGAAAACCACGTCACCCGTTTCTAGGCGAATCATGAAAATTGGAGCCTCCTCCCTTTCTTTGCGTGTTGGATTAGGAGTGGGTTCGAGTTCACAACTACGTAAACAACTCATTGCAACAAAGTTAGTTTTAATCGGACTAGATATAAGACTAAGCTATGGAGGCACTTTCAAAATTGCGACAAATTCACAGGGTTTTGTAAACCAATGAATTAAGAGGAAAAAAGAATATTGATGCATTCAAAAAGTGTAAGTTGTTTAGTTTAAAATGTATTAAATCGAATAAAAGCAATTAATTTCGCATTCTGCGGAGCATTTTGCATAAATTTTGGCATGATTGATTTTAGTTGCCACAAATACAGTCCTGTATGCATTTAGACCAAGAGCTTCCAGAAGAATATATATATCTATCAGAAAAAAATGCAGAGAAGTCAGTGACATTGGGCTCACAAAATTATGTATAAGCAGATTCTTGTCGTCAATGGGATTTGTGGCAAATCCTAGTGCACCAATCGTTAAGATATTCTAACAAAAATTGCAGAGCTAGGCTCAAATTGATGCTTGTTGGTAAATTTTAATTGGCATTGTATTAATTTGTTTATGTGACTGCCTGACGCTTGGCGGCCACTTTAGGACTTGTCTGACCCGTATACACGTGGGCTGGCCTTCGGGCCATGCTCAGGCCATTTTTTCCTGTTGCCTTCAAAATACATGTATCCAGCTGCACATACTGACTCCTTATATCGGCTAGGAAGCCTGGGAACACTATGCTGGTGGCAGCGGAAAGAGAACTCGAAAATTTTTCTGACTTATACGTATATAGTGCTTTTGAAAACCTGCCTCAGATGAGGTGGGGTCTCCTTGCGGCTTGTTCTTCTTTTATCTTTTGTTAAAAGTGACATCGTGTCCGGGATTATCTATTGCCTAACAGGCACCGCTGTCTTACAAGCATCTTGCATTTATGTTGCTAAACTTTGTCAACTTTTCTGGAAAAGAACAGCATTAGCAAGCCGACGAGCAATGGTTCGATCGGATGATGCAATGCTTCAGTACCTACAAAAAGCACAGGTTCTTGAGATGTTTGAGTAGCTATGAATCTGACAATCTGTTGGATTCCAAAATCTGGTTCTCTTGGCCGGAAATTCGAAACATCCCTTCTCACGACAAGAAGTTTATTTTTACAATCCAACCAGCATATTGGCGTTGTACACCGGCACTCATGAGCTATACATGCGTAGCTATAAGTCCGACTCTATCAAAGGGCAATAGACGAAGATACAGGCGAAAATTGGACGTGAATTGAAGGAGGCGCATTTACCTTGGCGACGGAGAATCTCTGAATCCTTCCCGTGTTCTTCAGACAACCTATTAACAAGTGAAGCGACACCGCCGTGAACCAATGGAAAAGTTGCGTGTTGGAATGTTCCATACAAAATCTCTGTTTAGGTATCCGAAATGACACTACGGTTTTCCTTGCATACGAAACAGTGGCTCCTTCCGTTTTCCCTGTAACATATATGCTTTAGACCTGGAAGCAATTGATGGTCAACAGGTGTATGCGGTCCTGAATCTGGTTGTCAGACCGAACGTAACTCCAGATTCATTTGAAGCTGTCGAGGAGACTAAGTACGGTTACTCAGTCTCGTGTTGTCTGCCGACTGGCGCGGTTGGCTCGTGGGTACCTTCCTCATAGTACCGAATATGTTGTGATGGCTGGTGCGGGAGGTGTACTAAGGGGAGTGCCGAGGACGTCGCCGAAAAGAAGAGTGGCATTGTAATATTTTTTTGTGACTATCTGACGCTTGGCGGTCATTTCATGACTGTCTGGCCCTTATACACGTGGGCTGGCCTTTGGGCCATGCTCAGGCCCCATTTGCTCTGTCGTCTTCGGAATACATGTATCCAACTGCACATACCGGCTAGGAGGTCTCGGGACGCTACAGGTATACATAAATTTTGTGATAGGTTTTCAGTATTTAATCTCAAGAGGGCGAAATAAACTTCCGTTTTAAGCCAGCCACAAATTTCTCTTACTTCTGAAAGCAAATATTCGAACCTACTAAAGGCCCTATTCGACCTTTCAGATAATATAGAATCGTTATTGTAAGGTCCAAAGTGTAGCGTCCCGAGACTTCCTAGTCGGTATAAGAAGTCATTAAGTGCAGCCGGATACATGTATTCTGCAGCCAGCAGGGCAAATGAACCTGAGCATAGCCGGAAGGCCGACCCACACGTACAAGGGCCAGAAAGACCTAAAGTGACCACTGAATGTCAGGTAGTCGCATAAACAAAGCATTACACCAAGACCTTGCACTAAGTGGAGGAGGGCATTAATTTGGACCGAATGTGTGTATTTAAAGGAAGTGGGAGGTAAAGCGAGCAAAGTGTATTAAACTTGGGTGCGGCCCGAAGTTCATTCCTCGTTCAAAAGGTCCAGATTAATACCAAAGTAACCGCTCGACATCAGATTGTCACAAAACAAGTTATTACTGTTAAATGAATGAAAATTAGTACAATGTTTAATGGTTGCTAAGATGTATCGTGTAAGGCGTGGGTTGCGGTTCCATTTGTGAATGGGTAAACATACCTGGTGATTGCGCGTCACGGGACCTTTGGAAGTTCATCCACTTTTGTGTGTTTTGTTAGACTCTAAGTTTTAGAATTCTATCAGTCTCTTCAATTTGGGGTTCGAAGAAAAACCCCGACTCTCAATTTCTAGAACATTTTAAGCAAATCATTGATTTTCTCTTCTCCGCTATCTTGTTAGAACCTGTTAAAACTAATGCAATCCTTGTTTGTATGATGGCTTGCTTTAGTGACTGTCCTGTTGGCGATTGCCGCTGCATTTGCTAAATGCAAAATGTGACAAAATCACATGTCTTCCCTTTCTTCTTCGATGAAAGTGTTCCGCCATGCATTAATCCATCTGTTACTGCAGCGATCTGAGACTTCCCACCAGGTAGAAAGAGCATTAAGCAGATCACTAGAGGATACTTTGGTATTAATCTTGCTCCCCACTCACTAGGCTGGGCTTGGAGCAAATTTAACGCTGTTCTATTCCCTATTCACCTCAAGTGTATGTAATTTTGCCCCACTTGATGCCTTTTCTACTTAGCGAAAAGTCTTGGTACGTTACAGCAGCAAACCTCGTAACAAATTTTGATTGATTTATATTATTATATCTACACATCGCGTAAACCAGTGACATGAAGAAGTACAGCGGAAAAATATCTGGTTTAACCATAGCACAGGAGCTGAGACCGACATTCACCTCCCGCATTCAGTCTATTCCTGCTACAGGCAAGCTATTAACAACAAATGAGGCAGTCGCCGTGAATCATCTTAACGGTTTCGCTGTTATTTAACTGAGTATAAATGCAGGATAAAGCACACCAAGTCTCCCCACCTCTCCCAGTAAAGGAAGGCATGTAGCTGGTTTGAGTACAAGAAAACAAGAAGAAGATTTGACCTTGGCGTGGCCCAAAGGCCACCCACGCGTACGAATAACAAATTAACTGCCGGGCATCAGGTGGACGCATAAAAAAAGCATGATTTTTTACACGACCTTGTAAAGTCCCGAAACTACTTATTAGGCATTGTAATACTTTGTTTATGTGACCACATGACATTTGGCGGTCACTTTAGGATTTGTCTGGTCCTTGTACTCGTGAGCTGGCCTTCGGGCCATGCCCATGGCCATTTATCCTGTCATCTTCATAATACATGAATCGAAATGAACTTACTAACCTCTAAAACTGGCTACAGATATGGTTCGATATTTGTATGTGTGATCACCTGGCTAGTTCTTTGGTAGTCGTTTTGTCCTTATGAACGTGATCTTAGGCACGAGTCGAAATCCAGTTTGTTCTACTCTTCCTAAAAGGCATGAGTTCGACCTGAATTAATGCCTTCTTTCATCTGATGGGAAGCCTTGAGGACATATAAGAATGAATAAGCTGTAGTGTCCGGGCTGCACAACGCCAATTAAAAAGTGAGCCACTGCAAGGGATAAGTGGTGTTAGGATTTTTTAAAATGTCTTGGCTTCAATGCATGTGATACTTTCTGCGTCTGGCATGGAAGTACTTACCTACCGCCTCGAAAACCTATCAATAGATATTTGAGAAACTGTGCAAAGGGGAGAGGTAAAGACGTGGCCAGAAAGAAGACGCTTTAGAGATTTGACTGCCAATATCGAGCGGTTTTAACTAAAAAAACGTAAAATTACTTGATATTTGCCTAGATGTATGGCATCAATCCAGGTGTTTCGCCATTGCTCATCTTTTAAGAAGCCTTCAAATGGTATGCTATAGAAAACGAAGTTTCAATTTGGAAGTAGCAAGAATCGTTTGAAAACAATTTGGGCTAATGTTTTAACCGCCTATATAACTGGCAAAAACAGTTAAGGCCAGGTGTTAATACAGCTAGATTGCACAGAATACTTTACATATTCTACATAAAAGTCTTCATAACTACTCACATACTTTAGAAGTTCTTTCTACTTTAATTTGTTTGCATTGTTAAATGAAATTTAGCACCGTCGATTTCGCGTATTTCGAATGAGGGTCATATCACAGGAGAGGCGGAGTTCGGACACTACCTCGACTTTATAATAACAAACCCCCAAGACGTTTTTTAAAAAAAGGAAAGATAAAAAAATGGTGAATAAGCCTGCTCAAGACATTGCTGGCGAATCACAAAGGAAGAAACTGTTTTCCATCTCGAGAAGTTCTTGCAAAACAGATGAATCTGGCAAGGCGAATCGTCTCCAAATGGGTGGAGATAAGGATGAGCCCACAAAACGCCAAATTGTAAGTTTACTGGTATATTTACCAACTTGTTTTTCTTGTTTGTCTGTAGAATACTGATCATTTAATAATTCTTCTGTTAATTACTCTTCTCGCCAATGACAGCGTTTGATAGAGAACCGAATTTCTGTTTACCTCCTGAACCTGGAAGTGTATGGAAATTTTTAAAATATTTTGCCTATTAGTTTTTGTGGCAGTTTTTTTCTTGGTACCTGTTTGCATCGATTTTCGCATGTTACTAGGTTATTCGGCTGCTCTAGTAACTTCCTGTACGTTTTTGTAGAACCTTTAGTGCGAACAGCTTATAGCTGGTGAAAGTTTAGCATTTTTTTCAGGTGCATGTATTATCCATCTTCAAAATTCTTAACTCGGTGTCAGCCTTTTCTTTTTAAATAAATTGCCCTGTTCTGTCGTGGAGTTTGCATATGATTATGGAGTGTGCTTTTGCGCTGTTTTCATGCGTTAAATATTCTCTCAGTTTAAATCTGTAGTTTATGCATGTGTGAAGTTTCTCCTAAGCTATCTGATGTTGATTCTTCCCTTGAAATGCTCATGTCTTTACACATTTCTTCCAAGCAAATTTATTATTCGATTTCTAGCAGATAAGGTTGAAGATTTTACATTGTATTATCATTCTACCCACTCACCATAGAATTTTTAATATTGACGTAACTTTAAAATTTGGACTAGGCAGTTCCGTCAGTGACGTTAGGGCAATCGTACACCTCACCGGTCCCTCTACTTACATACGTCTAGTTGAGTACGAACATCCATCTACGCAGTCAGGCAGGCAGCCATGCAGTCGCTTTGCATCAGGCCCTATGCACACGCACACGCACGCATTTACCACTCACACACAAAAGCACTACTAAAGACACAATGAAGTGCGCCACTTATTTACATATGCCTATTGATTACTCTTGAGAGGTAACACCGATCTCTCTCTTCAGATTAGTTGAACACGTCGTCTTTCCTGACTCCACATATCCCAAAACATCTCCACTGGTTGTCATACCAGAATGGTGTTGTTAATTAGATAGTTTACTGAGCTGGTGTATGAATAGCGGTACAGTTTAAGGTGTGAAATTTGGACTGTCTAAATGTTTGCGAGTGTGCGCGTGTGTCCAAGGCCTCATGCACACATTTGTACATGATTTTTTTGTAACTAGTTGTGTCAATTGTGAGTGGATTTGTTTCACTTATGCAAATTAGGCCTCTTTGCATCCAGGACGTGCATCTTGATGAATCTGTCATCTGCTTGTGCTTGATTGGTGGGGATGGTGGGAAGAGAGCTTTTATTTCCCACTTACCGGCCAATGGGAATCTGCCCTGCTAGGCTTATTTATGAACAAATGGCTACAAAATAGCAATTAAGCTATCCAAAAACTACAGTTTTCCATTTTTGGTTTACTTTAGTAAGTAGCAGCATTAGAATGCGGATCGTGTGGAAATTGACAAAATCCACTCCATCTTCACGACGCATGATCGACAGCTCATGGCCACTTGAAACGATGTATATTTGCATGTGAAGACTTGTGTGTTTGTCTGTATGCATCTCCCATAAACTCACTGTATAAGTACATCACGCAGTCGTATCCACTTACAAACATGCGTAAATTCCCTGACAATTAGTTATGTAGGACGTACCATAATGTAGTAATTGCCAAGGTGCTAACATTGACTCAAAATCCAGTCTCTACTGCACAGTTGTAGGCCACTCCTGTCTGTTCGTCGATCCATCGGGCGATATGTGCAGCCGGCTAAAATGCGTGTGTGTGTGTGTTCAACGGTGCATTATGAAGATTGTCACAAATTGTGAGAACTGCACTTGAGAGAGCATGATAGCCTTGGGCCGGGGAGCATTTTATGGGTCAGTTGCGACTACTATCTGTAGAAGCACTCATTTAAGCGCCTTAATTAACATCAGTTGAATCTCTCTCCCTATCTATCCGCCTATCTCAGTCCTACTCTCACTCAGTGTTAAGTTGGCATTCACACCTACGTGCAATTGGATAGTCAGTTGGTTGGTGGTTTAGGGGGTAGGCTGGTTGCTCCTATGGGTACGTTGTTGTGGTAGCCTCTTCTATTATTGCCTCATTTGGTGGAACTCTACTAGTCTTCGGTTTTGAAAAACCAAATCTTTATTCTCTATAAAATAGGTTTGAACGACTACATTCCTGTGGCGAAGTTACTAGAAGTTCAACCTCCATTCTGGCAAGAGGTCTCCCCATCTTTCCAATATTCAATCAGAAGTGGTTTTTGTTCCTTCAATTGTCATTCCATTTAGGATTTTTCAAATCCCTTTCAGTTGCAAATATCACTTAAAACTGAAAATACTCTACTTTTTAACTTTGCCATCTACTTCTTCAACTTGAGATCGGTTAGAGCTGACTGCATTCAACCGATCTTCGGACATTGTTTTCAGTTGGGTGGATTAAGTTGCAAGCTATAAAGGGATATTTTGCGTAGTTTTTAAGTTGCAAAAATAACTTCCATTCACTTGATCACACACACCACACTGTTGCCACTATTTAGCCTTTCAACTTCGCCAAAGTCTTGTCTTCACCTTCCTTGCCCCAATGATTTTGGCTTTCAGAATTAAACATGCAATGTGAATTTTTATTAATATTTTAGCGTGATGATTAGAGTTACGTTTAACTTTGAAGCATGACGCGTAGAGTGGTTTATTGAAGGTGTCACGACGTATTCAATAATTTTTGCGCGCACTTGTGGGGCCCTTCAGGCCGCTTCGAGGCAGGAGAGGTTGCTGTGCCCTCACAACAAGCGACCCCGAGGTTTGGAGTTGGCGCCAAAACCGAAGCCGTGTAACAGTGTTGGAGAGACGAATTTGGGGCCTGCGTTTCGCGTTGCACGTGGCAGCTTTTAACGTTGTCATAAAATGCGGATTTTTTTTTCAAAAAGGCAGCAGTTGCTCCCCGATTAACGTCTTTTTTGTTTTTGCTTTCCAAGGTTTATTATCAGGGTGAGAACATGTCAAGGGAATTCGCCAAACATCTGAGCTTCCGCCTAAATGGTCGAAAAAATTCCAAAGGTTAGTGCTGATTGTCTTGATGTGAGTGAAGCACATCCACATGGAGCATTTCACTTGTCATATGACATTGTAGCGCGTCAACTCCTCCACCAAATCGTAGCATATCACACCAACAAAGAATAGTGAACGAAAAGAAAAGATCTGTGTAGTGAAACGGTTGGTTTACTCAAGTTTTTTCATTTCTTTTCCGAGTGTAACTTGAGTTGTGCAGCGATTAAAACTGCCATTCCCTCCATCGCGGTCCTCTGAAAGCGTTGCTTCTTTGTGTCTGCCTTGTTTCTTACTGCTCTCGGCGCCTTGGGGCGAACTATTCCACTAAGTCTGATGGATAAATTTGGAGCCTCTTTTGATCGAAAGGGATTTTTGTCATTTGTTAAACCTGAGCGACGTAGCGGTGGCCTTGGTTGTCAAAAAATATCAAATGCAGGGAGCAAAGAATGCATGACATGCACCGTAGTGAACTCCACTTAAACACTTGCGTGAGTCAAAGCTGTCAAAGTGCAGTTTCACCCACTTGTGATGCTATCCATGCCTTAGAATAGTAAAATACTTTCATGTAGTAGGTAGCTTTATTCCAAACACACACACACTGAATTAAACTGTGAAGACATTTTTTGATGTAAAAAGCAGAGGATTTTATTAGGAGGAAAGCGCAGATGTCTGCCTGGTGAGTAGAGTAGACCAAGGGTGAAATGACTTTTGCGTTCTTCTGCCATTTAGACACCACTTACCATGAGATACCGCACGATCACATTGACTTCCGCTACGAGTGCATCCGGTCTCTTGGAAAGGGCAGTTTTGGCAATGTCGTCCTCGTGATCGATCACAAGGAGGGCAAGGAGTGCGCCCTCAAGGTCGTTCGACGCGATATCCGTTTCACCACACAAGTGCGTTCTCAGAAATTAAGCACTTTATTTAATGTGAAAAATAGCTTATTTATTGCTTGCATAACTAACATGAGGTTGTTGGAAGATTGACTCCTCGTGCTACGCATCGACTCATTTAAGGCTCTTTTTTTCCCCAAAACTAGAGCTAGGTGAGAGGAGTAGCCATCACTGCTCAGGCTGCAATATTTCATTCCGTATTATTTCTACGTCACCTTCCTGATGACCTGCCTCGTCGCTTTTTGAAATGAGAGAGTTTTAGTCGAAGAACCGAAGCAGAACACAATGCTTACTGCATACATGTGTCTTCGCAGATGTTGGTGGGAACTGAGGGAATAGAACAATCATCTCATGATAAATTTCCCGAAACTGCGCAATTTCTCATCATTAGTTGCAGCTTACTGTTCACGTTATTTGCCAGAGTTACGAAGGTGTCGATGAAGGGTGAGGAGAGTGGGAGGACATGACTCTTGGATAGGCGGTTTCTCTGAGGAAGTGGGTAACCCGCAATTGAGTCTTTCCTTTCTCCTTCAGTCTCCATCGCCACCATTACCTCCACCTTCCCTCAATTGAATGAATAGTCGGTACAACAATGGTGAAATCGAGGTTTCGCGCACACTCGAAGAGGTTGGAAATAGTATCAAGCAATTTCTCGCACCCATACCTTAAAAAACGACGTCTGTAAGCACAAGAACTTGCTTCACCTTGTGCTCCCACCCATTGGTGGAGGGTCCATCGACAAATCCGTTCGATTGGAGAAGCAATGAGGTTGGTGCGGTGAGGACTGGGAGCGGAGGTTGGGGTGCAGCGGGGCAGAGCGGCGGGAAGGATGTGATGCAATTTTTTGAAACTAAATGAACTCAAATTTTATGAGGTGTGCAGAACGCACAATATCTTAAAGTACTCCCTTTCTCTTCCTCACCCCTCAAATGTGATGAGGACTAAGGAAAGCTTACCTTTCTCATTGGATTGTCAGGGTTTCTAATGACTGGAGATCTTGTTTCGTCTGATCTCTTACTCACAAAATTGAGGCAAGACGCCCTCATACATAAGAGCTTATGACCCGCGGTCATCGGGCCAAATCCATACACTATGGAAACTTCCTTTTTTGGTGGGCAAAATCCGATGGAGAACGAAACACTGGGCACCATTTTTCGCACCATCTGATAGAAGGAAGTAGTTTTCGCAAAGGAAATCTCAATGATGATGTCAAGATGAATGTAGAAAATTCATGATTGTCTCGATGGCATTCGGATTTGTAGGTGACAAAGACTCAGCCTCTTGGCGAACTTATCATTTTCTCATCGCTCTCAGATTCTCTAGAATCGTGGGCAGCCGCACGAAATCCAAATGTAGTTGAGATGTTTACGCCTTACCTACTATCTGAGACAAAAATGCATTTGCAGTTTCTTATTTGATGAGACCTAAAAGGCAAAACTAATGGCTAAGACTTACTACTGCTATGGTTAATTCATTTTTGCTAATCGTGGGACCATCAAACACACACGCACACCGCAGCAAAGACACGGCACAACAAAGGAGGCATGAGTCAAATCCTGTCACAAGTTGAAAGAATTAGCTGTCAATGGGAGGTAATGTTAAAAAGTGCCCTTTCTCTTGCACGGTACACCACCAACTGCTTTCGTAGGCTCACCTTTCCTCCTCCTCTTCCATCCCCGTTTTCATGATTGTCTGCGTGGGTGACGGATAACTCATTCAGTACGGAAGCATCCCGAAGAGGTGGATCCAAATTTAGCAAGCTGAACCAACTTAAACCTTTACTTAGTAAAAAAAGAGCATTCTAGAGGATAAAATGGAGTGCGAGTGGGCTTCTTGACTTAGCGATACGTGTGAACCTCCAGTTTTGTTCACGTCTTTCTAAAATAAGGTTAGAATGTTGGTTTAGTTAGACTAAAGGAGAGTTACTATAATTTCAGCTGGTGCCGTCTGCTGTTTAAAATAGTGCCTACTTATGTGGTCACAGCTTTACGCGCCTTCACTTACTGTCTCTGTCATTTAAGACTTTGTTGTGGTACAAAGTGTGGAGAGATGCGGAGAATACAGTGTTCTGAGGAGCAATGAAAGGCTGACTGCCACTCGTCGAATCATTTTGCTTCTACTAATAAGAGAAATGACTTCTGGGAATAACTTCAAATGGCGACGTAGTACTTACTCGCCAGACGTCTTCTCCTCGCTTTCTTCCTTTCAAAAAGTCTGCTGTCTAGCATAGCCTGTCATTGTAGGAGGTGTCAGGGTGGACCACTTCTTGGTTCGACTTTTGCAAATCCAAATTTTCCTTTGTAATCTCTTTCACGCGTCTCACTAACTTGCCATCGGTTCACAGCTGGAAGAGGATGTTTTCTTGCTTGTCTGTTTACCAGAGAGTCGGTTTCTTAAGTTCTGACGTTCAATCGCATTCATTCTTTTAATCATCAAATAACACGAACAAAATCTTCGCCGATAATTAAAACTTGTGGCATTGTAGCATTTTTTCTCATTTTTAAGACTTGGGAATAGTTCCGAGCCAGTCAAACAAAATTCAAGTTGTTATGATACATTGCTTCCTTCCTTAGGCCAAAGAAGAAATTGCCATCCTTGAGCTGCTTCAAAAGTCGAACCCCAATCCAAAGGGCTCATGGGATCATTTCCCCATCGTCAGGCTGATTGAACACTTCATGTTTCGTGAGCACATGTGCCTCAGCTTTGAATTGCTCGGTTGTTCTCTGTACGATTTGATCAAGGACAAGAAGGATCAGGGTCTGCCCCGAGACCGGGTCAGGCGGCTCATGGCCTCTGTCTTGAACGGACTCTCCTACGTCTGGAAGGCGGGAATAATACATTGTGATCTGAAACCGGAGAATGTCCTTCTCGTCAGCCGTGCCTCCGACGGTGGTCCCGAGGACATTCGTGATCACGTCAAAATAATTGATTTTGGCTCATCGTGTTTCGTTGGTAAACAATGTTATCCCTACATCCAGTCGCGCTTCTACCGAGCACCCGAGGTCATTATGCGATTGGAGTACAGCCAACCGATCGACATGTGGAGTTTTGGATGTCTCGTCTTTGAAATGATACGAGGTTAGTGTGCAAAACTGGCAGCTGGGGTGGGCAATTTGCATATAAATTTCAACCTCACATGTTTGCTAAGCTGAGAATATGGTGGTCTTGTGTGCCTTCAAAGTTATCATAAGTCATGCCACACATTGTATGGGAAAATAACCATTTTTCCCAACTTAATCCCTATCTTGACCACATTGGCTTCGCCCACGTTAAAGCGACATTCTGCAGAACTGATATACGTGCTCCCACATGGAGCCTGCGCAAACTTTTTTTGGGATTTTTTACTCATTTACCAAGTTATGGAAAGTTTCCACACATCATTTTCAACTGTCTCCTACTAAGGAATTGAATAATAAGTCGGGAAATGGATGAATTAAGGCTGATTTATGGAACTGAAATTTTGTATTCTAACTCGCCAATAACTGACAAAGACCGATTTTCCGACTTTCATTTCCTGACTTCCTTTAGCCAAAATAAAATAAGGTTGTATTACTCCAGAGAGACATGTGGCAGATGAAGAGAAGTCACTCATTCCTGATAACTTTAGACAATACTTTTTTTTGCGTCCTTGTTCCGCCCCCACCCTCTAGCTTATCTCTACGTTCTTACCTTTTAGTGCGGAGAGGGGGAAGCTCTCTCGACTTATTTGCGTTAAGAGAATAATGAGCACCAATTAAGTACGCTGTCAAGTGAAGCAGTAAATGAATTTAATGTAGACGCTAAACAGGTGAAGATGGGATGGTGTAGTGGTAGGGTCTACTGAAATTGCTCTGCAATCTACCCTTTTCCTTATCTCGCGGACTAATTGAGAAGAAATTAATGAGCCATATTGATAGGATGCACCTTTATGAAGGAAAACTCTGCAAATTTCGAAATAGAACAGCCAAGGCAATATTTCAAAAGCCACGTTCTCAGTCCTCCTTAGCCGCCCACATTCATCACCCATATTCTCATCCCATCTCAATTTGTGGCTTTGAGTCCCCCTTCTCTCCCCTTCCCTTTCATGAGAGTAGGCCATTAATCTAAGCGATTGATGCACTGATCATACAATCATCTTCGCTCAGATTGTAGCGTGGCTTCTGTGTCGCACAGGTGTTCTGCTCCCGTTTGAGTTGTGCAGGCAGTTAGAGCAGCTTGCTTCGCAATCCTTTACGACTTCCTTGCTAAGGTTGTAGAAACTGTGCGTCGAATTGCGGGCAACGTCTGGAGTGCACCGATCCAATTAGCTTCGCTACTACATTTCACGGTTTGGGAACGCGCACCATTGATATTCACTGGGACGATATTCACTTTGCTTAGTTTAAGTCCACTCCTCTTGTTCCCATCTTTTGCCCCCTCCCCTTCAGAAGTAACAGTAATGTCTACTGATGCCTATAAATGGAAGGATCATGTCCCACATTGGCCCTCTCCTGCTTCTGAGGATGGCATAGGAGGTAAAGTGAAAAACTCGAAAAAATACAGAGGCATGAATGTTAGCTGTACCTTTGGTCAGGGTTTCATCTCCTCACACACCGCCCACCATCACAATCTGTTTTCTGAGGAGCGCAACAACACTGCGCTAACGTAGAAGTATTTCGGGAAATTACAAATGGTGTCGAACTTCTCCTACTTTTTTTCAGGCTACCCATTATTTCCCGGTGAAGACGAGTTTGATCAATTGGCTTGCATGATGGAAAAGCTAGGAATGCCTCCATGGACGATGGTGGGACCATCGCGAGTCTTTTCTCGCTACTTTGCTGAAGTCGATGGTACGCGTAAGTATTACCGACCGCAAGATAAGCAGACACCGCTAAAATTCATCCCACGCTACTGTACAATTCGTCAAGTGTCGGAGGGAGTTGCTGAGCTGCAGCCTAATCTCTCAAAAAAAACTCGACGTCTTCGAAAACCGCCTGGTTCAGTACCCGTAGCACACGCTCTCGTCAGTACCTTGTCTCACAGCTCGGGAAAGTACACCGACTACGTACCGACGCCATCGGAGGAGGTGGATAACATTCATGTGGTGAGGTTAGTCGAAGCCTGTCTCAATTGGATACCAGAGAAACGGATAAATCCGGATCAGGCCAAAACTTTTTCCTGGTTCAACTATAAGTCCACCCATTACAATGGACTTACCCAAATGACACAACTATCACGACCCACCTTGTTTCCCAACCTATCTGCAGCCTCGAGCAAACGCTCTAGTGAGTCCAGCCAAGTGTCGCTACTCGCGGAGACTATTCCATCTCATAAGGCGCCTCAACCGAATGGGGGATTCCTTCCCGTTGTTCCGGTTTATGCTGCTGCAACGGCTGCAGCTCCAGTGCCGGCAATGCTTTCCTCCTCACCACACAATATCATGGCGCCTCGAAATATCGCCAACCCGATGGCTTTAACAAATCCCGCAAGGATTAAGAACAGTGCGATCGCTGTATCACCGACCGGTTTGGAGCCCTATAGGAAGCATGGATCTTCAGCTTCCATCTCCTCTGGAGAAAATAAACAGGAAGAGAGGGTAATATATCCGCGCATTAACAACAAACCACCAAGTCCAAAATCCTCCATTGTTGAATACAATCCTGGACATGGCTATAATACGAGTAATTTGGAAAAGAAGGTATCCGATATTTCGTTGGCATCTCACACCTCCAGTATCGACGATGTAGCGTCACGTACATTCGACAACCTACGATACATTAAACGAAATGGAGTACAGGTGAACGAACGCTACTTGGAGCCGAGCACGCGTTCACGACGACGGAATCAAAGCATGGAGCCAAAAAGGCACACTCAACCTGTCGGAGGCGAGGAGGTGACAAAAGAGCCAAACATTCCGCCTTTGTTTGGCTACATCTCTAGTAAGACAGCTGCTAGGAGCTCCTCGGAGGAGGAGGACTCAGAAAGTAGTGGAAGACACAATCCCAATTCCTTCAATAAAACATCGCAATGGGACATCTCCGCTGTGGATCGACGTGCAGGAAAAGCCATCAATACTGATGTCCGAAGTAAAGCACCAAAAGTGCCGCAATACCTGTCCTTCAACACGGAAGCGCTCATTGCTGATAGACGTCCAGCTTTAGCAAAAACACGATCGATGGGAGAGCATTCAGAAACTTTGACACAAAACAATTCGGATGATTCTGAGATGTCGTCCATTAAGAGACCAATTTATGACAGTTTACGACGACAAAAAAGGAACAACTCGAGAGATCTCCTTAAAGAGCCCAGATTTTTGGAGTCAGGGACTAAAATTTCACCACAGCAGCTGAAGGAGCTCCAGTCCACAATTCCCTCAAGAACTCGACCTTACGTAACCAAAGATGGAGGTGGCAAGTTGACACAACCACACACTGATCATAGACGTCGTCGATTTGCGGGCAAATCCTCCTCCACCAATCAACTGAGTGAGTTCCGGGATGTGGGCCTTACCAACTCGCACTCTATTGAGATGCTGACGAATACACGTCCGCGGTTAAATGAAGCTGGTGATAGTGACAACAACAGTTTCATGGATTTAAACAAAATACAGTCCTCCATCATGATGATTAAGCCACAGACGTAATAGAAATCCCTCCCCTCTCCCTCTCCTACTCCCTCCACAGACCGACCACCCCCGAATTGTGGCAAAATTTGTCGCTATTTTCTCATATTTCATAGTATTTTTCGCTTAAAGTGATTTATTTGTTGTAAAATACTACTTCGGCGATTAGCTTCTTATCGGTTTTGTTTTTACTCACTACTCCTAATGTTTTCTGCTTCCGAATCCCCGATCCTACCCCGTATGTTGTGCTGCCCTCAAAGGAAAAAAAGAAGGTAAGATGTTTCAGATGCGCTGAATCCCGCCGAAGTCTTTCCTGTGATCCCTGTGTCTTGTTTTGTATACTGGTTTTTCACTATCTAATGTCCAGCCCTCAAGACTCACTCGGTCCGTTTTCCTCGCCCACTCATCATCCACTCTCAGCTGTGGGAATGCATCCACTATTCGGTACAACAATAAAAAAAGACAAATTTACTCGCTTTTCCGTTGGTCCGTATGTGCTTGTGTATGCCTGCTAGAGAAGGAAGTGACATTTTGCGGCAAATCGCGGAGTAAATGTTTGACAAATCGTGCGATCGAATAACTTGGTGGATCCAACTCAAGAGACCACCTTCCACATGATGGATGCAAAGTAAAGTGAAAAAAACCCAACCTTAGAGGCGGATGTGTCCGTAAGAACTTGTTCAGCTATCCATATGGCTGATTGTCAATTGTGTGCGCATTTTACTCTTGGTTGAGAAGCCAGCTTTCATGTCGGACGGTTGTTCTAGCTCTTACTTCCATTCCCGAAAAAAAGCAAACAAACATTCAACTGAGAAGTAGGCATATGATTTGCTAGAATGGTTTCTGGATTCATTCTCCACCATAACTATATCCGGCGAGAGGCTTTTGACTATCTGAAACAACTGCCATATGTGTAGAGGAGGATGGAAAATGTCTTGGAATAGAGCAGTCGGTGCTAAAATGAGCAATTGCTCTGCATTAGGTAAGGTCGTTTCATGCTATCTTTCTTCGACTAATTTACCTAGGCAAAGCGACAGCCAGAGTTTTAATAATTATGTGAGTGAAAAGCGAGCTGGTAGCTTAAAGTAAGCCAAGTTGATACAGCCATAACTCAAAACTGGAGCTAAGTATATAACAGCAAAAGCAAAAATCAAAGAGTCATACATTAGGCCCATAAGATTTATAATACACCCACTATCGGAATCGGAAAAATCCTTACTCTTAATTATTAAGTCGAGCATAATTCGGGCACAGATTGATGGTTCAGTAATCTTCCATGATCACATTGCAATAACAATAAAATGTTGTTAGGCATATTGCGTTTTGATAAGGCTGCGAATACCTGCTTATCCAGGAGTGCTAACTTTGGCGTGCAATGTTTGGCTTTTACAGCTAATTCAAATGACTTATTTACCTTTCAGCTAACATTAAAATAATTAAATTGTAATGTTTAACGGTAATATTTTTTAAAAAGTATGTTTTTTAGCATTAGCTTAAGGACTTTATTGTTTTAATTAATCAAACTTTTAAGTCTTAAACTTCCGATTGGGTCAATTAGCTACGCCCGCTTTACCGCGAGTTGCGAGCTGTGAAACTGGCGGACGTCGCTGTCGGATCATGGGTGAGCACAATCTGCTGACTAGTGTGAAGCAGAGTCTTCATGTGGTCATCGAGATTTATATAAACATGTTTGCATTCTTTTAAGTCTAGCCGTTTTGTTTTAGTTAATATACATTTTTATACGCTGTAGCGCAATCAAAATATTTTTTCTTAGCCTTTGAGTATTTCATTGCAAACTAGATTTTGATTTTAAACAAGTTTAGACATAAAGATTGTGCACATTAAAGTTACTTTTATATTTTGAATGCGATTTGGCGGCAATATAGCTCTTGCAGGAATATCTTTATCACAACTGTTTACTGTGTAAAAGCAAACTTAAGTAAATCTTTCATATTTTGGCGATTTTAGATGGAAATGATGATTGTTTGGAAAAGATTCCCTTTATTGCCGTTGTCGCATTTATCCTTGTGCTTGTCGGTGCTTCTGTCGCCGGTGGAACGCTTTACAAAGCATTTATCGAAACAGAGGAGATTTTCGCGACTAACTTCATTTCAATTCCATGGTTCGTAGCCCATTCTAATCCGTTTTCTTCCGAAATGGTGTATCGTTTTGTTTTAATATCGTAATTGCGTGTAATTGCAACTTTTTGACATCAGAGCTACAAAACTGCGAATGGTTCTGCGTTACTTTTGCTGTTTTATCTCTTTAGATTTCTAATAGAAAAGGAAGCATTGGGAAGTACAATATTCTCAACCGCTTTTATGCAACTATTTGTGCCATTTTTTGATGGATCAAATGTTGAGGGTGATAGCCATTTTGTGTTTTGTTGGAGCATGGCGTGATTGCAAAGCTAAAAATTCGTTAATTACATTAAAGTAAAACGAAGTTGCTAGTAAGCATATGCTTGATATTGGCTTAGGTCTTTTAACCCTTACAGTTAGTACTTCTCTTTGCAATGAGTCAGGCTCTCTGATAGGTGGTATGCACTGAACTGTGTTCTCACAAAACATTACTATGCAAAAGGAGGAGATGAAGGATGAAAAATTTTTCCTATCGCACTAAGGAAGAAAGTGCCTGTATTCAAGGACCAAATCACGAGTGGGGTGGCAAAAGCAACCCAGTCGCTCCGTAAATTAGCTATTCGTGCGCGCTGAAAATAGATCAGAACACCTTTGTTTCGTGTCCAACTTTTCGCAGAATGGAATAAAACGCATGGGTAGTAATGTTTGTTGGTCCGGTAATCTCATGTCTTCTCTTGCCTTCAGGATGCGGTATCTACAACTGGCTGAACTTCTGGTGTGCGCTGTTGTGGTTTATTTTGCTATTATGATGCTCGCCTTTTCCATCGTCGTGAGCAAAAGGACTCGCGGAAGGCACCATCGCGTTCATAAAGAAGGGTGTGCGATGGGTGGACGCAAAACTGCAGCATTTGTGAGTTCATTTGGTTGTTAATTATCACCTCTTTGATGAAGAAAAGTATCCTAGTTATGATCAATCCACTAGAATTTCTGAACGAACTCGACATACATGATTTGATGCTGTCTTTCGCTCCATTACCGGCACTTTATAGGATGCTGCTTGTTCGGTGTTCAGAACATTTTTTAGGCTGTGTAGTTGCATTTCAACATCCCATTTTCGGACAAAAATGGCCTGACGAATAACATTTGAAAATAAATCACTTAACAGTGACGATGCATCTCCCTCTCCTTGGTTTTAGAAAATAAACCTGGTGATTCATTGAGCATTTGAGCATTCAACACATTACCATGCCATTCGATTAATTCTCCTAGAAGTCTTCATCTTCATCCCCTTTCTTAACTCGATTTATGGACTACACATTTGCTTCCAATGAAGAATCTCCAACCATTAAATTAGTGTTTCAAAGAGGCAATTCTGTAGACCCCAACAATGGATAACCATGGTAGCCAAAACATCAATCAATCCTCAGTGCATATCAATTTAAGCACCCTACATACAGTTAAACTATTCCTGGTTGAATCTTTTTTCGGCGCACTAATTTTAGACTGGCAATGCAAAAGGTAGTCGCTTTTTGCAGGTGAGGGCAGGCTTATTAAGACCCTGACAATAAAGCCTCCGCTACTAAGCGCTGGGAGAGTCATCTGATTGGTGGGCTGCCTGTTGCTGCGACTGTGATTGGTTGATGCGGTGCTTCCTAATTGGGCTATATTTGCGATGGAGGAAACCAGTGAAGCCCTGGAGATGGTGAAATGGTAGTTCAATTGGGTAAAATTAGAATCCTCGGGACATAAATCAATTTAATTTGTGTTTTTTTGAACTAAAAGTTACCTTTTTAGGAAGTAGGTGAACAGTTAACCTGAAAGTTAAACAAAGTGAAATGGAACGTTGTAGAACAAAGGTCCTTTTTCCGTTATTTTCTAAAAAAATGTTTTATGGGCTGGTAACAATTCAAGGGCCTTTCTTTGGGCTTTTGAACCTATAAGTGAACAAAGAATTAGTTATGTTTGTGAATCGAGGCGAAGATGTTGATGCCGGTGATAGATGTGTCAACTGTTTAAATGTTGAAAATTGAATCAAAAGAGGTGAAAAGTTAAAGAACTTGAGTTAGAGAAAATTTCACGCTTTTTTTACCAAACGTGTGGTCAGGAGGAACAAAATTATCTTCTAAGGCTATATTTTTGGTGACAACTCTACTTCAGCACTTGCATTACAGCATTTTAATTTCTCCTTAAATTTGTGCTGAACCAGAGACGAATAAGAGAACACACATCCCTTACTTGCACGAATGCCATTTCGTTGGGCAAAGTGCAGCTCACTATGGCTGAATTGCCTAGGAAGATTGACGCAAAGATGAGTGAAATAGCTGCATATTCTTTGTTCCATTTGGTAAAGGGTTTAAGTGTTAGTTTTCATCCCTCTTTCACTCTTGAATGCCCGATACTTAAGAAGGCAAACCGTTCTCCAACTAAAACTATTTTAGGAGTTGCCTTCATTTTGACTAGCATAACAGGTCAAGCAATCAGCGATTTCCCCATTTTTGTTTGTTAAATCATGCTGATACAAGACAGGACACTGGGAGCCTTAGCTATTGTGGATGTGCCAAGTTATGCGCTACCTTGTTATCTTCATAAGTGGATTGTTTGGCGAAACAGTTGTTGGAAAGTTAGCGACATTTTTACACTCTCCTTTCACCCGTTCAAATAAAAGCTGTAATTTTGCAATACGTATATTACATTTCTCATTTTTGCTTTATTTTCCACAATTTTTGCCTAAAATGCGAAGCGTCTAGTGATTTCCATTACTTTTTTGCCGATAAAGAAGATTTCGGCTGTTTCGAGTTTGACACCTTTGCATTTAAAACGAGTATCAGTTAGGATGACGTTTCTTAGTCATTTTTGTTTCGACCCTCTGATTGGTTGCGTTGATTGGCTATGATCCTAGCGATGAGGCGTTTCCTTCACTCTAACTGGTGCGTAATAGTGGAGATTCCAATTGCATTTTATGACCAATGAGGTAAATTTCTTTTGCAACTTATCCAGTACAATGATCAAATTCGCAAATTTATAGCTTTGAGTTGTAATTCCTAGTAGCCTCAAACACTGGGATTGTTTTGATGTCTGGATGGCCTTTTGATTCTCATTGGCTCATGAATGGACCAATGGCAGGCCGACTTTAATGTTGTTTTAAGTCGATGCAAACGAATCTCACAGCACTTTCTTGAAGATTACAGTAATTTTCTGATTGCAAATTTATCCCTTAATCCTGGTGGTTGATCATTGCTTATGGCAGAATGCGTGAAGGTGGTTTTTTGACCATTCAGGCTACTTGACGGAAATGCTTTGTTTGTTGGCATTTTACCGAAAATAAGGAAAGTTGTTAGCGCAGATGTTGATTATTTACAATGTTCGGAGTTAGTTGCGACGTTTAGCTTTTTATATCCACCAAGCGCAACTTATCGACGAGTGATGCAATTTCTCCCCGCTTACGGCCAGGTTGCATTTATTGGCTTACCGCAGTTAGACTTTTAATTAACCGAAAACATTTATGTGTTCTCCCTTTTCGCCCTTAAAAAACAAGAAATTAGGCCTAATTCCAGATAAAAACGGAATTCAATTATCTTTTGTCGAAAGTGTGGGACGTTTGAGAGCAACCAGAGGAGTGTTAGAACATTTGAGCATGAGGCAGCCATTCCTTAGGGGTAATTTCATGCCTTCTCTGGTGTCCACTCAGAAGAATTTTTAAGCATTTTACGAAATTGACGCTTTGAGTAATAATATAGAGGTCATGCACGCCACCTGTAGGGGAGAGGTCATCTACGTACTGTGCCAACTAATGATGGAAGCGTAGAACGGCTAAATAGATTGTTTTAAGCTCAGGAATCCTCCTACCACTTTGTTTTCAAACTTCTCCCATGCTATTCCCATTGGTTGTCTGTCCATTAAGGGCAGTTCAAGATAATCAGTTCCGTGAAAACATCTCTCAGTAGTATTTAGGATGGTTGGACACTTTTAGGTCAACCCATCAAGTGAAATCCCTCACTGTTTGCGAAATTTTCTAAAACACTGCGTTACTCACGTAGTAGCATTGACGACTAATAATTGCTGAAACGTACTGGCTTCATTCCTACTCACGTTGGCTTGCAGATTTATGAATTCTCGCGTTTTTAACTTTGACTGCACTTTTGACTACACCCTCGACCCGGAGATGTGGGCATTTCAGCTTAAAATGAATTACTTTTAATTTGCCCTCTGGACGCATTATAGAAAAAATTGCCTAGCATAAAAATTAGCGCCTTCTAAAGACATCCCATCTACCCCAATTTCAAATAGTAGCATATGCTGCTCACCAAACGTTTGGGTCGAAACGGAGGATAAGTGACGAAAATGGAATCAGCCACTTGATGCATCACTTAAGAGCAGCCCAAACACATTCTTGAAGGTAATTTGTGCCGCTTTACTTTTTGCTAACCCAACGAGAAGGTTTGGTAATCCTAGACCTGCAAATTTGGATTCCGAATTAGTCAATTTCAAAGTGTGTTCTTCTACTATTAAGGAGGAAATGTGCACGCTAAACAAATTGATACCTTCTTGCAAATACTAGGTAGTTTGGGAAACTAGCTGGCAACCTCAAAGTTTGGCCTAATGAGATGGAGAGGTAGCATGGTTATGGTAATTGTCGACCCTATTCCTCCACCTCAGATGAGGTTTGATCACGCAAGGTCTCTTTAGCGGCGGTCGTTGATTGTTCTTGCTCCCTGCTCGGTCCAAATCTGCTGGTGTAATGGGTGAATGAATTGGTTTAAATGTAGCTATGTAGGTGCTTTTGGAGTGTAGATCTCTTCAGTCGTCCATCTAGTGCAGGCAGGAAAGCTCCACTGACTCATCTGTCATAAACAGCAGACTGCAGCACTGAATTGCAGCGGTTTCATAGGATAATGAACAAGAGGCTTCTAAACACAAGCGCATAAGTCTTTGTCATTTGCCCAACACGTGCAATACACAAAAGTGGCCGAATTCGAGGCAATCAGATACCTTTCTACTGCTAGTCATCCGCTTTTGGTAGTGTCTTCAAAGATATTGGCAGCATCGAACGGTTTTAAGACCTTCTGATCCATGCTACTGGGATGTCTTAATGCCTCAAGCTGCATCTGTCCCTCCTTAGGGATTGGAAAGGCCCTCGGAGATTATTATCACCGGTGACATTAAATACGATCAGAAGCTTTTCGATCCACAAAAGCCATCTTTGTCATGGTAAAAACGGAACAATTCGGATGACCTCACAAGTTCCAACTGCCATCTGTTGATACAAACTATTGTTCTGTCAAGCAAACGAGTTTGCGTGAGGTAATTTCACCGTTGTACTCCCGACCTCGTAAGGGCAGCGATTTCTGTCAACAAGTTGCATTTTTGTACGCGTTAATATTTTCGAGGAGTTACTATTGTTTTTAAGGCTTTGTTTTCTTTTTTCGAATGGGTTTTGTGAAATAATGGACGATTCTCTGTTTGAGTGGTTAAGCCCTTTATTAGAACTGACCAATCAGAGCTGAACGTAAAGTTATTAGCCAACCAGATCACAAGCTATTCGAATCCACCAATCAATGGGTCGTATTTATTTTTTTGTGTATTTGTATATTGGATACCAAAATCAAAGTCGGTTGATAATTCTCGGAGGCATATTTTCATTGAAACGGTACTTCGGGTGGCTATTAGTAACGCTGTGTCTTTTAGCCTTATTTTTAAGAGTTGTTACTGGAAGGAATGATGAAAATTGTTTTTTAAGATGCCAGCAACAGGAATTGTTTGCTCCAAACATCATATGAAATGTCAGATCAATAAAAGGTAGGGTCAGTACAAAGACACCAATCAGACCCACAATCATTTATGTGGTTCGAAATATGGTCACATTGTTTATGGAAGGAATTGTTTCAAAAGCCAGTGTAAAGTTGAATTTGAGCTCTAATTGTCATTATCTAAGTCGATCTGGTAAATTCTAAGAATTCCAAATTTAAAATCGAAATGCGATTTTGTCCTTTATTACGTTTGAAGAAAAAAATGAAAAAATAGTTGTTTAAGAAATCATGCCACGCCCTTTTTTGCAAAAAACGAATATTTAAATGCAGGACTTTAGTTAATCATCACTTTTATCATTTCATATATGCTTTGCTTACGAAAATAAAATAATCACGTTCACCAGTCCCTTGTCTCTGGCCTTTTGTGTACTCGTAGCTGAGGAGACGGCAAGTTACTATCCGTTCATTATCCAACCATACACTCCAAATGATGGAAAGAAACGTTTTTGAGAGCAAATGTTATGTGGATAAATAATGAGGTGAATGAATGAATTTGTGTGATTTGTCAAATAATTATCTGTTTGCGCAGAATTATGTTGATTAACTTCTCCGTGAGATCGAAGGTGAAAGGTTAAAAGGCTTGAAATTCAGTGTGGCAGCAAGGTCCTGCTTCTCCGAGTTTGATTAATCTTTCCAATGATTCTTCGCCACTTTGTTCCTTCTCATATCACTCATCGCTGTTTCCTTTCTTACATTTTCTCTAATTAATGCAGTTCCTGTGGACAGCCTTTCTCATTCTCTTCTGTTGGCTCTTGCTCTCGCTTCTACTGGCAGTGCCCAATGTCGCTTGGTGCATGATAGCCAGTGTGTGTGAGCACGAATTAGCTGGGGTCTACACAGGCCCTGGCGTTCGAAGACCCGGGTTCCATCAAAGCAACATTCCACTGCGACCATTCTGGGAGGAGCCTGGCTATCGCCCTCCTGAACGTCCACGCTACGATCCGGCCTATGGAAGGCAAAGTCTGCCCGTTCCCCCACCTGCCGGCTTATCCTTCGGCGGTGGAGTTCCACCAATACTGGCGAAAGCAAATGAGTCCATCGTTGCACAATTTGGCATTGGAAGGAGTGAACCCTTCTACTACGTCTTCAATCTCACTTCGTATGGTAGGCGGAATGGAATGTGCATTTCTTAAACGGCGGATTTATACATTTTGTCCCTTCTTCACTTCCCTACACCCTGAATCAATTCGAATGATTTATTTATTTTTGAGCATCTCATTTGGTGTGGAGAACAATGGTAATGAGTTGTAGGGAAGGTTATCGTTTGATCTCACTTTACATTCCGACGAGCCGACCGTCCCTCAAGCACAAAGTTTGCATCTTCATTCCACATTTAAAGAAGAGTAGCGACGGAAACTTCCTATTACAATGCAAATTTTACGTTTCTAGCTTGTTAACAATCTATTGGGGGAAAAACTAAAAGGAACTAAGGCGATTGTATGAAGAGGGTGACGAGCAGGGTGGAATAAAGTGCCTTGAAAAGGTATTTCGCTCTTGTCTCATCGCAAATTTGAGGATGGCGTGTTGGGCAATGCCTGACTGATTGTAGCACCTCAACTCAGCGGCTGAAGAGGAGGAGGAGGAGACCACCCAGCCAAATAAAATAGTCGGAGTGAATAATAAAGCCGACAAAGGGGATTTTCTTTACACAATTGTCTACCTATTCGAGTATTAAAGGGGTCAAACATTTGTTTTACATGCGAACGTAGTAATATCTTATTTCGTACTCAAAAATACACGTATTTTTGCATATTTTGCTCACCCATACGGGAGAAGCCGGCCAAGCAGGAGGATGTTTTGACCCTCCGGCCCCAAATGAGTCGGTGGGCGCAAAGGCGGATCGCATCACGACTCACAGACGAAAGGCTTTTTGTCCCTTTTACCCGTCAACACGTGAGAATTGCAAGCAACTTTTTGGTGTTCCCTGCTTAAGGTAACCCGGGGACGGTGATTTCATCCCAAAAAAATGTCTTTTGAAGGGAAAAACAGAGGACGTGTGTTTTTGGGGCGCACAAGTTGTGTGTCTTTTTAGTTGGAGGATCGTAAAGATAGTCAATTGAAGTTTGTTTAGAGGGCGTCTCCCATTTTTGTTTTTGGGTTTACTTTTACTAAATATCCAATTAGTTTTAACAATGTTTGCATCTTCTTTTGGAATAAAGCAAAAGAAAGTGACTATTAAAAGATGGGAAGGAGAAGATTAGGTCAACGATGCTTTCTGGAAGAAAAGGACACCATATTTGATGGGGACGAAACTTTTCTTTGCAACGTACCTACCTCAAGGAAAATTGTTTTTTTTCTTTTTAATTTCTAAGTCACAAAAAAAACGAATTTAACTTTCTCATCTACGTTATTATTTTACCATTGTCTTGGCTCGTGGAGTAAAGTATTAGTAGGAGAATCGAAAAATAGGAGGTTTCACACGATCCATTTCGTAGTGTTCCCACACAGCCTGTTTGAGGAGGCGGAGGAGGCGGAGGAGGCGGAGGAGGCGGGACACTGTTGGCATTGCCGACGCGTCGCTTCATCCAACGGAGGCCAAGTGTCCACGTCCCAGAAATCGTGGACGAAAATGGCAGTGAAAGAGACAACAAACTCCATCCCAAAATCTCATTTTAGAGGCACCAATTTTTTAATACGTAGCAACGGAAGGATGTGTCCTCCCTACTAATCGCTACTCTTGACTTTGTCCACTGTGCTGAGTGAGGTTGGGAGAGAAAGGAATTGCTTTCCAGTGGATCGAAAAAGACAGTTAAAAATTTTGGATCGTCCGAGTCTGGACCGCGATCATCGTCATCACGAGAAGGGTGGATGGGAGGCGACATGAAGACTGCTTTCCTGCTTGCATAGTCGGTTTGGCGCCCTTTTTGCAGTCATCTACTTGAGGTTCGAATTCGCTCTTCAGACAGGAAAGCAGAGGCACTAATTCCCCACTAAACTCACGCGACTGTGAGCATCGTGAACCGTTTCCTTCTCCAGTCTTAAGGCTGTATAAATTGTCAAAAAAATTGGGATGCTTTGACCTCGCGGCTTGGCAGAACTTGTCAACTTTACTAAAATGGCCTCATGAGATCCAAATGAGGTCGCACACGATGCCGTTCCACTCCACAGAAGAAGGAGGTGGAAATTCGGGAATTGTACGTGGTTAGAACGGTGTCTTTGATTTAGCAAAAGCCGATTCGGATGCTAAATCTCTCATTTTGAGGTGAAACGCCAAGATTTTATCTTCATTGAACTACAATATGGTCAATGTCCTCCAGGTCTCATCCAACCTCCCTTTATTGCGTGACTTTCCTCTACTTCGTGTGTCTTCTGTTAAGGGGGAAGGAAAAGAGAGTGCATTTGCGTATCTAATTAGACAGAAAAAACGAAGGTATTCACATTAGTATTGTTTTATGGAGAGACTGGAGTGACAGAGAAGAATAATTAGGATGGAGGGAGTTCCAAGGCCCAGACGGTGGTGGTTCAATTTATGGCCCGAAGTCGTGCTGCTTAAATGAGCTGCACAGTGAATTATTAACGTCAGAGAAACAACTTCCCATCCACCCTCTGTAGTCGATCTTTTATCAAAAAGGGGCTTTTAAATTCCTATCGAGAATTTCAAATCAAATCGTTCAACTGTTTTGCTAATGAGGAGGAATTTGACAAGAGGATTTTGTCCATACATTGATGCATCAAAGATGACATTGTGAGTTGCGCTTTGCAATGCTAGGTCGTCCCCAAACTCCTAACAAACTGAGAAGGGCGTCCTGATGAACTTGGGAAGGAGGATCGACTATCAGTCAATCACTTGGTGGAATGTCTTGGAAATAACTAGGGAGGGTAAATCATTTTCTCCTCACACTTTCTATCCACTTCCCTATCTCCTCGCTTCTCAACCAAATTGACGCCCTCCTCACGATGGCAGTGTCTGACACTCGCTTGACATCTTTGGAAGACGACATTGGAAAGTGTCAAAAAGCAGTAGCTTCTACCACACAAACACACACCCAAAATCCAATCTCAAAATCAGCCACTTTGCAATGACACGGAGAGCAAAGATTTAGTGTCTTAGTTCACTCTATCTTCTCCCTCTCCTCTGCGTCTGCTTTTACTACTCCCTTCCCTCCTTATCGGCCCCAACATCAGCCTTCCACTCCTCCTCTGGCTTGGGCTAAAAATTTGCGTTCCTTGAAGTCATTTATTTGTTTTTTTGAATTCCCTTCTTTGTAGTGTCAAGGAAAACTGTGTCCTTTTGGAAATCTGGACCCACACTTCTGTGGCATTGGTTCCGTTGGATAAAAAGTTGCATCTTTTGTCTTTGCCCTTCCTCATTGCACCTCTCGTCGTCCACTTTCCACCCACTTTTTAAATAGCGCTCATCAGTCTGCTCCAGTCCATCGCCTCGTCTCATCTGGTCACGATGACGTGAAGAGAGACAAAATCAAAGCTCGACTAATAACTTGCTCCACGTGTTGTTGTCAAAATCATGGAGGCCACTGGTAGTCGTTAACGTCTCTTATGCATCTACTGAATTCCCATCTGTATTTGACGTCAAATGCTGATGAAGAAGTTCACAGTTCTTCGAGCACATCCGTGATAAGTCATGTCACTGAATCCTGGAGGTCACTCACGCAGTAGGATTGGCACGTTGTGACAGGTAGTCTGCATGAGCAGCCAAATTAGTCACACTGTTGGATCGGGCGCTATTCTCGATCTGTAAGGCAGCTAGTTTCTTTGCCGTCCAACATGGAGGCACTGCCAAAAAGGTCTTACTCAGATCTCTACTGCCTGGAGACCTGACCAAACCTGATGGGAGAATGATGAACCAACTCATTAAGTCAGGCCTACAGGCATTTTAAAAGTTCGTTAATGCCTGACAATATGTCCGGAAAAGGATGAAGCAACTTGTTATTATTTCCTGTCTCCTGCCCGAGGAAATAACCCACTCTTTAGAGCACATTGGGTGGATCACCGGATTGCCAACGTTGACTATCTTTAGCCCTCAAAATTTAGACTTACTTTCCTCACTCGACATTTGATGGCACTGATTCGACATCTCTCGACACCATTTGACTCTTCTGTCACTTTGCCACCTCTGATAGGGTGCTCTGGTGTACGTAAATAAAGGTAAAATAATGGATGTATTCCCTTTTTTCTCCAAAAAGAGAAGACAGATACTCAACTATCTTAGCCTCTTCATTCATTCAGAAAAACGCGGGTTCTTGAGACCATCTCAACTTTCCTCTCTACCACAACTTTAAAGCATTTGGGAAGCAAAATAATGTTGAAGTGAAAATACATGTAGCAAATGCGCATTGTCTCCCAATTCCTCGAATACAGATTGAGGAGAACTTTATGAACAAGTGTGGGTTTTTTACCCCTTCTAGGCATATATATTCAACCTTGGAAATATCCACCCAACTGGAATGTTCAGGAGACCATAAAAACACAGGCCAGATTTAAAATCTTCTGTTCAGCGGTAAGGCTTGAGTGTGGTCTATCTTTGTCTTTTCACCCCCTTTAATTCTTTCTCCTCATTTTGTTTTCTTCTCTGCAGATAAAAACCGCTGGCTCTCTTTACGGCTGTGGACTGGGTGGAGCGATTTTGGTCGATATCGGTCTAGTAAGTATAGAACAAGGTCTGATCATGAAAGTAGCTAACAAGGAACTCTGTAAAGGGAACTGGGCTGGGTAGCGTTCTGAGAATGCTAATATAGATGAGGGACGACATAGTAGTTGGACAGAGCAAACTTTCAACAAACGAAAAGGATACCGTGGCTGATGGCATAGCTTGGAGGTCAGTCTACTCTATCGCGGCACTATGACCGCCCAAGAAACCGCCACTATAGGGAGGATATGCCAGGTAGTGTAAGGACGGTTGAACAAAAGTGGCTGAGAATAGAGTGGTACGCTTAAGTGAATATCCTTTTCCGATAAATGGTTAGTAACTAACTTCCTTTTCTGGATAAAAACATCTTTCAAGCATTTTGCTTTTTTGGTCTTGAGTACTAACCAATCAGATGAGTGGTACTTGTGGGCGATTTGATTGGTCAGAAAAGTGAAGAAATACTGTAGGGACTGCTTGGCATAAAAGTATATTAAGACGCATGATTTAACGACTGAAATGCACCACAGTTGCTTTAAAATAAGAATAAGTTAATTCATGTGGGATTAAATAAGTGAATTTTTGTTATTTTAATAAGCAGAAATGTACCAATACGATTGCGGCCTCGAACAAGCAAGGGAAAAGGTTACTGACCAATTCACATTCATTACAGATCACATCAACTCCCATCAACTTGTATTTTCGAAGCACTACACAGTGAAGCGTCATGGAACGCAACGACTGAGGAGAGCTGTAGTTGGTTTCACTCCCTCCCTTGTCTGTTTCTACCAACCGAGCTAAGGTTTGGGGAAGTATTTACGTGTACTGTCATGCTTGCCTAGTAGAACAAGAACTTCTCTTTTGTTTCGTCGCTGTGACCCTTTATACGGCCATTCTCTGAAATAAGAGGAGATTTTGTGTGTATATCGCTTGTAATGTGAATTCTAGTTGGTAAATAACATCGTTTTTCGTCCACCAAACCCAGCTCATGGTATCCCCATGAAGGTGAAGTGGTGCATGTCCCTTGTTTATGATATAAATGGGTAGAACTGGGTTTGGTAAGTCCAAATGATGGATAATTTTGTTGGTTTGGGATTGTTAAAGTGCGACTTATGCTTCATCCTCTACCTGTCTGTCAGCCACTAAACTTTTGCAACTTTCGCTCTCTTCCTCTCACCCACGCTAAAATCTCCAGACCACCCTTTTTTCGCAATTTCATTCACAGTTTAATGCCATTGCTTTAAAGGCAAACCAACAATCCTTTGACATCCACGGGCACTGATTTTCCGAAGTGGCCACCGAATTCCCGGAGAACGCTTCAATGTGTAGATAAAACGTTTGAATAGCTCACCTTTTAAGGGGGCGCAGTCAGTCCAAAGCATGCCAGACAAAACAAAGTTGTGTTCTTGACAAGAACGTTCGATTTAGACAAAAGCATTATCCACAAGGGATTCGACTTCGAAAGGTCCCGCCGACCTCGAACGCAATTACCTCAACGAAGGATTAATAATACAAATAAGAATCCAAAATGGAATTTGTAGGTTTCACTTTCTTCCTTTATCACATACTTTCTTCGCAATCCATAAAAGATTCAAAAGTTCTTTTTATATTTTCTTCAGTCCCATCAATTTTATGTGTAGCATACTACTGATAATTTGCTGATATGTGTCCGATTATCGTCGACTGGAACCACTGAATCCAAAATGATTTCAACCAACATGTATCCAATTTATTTTGCAAAACTCTTTGTAAGATATTTTGTCATCTTCATTACGGAAGTGGACCAAAAATTTAGTTAAGAATTAGAGAACTTTTGGCACTACGAAGCCTTCTCTTCCAGCGAGACACCGGAGACTCTGACAGCAGCTATGTACGTGCCTACTTTGATCTTAGTGTGACGATGCTAGGGTACTTGAAGTGTTGCTTGATACCGTCCTTTTATAGCGGATTCAACATATGGACTTCAGGACAATCTAGTAGTAAGCAAAAAGGGACCAACGAATATCTTGTGACACAATTGAATGGCAAGGTAATGTTGAAAGCCGGGAAAAAATAAGCTACGACAGTGTCGTATTGTTAGATTCACAGACTTGTTGAGGAGGCGCGCTAAGTGGATCCGCACATATTTTGTGCTAAATCAACACATAGATGGGCAGCACGATTTCATACCAACGAGCATTATGAGGTGGTGGAACCTCCTTGTCATGTATTGATAATACACATAAAAGGACATGCAATTTTTAACCTGGTGAACGTCGCTTTTAACAAAAAAAGGGAACCTCCCAAGATCAACCACAAACACGATTTAACCCGAATTTCTGGTCCAATTAATGTCTTTTTCGGAAGATTTTTGTAAGAGGGAAAATTCCAAAACAACCTTGAAGCTCCTTTGCATCAAATTTTTTATCTACGTTTCTAGGTGGCACCACAATTACACACGCTTAAATAACAAGCTATACTTCATCTCAAAAAGAAGTCCCGCTTTAGTTTGTTTTACTTGCATTAAATTTCACTGAGACTGTACACAAACACCGACTCAACAATAGCTCCAGAGAGCACCACAATAGACCCTAAGGAAGAATGTGGAACCGAAGGAGCCGCCCAAGCTGAAGGTCCCACACCAAATGCAGAGTTAGTGCAAGCGAAGCGCAGAGACTATAATTTGTTGCGCCTTTGGGTTGTATAAAGAGCTTTATTGTTGGTATGTATAAATTTGAATTAACAAAGTATAAAGTTGTATTGTTTAATGAACAAGCAGGAGGTTTAGACAGCAAAAATGGTGTGTCATGTCAGACTTATATTTCACTTGGACAGGAATAAAAGAATGAAATGTTAATGTACATAGCATCAACACTTAAATAAGAGCAAGAAGTTGTGAAACAGAACTGAACTTGTTAGCTGATAATGAAAATCTAAACTGAAGCTTAAATTGACCGTAAGAATAATGTAACCAACAAAAGAACCACAATCGAATTTCTCTGCGTTCAGGTAGTTTGATATGTTCAATCGCGAGTTTATGTCTATAACTTTATTGGCACTTTCTTAAAAGCAAGGATTTGCAGAATTTGGGCAATTTTGTATTCTCCTCCGTCTTATACTCAGCAGTCAGTGCCTCCACAGTTGTTGTTTCCACTTATCTTGTGCCTTGGCATCTATCAAATAAGTGCTCTTTATTTGGCACAGACGTGGATGAGCGCAAACACCTCCTTACTCTTTTTATTTCGAAATTCAAGGAATTCTTCAAACAAGATGCAGAACGAACAATTGTACGTTTTTATTTAGTGAAATAATTATCAAGATACAAGCTTAATCTTAATTTAACAAGATTCTGTTTCATTTTCTTCTTCACCTGCCTATTTGCTTCCGTCTAGCATGTCAAAATGGTAAGATGATAAGCTACACCCGGAGAAAGTTAAATGGCAATACAAGACTGTACTACCTCTCCTTTGCTCTCAGTGCTTGTGTCACCTTAAGAAGGAGGATTGCCATGCAGGTCGTAATTTGCCTTGCAAGAACGCTTTTTTGCAACGACCTTAAGGCATCCTACTTATTAGCTCTTTATGAGTTAAAAGTGGCATTTTTGAGCATGTCTTCATGGTGTTTTGATTGATGCTTAAATAATTTTTGGTGTGTGAACAGTCTTTAACATGCAAACATCTTTGTCTACGATGCGCCTTATCTCAAATTATCTCTCCAGTGTTGAAGGAGTGCATCCTCTAGACGTGCTGTAAACAGTGCAAGGGCGACGAGAGTTAGAGCAGCGAATTACTGAGTGGAACTTTCGAAACCAATCATGTATAGATTCGTTAGAAGGACGTCAAACCTGGCTGCCAATCGGCCTGTCTGGTTTATTGTTAAAAGTATTCCTGTAATGCATATGACGCCGCTACAGAGAGTATAAATGAATTATAGAGTATATTATTGTTAGATTTAAGTGCATCTGTGTCGTCCAGAGGTGGAGGATAGCAGGTGTATCTGAATACTTGTAGTTTAGAGAGGAAGGAAAGAAGCAGAGCTTTGCTTGATCCAAGTTTAGTCTACCCTGGAAAAGCCAACTGAATACCAAAGTGTTCGCCAGTTGTACCGATAGTCGAATGAACATAAGACTACATAATCAGCTGGTTGTCTAGTTGGCTCCATCTCTGACTTCGCCCTCTTCGGTAAAGTCGCGGCACAAATGTCCTATCACACTTTGCTGAAGGTTGTTGCACACATCTGACATCGTTAAACAGCCTCTCGCCCTTTCCACTGTTTCACTGAATCCATTAAATTCAGCTGACAAGTCTCCACTTTAGTGAGTACAATGTGAATCTGTTGATTCATCAGATTTCTCCATTCCCTCGAGTCACACGAGGTCAGGTTAATGTCATCCATCATACCTTGAATGAAATACTTTTATAGAAAAAATGGCTTCTAAAGAGTTTGTTCGACTTCTCGCAGTGTTGAACTTCGTCTCTCCTTCCCTTCGAATGATCCCCTTAAAGTTTTTTCTCCCAAATTAGTTAGGCGTTTTTGAATCTCCTGCGTCACCAACCTCCATGATCTTTGTGCTAGGGGAATCCGGACGCGAATACTTCCTAACTTCGTGCAATGCTGTCCCTTTCCTTCTCGCCTATATCTTTGTCCGAATCTCCTTTCTGCATTGTTTTTCCTTAGACCTCTTGTACAGGGTAGGAATTTTTCTTTTTGTTGCCTTCTTCCCTGATGCATTTCGTTTCCCAGGGGTTAAGAGGGCACTTTTTCTTTGGTTTGCCCCTTGATAATGCCAACTTTACTGAAATCTAGTTTTTTTTACCAAACCCATCACACGTACACAGACAGGTAAATTCTGTCTTATTGGTACTACTTTTTGAGTCTAAGAACAATCCAGTCTATCTTGCTGCGATTTTAGCTACCTGAATACAGCACACATTACTATTTTATGTCAACAATTATTAAAGTGCTATTCCAGAGGGGCCATCACACGGTCGCACTTTTAAGATTGAATGCATTAAATCTGTACCAAAAGTTCAAAAATATCACATTCTTCCCTTGTATTAGGTCTTCAAACGTTTACCGGTCTTTCTTGTATCTGACTGGTTAGATTAAAGGAACATGTTGAATTGAACTGTCAACTAGGTGAGATTTGCCATTGTCGGTACCACTTCTGTTTGAGAGCAAAGATGTGTGCCGCCTCTACTCCTCTCCCACTAGTGGTCACCAGCCGGCGCTCGGCTAATCAGAGCATGGACGCCGCAAACCGCTCAGCGACTCAGTGTCTCAGTCTGACCCGCGTGAGCTTAAAAGCCAGCCTGTCAATTCTGAAAATTTCGACTTGCGTCGCCCCCTTACGTTAATATTGCAACTGGTTATTGAGTTTGACTTGGAGGTGTCGATGAGACATCCTTCATTCTCGTGGTTGCTATAATCCAGCATTTTAATCAGTTTCATTTGCAAACAATTTTTTGCATTATAGCACTAGGACCTGCCTTTTCGTCCACCTTTGGTCGAAATGTACAAGTGGAAGAGATACACTACTAATTCATAAAAAGTACAATTTAATTTAAAATTTTTATTAAAACTCGTGAAGGTTGATAGAAAGCAGGAGCGCCGAACGGTCTGTCAAGTTGGGATGGACGTTAGCTGCGAGTGTTCATTTCGAGGACATACATTTTTTGACACCGCTTGATTTTCTTGTTTTCTTCATCATAGTTGATGCTTGTAAGGCACTTGCAGTGAAAAAAGCCGACCGCTTTGGATGTTCAGTGAAGTTCTTCGCTGTCACCTTTAAGAAAGCAAAGCAGGGGTTTTATTTACCCAAGCACGGCAGAGCAGTACTTCTTTTTCTTAGCCCTAATTTAATGATAAAAATTTTAAGGGAGGCTGAGAACATTTTTAAAAGTTGAAGAAGCGATTGGAATAAAGATTAACAGTTTGTTTGATACAACGATTCCTAAAGACAATTTCTGGGCAGTCGGTGCCAAAAACAACGTGACCTGCTATAAGACAGATGCAAGCTACGAAAAACTAACCTTCATTTTTTCTTTCTTCTAGTCACTCTTCATGGTGGTGATGGCAAGCTACAAGACACGGCTAAAGCTCTTGAAAGCCCTAACAGACTACAAACAAGCGGAGCTTACGCGACGTTCCAATGACAACGTAGACGCACTCTAAACCAAACATAATTCGAGTTTGTAAAATGCGATACCACTGATTCAGTTGAAGAAGAATAAGAAGAAAAGATATATAACTCAGACACGCATAACATCGTCAACTGTGGATCTCCTCTCTCCCTCTACTCTCTCATTTGGGCTCCTACACTCAATATTCTCAGTCTATTTTTTGTCTGCTCTCCTCCAGTCCGCCCGATCACCTGTTTTCTATTGCAGTTTTTGTCCGTTCGCCAACGATTTACCCTCGATTAGCAGGCAAAGCTTGACGAAAATCATGTGCTTCGTCAGTGTGAAAAGAATTGTTGCTTAACATTGTTTTCGATTTGTCCAAACACGCTATGTACAGATGTGCGGAAAGAAACGGCAAATCTGTCCAAATTTCCCCTTCTCCCACCTCCCCCCACCTCCCTCCCCTTTTTGGTCTCACTGCCCAATTTAGCTGAGGCAGAATGTGAGTTTATTGTAATGATGCATATCCGAGTCGGACAATTTTGTGGGTTCTCCTTGAGGGGTTGAGATGTGTTTGACGTAAATGAAGAACTGGTACATTTACTTAAAATATTCCAGAGCTGTAAAAATTAAAGCGCATGCTGACGTCAAATACTTGTTTGCAAAATTAAAGCTAATTATACAGGACAGTATGAGAAAACCGCTCAAATACGAAGTACAAGCCGATCTTCTTAATCTTCACTAACAAAGCTTCCTATAGAAAGCAAAATACAAGCACATATTGAAACAATAAATCAAATCCACAAAACGATTGACGAAAGCGGACGTCGTTTGAGTCAACTTAATGCAATGAAAAACGCTTGGGATCGTTCGCATGCACACATTGAAGTTACTGATGTCGTTCACCAAAACTGCTGCTAGCAACGTTAGTGGCAGTTTTGAAGAAAATTTTGAAAATAGTGATACTTCAAGCTGCTGACATTCACAGACCGCTTCTTAAAAAACAAAGAGAATGCCTTGCAAGAAAGACCCAAAAGCGAGCTGAGTGGATCCTTCAACTGCGACTTTGCAGTTGACATTCCTATCCAGAGTTTCGACGTCGCGCACCTCAGTCACTTAGCTCATATCAAACGTTCAATCAATCAGTTACAAAACAAATGCGATCAAATCCAGTCATTATGCTTCTACAAAGTATTCAATTTACACCAACTGTTGCAATTGCCCACCAATCTTGAAGAATTCTGCCCAAGCAAAGTACACATTTGCAGCGAACTTGTCCAGGGTCCTACACCAATCCTTAAGAGACGCCAGTCTCAGACTATTAAACACCAAACGAGACCACAGTTCTAGTAGACCTTTATATCTTAACCACCTTAGATTCGAGCAAAATAAACGATATTTTCTGAAATCACTTATTTGGAAGGGGATTCGAAATTTAGTAAGTACAAGCGTATGAAAGTCCAATTGTAAGAGATATAAAATCATGAGCAATGAACATAATTCAGGTAAAAAGTGGAATCAACGCCAGAAGCACGGTAATAAAATAGGTCAAAAATAAGGGCGACAAAATCAAGAAACTGAGTCAGCAGCCTTCAATCCAGCTAGTATCCTTGCAACAACTTCATCAGGATGAAGAGTGGCGTCGACTATTAAAAAGTTCTCCACTCCTGTGAGGGGCACTTCCAGTGTTTCAAGCTGGCTTTGAAGCATACTCGGAGGAAGAAAGTGGTCACTTCTCTGCCGAATCCGTGCTTCTAAAATGTCTGCTGGGGCATCTAGAAGTACAAAAAGAGTGTCTGCATTCGGCGGACGAGCAAGCACCCGTCTATACCGTCGTTTAAGAGCTGAGCAAGCAACGATAATAGGAGTGGACTGTGAGGATAATCTGGCCTTCACAATTTCGGAATGTATACGTTCCAACCAAGGCTGTCGATCGTCGTCCGTTAACGGCACACCAGAGGACATTTTGGAGATATTGTGAATTGAATGAAATGTATCACCCTCGATGAAACAACCATGAAGCTTACTTCGCAGAAGAGAGCCGATAGTCGATTTGCCACAACCGGCTGGACCCATTAGGACAATGGATGTCATTTCAGATGGCCTTAGCTGGTTCAACCGATAACATTAAAATGTCTTGGATGAAGAAATGCATTGTTGAAGCATGATGACCACAAACGACGAAATATAAAGATGTGATATCACAGTTATAAATGATAAGAAACACACAAGTTTAAAATCCAGCTTGCACCCAATAAGACAAAAAATAAAAGGAAACAAATGCCAGTGAAAACCCAAACAATGCAATCAACTTAAAGCCAACCCCGACTCGAGCATTCAAAAAATCACATCATCGAAAGAGCTACTTGAACAATACCAGTTGTATAATAATTTATGTATAAAGTTTTCGAACAAAGTATTTGCAAAGTAAAGAATTCTTTTCAAGCGAAATCACTATTTGAATAATTCTGAAAAGTAGTCCCTGTTTTGCAAAGTCATTTTTGTTCAAAGCTATGGGCAAACGACTTGAAGGGAGGTTTTGCCTTTGCATGTAATTAACTTTAATTTTTGTAAAACACTGATAAGTAATTATTTAAATTTATACGTATGAGGTGTAATATGAAGGGACAAGAAACAGGGTTGGGCTCTGTGCTGCTCTTTGGGGCTGCTGAAACGATGCATATGGTGTTCGTGGACAGTGGCAAATGGGAGTGGAGAGGTGAACTTGAATCAGTGTAGAATGGATATGACGCCGAGAAGTGCTCTGAGGAGGAGTAGTGCCCACAGTTTCGGTTGCACAATCATCAGTCCTGTTATTTCCTTCTTCCATACCTTGAATCCGACGTTAATTGTTGGGTCTTCTGCACCTGTAGCAGGTGCTTTAAAAGTAAATGGAGCGCACTAGCCTGCTGCCGTTGCAATGTCTTCTGCAATGGCTGTGGTGGAGATGTAAGGAGAGAGGGCTTTATGTTGGTGAGCAGGATTGCGAACGGGGCCTCAAGTAGTTGATGAGGTAGAAGTTCTATTGTAGGGTGGTGGCGTGCTAGTGAGGCGGTGGGAAACGGCTTGATAACGATGAGAAAGAAGATGAAGAGGAGTAGTAGAAAAGGGAAAAAGAAACCGAAGTGGAGTTAAGAGGTAGGAAGTGTAATAGAAGGAAGAGGATGGGTGTGAGAAAGAAAAATGGCGGAACGGGGAAGGAAGTGAAGAGGAGGGAGCGAGATCTTTGCCCTGCTGACACGTCTGGCAACTGAGGTGAATGAAGCGGTTATTCGTTCACGACTACTGCTTTACGCCCAGTCAACCAACATTGCTTCCCTTTGCACCAAAGGGTAGAAAATGAGAAAAAAGTAAAGAATGCGTGAGGAAGGGAAGAGCTGAAGCTGTCATACCGACGCTCCACCACATCCTCCTGTCTGTATTGCAGGTTCGTATTGCGTCGATGAGGAGTGAGGGCAACCCTAAGAACTTCCTCTTGTCATAGAATAGGATTATTTATAGTTCTCTTTGGTTTCAGTTGCGGTTGAAGTCGTTACGTGTGGATGAAGTGGGCGCAGAAGAAATAATGGAGTACGCTGCAGTATGAAGCAGTGAGGAAAAGGAAGGAAGGAAGGAAGGAAGACCACCGAACAGCATGTTCGAAAGCGTGAGTGGATGAATAAAAAGAATCTATGCCATTGTGAAGAATATGATCCGCGACTTAGGCGGAGAGGGATAATTGTGGGAATACGAAATGAGAAATGAAAACGGAGTTGTAGCATAGAGGTAGAAGAAGGGAAGAAAGTGTGAGGCGTAGCAGGAGTAAGCACTTTCTCCCTCACCTTGTCTTATTCTTTGCTAGCGTGTATCTTGACGTCAACTCTTGCAGCCTATGCCTAGTGTTTGTAGGGGAGAGAGTTGACATAAACCTCATCGGTCCACTTTAAAAGATCGGTAGAGGAAATCGCTGCCTTTTTGTCTTGGTCGACTACTTCACTGAGGTAGCCGGAGCAGAAATTCCAAGGGCTCAGAGTGCATAGACAGTAATGACAATGTTTCTCAACTCTCGGATCTGTTAAAACAGTGTACATGATACAGTCTATAACGTTTAGGATCCCATTTTTGAAACTTGCCTCTCTGCAGCTGTACATAACCTAAGAAATTTTCAATCCACGCAGAGAGCCAGGATGTCGTAGGACATTGGACAGTTTCGAACCGATGTCTCCAAAGTAGGAGATTTGGTGCACATATGCAAGTTGCCACCGCGGAAGCTTGGCCTCCTATCTAGTGGTTAATTAACTTCGTTTCCTCGGCCAAAGCATAGACCTCACTATAATAACTTGTTTATTCGACTACCTGTATGGCTTGCTCCCGATGGCACAGACAGCAGACGAGTATCTGTGTTTAACATCTAGCCCATTTCCATGATCCACAGGCAGGCCATTAACAGAGTCAACGCAGACATGAACAGTCTTGAATAGATTTGTTTCTGAATTCATTTTACCGCACTTACACATTACGCTGTGTCTCCTTCCGTACGCGACTGTGTTTGATCCCGTTGTTCCTATCATGAATCTTTATTAGACTAGTGTTCCAATGTCTGTCCTGGGCACAATAAAAGGTCTACAGAAGGTCCCTCCTCTGGTACATGATTGCAGGACCTCATGATTGCTTTCCCTCAGTGTCATGACAGTTAATGACCGGGGCTTTTGGTTTCTGGGCGTTTCCTTGCAGCAACGGATACGTTGCGAAGACTGCAGTGGTAAATTTACCTTCAGGCCAGTCCTTCAGTATGAATAGGCGGTAATTTAAGGCAAAACATCGTTGGCGTACTCGCGAATAGCACGATAAAGCTTTCAGTCCTCCCATCCATCATTACGCACTCCCTAATGCATTTGAGCATCCCTTATTGCATGGAGATTTTATAACTGGCAGAGTTGACTCCAACAGTATAGCTGGCTTAAAGGTTGGACAAGAAAAGCTGTGATAGTTTAGAAAATGGTTTAATTGGAAATCCCTCGACTATCACCGCTCTCGTGATGATTCAAGAATTCCTTATGTTAATAGAAGGCATTGAACATGGCTTAGTACTTCTCCTCAGGCAGAAAGGATAGAAGCGAAGCTATTTCCCAACCCCATTTCGTTTGTATTCAATTTTCGAGTCTTTGTGGCAACGCATAGAAGCAACGTCAGACAGTTGGCGGTACTCATGTAAGTACTGAGGATCAGAAAACAGGCTTGAAGCGATTTAAAGGCCTAGCATCTATCTTCGGTACTAAGTGAGCAAAATATTAAAACCAATTAAATTGTGCACCCAAGTGATCCAAATATTTTAAAGCATTCTGCTTAGTTACCTTGTTCATAAATAATGGTATTCTATATTTGCAGATAGGTGAATGAACAAGGTAAATTCTCAGAGTTTGCATGGTACAGGTTGATTTTACTTTTGTAAAGTCAGCTCTGTCAAAAGGCACGGAGATCAGAAAGCCTTTACAGAAGTCCGTACTTTACCTAATGTACGACTATTTCTACTAACTGTTAGTTGAGCGCGAGACAATCGATGTGTTTTAGTTCTTGCAGGTACATCGAAAGTCGCTGCAAGTAACGGCTGGATGCTTTAATGTTCTACATTAAGTAAACGGAGCTTAGCTCTCTTGCCAGCGTATTTAGGCGGATCTCATTTTCGACCTGCAGCGTTCCGAGACTTCCCATAGGGTGGACGAAGACAGTAAGTGTGGCTGGATTCATGCATGCTGATGAGGACAGAACAAAGGCCAGCCCACAAGTACAAGGGCCAGACAAATACCAAAGTGACCGCCAAACATCATGCGGTCACACAAAGTATTACAAGACCAATCATGAGGCCTCCGTTCATGAATTACCATGGCTCCAACGGAGCACAGATGACCATCGACACATTTCTCGTACGATTAGAACGCCAACCAAGGCTAACATGATTTCTATAGTGAGTTCAAAGACTCGTATGAGGGTAAGACAAATACTAAGACAACTACAACGCCTTGCTTACATGACCATCTGCGTTTAGCGGTCACTTTAAGGTACGTCCAACCCTTATACGCGTGGACTGGCATTCGAACCATGCTCAGGTCTAATTGTTTCGTTCTCCTTGTAATACAAGTATCCAGCCCAACTTACTGCTTCTTTTACCCGACGGGAAGCCTTGGGAAAAAAAGTCCAAAAAACGTTTGGCAGTACTACCATTGAAGAGAACAGCATGCAGCCAAGTACTGAACTGGGGGCCCCTAGAGGGAAATCGAAGTTCGACTTTGACTCCTCAAAAAATGACATCCCACTGATTTTATGCACAACCCCAAAGCCGTCACTAAGTCCTATTCCTAGACGGACGCAAACCCACACCTTCTTCCATAGCCGCAATGACACCGCCGATTTCCAACCAAATGGTAATGAGCGAGGAGTAAGATTTGAGAGTGTGAGTTGGCAGTGAACGGGATCCAGAGGGCTGGGGAAGAGTTTATGAGGTATATATATATATCAAAACAAAGTCACATTTTACAGGGAGACAGAGGGAACAGAGTGGATGGAGAAGACGGCATCTAGCTGAAGCGGGCATCTCTACATTCTGCCTCATTTCGCATACACACAAGGGAAAACGCACAGGCGTGCACGCCCTGCCGCCAAAGGCTGCAAGGATGGAGGGAGGAATGGGAGAGAGCACGAATGGGACGCGTTAGGATAAAGGCTAGGGTACACGAAACGCAACAAAGCTGCGGGGAGGGGGCAAAGGTAGGTGTCGTAAAAAAGAGGGAAACATCTCGGGCTCAGGCTAGGAGCAGGGAGTGAAAGTGAAGAGGAGCCAGTATTTAGGCCATTCCGTACCCCTCACAGCACTCTCGAATAGCAGTCAGGAGACGCTTCCGTAACTGCTCGTAAGATTCATAGGGTGGCAATTCCAGAGTGTTGAAACTGGCAAAGAGAAGGAAAAAATGACGTCGTGAATGATAAATGAACGTTTCAACTGCCTACTCAATCGAACATCGACTCAATTCTCTAAAGTGTATGCTGACTTACCAGGTGTGAGCAGAAGGAAGATGGTTGGTGCTCGAGACAGCTGCCCGACAAATCTGGAATTTTGTGGGTCCATGCATACCTTCGAGGTTGGCGAAGCCACCCAGAGGCACTCGACTCGTGCCCGTGAGGAACTGTAGAAATCGAGCCCGATCCTCCTGATCGAAGGATTCCAGAGCCTGCCAAAACCACTCTACCTGTGGCGAAGTGGGTTGGTACTTCGAGTAGGTGGTGTTGGCACGTAAATCATCGATATCGATGTTGGGGAGACCCGAGATGAGCAATTCCAATTCTTGTTCGTTGAAGATGTTAATTAGACTCTTGGGAATGATGCTATAGAAGCCCTCCAGGAAGGCGCTCAACTGCTGCCGAATAGCACCGGTCATACGTTCCTGACACACCAGACGCACGTATTCGTGTTTGTTGGCCTCTGTCACTACAATGTTACGTCCATTCTCAATCAGATCGCGCGTTTCATTCTTGCCAAATTCATTGATCTAAAAATAGAGTGATAACGTAAGTTCAAGGGTGAATTGAGAGCATGGCGGAGCCAACAAAGCACTCACCTCAGTACAGAAGGTAATTTCATAGTTCAACTCGGAGACATGGTGCGTCAATAGGTATTCCAAACCCTTATAAAAGTCGTAATCCTCACTTTCTAGATCTGTAAACCTGTAGAAACATAATATCATCCGTTTTCACCAGCTTCCTAAACCATCATTATGATTGCATGACAGACTGCTATCTGCTACAATCTCAGCAAAGCAAATTTCAAACTTAGTGGATAAGACACTCACCTAACACGTCGACCGAGAATGTGTTTATAGAAGGAGCGAGTGAAGTAGCATTCCAACAGTTTGTTATCGTAGATAGCCTTGGCTATGAAGCGGCCAACAAATCGGAAGTAGCTTAGATGGTTACTGTTAATGAATGACGCCGGATTAATGGTGTATGTGACGCGATCCGACGGCGACACTCGGAAGAGGCAGTAGTTGGGGTTGAAAATCTCCCTACTCATCAGGAGGTACCACTCCCTCAATAGGCCTCCTGCGTCTTGACCTTCTTCATCTGCAGGAGGGAGGAGAAAATTTGAAGGTAGAACGGTGAAATTCCACAGGCACTTGCAATGCCATACCAAACCAACTTACTCTGGAAGCGAATAACGAACTTGTGTTTCCACACATCGGCGCCTCTAGAGTGTAATCGAGTGAAAGTGTCCTCGAAGATGCGCTCTCGTGAGACTACCAAAGGTTCTTCCTCTGACCTAGGTTGCGGAGACCTTGCACGCAGGGATTGGAAGCGTTGACGGAAGAAACGCCGCTTAACGTCAAAGTCTAGGCACTTGGGCTGACTTAGAAACACCGTGAACGCCGACTCACTGATGTTGCCCACGTAGTGACGCAAGATGTGGTTCAATCCGACTCTATGCTTTTCCGCAAACCATGCGATTAGATTTGTGTTTGAAGAGGGGAAATTTACATCTCTCGAAGTAGACGCTCTTTCAGTACATTCTGTAGTATCTGTCATAGTCCAATCCGGTGGTGACATCGGACGCGTAAGGTCGATCTGGGGACTGGTCCCGGACACAGTCTCTGTAGTAGGGGGAATCTCTGGAAAGCCGTCGAACAGGATTATGTTCTGATCCTCTGTAGAAAAACCGTTGTTTAGGCTGATGGGCAGATCAATGCCCGTCCAGGAAGCAAGTCCCCCACCAACAGCTCCACGACGGGATAACCCAGAGAAAGGCGAGTGGAAGACATTAACACAAGTGGTTTGCGAGGGACTAGCGTGAGCCAGGCACAAACACTCGACAAGGGGTTGGAAGAGGAGAACAGTGTTGGCGTCGCTAGTTTCCTGGAGGCAATCAAGTGTCACACTGAGACGTCTCCAAAGAGAAGACAGCGCTTCCATTGATTGCATAGATACGTCAGGTGGAAAGGACAGGTGGAGCATGAGGCGGAGTATTCGACAAAAACGTGATTGTGGACTGCGTGAAGTGAGGAGAGGCTGAAGAGAAGCCAGTTCTAGTTCCCCACCCGTGGGAGCAGGTGGTGGTGGTGCAAGGGATGTAGAAGGTCCACCAACAAACACAGAAGCACCAGGAGAACCAAACCTGTCGGGGAGGCGAGTCATGGATGCAGAATGCTGGAGACCTGGGCCAAAGCTGGTAGAGGGACCATCACCACTTCCACCACCTCCAGAGTTGTTACCGCTTGTTCCACGTTGATGACGACGATACTTAGAGCTCGGAGAAAGCAGATTGATTTCTTCAATTACGGCAGACAGTTGTCCTTCAAGAATCTGCGCTAATTCGCAGGCTCCTATAGCAAGAACATGGAAGAAGCGTTCTCTTGTGCTGCTGTTGGCACGCGACATGAGGATAATGAGCCAGGTTGCTAGAGTTCGAGACTGCTCGGTGGAATTTCGAGCCATAACGAAGTCACAGAGACTCTGGATCACAGAAGGGCTTAGTGGAGCGATAAGGCTCGTTATGGGCGTTGTTGAATTGTTCGATTCTGCGGCAGTATTGGCAGTGGTAGCAGTGGAAGGCTGCATTCCGACTGCCGTTTCACTGGGTGAAAAATCTCCCAAGACTCGGGAGCCAGCAACAACCTATGGATGGAGTTAAACAATAATTGAGCCACTTATATTGCTATTGCACGGACTTTATCGGCTATGGTTAGGAAAAGTTCAGATATTGTACACATTCCAACGGTTCCCCTAATTGCTTCAAGAAACAAAAGCCTCAAAATAACTGCTCCTCAGGTAGGTACTTAATTCAAGGGCAGATGAAGGAAAGGATGTCGAGGAAGAGCATTAAACAAACCCTAGCCTTCCGCATAGTAAGTTTGCTTTGGATGACTGCTACCTGACCTCAAGGCGGACTAGGCAATGTATGCAATTTGCTAGAGAACTTTCGACGGCCGCGAGAACGGCAGTCAAATAATAACGCCTTTTATTACATTTTGGGGTTGCTTGAGGTGCGCAAAGGAAAATAAGAGCAAAACGACTTACTCCACTTCGTCGTCTGGGTGAGTTTCCACTAGTCGGTTGTTCGTTTGCCCTAAAAAATTCATCTACAACACGAACAAGGAGAAAGAGAAGCTTCTCCTGCAACACAGGTCGCGAGGTGACAACCGGATGTCGTAGCAGACCAACCAGATGGGAGAAATAGTCAACTGGAGGTGTGGTAGCATCCACCAAATCACTTACACGACTGCGACTTAGTGGGACAGTTGTCGTGGAACGGGGTCGAGCGGGACTGATTGAGAGGGACTTGCGCGGGCTACTACTGCTACTAGGCCCACTGCCACGACTAAGGCGAGAAACAACATCCCAGAAATCTGTCTTTACATCAGCGGGCTCGTAGTCACCCGTTGAGAAGACAGAGGAGTCAAGAGTTAAGGGGAAGAAATGAGAGGCAGATGACTGCGCCAAATCGGCAAGAACATCCAATACAATGAAACAGACGTAGTTCGCAGCCTGCGGATGCACCACAAACAGGCCGTTGGCCAAGGGCTGCAGATTCCTCACCCAACAGCCCATTGCAGCCTCAAAACCAGCTCCAAAGATGGTATTAGTGTTCGAATGAGCTAAGGCGGAAGAGGGAGAAAGTGGTGTTTCCGAGAGCTGCTTCACAATCTGCACTAGGGTAGAAATTAGCCACACCCGCGTAGGTTGGTGAGAGCAGAGGTTTTGTAACAAGCGCTTGAGAGTCGGGAAGATGTTACGTCGCAATGAAGGCGATGTGGAACAGGTAATGATGAGTGTGATGATGCAGGTTAATCCCTCGTGGTCCAGGAGGGGTTTCAATCCGCTCTGGCTACGTGTCGACAAAGCAGAAGTGAAAAAACTTTGAAGTCCATTTAATGTTGCGGCCGATAGAGGGCTCAAATGGCTTCCACCACGCCCCTGAAAGCTTCGATTCACTCTCCACTGTGCATCATTGGCTGTAAAACGAAGACAAACAAAACTGAGAGGTCTAAAACAATATTTAGGACCAAAATGGAGAGACAGCACTCACAATCGGGAGGATTAACAGGGCCAAAGAATGCAGGGAAAAGACGACTAGGAAGAGGACGATATTGGTTCTGATTGCGGTGACTTTGTGAACGACTATCCTGTCTAGCGGTTTGCTCTAACGCGTGACGACGTAGTCGACGTGCCTCTTGCTGCATCTCAGCAGGTAGAAGGTCAATTTGGAAATCCTCCATGTCAGTAAAGATCTCATGTCGTAACGCAGGTGGTAGGGAGGCGAGGAAGGAAGAGTTGTTGTTATTACTCTCATCCCCCAGAGTGGATGAGCCATTAGCAGCAACCACTGCCGCGTTTGAGGGTCCAGCACCCGCATCGGCGCCTGACGACACAGCAGTCTGCCGAACCTGAGCCAGCACTTCTTCCTGGATGTTGGGAGGAAGACTGGTCAAAAAGGCCTCGTCCACGTGATCTGGCATGCTGCTTTGCATGGAAGAAAGTTGAGAGCGAAGACGAACAGTGCGCTGATGCTCTGTCATCAGCTCACGTCGCATTTCTTCAGGTAGAGCATCCAAGAACGAAGGGTCCATGCCTTCAGAGACCATGGAGGCAACAATCTCCTCGTCCGTGACTGGAACTCGGATCTGAGGAGGTTGTGCCTGAAGTTCAGAAGCTGACGGAGCAGATGTCGAAGGAACCGACGGATCAGCACTCCTAGATGCTGAATTTGTGGCGGTTGGAGAAGTGGTTGTCTCGGTTACCACGTCTACCGTTGCTGCTGGACCTTCGTCAGTATTTCTTCCATTCGATGGAGAGTTTGGAGAGTTCAGAAGAGCAGGAAAAAGTTGTAAAGATTCCCCCTCATCATGAAGCGAGTCTGAATAGGATAAAAGAAGATTAAAGGACCACCTTACGAAAAATTTAAGTGCGGTAAAATAATGAATATGATTTACGCCCTATCAACCGACCCAAAGGTTAAGTTTACAAAAGAACCTTAACATTAAATCCTTGGTGAAGGACCGAAACTCGGGCGGCTTAAAGTACTTGAACAAAAATCTACCGATATCCGAGTCGATGGCGTCAGATCTGCGCGCATTACTGGGTCGAACCAACGGCGAAGGTGTGGTTTCAGCAAGCTCATCCATTAAAGCAGCCCCATGGCCGCCAACCAAAGCTTCCGGTTGTGTATGTTCCTCTTGTTTACGCGGTGACAGCTCCCGCCGGTATTCTGCTAGGCGCCGAGCATACTCTTCATTTCTTCGTTGCACTGCCACTACTCCAACCTCATGCCTTGCAATCATTACCATGTCCATAATTTCTTGACCACAAAGAATTAGCGCCAATTCGACGAAATGACGATAAGTATTGAGCATATTAAAGAATAGGCTGAGCGGGGCTGTAACACCAGTAGCACCAACACCACTGAAACCAGCTAGTCTAAGGCTCTCAGCCACTGTGTAACACTGGAATTCACAGAAATCCGTGAGCATCTCCCACACAACCTTATCCCCTTCTGATTCCGATAAATCCATAGACTTTCGCTGTGTAAGACCGGCGGTAGAGTTTTGTGCAGTACGGCGTCGATTGGAACGCACGCTATTGGGGTTGTCATAGACAAATGTGTTGTACTGCATCGCGCCTTGCCCAACTAACAGGGAAGATTGCGCTGCTTGGAGGTAGGTTGAAGGTTGGATTGAAGACCCAAGATTGGTGCGAACAAGGATAGGGGTTGTGGCCTGGTTACCAGCCATGCGTCCGTAACCACCACCACTGCCACCTCCACGATGGCTTTGTGGGTAGAGAGTAAGAACAGCTGAGGAGATGGCGTTGGAATCACGTCGAGAAGACGGATGAGCTCGAAGAGAACGAAGGCTGATAGTCGTGGTTGCATCGTTCATTCCACCATTGACAGAACGCAAAGCCACAGGGGCTGAACTCTCGGAGGCTTGAAGAAAAGGATTTTGAGGAGGAAGGGCTATAATAGGATGCCGGATGGCAGAATTAAGATTGCTAACACCACCACTACCACCGCCGCTGCTTCCGCCAACAAAGTGAGAATCATTCAGGAAAAATGAACTATGGTGCATATGGGGGAAGTCCATGGTACTACGAGGGCCAGCGAAGTCATACAACCGATCACCGCCGACAACAACAGGATGATGGGTACTCGATCCCCAGTTGGTAACACTATCATTCCCAGCAAATGGAGTAAAATGGAGTATAAGACCGCGTTCTATATCACCACCCGAACGTCGGTGATTTTGTGTGCTCCTGATACTGCCACCAACACCAACACCACCGCTAATACTATCGATTGCGCTGTCCACAACATTGAACACTTCGTTTACTAAAGTGATCATCATATTGTTGTGTTGATTCGATGGGCCGTTGTCAGTGGATTGCGCTTCAACCAGATCGTCAACATCCACCTCTTGGTCCATAGAGTGGTCTTCATAAGGACCCCTCTCATCTTCCTCATCGATTTCATCTGTCGTGTCAGCATCATCTCCTCCTTCATCTTCTTCGTCATCTTCCTCATCCTCGCCATCCTCTCCATCATCCTCCTCATCATCATCACCCTCCGCGTCCTCAAGATCATGGTAGCTATCGCCGTCTTCACCTTCCTCGGCATAAGAGTCGTTAATTCGTCGAACGTCGTCAGTGTTGTCGTCGTCTTCACCAACGTCCCTATTACCACCATCGCCACTACTTTCTCCTGCCCTGGGATTGACGACGACTTCATCAAGGATGAGAATAGCGTTACTATCCTCTACAGTGGTGTCCTCCATTTCACTGGTGTCTTCTGCCAAAGCCCACGTATCACCCTCCTCTGTAACATGATGCCGGTTGGGTGTAGAAGAATTCCGCTGCTGCAAACTGCTTCCAGCTGGCAATGATGTCGTCGCTGCAGCTGGAGCAGGGTGAACAGAGTCACCAATTCCAACGATTGATGGGGCTAGAGCCGAAGCCACGGGTTGAGTGGTCTCTGCTGCTGTATGCATCATAGAATCCGCAACTGTGGTTACCACAGATACATGGTTTTCCGCCACCGAGGTGGATGCACGCTTGAACTGTTGTTCTAGCTGAGTAATGCGACGCAAAATCTGCCGATCGAGAACAGAGAGGTCGTCAAGGACCTTAACCACCCCATTCAATGCAGCGACACTGTTGCTCACATTGCAGTGCACTATGGCGATCAACCTGGCCACGTCAGCAGGAATTTGGCGTTTGTAAAGATGACGAATAATAGTGCTTTGAAGAGGGTAAGGAAGAGCAAGAGCACATTCAAGAAAACGCATGTGGGATATAATTCGCTGATTTTTGTCAAAACCATCATTATTAGAGATGGACATGGAACCCGAAGCAATAAGATATTTCAGCGAGGCCTTGAATTCGACAATGATAGTGTTCTGTGTAGTGGAGGAGGAGCAAAAGAGAATAGTCTCCAGCAAGAGAATAGTTAGATCCATGCTTGAAGAATCCGAGAATTCTTGGTTGAAGAGGTAGTTAAGCAAAGTTTGGTGAGTCGTGACATTGTACTTTGCAACGAACTCCACCACGCCTCGAGAGGTCATCACTAGATCAGTGAGATAACGCAGATAATCCGACTTAGTTAGATGAGAGCTAGTCAAAGCGCGCTTTACAGGAGGAACATCATCTTTCGTATTGACGTTCAAATCAGTTGTTCCGGCCACCGTCTAGAAATAATTTAAGTGAAAACAACTACTAATTACGGGTATATAAGTTATTGAGAGCAGATAAGTTCAATCAACTTACCGAATCTTCCCCAGAATCATCAGAACGCCGCGATTCTTTAACAATACGATTAACGAGAACGGAGACAATGCTTTTCTGTCGGTCGGTCAGTTCTACAGAAAAGGCCTTAGGATCATCCACTGCTGGGTCCAATGACATCAAGAGAGAGTTTGACGGAACGCCATCTAAAAAACCGAAGGAGAGATTAACTACTCAAAGCTTCTTAAATGAATCCCAAACAGAAAAATTACCTTTTAGACTCCCTTCAGCAATATCGATTACGGAAAGCTCCTTAAGGAGACTCAGAGCGACTTCTTCATTTTTAGCCATCAGGGGAATGAGAATGGAGAGTGTATAAAACAGGTCACGATAACACCAATGCAACAGTGGCGAGCCACCATGGAAGAACTGTCCAATAACCTGGCGCATGCTCGCGGTCAGCGACGCCTTATCATCAAAGAGTTGTCGAATTAGATGTCCTACAAAGGCGGAGTACTGCGAAGCGAATCCCGTCTCGAAGGGAAAATCAAAGAGGATACGAAGCACGTCTCCACCCATAAGGGTATCCACATCATCAAAGCTACTAGCCGCGAGGCGTAGCAAAAGACGCAGAAAGGCATCAGTACACTTAGAATCTAGTCTACTATCTTTGAAGTGCTCGAGCAGAGAGAGACAAAGATAATGTCGCTGTGTAGAGGAAAGGGGCTCTGACGGTACTTCTTCTTCATCACGCAGAATATAGCGCTCATAATCAGTGAGATTGAACTGAGCCTCCGACACTGACGGCACTTCAGATTCCGCGCTGAAAGACGGTAGTTTGGGCAGGAGGGCGATGGGACGCGTGCTATTTCTCTCACTGGGAGCCAACAATAAGGGGTAAAATTCAACTACATTGGTCTTCCTGTCTTCGTAGGTAAAGCGATAGACACCATCATGAAAGGCTCGATCGGCAAGACGGAATTCCTCGGGACAGTAACCATGCCATTGTTTCGCAATATGATCGAACCAAGCCCAGCTGTGACGGTCTGCGTAGAGCTTGATATGACGCTGACGCAGACGCAGAGCCGTAGCCATGTGTACGTATTGTTCGAGCAGGAGAGCAGCAAGGGTGAAGAGTTTAGACCGGAAGGGAAATGAGGAAGCAGAGGGCCAGAGGCGACCTGTGATAAGGTTGTAGAGGAAATCGGGCAAGCGATACCGGTTGAATGCACGAACGCAGACGAAGCGACAACGGGTGAAGAAAAGAGCAAGGAGGTGCATTGCTACTTCAACATTCGTAGAGGAGTATTCGGGAGACGTGAGAGGGGCATCAATGCAAACATGCTCAGTTCCATCACCAGTAATGATGCGAACTAGCTCCGAGACACAGTGCAAATCGTCTTTGTTGGAGAGCAACACGTCGGCGATCTGTTGCAGCACCTGAAATTAATACTAACACTGACTTTACCAGCTTAATGCCAAATCCTAACGCTAAGAGTTTACTGCTAGGGCGAAGTAATCAATGGTTCACAATTGTGAAATATTGAAACTGTTAGGGATTCTGGAAACTTCCCCAGCCGCCCTAGCATTAAACCATTATGGCTAAGAAGCATCCACAATAATACTCGCGATTTCAACAGAATCACTGGGAGCAAATAACATCTTTAGTAAACTAAAAGCCAACCTTTTCTTGTTTAATGGCATTCTTTATAGCCTCTATATGGTGGTGTCGCGGAAACCACAAGACTTGACCTTCTTAGCCTCTCGGTTTGCACACAACCCTTAATCTGTTTGTTCTAACCGTCTTATAGTGACCTAGCCATGTCTATTAGGACCTCATCAGTTCGCCTACACATCTTTATGAGCGCTCATACCAATAACAGGTCGCCAGTGGAAGCTGAATTGGGCAAAGGAAACATATCTACTACTTACAAACCATAGGTAAAAACGTTACAAAATAATAAGTCGATTATTGAAAGCTCACCTCATCTCCATCATGCAGTTTGGCTATTTCGAGGCAGGCGTTAAAGAGTTTCGACCTGAGAAATGCACTTCGCTGCCGTGACGTCTCAAACGAAAGAGGTGGGTGCAGCTTCGCAGACGGCCGCTTGCTAAGCAAATCACGGATCCGATTCGTTGTGCTTTCCTATAAAGAGGGAAGGGTGAGGCAATGGAAGCACAAGACAGGCAATAGGAAAACGAGTCTCTACAAACCGTTCCAAAGGCGTTCAAAAAATCAACCATTGTGAAGCCCAACTCCTCGAGAGCTTCGGTGGAAGGAGGAGATATGATATCACTAATAGTATCCATCTCAACTGGATCCACCTCCGCATGCTCCTTACCCCTACCCTCTCCAGTTGAAGTCGATGGCGTCGAAATTTGGGCATTGCTTTCGTCACAACTAATGCGAGAAGACGAGGTGACCTCGGAGGCGGGGGTAAAGATGATAGGAACGACGTTCTTGAAGATGCTTAAAAGGTGCTCCACTCCCTTTTTGGTTAGGAACTCCTGAAAAAGAGACGATAAATTCAATGAAAATAACGTGATAGATAAAGAAATGTCAACTTACAATAAAACCGGGACGACAGATAAGACAAAGGGGTTCGAGGATGCGGCGATACAAGTAGTGAGAGTACTTATCCAAATCGAATCCGATGAAGTCGGTCTCGCTGAGACGCTGAACCTCCGCCTTCAGTGCAGAGACATCAGCAAGACGGTCGGCACAGGCAAGCCAGCCCTCAACCACCTTTCCCACGGTTTCTAGAAGGCACGCCAACAGTAGGTTATCGGTGCTCTAAGGCCGTTGATGAGCTTCTGCTGTGCCGACATTCTTTGACCAAAAAAGACTTACCTTTATCTAGAGGAACCGCCATTGCATTAGCAACGAAGTCGTTAAAGGACCTACAAACAACAGGAGAATTGACAAAAAGCCACATGAATGAAACGGAAAATGAGGAAAGAAGAGGAAAAAAGTAATGAGCATAGAGTAGGTATGCAAACATCTACGTGAAATGATGGAAAAAATAGCATATTTGCACAAAACCACACAGTATAGTCATCAACCCACTCGAAGAGGAAGCCGATACCACCCAGCATGGAAAAGGTCTTTAGCATCAACACGCTGGGCATGCGGTTAGTAGAGGTCCCAAAGAGAAAAAGATGAATCAGCTGGAAGGCTGAATACCACAATGCGTTGACCATCCTGGGCGGTGGTGGTGGTGTGGGGGGCTGCCAGAGCAGTCTGTCTGCCATGAAGAGAGCGACGCGTCCCAGGATGGCTGATCGGGCGGATGTGGATAGAGCGTCCTGGGGTGGCGGGTTGGAGAACTGCATGATGAAACGACGTGGAGGGGGAGGAAATAGGATGCAGAACCGAGTTAGGGTAGTGCACAACTCATTCACAGAGTTGATAATGAAGGAAGACACGTAGAGGATATGATGCGCATCACTCGGAGTCCCTGGTCGTGAATGAAAAAAGGAAGAAATAGGCCAGTCGGACACTTGCTCCATTCACCTGCATTCACACTCAAAACTATGGCAATTGACAATGAGAAACCATTTTGACCGAGAGCGAGAAACAATCGGCGAATGGGCTAACTACCGATAAAGCTTGGCCTTTATAAAAAAGATCGTTACAATTCATTTTACAAATTAAAACAAAGCCATTCATGCTCCACTTCAAAGGATAATTGTTTAGGAATGGGCAATGTATAGAATTGAGAGAAGGCTCACCGGAGTTGTTACGCTGGGGAGAGATGATTTTGAAGATGCTCAGAGTTTCGACAAAGGGCGGAAAGAGACTCCTTTCCAAAGCGTCGGGGAGACCACCACAAACATCTCCACAACCACTACTGCCACCGGGAACTCCAACATTGTTTGCGATACCGGTATTGGCAGATTTGCTGGCAGTTGTTGAGGTGGTAGCAGAAGAAGAGAGTTCCTGCTCATCTCGGATGGAAGTGAGGAGAATCGTTGCCTCCCATAGGACCTCATGGTAAAGCTCTCTAGAAATATTTATACAAATGGGTCCATTTTGTTGATTACCATTTTGTGCATTCACAAACTCCTTTTATACTAGAGTACCATATGCTGATGTAATTATCTCCTCGAGCTCTGATAATTTTACGCTTAAAATGCGATAAATGTGACCTACCGACACCTTCAAACGTTCCTCCATCAGCTTCGATAAATGCAGTTTTAAGGATCAATACAGTTGATGACAGGTTTAATCACATCAAGACAATAGTAAAGCGATTGAAAGCGCACGACTTTCATATGTGCGCACAAATGCGTGAATGGACTGAGGAGTGCTTTATTGTAAATGCGCCAAATGCCTAGTCTTTTTTTGCGTAGGATGATGGTCTAAAATGTCCTTTTAAAGAACAGTAAGTGTTAACTTCGGAAGTTATAAAGGATCATAAAGGCTTCCCACTTTTCGATCAATGGAAATTGACGGAGACATTAACCACCTACGAATCAAGACGCAACGCCGGTAAATCCAGCTGCAAATCACCTATCCAACGTGAGACAATCACAGATTGAGTTAAAAGAAGCAAGAATGGTAGAAGAAATGGGCAAGAGGAGTGAAAAGTGGAGAGGCTTCAATTCGGGAAGTTGAAGTGAACATTCCGTGATTCGACAGCTAATCAACGTAATTACATTCTCCCGAGCCCCAATAATTGATTAAGAGGTCGGTACCCATAGATCAGGTAGAGTTTGACCAACTGCTGCAATCATCTCTGTAGAGGAACAAGTTGTCCAAATACCTTGGTTACCTATTTTTGGCATTCCAACTGCCCCATGTCAAGGAGATTGGCCGGAACACGAATAGGGGAATATTGCTTAAGCTGCAAAACTTTACTGGAATGGCAAATTGGGCACCATCGGTTAGAAAAGTTCCAAACGGGGTGCCACAAATTGTGTATCGAGCAGCATTGAAAAATTGAGAATAAATCCCACGATCGAATAACATTTGTCAGCAATGAGAGGAACCACCATGGCCAAGTACAACCCCTACCTCGAATCTCACTTGCGCACGTTTTGACTTTCCGAGAAGTGATACACTGAAAGCTCGACTAACACCCGTCATCAAGCTGCATCCAATGCTTGTGAAGGGTGCAAAAAAGAATCATACCAGATGCTGAGCTGATAAATAAAATAAACGCACCCCAAATCGCGAAGAAATTCCTTCTCACTCCAGAGATTACCGAAGATGCCCCGCATCTCTGGCTTGAGATGATTAATAATTTGCACTACCACGCAGATGATGGATGAGATGCAGACAAGCTCGTGGAGCAGTTGAGTTCGTCCAGCATTAAACTCTGCAAGAAGCAAGGATGTTGGTGCTTCGCTGCTACTACTATGGTGCATACTAGTGACGTCTATTGCGGAAGTGAGACCAGCGCGTAAGTCCTTTGCTCGTTGAATCGACTTCTCCAGTGTCTGTGGGAAAAGGTGGGTTTTTGTAAGTCATACAACTTTAACTCTATGATTAAAATTACAAAGAGGACAAAATTCAAAACCCCTTATATGACTATCGCGATCAAACGTCTGTGTCACTTTCCACCCTCAAATTCATTCGTGGCATTTGACTTCAAAAAGGAAAGTAGAAATGATCTTCTCGTGTATCGCAAAGTCAATGCCTTTGCCTAACATTTTCAGATTTCGCACGCGCCGCCTGCATCTAGTTCACAAACCGTCTTCAATAACCCTAGGTGGAAGCGGGATAAAAACAAACTCCAATGTCAAATTCAACCATGGTTCAAAAAAGTGCGTTGGATGCGAATTTCGACAATCACGATAGAGGGGTTTGGAGCACTTAAAGGATTACTAGGACCCAGGAATGCGTATGAAAACCGCTATCAGTCAGCTACAAAATCCGTCCCAACTTGACATTTTTTAGCCGTACTCGAAAGAAGACCTGACATTTGGCGCGAACAAGATTACCTCCCGTAGACGACAAAATACAGGAATGTGAAAAAGGAGGAAATAAGAAATTATACAGCAACCTGATAGAATTGACGAAGAGAGAAGTATTAAAATTGAAAATGAAAGCAACCAGCTTGGCCTGCGAATTTGACCGATTTAGCCCCCTTCTATGTAAGGGCGACACCTCTACATGGAACCCTTCCGACGAAGCTCGGTAACAGCGAATTCAAACGGAAAAAACTCATCAAAACAAGGAAGACTTTGTTGCGTTCTCAGCGTGACGGGACCCCATATTGTGGAGACTAACGCAGGAATCGAGTCAATGAGACCGTGGGACAAAAGCATGCCTCGTAATGCCACTGCGCTATGCGCCAAAACGGTGGTTTTTCAGCCGCCGGAGTGACAGGAAAATGGAACGCAACTACTATTCTCTTGCAGAATAAAATGACAAACGAGCTTTCAGCTGCCAATTACTCCAAAAGCTGAGGAGACTAATGACAGCGTCAACTGATGAAAAGGTGAATTAAATAATGACCAACGGTCTCTTTACACCTAGTAAGAGCAAGCGAGTTAATTTCGTTGCCTGGTGGTACAAAAATTCCTAAGATATTTTAAGTCGCCTAAGAAAAATAAAATACCAAATGTGAGAGATCGGAATGAACAGTTGTTAACAATTCGCGAACACGAAGCATGCTTAGTTAAGAGGAATAAACTTCGCAAAGTTGTAGGGAAGATTTAACTGAGCCTATCATCTCAAAAAACACAAAATGCTAGACCAGGAGTCCGTAAACTGCAATACACCAGAGGAACAGCACATAGAAAAAGCATTAAAAAATTAAATGAAATCATATAGAGGAAGAAACGACCAATATCGCAGAGACCAGATATGTGGAAAATCTGGTCGAATAACCCATAGATCCGATATCAGTCCATGTGGCGAGAAAAAGAGGAAATATCCAAAGGAACACCACAGTTCAAAAAAAGGACGAGAATGGACCACAAAAAAATTAAGGAACAACGTTCTCAATAGGTATACAGTTGGGCAGTTGTTTAACTTAAAAACTGATAGATTCAATGGAGAGTAGTAATTTCATCAAACTTGACCTCGAACTTTGTGTTGCTAAGCGAACAATTCGTATTTTGTGATTCATACAAAATCTACTGTCATCTAGATGTATGCCAATAAAAACGCACCTCTAGAATAGGTTCAACAACATCCTCCACGGACATGTAGTTGAGCAGTTGGTCAATGGACTTGCAGAAGGTGGCGCAGGAGAAGGAGACAGGAAAATCAAAAGGTAAACCAGGCATGAGGAGGAGATCGCACAACACCTGCACCCCTGCCCGTGAATGCAGTTGGTAAGGGGTGAGGTCGTTGACATGCATGAAGAATGAGTGAAGGCGCTCCATGAACTTGCTCTGTGAGGAAAAAAGGACTAAGTTGAGGCCACCACAACAGTATCAAAAAAGCGAAATAAGCAATTTTGTACCACGTTGAGTGTGTGTTATATTTTTAGTCAAAAAACATCTCTGAAAAAGGTGAACAGTGTAATGTAGGCAATGTGCACTTACAAACGCAATGAGAACAAAGACTGAAAACGTCGAAAAGGTGACTATGTGGTTCATCTAGGATCAGTGGGGCAAGTGATCAAAAACGGCCTCTTTGATGGCTAAACCGCTGTTTAAAAGCATCCTCTTCAAGTTGGGTCGAACACAAAGCCCAAAGGCTAGTTTACGAACGCCATCCAAGACCACCTCTTCCTACACCAAATTCTATAGGGCTTAGTTTGAATTGATGTGTCATTGAAATTGTGGATACAATTTCGAGTTTAAAAAGAGCGATTAAGGTCGCGAAAAATTCACCGATGTTTCTACAGCAAACCATACCGTTTAGAGTGGGCATCCAAAACCTTCTTCAGATTCCCGAAATATAGAACGTATTTCAATTAGGCTACTTAAGCCAAAAATGGATTATTAACCGGTCTGTCCTGTTATAAGCGTTCGAAGTCAGCAATCTGCTCCTTCAAGCTAGGAACCTTTCAAATGTTTTACAGGGAAGTCAGTACCAGTAAAGAGCACCGACCACGCCTCAACAACACACCCATCCTAATAATGGCAACATGGCTTTAAACATTCGCCCCTATCGCACTCTTTTTGTCAAGGTATCCACCTCTTTTTCCATGTCATTCTAGGAAGATAAAATACAATGGCGGAAAAATATCAATGAAGTAGGGGTGCACAAATTCCCTGAGGAAGCCTACATTTTTTATTAATTGAACTGAATAGATTGATAGACTGTTCTTGCCGGACGTATATGAAACAATGTACATTTGTGACAGTTTTTAACAAAACAGCAAATCAGTTAAGATCAGAGGCTACCGCTCCAGCTAGAAAATATGCGAATGTTAGCGTCAACCTGCTAATAAAGCCGAAGACCACCTTAAATTAGGTAGAAAGGTTCAGCAGCCGACTGAAACCGCAATTATGCGTCGTTTAATGCGGATAGGGGCTGTAGGCCCATCACACAGCATATATCCTAAGGTGACAAAACGGGGGAGATGGAGAGTGAAAAGGACGACAACACTAATTACAGCGTCACCGCCCTTTCCGTGCTTTTATCATTTCACTTCGTAATCCACAAGTAGCTGAAGCAAGGGGAGGCGAATGGAGATTTAAAGTGATATGACGCCAAGTCCTTCAATTCGGGTAATTTTTGGATTGAAATGAATGTGGAGTGTCTAAGTTGGAATCAAAAAACCTGCAGCCACGCCCAAGCCGAGTGGGATTAAAGCCTTAAGATTCATGAGGGCAATCGAGTAGAAAACATGAGAGGTTCAAGCAGTCCATAAGTACATACTAGGCAAAATACAAAAGCACGGACTTGAAGTCATTTTCATGGCAGTGGTAAACGTTTTCGATGAATCTGTTGGTGTCGTGTTAGTTACCACTAAATGGGAGAGTTGGAGTCAAATTGTTAACCAAAAATATCCATGGTTAAAAATTTTAACAGGTTTAGCGGTGCTGTTTCACAGGTACGCGCCAGGATGTTAATAACCCATAAGCACGTGCGCGAGTTTACAACTTCACTCGAAGCATCTCAAATGCAAAATTACTCCATCAATGAATGCCTACCCTACGATTTCCAAACTCGATCATTGCTTATGCTGCCATGCCCTTTGCCGATTTGCAGACGATAATGTTTAGCTCACTATCTCGAGCTCCGTTGAAATTTTGCATTTTCCTTGTAACAACTGAAATCGCACCCCACAGCTATTTTTCAGCCTATCCTTTAGCGTCTTCAAGTGACTCGTAAGTCGTGACCTTGAAGAAAAAAGTTTCTTACCCCAAAAGTTGGCATAACTAGATTGATCGACAAACAAAAAACCCGAAGAAGTGCTGTCAAGACTGCAACAATTGTCACTTCTAAGATTACATTGCCTGTAAAGTCAAATGCTTTTAAGGTACCGAAAAAGGTTTAATACATGCCATGATCATCACACGGATTCTTTGAACAAAATTTGTAAAAAAAATCCACTTCATCACATCCCAACGACATAAAACCACTTCAACATCGAATCCACTTAGCTGCTCACCACGTTGAGAATGAAATCAGAGATGTTCTGTGAGCCCTCTTCTTCATCAACCTCCATGGGAGTGGCTACAGAGGTGGAGGCTGTGGTACTAGCAGCGGGAACGGTAGTTGTTGTGATCGTATTAGCGCCTCCACCAAACGATACATGCTCCGGAGAGGTTGGAGTTGCCAATACGGTGATAGAAAGAGAATGCTGAGGGTTATCCACATCACTACCAGCCCCATCACTCCCGGATAGAAGCATGTTCACATCTTCCACTTCAGCATCAAGATAGGCACCCTCTTCTTCTTCTTCCTCTTCTTCATCTTCATCGTCCACTACATCCACATCGACGTCGACGACTTCATCCTCATCTGGAGATCTAGCTCGATGACGGACCCGAACTGGAGGGTGAATGTCGGAAGTAGACCGAGTGGATGTTCCTGCCACCACAGTAGTGGAGGTTGCAGTGTTGGAGTTCGCACTGGAGCCTCCACGCATTCCCGGAGGAGTGCTGTCGATACTGGTGGTGGGAATCAGCGAGGCCGGAGTCTTACCCATCTCGACGATCTTCGTGAAGCACTGCAGAGTAAACGGTCAGAGGTTTTTTTAGTAGATGGCAAAGTTCAAGAGGCTAGTGATGCAGAAGATTAGATTTGATGCTACCCGATTTTCCCAAGGCATTGACTGTGCAATTGAGGATTGAGACGGCAGTGTTCACCAAACAACGCTTAAGCCATAGTTTGTGTTGAAAAAAGCTCAGCCATTTATGAAGCCCTTGATACAAAAAAACTAGTTTTAAACCGATTAAAGAACACTGTAAAATAGGATTGGGTTTTAGCGAAATAAAGTTTAAGAAACACAACAATTTATAACGGTAGTCTTTCTAGTCATATTTTTGTCTAGAGATAGGTTTCACCATAAAAAAAGATATTGGAGTGTGATATCTGCGCAGTACTCCTCGGAAAATCCTTGCTCAATGTCGAGGGCACTAGTTGCGAAAAAAGGTCCAACAAGGCCACTAACAAAAGACCCAAATTCTCAACATGCCCTTCACAGGGGAAGTCATCAAAACCAAGACCGCAGTACCCGCGAGAAGGGAAGGGGATGAGGCCGAAAAGAAAATAACTGTGTAACAAAAAGATGAAAATTTATGAATGCTAAACCATGCAAGCCCTTAAGAATCCGCCAGTTCAAATATCCTCTTGGCGACATGGGCATCGGCTACAAGACTCTTCGATTTGCTGATAAATCTTCAATACTAAAACCGCCTATCGCGTTATCAAGATGGGTAGCAGGGGATGAATACAAGCAGAACAAGTTGCAGCCTCAATTTGGTTTAGCCAATACCAATCGACCAAAACCCAGCCAAAGAGGGCTTACAAGGGAAAGACTCTTGAGTTAATCACCGCTCTCGACAATCGCTCCAATCCCGTGTACGCTTGAATCAAACGAGAACGTTATGGAAGGACACCTAGTTATCCCATGATATATGGGCTACGCTAATGAAGGACAAATATGAAACGAATGGGATGAAGGAATACTCGAATAATGGCAATAAAAAGCCTCACCTTTAAAATGGAGTTGAAAACAATACCACGGATGTCGGAGTGCATCCGCATAAGTTCATGTAGTGAGGTACTCATTTGGCTCGCTGTAAGATTGTTAGTGGGATTGTTTTGACCCACAGCAGAGGCAGCGATGGAGAGGTTATAGCTGATCTGAGAGAGGAAGTCACGCAATCGCTTTGCCCTCATTGTAGGCAGGTATTCGGGGCTCACCAGGGTCTCCACGTATTTCTGCAATACTCCACTCGAGGAGAGGGCTGTGCGACCTCGTGGATTCAGCGCTAGAGTGCGTAGAATTGAGGGCAGGTGGACAAGGAAGTCGCGACTCTGAGGCAAAGGATTCTCCATCAAGGCGGACAGAATGTCAGAGGTCACACCCTTGTCCTATACAACATCAAGCCATGGAGAATTGTGTTCCCAAACCGATTATAACGTTGAATCTGTGTGGTTAGGCTATATGGTATGCTGTTTTATCAAAGTTTCGTTGATGAAACATTGGAAGAATTCTACAGTAGTGAATGGTGAACAAGTCAATTTTCCAAAGATTACAATTAGAAATAAAACAGCAGATCGGGAGAATGCGCCAATTTAAGCTACAATCTACCATTATTTATGTGGGCGAAGAACACTAGATGAGAAGCCTGAAACCACCCAAAAAAGGTACTCTGGTTGCCACTTTCTGGAGACACTAGACAACTTAACAGGCAGATGACTTTGGTTTCTAAGTCCAATCTTACTGTAATAAAGTGGATAGGATAAATGTCAACCAGCAATTCGCGGCGATAAACAGTAATGGGGGAAGACGCCAAAGCACTATAACATAGAAATTGCTGGAGAACTCAATCAAAACGTAAAATTGCGACCAGTTTGAAAGCGATCCCGTAGCTTGAAGCATCGAAGCAACACGATGTGGAATCAAAAATCCTGCCATAAAGTGTAATGCGCTCACAAACATGCATTAAATGGTCGGCTGGAACAGAACGAAGATACTTGCAAAACGTGACTTTGTCGATAGGATCGGCGATGTGCAATGAAGATCCTGCACACATGACCTCTAACCAATAGAGGAGGAGCTGTGTATGTCTCGATGACTTCGAAACGACCATCTTTAGGAAAGTGTATGAGTTCACATTGCACAACCTTGAGCAAGGGTTCGAGCAACGTAAGGGACGACTTCCGAGTCTAAATGCCCGTTTCATCCAAAACTCAAACAAACGGTGTAGCACCTTCCAGGAGAAGCATAGATGGGGTAAAATCGAGTTCAACCAAACCAGGTTAGAGGCACACCCGAGAGTATCGCATTTTGCGGACCCGCTTGAAAAGGTTCCACAGCAGTAGCCCAGATTGAGTTAAAAAACCATCCCAGTAAAGACAATGAGTCCACATTAATGGATGATGGGGGCGGCGAAAAGGCATTAATAGTGACAGTAGACTGCTGTTTTGAAAAACGATTCGTGGCTGTGTGGTAGGCGAATTGCATAACAAATTTGTGCAACAATTATATGACAGGTCACGTGGTGATATCCGAAATTAAGCCAAAGAATCACACACTATAAAAAGGCTAACTCCAGCCGATATAAAGGTCATGCAATGGCCTTTCAATCGAAATGAATATTAAACAGATTTTGTGATGGGACTATGCGCACATCCACAAAAATAGACTGAGACTTCGTCGGTCAAGTCTATTAAACGAAAATAAATGAAAAGATATATGATTCCAGGAGAGGAAGAACAAGAACTCCCATTACAATGACGTCATTAGCGTGGGAAGTTACAAAGGTGGAAGATAAGGCGGCTGCCTCAGCTACTAGTTTGAAACAGGTTTACAAGGGCACCGCACCTTTTAAGTGCAAATTTGAACACAATATTTAACCGCATTCCGACTCAAAAACATGCGCCTCTGCTGGAAAAAAATTTCTACTAAACGAATATGCAGGACACGCAATCCTAGGTGAAGAATGTTCGTGGAGTGAGAGCTGAAGTCGACATCCGAAGGTAACCATGTCCGGCTGCACACACGTAATCAACCCTGGTGTAGCATCATCCTGCGACAGTACAGCCGCCATTTACGCAAAAGAATGACAAATTCCAAAGATGTACTTAAAACAATAACCATGTCTAACTTATAGCTAACTCCAGGACAGGCTTTACAGTGAGACCTTATCTCCATGCAATTTTTGAACGCAGAATCACAAGTCGGTCTAAGCATTGCTACTGCATAGATTGTGCAAGTACGCTCCACGTGGTCACAATACTGAGGCAGGACACAAGGGTTGCTTTAAGGCCAAAACAGAAAGTTAAACACACGTGATTGTTTAAAAGTGACAACCTCACTAACCAGAGGAAATGGTAGATAGGGTCAACCTGCAACTAAACGCCGTTTGTTCCAATGCAGGCATCAAAGTGCGTACGTGCAAAAGCATGAAAATGAGCGAAATTGTCGATTAAAGCCTAGAACCCAAGCCCCCAGATACCAACTTTCGAGGAAAATATCTGAATTACAGACCAGCAACATGGCAATCAGGCTGCCCACCGCCCATGGCTGACACAAACAGCAGCGGCAGAGAACCCTTTCGAGAAAGTGATGAACCTAATCGCTGCGAACCTGGTGATTAAGCGGCATTTGCAAATCTGTGCCAAAGGTCCGCTGTAAATAATTTACATACACTAGAAGAAGCATAGAAACGTGAGCTAAGAAACATTACTTTGTACGCCCGTTTCATGGCAAGATTAGAGAGTAATAGTACCAGAGACAGCCGCGAGAAATTACCTGCATATAAGAGATACTTGATGGGTAGGTGTAGATGTAATTAGTGATGGTTTCCATGGCAAAGAGTACGAGATGAGGAGTAGCGTGGAAGACACGGTTGCTGTAGATCTTACGTAGGACGACGGGAAGATTGCCAGACATTGCAGCGCGCAGATACTCGTACCAGTCTGCCTCGAGACAGAGACGTTTCAACAAATTCAGCATAGACTTCATGAGGCCGGAGCGCTGAGTGTTCAGCACACCAAGAGGTGAGGTCTGGCTATTACTCGCCCCGGCTTTGGCTAGCTCCTAGGGGAGAAAAGCGAACGTGGAGCGATAAACCAGCAGATCAGCTGCAACGTACCGTTTGGAAATGTTAGACACTTGCGAACTCAATAAAATTATACCGGAAATGGGCGAGAATCAACAAACAATGGAGTTACTTCTTGCCTTTGCAATGAGAGATTGGCAGGACTAAAATGACGCGTTATACGTGATGCAACGTAAGCAGGATTCAACAAGTACGCAGTTAATCAGCAAATTTCTCCAAATCGTAGCGGAAATCTGGGCGGGTAACGTCAAGATACAGTCACAAAAATGTTTCCAAATTGTCTGGACCCGTTGCAGCGTACCAGCGACCTTATCTACTGAAGTTAATCTCACGACATGGGCTTAAGAGTAGTATCATGAGATAATAACAGGTTTGTCAACTTTCCATGGAGAAGAATGTATTTTGGTGTAAACAGAAGCGCAGAGAGCGAAACAACGTCCTAATTTTTTAAGCAAAAATCCCAAAGAATGAAGCAGAGATCTACAGTAGGAATCCCTTTGATACAGGGCGAATGAATTTAAAGGACTCCGTGCATTGATCTAGAGAGACAAGATTATCACACACTGCCTTATTTGGGGATGACCTTGGGGAGGATGTGATGCAATGAAGAGATTAATCTAATTAGGAATTCAGATGGTACAAAATATCGTTTCTTATTTGTGCATCTGATTACCTGGATCCTCAAGCTCTGCTGATGCAGTCACTGACCCGTCAGCCATTCTCTGCGGGCGAAAATGAAACGAAGCCGACATGTGTACAGCAACAAGATTGCCTCCTGCCAGGTGATCTCCCTGTGGAAACTACACAAAGCCCCTCAATTCTTAAGCACTAATAAACACTAACCTCCCCATCGTCCGTATAAAAATCAAGGCGGGTCACAAACGATTCATGCAAGCACGCACCCGCACATGTACGCGAACTTGGCGACGACCTTACAACACTCACACAAGCACAAGTGATCCATAAGTGCATCGAGCCCTCTCGTTTATAAGATTGCTAACTTCACGATATCATCCGCTAAAACATTCCAATGGCTCAGGAAATGAAAGCCTCGACTGTTCATTCGATCTGACTGGCACTATTAAAAACAGTAGGTGCACTGACAGAAATAAATGTCTCTAATGTCAGTGCGTGGACTTGGCGTCACAAAAAATATCCTAACGGACATGGATAAGGATCCTGAGTGCATGTGAAGTTGACGATCAGCAGAGGAAGTTAAGAATAGTGGCAGAAAAGGACTCATGAAGACCCAAAATCTAAGTTGACAGATTCCGAGAAATTCTCTCGCAAGTGACTTGAGATGACGCAATGAACGCACAAAATGGGCGTAGACAAAAAAAATGCCACAGCGGAATTTAATACTTCTCGAAAGGAGCGAATCGATAACCACCCTCAGGTCAAATAAGCATTCCACTCATAATATGAAAGGAATACAAAATATGGTAAAAGGTGAGGAATATGACTTACAGGTGGGGGGCGGAGAACAAGCTCAGCTTCATAGTCCAGCCTGTCGACGAGACGGTCGAGGACAAGCTGACGATTGGAGACAATACTGGAAAGAATTTGGTCAGTAACGCGTACCGCACGAGTAACATAACTCAGACAGTCGTTGCGTGGCACATGCCAGGCTATTAACTGCAGCATGGAGTCCAGTATCCCACTGGAATTCATCGTTCGCAAACTCATACCATGGGCATTTCCTGTAACGACGAGAAAAAAGCAACAAATTTTTCTGTTGATATGGATAAATAATATTAAAACCAATATGCATCCAAGACTAGCCCTACAGAACGGATGAAAAACTGGTATACACTCTGGTTACCTGTGTAGAACGGTGAGATTCAAAGTGAATGCACATCCAAAAGAGCAACGGTCTGTAGGCAGACCACGAACAACGATAGCGATTAAAAATGACCAGAAATCAAAGAGAATTCATTACATTTAGGAAGCAGTTAACCCACTAACCCGAGCTCAAGTTCTGTTCAAAAGCTGCCAGATGATAGAGAAAAGAGAGTAGGGCAATGGTGTACTGTTGGTTGACACTGCCCCCCGAGGCATCACAGGTGCCATCCACTAGACCCTGGATCCATCGCCTAATGCGTGTGGGCAAAGCGCCATGAAAATTGGCCATCCCGGTTGATTCAAGAATGGTCATGAGACTATGGCGAACCAAAAAGGAAGTTCGATTAAATGGGATGATCGATAGATAAAGCACATTATCTATGAAGAACACACTTCACGTTAAGACGTTGGAGATTGAAAATGGCCGTCATAGTACGGAGAGCACAAGCTTTTATGGACATGACTTCGCCATCAGGAAGCTGAAGGACATCCACTAACTCATCAACCAGCCCAAAGTAAATCAGACGGTCGTCAAACTCGAAAGTGTAACCTAAGAGAAAGTCAGTATGAGTCGATAAAATGAAAGTAGTACAAAGTGTGGAAATGGCTTGCAGACGAGCTTTGATGCACTTGAGGCGTTTTTCAGGGTCTGAAAAGTACACAGCCAGACGAATTCGAGCAAAAAGAGCCGTTTGCTTCGATAGTGGAACGGGATGAACCTTCAGTAATTCCTCCATGACTTCGGAAGGAGACTTGGTGCAATTTTTGAGACACTCATCAATAACAAGTGGTCGAGACAAGAAACCCGGTTGTCCGTCAAGCTCATTATCAGGATAGTATTCAAAGGTTACTTTCCCAGCGTTTGGAGGATACTAAAGGCTTGTTAGACAAACAGACTTACATGATCCATTCGACAGCAAGAGGCAAGATCAAAGCCATTCTCGACGCCCCCCCATGACTCAGCAATCGATACAAGTCGCTCAAGGATCAATGACCTGTTACTCGGATCGAGTCGAGAGAAGTAGTTGCTCCTTTTACTACAAATCATGGTTAAATTTAGGCTACAGAATTCCTACCTAAAATTATAAGCAAGGCCGAGAACTGCTAGTAGGATATCCATGTTTGAAGTGGCAAAAAGTGCGAGAATATGGCTCCATGACCCATAAAGACAACGGTAGATACTGTGTTCAATGAGATGACTGGTGAACTCAAGTACGGTAACGACATCTTTTACAAGATGGTCGTTTCCGGGGGCGTCAACCTTAAGAGTCCACATACCAACTTTTGAAGTCACATCTTCAAGGATTGCATCAAGGCGATCAAGAATGTCAGCCCAAAGACCCAGCTCACACTTTCCATAGTTCCAGACCTTAATCTTTCGTAATTCCTTCAAGAAGTCTTCATCTGAACACTCAGAAAGCCGCTTGGCAAGGAGCATGCATTCGTTTTGGTCATACCCACATCTATTCACAATCTTTTTCCGATCAATTTTCATTGATTCTATAAGAAACGGTAAGATTGCATTACAAAGAATGCAAACAACAAGACTATAGACGAGGCTTAATAAAATACATACAACCTCGACAAACTCGAACGATACCTTTCTTCCCACAATCCACGGAAGAATGAAACCAAAATTCAATTTGGGCGCCTCAGTTATAGCGAATAAAAAATTAGCTGCTGATGTTTTATTACAGAAAGTCCAGATTGATTTCTGATCATTTGCAAGAATTTCATTAATAATTAAATAATAGAGTGCCTATTGCATAAGTAAGAGATGATATTGTTATTGTAAATAACTCTAAAAATAAAATTAAAGAATGGCAGCACTCAACGTATCCAATAATTATGGCAGCTGTAATCTTTGAATATCAGAAGTGAAAAGTAGTGGTCCTACCATCGAACTTATGATTGAACTTGATAACTCAATTTAGTCAACGTAACTGAATCCCTAGCTATTTACAATGCAAGAAGTTGGATAATTGTAACTGAAGGACGTAATTCACGAAAACGTTTGTATTTAGATACGCGTTTGAGGACCTTATTGTAATGCTTTGCTTATGTGACTATCTGATGCTTGGCGATCACGTTAAGAGCTGGTCTGGCATCTGTACTCGTGGACTGGCTCTCGGGCCATGCTCAGGCCCATTTGCTTTGTCCCCTTTGCAATACATGTATTCAGCTTCATTTACTGCCTTCTTTATCCTGTGAGAAGTTTTGGGAGGAGGAGGTGCATTCCCTCGTTGATGGAGAATCTCTGAAGCCCTCACAACGAAAGAGTTGAGACTGACGTCTGCATTTGGTATCACCTATTCCCGTGTTCCACAAACAAGCTATTAGCAACTGAAGCGACACCACTGCGAACCATTCGGAAAAGTTTCGCAGCGTAATTTCCCATACAGAATCCGTGTTTAGGTGTCGAAAATGACACAACGGTTCTCCTTACATACGGAACAGCGGCTCATCCCGTTTTCTCTGTAACACACACGTTTTAGATAATAGTTCCACCGTCTAGTCCTGGAAGCAATTGTATGCGCCCCGAATCTGGTTGTCAGACCGAACGTAACTCCAGATACATTTGAAGCTGCCGAGAAGACCAAATACGGTTCTTCAGTTCCGTGTTGTCTGTCGACTGGCGCGGTTAGCTCGTGGGTGCTTTCTTGTAGAACCGAATATGTTGTGATAGCTGGTGCAGGAGATGTACCAATGGAAGCGCCGAGGACGTCGCTGAAAAGAAGAGAGTTACAGTGTAATGGCGGTCACTCTAGGATTTGTCTGGCCCTTGTACACGTAAGATGTCCTTCGGTCCATGCTCAGGTGCATTTGCTCAGCCTCCTGTGGAGTACATGTATCTGGCTTCACTCACTGCCTTCAATACTAAGTGGAATGTCTCGGGACGCTACACCTATATCGCCCTCACACTTTCAGCTACGTAGAAAAAGGTATTAAACCGAGCTGAATGCAGGCTTTTCAGGAGGGTGCGTAGGTATGTGGCTTTGGCTTGGCCCGATGGCTAACTAATGCGTACAAGGGTAAAAGTTGTAGGGTTCAGACTTCCTATGGGGTGGAAGAAGGCATTAAGTGAGGCTGGATGTATGGGTCTGAGCATGACTCGAGGGCCAACTCATGAGTACAAGGACCAGATGTCTCCTAAAGTGACCCCTAAACGTCAAATATCTACCTGAAAAGATTTTGCAAAAGGAACCCTAACTTAACCATCCGACATTATGCAGTCAAGTTGACAAAAAGTAATACATTGTTTATATGGCCACCTGATGTCTGACGGTTACTTTAAGATTCGATGGGTCCTTGTAGGTGTGGGCTGGCCTTCGGGCCAAGCTCAGACCTAGTGCCTTTGTTCGCCCTAAATGTATGTATTTTAGATCTTCTTTATGTCTTCTCCTACTCGGCAGGAAGTCTCGAGTTCACGCGCAAAATACTACGGAACTATTTAAGCTGTAGGTTCATGTGATATTTTTTTGCTTTTACCAGTGTATTGGTGGTGACGGCCTTATCTGATGCGACTGCGTAGTCTAAAGTATTCACTTAGCAAAGTTGTTTTTTCGTAACTTAAACTAAATTTTCCATGAAAAATCATCACAGCCTACTAAGGATTATGAAACAATACGAAAAGTTTTTTTATTGATCGGTAAGAAACGCATTTACGTGGCCCTTACTTTGATTATATTAATTCTCTCGTTTCTTAAGCAACAAAAATTAGCCGCTTTTCTCATTGCAGGAATGCTGCAGTAAACTCAGACGAATTGCGATATTTTAACAGAGTTGGTAATAATGGTGTATCCCTTTCTTTCTCGATTTCAAGACAAAGTTGAACATTGAAGACTAACTTAAATCGTTATAAATTCCTTCCCTCAAACTCCATATGTAGAGGATACTTCTTGCTTGTTATGTCTCACCCCAACGTTTATTTCAAGCTTCAATAGCGTCAAAGACCTTCCATGTCCTCAAAATTGTCCACTGCTACTAAAATTTGCCTTAGCTTGTCAAAAACATTTTCTTTTGCCCACATATGTCTGACAACTTTACGAGGAGTGCGCCTTTTATTCTCAGTGCCTATTAGAACGTGTATTCCTACGATGCTACACTCTGCATCGGCAATGTCGTTGCAAAAATTTGAAGCCGTTGCACTACCCTTTGCACCAGGTTCAGGCGCAAAATGATGGGACCGTTGGCTGTACATTCTCATAAAATCGCAGAGGGAAGTATACCTTTGTCTACGTCACAAAAACTTTAACAAACAATTTAGACACTTCACACGCTGCCTAATGGCGAGTCAGGTCGTGGGGAGCGCAGATCATCAGGTGCTTATTTGGTCAAAAAACAATGGAAAAAGCTGGTGGTTCAATTACGATTTAGGAAGATGGGCAGCAGCAGTATGGCTTCAGACTTCCTTAAAGAACAGGAAATGTGTAGGGCAGCTTGGATGCTCTGACTCGCAGACCTATCACAACTTTTGGGCTAGTCAACTAAACAACTCTGGAGAAGTATACAGGAAACTGACCCTGATGAGTCTCGAACATGGAGGAAGGTTTGTGTTATTCTCATAAGTTCGCAGAGAAAAGATGAGCTCGTCCAGCTAGGCAGCTCAATTGATGTGACAAAGGTGTTGAAAGCTGTCCGTTAGAGTTAAGAATTTATGGTGCCAAGAAAACATCTGCTAATGGTCTGGCAGTCTCTAGGCCCCTAATAAAAGAGATTTTAGGAGTAACGCAAATTAATGGTGTCAGTCTTCTCTTGCACCAGATGCACCTGACTTTTACCTAACCTGGACAGCTAGCAGCAATTATATGGAGCTGCAAAGCACATCAAATGTACATTTGCAGCTCATGTTTATGAGGGTTCCGACCGATTAGGTTGGCACAGATTTATGAGAAAGCTGCCACTTATCAAAAAATGAAATACACATTTTGAGGGTATTAGAAAGAGGACCCGTGCTGCTGCAAGACACAGCCATGCAGACTCATTTCTTGGCAGAAGGTGGGTTTTTTATCACGAATTTGGACACCAAGAAGGAAAGATACAAGTCAAATAGGCGCATCACAACCTTAGCAAACTATGCATGCATGGCCCGCTCCTATTCCTGTAGCCTACCCCAAAACACTGACATTACAACCGACCATGCTCCAGAGTACTTGCTACGCCTAAAAGATTTAAAGTATATAAAGAAGCATGTAAGTAAAGTCTGTTGTTTTTTAGGTCTTGCCTAACCCGTAATTCAACATATACTCTGCTACCCTCTAAATAGAGAACTATTCCAAGCAGTAAAGGTTCTCCCACTAACAAACTATACCATCCACGGTGTGTAACTGGTCCTGTTAACAAAACGTGGCAACCAAAAGTAAGGTTCACTGCTACAGAGGTGACCCGAGGGTTCAATGCAAATATAGTCTGCTCGTTGATGGGCTGATGTTAGACCATGCATCGTCAAAGGTAAAATCGGAATTAAAGCTTGAAGTCTATAAATAACCTTGCATATTTTATTAATTTACGGACTAAAGGCGAAAAAGCAGCCTGTACTTTGTAGGTAAGCAAAGAGGAACTTTCCAAACGATAAGGGTTACCACCTTTCAATGTCTCATGGTGAAAAAGGTGGCCTCATAAGGCGCAGAGTATTCACAAAATGGAGGAACAAAAAGCCTAATGCAGTGCCTACAGAGCTTCTGTTTAGCAAAAAGGTACAAATTTGGGTAGGCAGGCAGGAATTCCACGATGAGAACATAATTGAAACTGCGAAAAGGCTCCGAGTCTAGCCAACCTAACTACGCACATGTGACTGCAAACAGGACCCTCCTACGTAAAAAATGTAGAACGAACAATGGAGCTGTGTTCAAACTAACTACGGAAATGCTAGCATGCTTTGAGGATTATAGCCCAAAATGTGCTGTTTAATGCTTTGGTTAAAAGATCATGAAATGCAGCACCAACTCCTAAATTTGCTCTTTGGCTGCAGACAAGGGCTCGAATAAATGGCTATCATAGTAACAGACTGGATTAGCATCATGCCGGTTTAAATGCAGCAACATATTCCAGAGCCAGTCATTTGCGTCAGAAAAATTTTGCAGTAGATATATATAATCAGTAGGCCTGTATTCCGACGCACACTCATTCGTGCCTTACTAATAAAGTGAGGTACGACATTAATGGGCGCGGAAACTTAGCCACGAGGTTGGTGTACGTTTACCTAGCGCCATGCTCTATTTTTATTGGTTAACAACGTGCAGGTTACATAGGCGCCAATATTATCCATAATTAGATGTTTCTAGGATCAGTTATTTGTATTTCTCAAAGAGAAAAATGCGCAAGATAGTCCACAGTGGAATGTTTATAACTATTGGCCAATTTTAAACTGTTAACCCTAGACATAGTTTCCTTAACTAGTTTCTGTGCTCTTCTGTGATTGGCTGTGCTCCTTCTTGCAGCCAAAATATTGGCCCGTGTACGTGATGGAAGTATTCAATGGTCCGTCCCAGTTAGCTTTTGATGAATTTGGAAGACCATTCCTTATTCTTAGAGATCAGGAAAAGAAAAAGCGCCTGACTGGGTTACAGGCACACAAAGTAGGTCAATTTTCTAGCTGGGATATGCGTGCTTCCTAGTCCCACATTTTGGCGGCTAAGTCTGTTGCCTGTACGCTCAGAACTTCTCTTGGACCCAAGGGCTTGGACAAGCTCCTTGTTAGCCCCGATGGTGATGTTACGGTTACAAACGATGGTAGAACGATTCTCGAGAAAATGGACGTGCAACATGAGATTGCGAAATTGTTGGTGCAATTGAGTCGGTCCCAGGATGACGAAGTTGGCGATGGTACCACTGGCGTTGTCGTCCTTGCTGGAGCTCTGTTGGAACAGGCAGAGACTCTTTTGGATCGTGGGATTCATCCGATCAGAATTTCTGACGGTTTTGAACTTGCAGCTAAGGTCTGCGTGAGTGTCTTGGATGAGATAAGCGAGGACTTCGAATTTTCGCTTGAGAATCGTGAACCTCTCATTAAAACTGCCATGACTGCACTTGGGTCAAAAATGTAAGTTCTCTTCATAAATACCCATAAAGTGATTAGTGTTAGCCGTTGCCACCGTCACTTTGCTGAGATGGCTGTTGATGCCATCCTATCTGTTGCCGACATCAAACGAAAGGATGTCGACTTTGAGTTTATTAAGGTGGAAGGAAAAGTTGGTGGTAGATTGGAAGACTCGATTCTCGTCAAAGGAGTCATTGTTGACAAGGACTTTTCTCATCCTCAAATGCCCAAAAAGGTGGTCGATGCCAAGCTTGCGATACTTACTTGTCCGTTTGAACCTCCCAAGCCCAAAACTAAACACAATCTTTTCGTGGAGAGTGTCGAGGATTACCACAAATTGCGCCAGTATGAACAGGAAAAATTTGTGGAGATGGTCGATATGTATGTTTCTGATTTTTGTTGTCTCGTATTTTTTTCACAATTTCCGCTGCTATTTTGTGTCTAATAGGGTAAAGAAGACGGGGGCGAATTTGGTGATATGCCAGTGGGGCTTTGATGATGAGGCCAATCACCTTCTTCTGAGTCGCCAATTACCAGCAGTTCGATGGGTTGGTGGAGCCGAAATTGAGCTCATTGCAATTGCCACTGGTGGGCGCATCGTTCCACGCTTTGAGGAACTGACCGCGGAGAAACTGGGTCACGCTGGTGTCGTGCGCGAGTTGACTTTCGGAACCACAAAGGATCGCATGTTGGTAATTGAAGACTGCAAGAACTCTAAGGCGGTCACTTGTTTTATTCGGGGCTCTTCTAAGATGATAGTTGAGGAGGCTAAACGCTCTCTCCATGATGCGCTATGTGTAACGCGTAACCTGGTCCGCGACCCGCGCGTCGTGGCTGGTGGTGGCGCTTGCGAGATTGCCTGTGCAATTCGAGTCGCTGATGAGGCGGAGAAGATCTCCACTATTGAGCAGTACGCGATGCGCGCATTTGCTGACGCCTTGGAATCTATTCCGGTTGCTCTCTCTGAGAATGCTGGTCTTCCATCAATCGAGACTGTGGCCTACGTGAAGGGTCGTCAGGTGCAAGAGAAGAATCCCCATCTTGGAATTGATTGTCTACATACAGGCACTTGTGACATGAAAGAGCAAAATGTCTTTGAGACTCTTACCTCCAAACGCGCTCAAATCATGCTGGCGGTGCAGTTGTGTAAGATGATATTGAAGATTGACGATATCCGCACCTCAGTGGATGAAATGTAAACGTTTCTCTTTATACTACTGTGTTTACTAAGTTATATTGGCGAACTGCATTTAATGGTCTGATTTCTTGCAGTCAAATTTCTGCTCGGTAGTTGCCGTTGCTTCTCTTACATGGAGCTGGTGTGGATGCCGAGGTTTCTCGCGATTTGTTAAGCATGAAGTCCCGTTCCTTTTTTCGGCATTGGCCTTTTGTGGGCGGCACGGCTTGGCGCCAAATGCGTCGAGTCAAGCGTTTTGCGGAGATAGGTTTTTAGTGCTAGCTGTTGTGCAGTGGCACTATGTAATATTAAAAGTCTTTAGTGTGGGAACCCCCTCCTTAGCCTCCCGAAACTGACAGAATGCGTTAGGTATCGTAGTATATGTACTTACAGAGTCATCGTTAACAGAGCTGCAGGATTTTTGTCATTTTCCTTCAATTCCTGACTCTTTAGATTCCGACACGAGTAGGTGTTTCTGCTCACCAATCCGCCTGAAATTGATGGAAGGAGCTAGAGCAATGAGTAGGTCTCTAGTTTTGCAAGTCTGACGGGTTATGGTCTTACCAAGGCGTCTTCTCCTTGATCCAGCCTAGGTTGTCAGCGATGAGGTGAAGCGATTGGCATGAAGGGCATCGAATAATGACTAGGCCGCGGGTGTAGGCCAGCTTGGAGAAGAACTTTTGGGTGCGTGTTTTGCACACCTGAGAAGTAAAGCGAGGTGTGATACGAATCACTTTATTCCTCAAGAGGAGTCGTCATCAAACGATGAGGAACAGCAATGGGGTTTGCTGCCTGATATAACCTATATATTTTGCATGCCAGTGAACCTCGTGTGGTCAGTGTACTTCTTCAGACACTCAGATTTTGCCGCGCCATCGTGGCATATCAAGCACAATCAGCGATAAGAGAGACTACTCTCCCCCCGGTAGAAACAGTCTTAGCTAATACGCTCTTTCCAACCTTACCGAAGTCTCGTTCAATAGAGATCAAAATTCCTCACATTGCAAGTGAAGGTTATGCTCATATGCTTTCCTGGTAACCTGGGAGTCAAGATCGAGTTTTTCGTTTCATTTGAGGCCTCTTGATGAGTTTTTGCGGGTTGGTTAATGGGTTCGGCATTCGCGGATTCGTAGACCAGATCACAGCCAGGATTTACCCTCAGTGGCGGGCGTGCAGTTGATAAGCGCACAGGGCAAAATTGAGGCCTAAGATACTGAAGTAAGGGAGCCGGAGGCCTAAAGCCACACCCAAACTTGGCAATCCGTGAGATGAATGAAAATCTTCTTAGGACACTCATCTGCTACAAAAGAGGAATAAACTCAGCGTTTTGACTAGTCTTGCGACATCTCTACGGAACCCCAACCCTTAAACACTTTGATGATAATTGGTTGCAATAAACAGTGCCACCAAGTGAATGACCGTGAATGGAGCAGAGGAAGGAATAAACACTATTGCTGCATAATTCACCTTCGAGTGGAAGGTGCTTCAAGCACACATATACACACACCACCTAGGCACTAGAGCGACGCCCCAGAGAAGGCATCAATTGCCGCACCAGCGCTCAACACATAGATGGTACCGCATCAACTTCAACCCATACACACAACAGTTAATACAGGTGTTTTATTCATTCAGCAGCATGTAACTGCACACAAACGCCAGCAAAGTCTACACCAAACGAACCAAATCAGAGAAATACCATCGCGTCTGGGCACTTATATATTTCATCTGTCGCAACAGAAGCAACGATATTGAGAGCGGGATGAGAGGGGAGTTGGGAGAAAGTCGAAAAAAAATACACATCTCCAGTCATTGTTCTTCAATCCTCCCTACGAAGCGAAAATGTCTGCATTGCACATGGGACAGATGGGGCGTCGTTGAACCCACTGCATGAGACACTTGCTGTGAAACATGTGTCCACAAAGTGTGCGCTTCGCGTTTCCCACTGACATGGCCTCATAGCAAATTGCGCACCAATCTGCGTAAGCATCCAATTGCTGTGATGTTGGTGCGGGAATAGACGCCATTGTATCCTTGAGGAAGAGTTGAGTTCTCAACCAAAAGAAACCGCGACAGGTGGCTGGATAAAGAACAAAGAAGACGTGAACTATGAGGATGAAGACCCGACACACTCCGAAGGACTCGTAGAATATGAGCCAGAGAATCACCAGAACAGAGAGTAGAGAGATAAGATAGTTGATGAAGATATTGAAGAGTCTCGAAGCAGCGAGAAGACTGTGAAATCTAGTCCAAAGAGGCCAACGATGATGAGCTTGATGAAGAGCGTACTCAAAGAGGGTGCAAGTCACGTCCAGAAGAAGTTGTCCCCCGCAGAGGTAAGTACGGAGACGTTGAGCGTAGCCAGTGTACGCGGAGATGGTGCCACCGCCAACACCACCAGCTGCGTCAGTTAGAGAGGGTTTTCCGCCCAATGGTTGGTAACCACGTCCCGTATAGGGAAGGTAAGAAAGCCAGACGGGGAAGTGAATAAACACGCAACCAGAGAGGCCAATCATTAGTACGCAAAAGAGTAGTGGGATAAGGTGGTCAATCCAGGGTGAATCCAAGCCCGGTAAACCCAAGCGAAGTAGAATAGCCTTGACAAGGGACTCCACAGGATAAACACATGTGAAACCCATGACGATAAGGAGATGAGTGAAGCAGAAAATACGCTGATGAGAAGTGAGATTTGGTAGGTCATACTGGATTGCAAGGAAGACAAAGAGGATGACACAGCTCCAACTTGTGTTTTGCAACAATTCCACAGCAGTGACCTCAATATGCTCATTGCTAGTTAGCTGTTCTTCAATAGGAATCCAAGGATTGGCTGCAACTGGGGCTATCTCCGCAGTCTGAATGAGTTGAGCGATGTTTGCGCCTAGAGGGTCGACGCAAAAAGCTAGGAAATTAACAACGAAACCGGAAAGGAGACCCACACACACCGCTGCACCGTAAACGGAAGTCCAAGTTTCCGCACCGATAGCAAGAGCACCAGTAAGAAAGCGTGAAAATAGACGATACGAAAGGTTATTTGAACTAAGGAGGCCATTTTCGTTCGCGTAGGCGGTTAAGAAGGTGAAATTAAGAGAGTGTTTGATGGGTACACCATGCTCGTCCGTAGCTCGAGAGAGGAGCTCAATGACTTTAGCATCGATAGGCCAGAAGGCCGCACCAAGAAGAACAATGAGAAATAGTTTAATAAGCCAAAAGCAGAGGAAGACAGAGGATACGTCAAGACGATTCCAGTTATCAGAAACAAAGTTGAATGGCTCCATTGAAAGTTGAACTAATTGTTCCTCGAGCGCTGCCTGCAAACGGAAGCAAAAGTCTTCGAGCAAGAAAGCAGCGAAAATGCAGAGAGTAAGACCAAGAGCCAAAAATTCAGGCAGGAGGGAAAAATGCTGTTCAGTGAACACTTTTGCGAGTGAATAAGTTTGGAGGCAATCGGAGAAGCGTAGCAGAACAGAGTGAGTAAGATGATTGTTCCGACCACCGAGAGCATAGAAGTAACTGCAGATTGAAGGTGTGCTGTTTCCTGTTGAACCAGTAAATAATTGTTTGCTATAGGTCTTATCAATTGAAGTGGCAACAGAGATATACAAAATGACTGGAAGGAGCATGATTAAAGCGCCAATGAAGCCGCGTAAAACGCTTCGACGAAAGCTGTGTCGATCGTCCAACTGACGACGGCGGAAGAGTGCCGGCAGTAGGCGAAAACAGGTAAAAACAGTAAGGAAGGAAAGCATCGGAATTGGAAAAAATTTTAGAAGAAGAAAACGCCAGCTCCATGGACGATAGTCATAAGCAAGTTCATTTAGACGCCGGACAAAGACGAAAGAAGTGGTGATAGCAAGAATAAAGGGCAGGCAGAGAAGACCGAGGGTCCAAATTTGCTTCGGTGGGAGCAGAATGGCCACGAGGAACACCGTAAAGACTGAAAACCAATACAGAGTGATAATATACAATATGAAATTCCAGCATTAATAAAAGTTCAAAGATTCAGAAAAAGCGCAAATCACGTCGTAGACATTTAAGAAGTCATGAGGAAATACTTTGAAATGCGTAACGCAATGTTAAAAATTATGTGCCTCGCAGGAGGATAAAAGTGAATAGAAATGCTTGTCAAATCAGAATCAGTTTAGGAAGCATGCAGCTCAGTTGCCATGGAAAACCCGGATATATCTAATCACCTTTCAGTGAAGTGATAATTCGACAAGTAGGAACCACCATAGACAGCAGCGACAGCAAAACATGTTAAGGCTACAAAAATGTTTACCAAAAAACAAAGGTGACAGCCCAAAAGTATCCGAAGAACTTAGGAGAACGTGAAAGTGCAGGACTCACACTACAGACGGAAGAGAAAGAATGAAACAAAAAAAGAGCAGGCATACTACCAAAATGCAGATTCAATCAGGAGAATGATCAGCATGCTAAAAACGGTAAATAACTTGCCCAAAGCGATGGTAAACGTAGTTAACTCATCAGAAACGCCATTAGTGTACAGGGTGTCCCTATAAGCCAGCCATGAAATGAGCGAATTTTTGGCGCCGAAAATCCAAGTGGTTCTTTTTGCAAGGACGGAATCAATAAATAGTATTAATAACGCCCTAAAAAAAACATCCGCGCACGACCAAATTCTCATTTGACTTTGACAATAGCAACACCAACTTATCCAACCCGCCTAAAAATAAGGACAACAGAAATTACATTGGCCGATTCTTTAAAGCTGTTTCTAGGATCAACTTTTCTCCTCTAAGCGCGACGAATCATAGCCTAAGTAGTTGTTTGTATTAAAAGTGGATGTAATCTTATAGGTTTTTAAAAGTTTTGGAGTAGTGTAGTTGGTGGTCACTGGTTTATGTTTGCTTCCGATCGAATAAGCTGCACTATTTTTCGAGTGGCAAAAGTAAGAAGTAAGATAATTGCACTTTAGCCTATAATTTTATGTGATTTATTTGTTAAAAACATGAGGACTGTTCAGCAAATCCGACTCTATATCCGGTAGTTTATTTCAGATTTTCTGCTTTGACGATGTTGTAGTCAGCCCCCATTCTCTAGTATCTTAATCAAGAATTCTTTTGGAACACTTTTGTTAACAATTTCTTTACTTCGAAATATGAATTTGCAACCCTTGATGACAAACGATCAGCAAAGTTTCGCCCGTGCCTATCAAGAAGGGCGTGTCCACGCATTTCATCCGCAAGAGTATTTTGGATTACATGAAACACTGTAATTTAAATCAAATTCTAATCAAGAAGTATTTCGGTTCCTTCCTATGCCATGAAATTAGCTGTAACCACTTCTTCTCTAAAATTAGGTAACATTACTTTCCAAGGCTTCCTAGCTGGTATAAGAAAGCAGTAAATGCAGCTGGATACATGTATTTCGAAGAGGATAGGGCAAATGGACTCGGGCATGGCGGTAACAGTACGTATTCTCACACCAGTGTTCAAACGAACAATGCACGACCAGTCGATGCGCCACTGGATCGTAGTTTATGCAGTCCTCTGTCCCTTTTTTGTGCTTCAAATGCTCCCTGAATAGTTTAAAAATTTTCAAGCGAGTTCCATTGAAAATTTTAATGTAAATTGCAAAATATGTTTGAATAATCCCTTTTGCAATCTAAAGCGAACGCACCTGGTACGTTGATAATCAAAATGATTAAAATATTGCGAAAATGTTTGTTTACAGTATATGTTCCGACGCTAGCTGTGTGCATTTCTAGTTGACGAGTTTTTCTCCTATTTGAGTTTCGCGGGTTGCTATTCGTGTGCCTGCAACAGGCTAGTGGTTATTCGGATAATGGCAGCGAATGATCAAGATCCTAGGCTTCGGCAGCTGAAAATAAAAACAAATGTTGTCAAAAGGTAAGTACGACCCTACGACATTTTGTTGAAGAATATCCAAAGATAAGACTAAATACGAAGAAGAACTAGTGGATCTTCAAAGGAGCCTTGAAGAAAAGAAGGCCTCTGGTGCTGATGAATACGCAATCAAAAAAACTGTAAGCCTCATCCCTTCGGTTCCACTCCTTGTTTTAGTGCGAACTCATTGATGAATCCAGAATGATGGTCTCTGACTGTTCTAGTCGATTGGCAAGGGCCGTTGACGTTTTAGCAACGGCTGTGGCTGATTGCGAGGACCTAAGCAATCATGAGGAGTATCAATGCGCCCAGGAACTTATCACTGGAAGGACCGAGTCCGATACCTAGGACCTTGCATTTGGCTTGCACTTCCTTTCTCTGGAAATCGTTCACTCCAACTCACTTGCATAATCGCTTTTGTTTAGGCTTGGTACAATATGAAGAAGTATGTTTAATCTATAAGATCGCCCCTCTGTTCCTGTTTTAAAAGATTAGGTTTGTGTAATCGAGTTCATTAAAGAAGTATAACAATGGCAGTACTCTGCGTGTTTCATTTGTTTAATCTTTTCTGTTCTTCTCGTGAGTTTTTCCCCAATCGACTGCGTTGAACTTCAAAGATAACTTCAATTAGAATAAGGACAATTATCATCCATTCTAGACGTGAAGAATGTCTCGCTTGTAGGTGGTTCGTTAATATCTCCGTTAGTTCGCAACACGTGTCCAACTTAGAGTTCAGGATCTGCAGATAGGAAAGTAAATGTGAATGCAGCCAAGCTCATGCGTCGCAACAAGCGATTGATATGATAGCCACTCACTCTGGTTCGGTTTCGTACGTTGAGCGCATTTTTGAGACTCTGAAAGAGTTTTTCAACCTCAGATCGATCCCAGTAGAAGTCCGGTGTCTCGCTAATCGTTGTGCTGATGTTCAGTAGGTGTCTAAGCGAGCAGAAGTCGGCTAATTTATTTCACTAACCGTAGAGTGAAGAGCTCCCCGGTTTTTCGAATTACGGAGGACGTTGGAAAAAACAACCCTAGACCCGTTTGCATTTTCTATAAGAAAGGGACATTTAGACGCCGATAGTGGTAGCACGCTCAGGAGTTTTGTCGGTCCGCTTACATCGATCCAGGGTTGCATTTGCACGGCTACTGCGTCAAAGCTGGTTTCCAACAGGCCGAGCTTTACTGAGGATATGGAAATAGGCGAAATATGCCCATGAGTAATAAAGAAGACTATCATGGATTGCTAGCTCCTAGGGCCAATCCTATCGGTCAAATAAAGTTGCGTGAGTCGTCAGCATAATGTGGGATGAACGGAGGCACGAGGATTAAACTTATACAATTCCGACTCCAACAAACGCGACTGTATTTTGGACAAAATGGAAGAATGACTTCAATGCTTCCAACAAAACCACCAATAATGACTTAGTAACTGTCTGGCTGGTTGAATTGCCAGTCTCACTCAATCTGCCTGCAGGCGACGCTACTTTCGGGCAAATGAGGTGATGAGAAGGAATGTTCACAGCTGAAAACAAGTGTTTGGCTGACTCGCCATTGGTGGCGCCAAAAGTGTCACCGACGATAACAGATTTTGCTCTTTCAAACACAGAAAATAATTCATTGTCACAAGATCTGACAATAATTGTTTTCCAAACGCTGAATTGCAGGTGAGGAAATCAGTGCATTACAGTTTTGAGAGCTCGGATCACAAGGTCCAGATAGGGTTTTGCAGAATCAAGTCACTGATGGCTAGATTTGGAGATGTTAGTACTCCTGCTTCTCAACTTTACTTCTGCAACGCTAAACACTGAAAGTGACTAGACGTAATTTGGTCTACAAATCTGCTGACGCCGAACCGATTAATTAACTTGCAACAGCTACCTACCAAGGGGTCTCCAAGGAGAGACGCATATTGGTTACGGATTCATTGATACCAGAAATGAACTCCAGGATCTAACAATCTGCTAATCTACTCTATTGAACAACGTTTTAATAAGGTTACGCACTACTAGTAACTGAAAAAGGAGTCAAGGGAAGGAGCGATAAGAATCCCTTACCCGACGAAGCTAAAGCGTCAGAAAAGGCTATTTTCTCCATAATCAGAGTCTGAACGGCTTGTTCATAGGAATTCTGTAGCTCAGCAGTGTCTGATCTCGGTGGAAGTGCATGTAGGCGGATGTCTTCGACATCTAGACGGGTTGGTCCACTAAGGGAAAGGAGAAGGAAAAAGAAGTTGTTGCATTTTTGGAGCCACATATTCCATCCTCCATCTGTCACCAAAGGAGGTCTTATCGGATTTGGGTAGTCCTTATTCGTCCCAAAGAGCTGCATTTACCTAAGGATTAGTATATTGCACTCACACCAAGAAGTTCTCAACACATTTGTGAGCTGATACCGATTTAGTGTTACAGTGACTGTCATAGAAAAATGGCAATTGCTATGGCAGGTGAACGGAAATGGAGGGAGTTGTAAAAGGAGCATTCAGCTCGCGTGCTTCAGCGATAACCAGTTGGCCTCAGGACTAACAGTTTAGGATTTGCCATTAACTCACACATGGATCCATTCTCTCATTCAGTCCGTCCAATCGAGGATGCGTGTCATGGGTAATAAAAAGAGCATTTTGTGAAATCAGATGCAAAAAAGTGACTACAAGGAACAGTGGAGTGTAAACCGGTGCAGAAGGGTGCAAGGCACTAAAACGTTCTTCATTGTAATGTGTGGTCAATCGAAGTGAGCTTTCCCAGCCCTTTGCATATTCTTGGACCCCTCATTTCGGCACTAAAGTCTCATCCCGTAGTGACAGGTGAGAGTTGGTTTTAGAGGGTGAAAAGATGCTATTCGTTGAGTTGGAATTATTGCATTGGGAGTGGTTTGGCTAAGTTAAAGATCTCAATCAGCCCATGGTATCGTGATCAACAAATTCAAGCCAAGTTAAGGGATGTAGTTGGATTAGGAGCATGAAGGATGAACAACCCAAAAAGTTTTAAAAAAGCAACTAATTTTCGGGTGTCGATAGCTGAAAATAATTCGAGACGATAGAAGGGTTCAGATACGCTTTCTCCGAGTCGTATAGATAAAATGGGATGTAAAATGGCCCTACCTTCATCCAGAGAGAACTATGAAAACATTTAAAAGAAAGCAGTTTTCAAGGCGAACATGCCTGGTGAAGGAGTAGACCAATTCCTCAAATTCTACCGCTTCCAAGGCAATAGGCCTGTTGCACTCTTCGCGAATCTTGGCAATAATTTCTTCACTCTAAAAAAACAGTAGATTGGTTTTTCGGAGGATTTACCAATTTGGAGGTTGTCTCTCCCCCCTCATCCCTCCCCCACTCCATATTGCCGGGAAATAGGAAGGAATTCTCACCTCAGACTTCGAGACGTTCCAGAGAACAACAACACCGATTCTGAAAGGAAACGGCAAATGAAACAAGAAGCACACTAATACTCAGGGATTGAAGGTACAAGGAAAGTAGAACGAGGTAGCACAATATAAACTTTAAAGCTAAAATACACACCTTGAATTTGTAAGATTACGAAAAGGTTTGACAGCAGCGCTAATACATGCCGAGAAGGAAAAAGAGCAAATTTGGCCGTTAGTGAACGCGTGAGGACAAACATTACTCAAATGGATCCTGGCAAAAAAGCAAATTTGGTACTGGAACGAGTGACTGGTATAAAGATTACAAGGGCCTCAGATCATGTCAATCAACAGCGCTCCTGATCGTGCTAGAAACCGACAAGGCACCGAGACAACAGAAGCAAATTGATGGATTTGACAGGAAAAGCCCATACTCCAATTCCTGAAGACCAAAAAATCCACTGATAGGAATGTATAACAGTAAACATCCAGACGTCAGCTGCTCCAAAGTTAGTCCACTGTCGTTGACGTCACAAAGAAAGGTAAGTAGACAAGACGCTCCTCCCATGGCTTTGAAAACGTCTTGTTGCTAGCCGCCAGAAGCAGGGCGACAACAATCAACCAACTAAAGTTTCCCCTCGGAAGAGGAAAGCGCCGGCTGCGACTAGGGTGGCCTAGTGCCAAGACCAGGGTGACATAAAAAAGAAAAATGTCGGTCAACGCACGCGTCTGAGCGCTTGTTGACTTTTTCAAATGCCAAAACAGCAATTTGTATTTACAGGAGAAGGACCTTTGAATTCACCGCCAGCATTTCACCCAAAACCCAATGTTGGGTACCAGATTCATTAAAAACTCCTCTACAGGGAAGAAATGACCCCAGTGTTTTGAAGTTAGGAAAAGTACAGCGGCTGGTACGGATGCAAACCTCAATTCCGGTTTCCTCAAATCCAAAATTCGTTAAAGGAGACCCGGCAGTTCAAAAGCAATGAACAAAAAAAAAGGAAGTCCATGTAAGTCGGTGTTTTGTGTGAAAAGCGGTTCATTGTGAATTTTCAGAATTCGCTCCAAAATGGGGCAGGAGCACTATTCTTGCGAGAAAATGATGAGGTTGCGCATGAGGATCATGCCGGAAAGAGAGAGTAGAAGAAGAGACCGCTACCCAAGGGAGGATACGTAACTTCATCAAAAGCAACCTTAACGCAAAGATGTGTGGCAGTTAGAAGGCGATAGGAATGAAGCTATTAGCTGCATCACCACGGAGGTAAAATTCCTTCTCATGACATAGAACAACATCAACCACCAAAGCAAGGGAAAAATTATCAAAACCAACAATCTTATGAATCAGGAAATGTTTTTACTCATTTACTGAAAGAAAAATGAGACTTGCAGACACTTCCACCTGCAGACGTCACGCACAGTTCATCTTTGACCTACTTGTTAGCCGAAAATGGCTCATTTAAAAAATGCGGAGTATCCTCCTTAGTTTCCCACTCATGCATTCCTGACTACGATCTGGAAATAAGTCTTCTCAAACCGTGAAACGAGGAATTGACGTTCATTAGTTCCCCTCACATCGACCGAATTCGCCTGTCATTGGTACTTCAAACCACTTTCTCGGCTGTACTGTAGCGCAATGTCGCTCGAGTAAATAAGTACTCTCTTCATTTTAGTCCAAAAGAGATGAGGAAGATAAGTAGTGCCCCCTTCCATTCTTCCTATCCTCCAGTTCAAGTACGAGAAGACGCCAGTTTCAAAAAAAATTCAGTGCTTTGGAAAGTAAACCACCCCATACTCAGTACGCACAGAAAATCTGCTACTATTGACGAAGGAAGTAGTAGTCAGATACTAAAGGTGTTATAGGCAGGATGTAAGCAATGCTGCCATAAATAAATGAGCACCAACCGATTCGTGAAAAGATACAGACGATGACTAGGTACGTGGATAAAATTGAAGAAAAAGTAGACTCAGAGATTCATCCGAAAGTGTTGAATTCGCCGCTACCACCGCAAACTTCACCTTCCTTCCCCTCCCCCCCCC